CTAATAGTGTAGTCTAATAGTAAAAAGCAAAGAATAGATAGTACTAGTTCTTCTTATTATAATATAAGATATAGAAAAGAGAATAAAAGCTATACTATCTAGGGCATGTAGTTAGCATATATACATCTTATTAAATAGGATACCCTATCTTATAAAGGTTTAGCTACTTATAGCACCCTATCTCCTTATTTTTTTATAACTTTATCTATTAATCTATCTTTATATAGTGTTTATATATTATAATAAGATAGCTTTATAGCTTCTCTATTACTAGATTAGTTTACTATCTTAAATAAGTTTATATATATATAAATAGATTAAAGATATTATAATCTTAATAAAACATATAAGAACATATAAAAAACACATTACTTCTTACTTTTTAAAACATAATATTATATTAAAGAAACAAAACTTTTATTTTTATCTTTTTAGGCTAGGTATACGCCTAGCCTAGGTAGAGAGTAGCCTAAGTATAGATTGTTTTTATATTAGCCTATACTAAACTTAAGTAGGATAGCTACTAAGAAGAAGCTAAGCCTATGCTTAAGAAGTAACCTTACTACGAAGGCGGGTAGAGGCATAAGTAGCTATTATAAGTTAGCTTAAGCATAGGCTTAGGATACGCTTAAACTTACTAATAGACTTACTCTTATAAGCAGATCTAGGACGTTTAGCTATTTTCTTATTAGTAGATAGCATAGGTAGAGCATATGTAAATAACATATAAGGAGTCTTAATAAAACCCTCCTTATCCTTATCCTTAACGAAAGAAGGAGGTAAGAGGCTACGCTATATATAGTTAGCGTACGCTTAGTAAAAAGGAAGACTATATATACCTTACGCTTTTTAAAGAAAGGAGGAGTTATATAAGGTAGATTATTCTAGGCTAGGGTTAGCATATGCTCGGTAAAGATTTAACTTAAGTAGGGTATATATACATAATAGTAGAAACGTAAACTATACTAGTTATAGAAGTTATCGTTAACGCGACTATAAGAATAGTTAGTATAGGCTTAAACTAGGCTAAGGGTAGGGTAAGCATACGTAATAGCTTTAGCCTTATTATAGTAGGTACCGATCTTACTACTAGAGTTACTATTAATATTAGATAATAGCATAAGGTAAGCGTATACGGAACATACCTAGGCTTATAGAGGTAGACACTATTATACTACTTCTAGGAAAGGATAAAACGATACATCTTGCTATACTTAGTTAGTATATGCTTAACTTAGGGTAACTATATATACTTACTACTTAGTAAGGAGTTCCTTATTAGTAGAGGTGTTATAAGAGTTAAGGTTAGCGACTATATATAGTTAGCCTATACTAAAGTTAACATAAGAATATCTAGTACTTATAGTAGCTAGAGTGCTTATAGCGCTAGTAGTAGTAGAGCTAGATATGTTAGTTTTAGCATAGGTAGAGTATAGGTTTAGCGTACGCCGGGGTTATTACTAAAGACCTAACTATATATATAGTTACTAGTAGTATCGATAATAACGAAGTAACTAGAGATTAATTAGTATAGGCTAAGCCTAGGCTTTAGAAAGTAACTTACACGTAGTTATGCTTTTTTAACTACTAGAGCTAGTTAGGGTAATCTATATAAAGTTAAGCATACGCTTAGCGTAGAGAGAGTATAGGCTATACTAACTAGTAGCGATGTTATTAGCATAGGAGGTAGGCTAGGCTAAGTATAGAGTTAGCGTATGTAATTGCAAAAGGTTAAGAATATATACTACTAATAGTAAAGTAGGGGTTATAAATAGGTCCTATGCATATAGTTAGTTTAGGGCGGCCCTACGCTAAGCCTATACTATACTAACTATGTATATAGCTATAGCTAGGTAGGGGGTTTATAGAGTTAAGAACCTAGGGATTAGTAAAGTTAGTAGCCATGTTAGGCGTATGCTAAGTATAGGTTAAGAAGCAGCTAAGCCTATGCTAAGGTGAAGCTAAGAGGGAAAGAATGTTTTAGCTTTGTTATGATTTCAAAATTTGCGGGTGGTCTGTGCGCGCGAATGCGCGGAAAAGTCTATGTGCGGGGAAACGCGACGCGATTGGCCACACGCTCGGCACAGGTTCGGAACACGCTTCTTGCCAAGAACTTCTCTACTTGTGCTCAACTATTGTGGATCTACCTTGGGTCAACTTTGCCGTACCTTGTCTGACCTGCCTCCCGTGAAGTATGCCATCCGTTGGCCCAAGATCAAGTTAGCAGCTAATTTGTGACACGGCTGCGACAAGACGACAGTAATCAGATAAATCTTCGCTTGAGCTGACTGACGTGCTGAGGCGACCGAGGATCTCCAAAACGTTTCTATGGAAGTCATCAAGTCGTTCTGCAACCTCCATTACGAGGGGTCAGAGAGAGTCCGCATCGGACCAAGCTATGTTGATGGCAGCATGGCAAGAGATACAAGCACGGCCACTCTCGCCTACCTGGAAATCATGTCGTGGTCTCTCGTGTCAGCCGATGACAGTCGGGTTGTGATTGAATGTAATAGCCACATTGTTTTGCCGTTTGACAAAAAGCCACGGCCTCAGTAGCCAAGAAAAGAATCATGACCTGCGGCAAGTGGCAAGTCTTGAATCGATCTCATACCGTGGACTAAGGCGGTGAATCGAAACAAGTGTTGCAAAGCATGTCACGCCGAGAAGAAGATGTTCTGAAGGAGTCGACCGAACAAGGTGGTGAGCGAGTACGATAGTCCTGACCGCGCTTACAAAAATATTCCAGAATCCTTCGGAATGTTATTGGCGGCTAACAAGCTGCGGATGCGTGACTTGAAGAAGACATGTTTAGCGAACAAAGGAAGGGAGGCACGGGATAGCGTGAGATTAGCCCTCTCTGAGTTGGGGTTGCAAAATCTCCAGATCTCTCGGCACACGCCGAGGGTTTTCTTTCTGCTTTTCAGCGACACTTGCTGTTGCGAGATCGTACTCAAGAGCTGCTGCGCAAGATGTCTCGACTCCACGTCGATACGGTAGATATGGAAAACTGTGAGTAGAGATTCACGGGCCGTGAACGTACTGTATTGCAAGTATTCGCGCGTCCAAGACCACTGGCCTCCAACCCAAATGCCACGAATGATCGCCCAAGAAATACCAAGGAGCGTTTGCGACATCTGGGGCTCTGGGCAAAATGCACGAGGGTTGGCGACACGCCCCATGCACGAGACAATTCACATCGCATCAAAGCAAGGACAACCTAGGGCCCGATTTGGGCTCCCGCGTGATCATTGATTCGCCATTCGAACAATGGAAAGCCCGTTAGTGTGATTGTCGCAGTGTGGGGATGATGGAATGAATAGTTCACCTGGACAACTGCCCAGCATCGCTCTTGCCTCCACGGTTTGTTGTATATAGGGCTGTGGTTTCCTCACCTCGTGTTCTTTCTTCTCTTCTCATCTGCCAACAAGCGTCTGTCTTTCCTTGATCTCCCTCCTCCACTTTCGTTGTATCGTCAAGAAATAACCTTGCCCCTTTCGCAATGGCTCCAGTCACAGTGGAGCGCGTTGAGTCGCCTGTCACCATCAGGGCCTACTTGATGTGTGCCTTTGCCGCCTTTGCTGGTATCTTATTCGGTTACGATTCTGGTTACATTAACGGTGTCATGGGCACTTCCGTATTCAAACAAGAATTCGGAAAATACACTGGCATCACTGAGAAGAATCCAAATGGCTACAGCATTGCTAGTGGTACTCAATCGCTGATCGTTTCCATTCTCTCTGCCGGTACTTTCTTCGGTGCCCTTTTCGCAGGTGCTCTCGCGGACTGGATCGGTCGCCGAACCACTATCATTACCGGATGTGGCGTCTTTTCCGTCGGTGTCATCCTCCAGGTTGCCTCCACCTCCGTACCTCTCATCGTCGTTGGTCGCTTGATTGCAGGCGTGGGCGTAGGATTTGTTAGCGCAGTCAACATTCTCGTTCGTATCATGACATACTCGATGAAATCATTTGAAGGAAAACTGACAGTTCATTGCAGTACATGTCTGAGGTTGCTCCACGCAAGGTTCGTGGCGCAATCGTTAGCTGTTATCAGTTCGCAATCACCATTGGTCTCATGCTTGCGTCGATCGTCACCTATGCTTGCCGCAACTACTCGAATACCGGCGCCTACAGAATCCCAATCGCCATCCAGTTTGCCTGGGCCATCATTCTTGCCGTCGGGTTGTTCCTCCTTCCCGAGTCCCCTCGTTACTACGTCAAGAAGCAACAGCTCGACAGAGCTGCCAAGGCTCTCGGTCGCGTTCGCGGCCAGCCCGCCGATAGCGCCTACATCGTTGATGAGCTCGCTGAAATCCAAGCCAACTTCGAGTATGAGATGTCAGTCGGCCAAGTCAGCTGGATTGGCATGTTCTCTGGTGGCATTACCAACCGCAACTCGAACATTCGCAAGGTCTTTATTGGTGTCCTCCTTCAGATGATGCAACAGTGGACTGGTGTCAACTTCATTTTCTACTTCTCGACCACTTTCTTCGAGTCCATCGGTATCGACAATGCCTTCCTCATTTCCATGATCACCACCATTGTCAACGTTTGCTCTACTCCTCTGTCTTTCTGGACCATTGAGCGCTTCGGTCGTCGTCCCCTCCTGATCTACGGCGCCATTGGTATGTGTGTCTGCGAGTGGATCGTTGGTATCACTGGTACCGCTGATGCCGGCTCTCGCGCATCTCAGATCGTTCTCATCCTCTTCACCTGCATCTACATCTTCTTCTTCGCTTCTACCTGGGGTCCAACAGCTTGGGTCTCAATCGGAGAGATCTTCCCTCTTCCCATCCGTTCCAAAGGTGTTGCCATGTCTACTGCCTCTAACTGGTTCTGGTAAGCACTTTTAGCCTCTTCATCTGTTATCATGAGTACAAGCTAACGAAATGATACAGGAACTGCATCATTGCTGTCATCACTCCTTACCTTGTCGGAGAGAATGAAGCCAACCTCGGCCCTAAGGTCTTCTTCCTCTGGGGCTCCACTTGCGCAGTCTGTATCGTCTTCGCTTACTTCTTCGTGCCTGAGACCAAGGGATTGTCTCTTGAACAAGTTGACAAGATGATGTCTGAGGTCTCTGCACGTAATTCGGCAGGTTGGGTCCCACATGACACCTTCACTCAGGAAATGGGCAAGGACTCCTCTGCCATCGAGGAGATTGTTCATGAGTCCAAGGTGTAAGAAGTTTGTCTTAAGCCTCCTGCGAGGATGATTGTGTTTCTTGTTCCTACATTGTCAATAAGCTTCCCAAGTACCCTTTACATATGTGCTTTCATGAAAATTTTAGTGTCTTCCTAAAAACTTTTTGCACTCTCACGTGTATTGATTCGCGATGCCTCAGATGTCGCTCATCATGTCAAGAAGGCAGTGTCAGGGAGGGATGCGTTCATCTTCTGATATGCACAGACGCATTCTGCCCAGAAGAAGTCACGTTGAAATTCGACACCGAGGTCGTGACCGAAGAGAGATATCGTGAAGCCTCTTTTCCTTATCTGTGTCCTCTGCACTTGTTTGTCTTTTCCACGACTGTAAAAATGCGCAAAGTTTTCAAGAGACAAAAGCAATTCCCACACAACAACATACACAAAGGTCTATAAGTAGAATTTGGCATGGATGGTCGCAACCTTCAATACATTTTGCGTTATGTATCGATTCTTCTGTATTTTTTACAAATGGTGTATTCAAGCAGTCTATCTCTAGAAAGTAATGGCCTTTCGTGGGAGGCTCATGAATGATAGGTTTTCTCCAGTCTGGATGTGATCTTCCACGTCTGCCCGACTCGAGACTTCCTTCTCTGTTTTTATCGAGACATTGCTTCTGAATGCTTTCGTTTCCCCATGAGCCTGACAAAGCATAAAGGCGATGCTGTGAGTGCAAAGTATTCGTGTATGAAAAGTCGCACCTCAAAATTTAGGTAGCGTTTCGAGAGCAAGACGCAAGATGCGTGGTAAAGCTTCAGATTTGGTTTGTGGTAGAGTATGCCTTTGATGACTATTTCGACAGAAGGTAGGACCTTTGCCAGCTCGACGAATAACTCTTTTGCATCATACCAGTCAAGCTCTTCTGTAAAGCGAAGATCTGACGAAAGTTATTATTGGTAAAAGTGTGCATCCTTTTTCAGGACTTGCTGTTGCAGCAAACGCTTTTTCCTGTCTTCAAGATGCTGAGTGAGTTTCTTGATCTATCATGTCGATAAACTGTATGCTCTTCGTTCCCCAGATCATGCGGCGGCTTCTTGTTGAGCATATTGCAGGATCGTTGCCATGTTCGTTTCAACACACCTTCAAGATATCAGATGCGGGAGACTGTCCCTCGGCAGACCGCTGGAGCAGACGCAACGTCTTTGGCGGAGGTACTTCAAGAAAATCATGAGTCTTCACCTTTTGTGGCTCGCTGCTTGTCTCTTGAGACGGCTAACTCCATCGCATTAAACTTAGGCTCAATTTGCTTGCGTGAGAAATTGTAGCCTCGGAATGTCCGTTTGACTTGAGCGCGCGAGCTTCTGTGCTGACTTGCCAACCTTTCTGTCAGCAATACGAAGGCATGCATCTGGAGACTTGTTCGGCATGGTAACAAATGATATTTTTTACCCCTGACTCAGACTCAATGACTGAAATTCAGTCGCAATGCCAAATATTGAGGCCCTTTGAATTCGTAGCGACTTCGAGATTGGAGAGTCGGAGAGCCGGGGATTATGCAACGCAGAGTCTACTCGTACTGATGAGGGCATCGTGCGAGTCCAAGTAACCTCGATCCGCATTGTGTATCAGAACCACTTGGAGCCTTCTTCGATGGGATTTGGATAAAGCACAACAAAGGTCATGCGCGTGCAGTTCCAGGTAGAATCTAGCTGCATCTCTGACTTCCTCAGTCGATGCGACTGCGACAGTGTCCAGAAGGCCTCATCATAACTCGAGCTTGTCCAGGCTCCAGATCTCAAACTGTTGAACGTCCTCACGAGAAGCCAAGGTGACACGGTTCAGCCATTCAAGATTGCCTTCAGCATCTGGCATATGTACTGCCTTATCAAGCTTAATGACAACATCACCAATGCCACAGTATCTGACATTGTTATTGAAACATTTCCAGTACAACGGCTCGGTCCGAGTTCCATCAACCAGTCCAATGAGGTCGCTTTCTGCAAGTATTTTATCGCTGTTCGCATTCGCCAAGACTCTGACAGCGCGTAGTTTGAGGATGAAAGGTGCGAGCAGACTCATAACTTCGCCGGCATCTTTGTCCAGCGCAAAGCCGATTTGCTCCAGATTTGGACATTTGCTGACGAGTTCACCGATTTGTTGTCCTGAAAGTGGGAATTGATCAGGCAATAGCAGTTTTGTCAGACTTTGACCATGGTTTGCGGTCAAGGCACGTAGATATGCTTTACAAGTTAAAGAGGCCTGCTTTTCCTCAAAAGCTGTTGGGGTGGATCCTGTGACAGATGTCGCTGGCGTGGCGGCTGCAGTCTCGGGCGATTGATACTCCGACTTTGTGTTGTCGCGGTCACATAACCTGTTCCCAACCACATACAACTCTTCCAATCCAGTGAATTGAGAGAGGATTTTGGCATGTTCCATGGCTGGTTCGCTGATTCGATGCCTTTTGTAACTTTCGAAGTGTGTAGCATCTGGAATGTTTTTCCATGTTTCATCTACCCAGATGGTAGTGGGACGACCATAGATGCCTCCAAAGACGTCGAGGAAGTCTGCACCCTCAATACAGCCAGGTTCGAAGATCTCTGCCAGATCGCCGGTATTGGGTCCATAGAAGTTCTGAATACCAATGTGTTTTAACTTCAGCTTATATTTTGCTTCCAAGCATGGACCAAAGACCATTCTTAGGTTAACACTGGGTTCAGCCTCTTTCCGCATACGAGGACTCCAGTGGATGCGAAGATCTTCTAGCTGCTTAGCATGGAAGATCAGACCAGAGATGTCGTCTGGATAGCAGAGAGGGTCGATATCGCTCACACGTAAGCGACGAAGGTTTGGCATCGGTGGTATAACGACTATGGGACGAGGCGAACGGACTTGGGGAAAGCGTAGGGTGAGCGAGGTGAGTGTCGGTCGAGCAGCTAGTCCTTGGTAGATTGACTTGGTTGGCTTGGAGTCGAGGTCCCAGACGAGAGATCTCAGGTGAATCATTTTGTCCATTGCAGCGCGCAAAGCAATGCCGAGGAGGATTGTGCTGTCCGGTATTTTGCCTTTGCTGTATTCATCAATCCCAGATTCTGTCCAAGCTCCTGTCACCTTGAACTCTTTCACCAGTGGCGCCGAATTGCCAGAGGCAAGACCACTGAGGCCCATGACGAATGGACTGCCACTTCCATATCCTTCTGGTCTTCCGTCTACGTAGCGGGTTTCGGGGTAGGAGCGCAGGGTGACTCGTTCGTAAAGGACAGGGAGCGTCATGTAATACAATAATCGACAGGTTCGCGTCATGCGCGCTATGTCGCCGACATCCTCAACCTACCAGCCAGCGTTATTAGTCTGGATTGGATGTGCTCGTGTCCAACATACGGCTTACAAAAGATACTATTTGGGCAATCAAGCTGAGCGGAAGCGTCTGTCCTTTGTTGCTGGCACCATTGGGTGCAGTGAGCGGCACTGGAGAGGCATACAATACATGAGGAGGGATTTCCCGGCTCATGTGAGCCACGCTATCATGCGCCTTCATATCAAAAGTCGATGAAATACGGGCGCAAGACCAACATGACAGGACTGAAGGACTTATCGTTTTTTACGTAGAATCATAACCTCCGCCAAGCATGCATCATCGTCGAGCTCCTCGAAGCTTATTGGTAGGGCCAGTGTAAAAACGCCGACTCTTTTCGTGGACGGATGAAAAGGAATCCGAAAACGTTGCGCTCTGGTTGCGAGATTGGACTGTCCAAGACTCCAATGTGCAATAACTTCTCCTGATGACCGCAAAGAAACCTTATGCAACCCTATTCTTCCCCGGGAGAGAACCATCCGGACCTTCGAAGCAAGTTTTCTAGCGTGGTCGGTCATAGATTTTCAAGGGTCCCGTCCGTTCATCACGAACCATGCGGGCTGAAAGGACGCCGATGCCGACCGAGGGGCAATAAGTCGCATGCCTGGATTTTACCTGGTACCTGTCTATCCGCCGTGCAAAGTAGAGACAAAGACAATCTGGTCTCTTGGTTGAAGCTCATATTGGTCCTCGCCCTCGAGTTCCCAGTCCGCATCATTAATCAGAACAAGAATGCCCGGACGACTTTGCGATGTTGTTAGTCAAACGTAGATCATCATGACTGGAGAGCAAGACATACACAGATTCATCCAGAAGAAAGAGCTCTTTCTTATCATCCGTCATGAGGTTTTTGCATAGATATTTGATCAAGTAGGCGATGTTTGCTGGTCGGCCATCTTGATCTTGTGCTGGCAATGCGACTTTGTGATTTCGTTGGTTTGAGAACAGCAGTTCCAGGCCGCCACTGTGGTTGTGTCAGTCGTCGCATCAAATGCCAGCATTCATATACCATACGTGAATTCAACATCAATTTTGATTGTGTCTGCCATGTTGCTGACTTCTATATGTGAGGGTTGATGTCCAAGACCAGAAAGAGTGCTGCAAGAGCAAGGTGGTAGTCGCGCGTCGAAGCAAGCGAAACTTTTTTGCGACTTCCGTTCGAACAAAAAATAATACTCGTAGTCACCAAAAACAGCACCAACCACGCTCACTTGGGCACTAAATTGCTACACAATCAAGGATCATTGAGCGTTCTTATCATACAGAAAACAAAAATAAATCGCACATCTGGCGAACAGCCACTGACTGCGACACACCATATCTTGGAAGATGGCGTCCGCACGTCTAGAGTACATCGCCGCAGGAGGCAACAGACATCCATGCGCCGCCGACTGGACCGAGGAATTACTTGCCTACGGAAGTGGCCACAACATCGCCATCTGGAGATCCGAGAATGAACACCACCAAGGCGTAGAAACACTACTTGCAGCCCACACCGACATCGTCAACGCAGTAAAGTTATTCAGAGACCCAACATCAGGAAAACGGATCTTGATCAGTGGATCAGCTGATAAGACCATATGTGTTTGGATTGAGAAATCTAATGCTGAATTTGAATTGCTTAAGACTCTGACGGAACATACTGCTTCTATCAATGTTGTTGGTGTTTTGCCTGAGTCTGGAGTCTTCGCAACTGGAGCTGCTGATGCAACATTGAAGATCTGGAAGTTGCGTGCGAGTGAAGCAGCAGAGGTCGAAGTTGATCTCGTTCAGAGTATCACGCTTGCTCCTCGCTACTTCCCTCTAGCGATCGCACTGGCAAAGCTTCAAAGCGGTCAACTCATTATTGCCGTTGGTGGCACAATGGCGAACATCCAGGTCTACATGCAAGACAAAGACACTTTCTCGCTTGCGGCAAAGCTCACCGGACACGAAGCCTGGGTCCGAGCACTAGACTTTACTCGCGAGAGCTCCAAGCCTGACAGCGATTTCTTGCTCGCATCCGCTAGTCAAGACAAGTACATCCGTCTCTGGCGCTTCCATGCTGGCGAAGAGCTTCCCGAAGTGGCAGCTGCAGCAAGTGATCCAGCCATGACTGTTTTCGGCCGCTCGCTGTCCAACAAAGCCCACTGGATTGGAGAGGGAGAATCGAAACACTCAATCACCTTTGAAGCCTTGTTGATTGGACATGAAGACTGGATCTACACAGCTCGCTGGTTCACAAAATCTGCACAAGATGCAGCGCCACAACTTCTTACCGCATCAGCAGATAACTCCTTGGCTATGTGGGAGCGTGACGCCGATGGCTTCTGGACATGTGCAACCAGATTGGGCGAAATCAGTGCGCAAAAAGGATCAACCACTGCAACAGGAAGCACAGGAGGTTTCTGGATTGGTCTGTGGTCTCCTTCCGGCAACACAGTAGTCAGTCTAGGCAGGACAGGAAGTTGGCGAGCCTGGTCCTACAACACTGCGGAAGACCGTTGGTTGCGCGAGCTGGGTATTTCCGGGCATGTGCGTGCGGTCAAGGATGTCGCATGGTCGAATGATGGCACGCAACTCATGTCTACCAGCTCAGACCAGACGACAAGACTCTTTGCGCAATGGAAGCGCGACAACACAACCACATGGCACGAAATGGCGCGTCCTCAAATCCACGGTTACGACTTGAACTGTCTGTCTGCAATCGGCGCAACCCAATTTATCTCCGGAGCAGACGAAAAACTGCTCCGTGTATTCAACAAGCCCAAAGCAGTTTCCCAACTCCTCTCCAAACTCAGCGGTACAACCGAAGACGCAGAAGACATCGATCTTCCCGATGCAGCAAACATCCCCGTGCTAGGTCTCAGCAACAAAGCCATCAACGCCCTGACCCCAGAAGAAGAAGCCACCGCCGAACCCTCCGAAGAAGTCCAAATCACAAAATCGACACTTGATCTCTCACAACCGCCTTTTGAAGATCATCTCGCTCGCCACTCTCTCTTCCCCGAACTCGAAAAACTTTACGGGCATGGTTATGAGATCTCTTGCGTGGCAGCAAGTAATGATGGAAGTCTGATTGCTACAGCATGTCGCGCCAGTTCCATCGATCACGCAGTAATCAGACTCTACGAGACCAAAGAGTGGAGAGAGGTTAAACCGGCTTTAACTGCTCATTCTCTGACAGTCACATCTCTTGCTTTCTCGGCTGATGACAAGTATCTGCTTAGTGTGGGTCGCGATCGTCAATGGGCGTTATTCTCTCGCTCTGCACCCACTACCTACACCCTCGCAACGTCCAATCCCAAAGGCCACTCCAGAATGATCTTATCCTGTTCGTGGGCACCAGCTTCTGTGTCTAATATCTTTGCAACCGGTGGCAGAGATAAGAATGTCAAGATCTGGGCGATCGATCATTCATCTGCTTCCACAGAAACCGTGTCCGCAGACCTCAAACTCAGTATTCCTACCTCTGCTCCTGCCACCTCTGTAGCTTTCTACACCGGTACTGCAGCAACAGCAGAAACACTTATTCTAGCTGCAGGTACTGAAGATGGCAGTGTGACTATCTTCTGTATCAGCACTGGAGACTGGACGATCAAGCAAGAGGTCAAGATTGAAAAACACTTGCAGCCTTCTGGTGCCATTAATGCTTTGAGATGGAGACCTCAAGACAAGGCAGAGGGACGAGTAAAGCCGCAGTTGGCTGTTGCGAGCGAGGATCTTTCGGTCAGGTTATATGAACTTGATGGCTTAGTTGAGGCTTAGAAGCGTTACAGCTTTGTAGAGAACATCGAGCAGAGACTCAAATGGAGATTCTTGAATACTGAAAAGAGTCATGGTGAATCGAATGCTGATAGTACAAAAAATGTTGTTTTTGGTATAATGCATACGAAGAAAAGGGGGTATCAAGAGAAGAAGTGAAGGCTCAGACGAATAGAAAAGCGAAATCAAAAACGACAAGAATGAGCAAAACCCCGCCATGAGCATCCCAGAACATACAAGTCATGTCTTCATAATCATGCGCGAAACCCATTCGTAAACATTGCATAGCAATTTTTTTCATCGCAGGGAGAAGGCCGTTAAAAGTGGGCAGAGAAGCGTACAACAGAGACGTCTAAGTCTGCGTGTTGTTGACGTGCTCCCACTCAGGGTCAGCTGCAACATCAACGAGACCAGAGAACCATTTGCAGTCCATGACATCGGCTATAGTCCATCTCAAGTCTGGATCAGTGTTCAGGCAACCGTGCAGCAGGTCACAGATGTCTTCGCCGTCGACTTGACCGGCGGGTGAGGACATGACAAGATCCTTGTTCCAGTCACCAGCTTCGATGAGTTCGACCAACTTGAATTGAATAGTGTGCTGGAATGGACGTTTGCCTGTGACCATGGTGTAAACGCACACGCCAAGTGCCCAGATATCTGCCGAGTAGTCTTTGCGAGTGGAGCCACCCAGTAGTTCGGGAGCCAGATACTCAAGTGTACCTGCAGGCTCCTTGTTGTCTTCAGAGTCCAGTGACCGGATGCTATCAGTCATGCCAGATGCATCACCGTCAACAAAACTGGCCAGGCCAAAATCGCATAGCTTTAGATTGCCGCAATCGTCTTCGGGTCTTATCTGAATTAGGCAGTTCTCGAGCTTGACATCACGATGAACCAGTCTGACATCTGCGTGCATGTATCTCAATGCTGAGGCAAGCTGATGAGAGTACGTCTTTGCAAGATCAGGTTTCAAGCCCATCTGGCCGTTGTTGCGAAGCTCGTTGATGAGGTCGTACAAAGAGCCGCTCTCGACGAGATCCATTATGCAGAAAGTCGCGAAGTCCGTGATAAAACTGGTATGCAGTTGCAAGATGTGAGGATGGTTCAGATAGCGCCATATTCCGATCTCGTAATCGACAGCTTGTTGAGCCTTGTCATTCTCAGTCTCGCTGACATTGGGGACGGTCTTGCGCACAATCTTGACAGCAAGCTTTGTTCTCCGGCCGTCATTGTCCATACCAATGACCTCCTTGACAACGCTGAAGCCTCCCGAGCCAATTTGACGACCGACGACATACTCATTGTTGATACCGATGGATTGTCCTTCATCATCCGGCTTAGGCTCGGCAGTCTGAGAATTGCTGCCCCACCCACTAAGAAACTGAGCGGCTGGTGACATGGAGGAGCCAGAAAACCTGCTAGATCTGCGACTGGTGTTACGCAAACTCGCGGTGCGCGATAGAGTGGGCTTACGCGACATCATAGGCCAGGGTTCACTAGCCATACTCGGACTGGCAGCAGGAGAGGGACTCATGACGGCCGAGCCATTAAAGTAGGAGCCAGTGGGCGTATCGGGGCTTTTCAGCTGCTCGCTAAGCAGCGAAGCGGTCGAGGCCGATGTCAAAGAAGGCAATTGTGTGGCATCATGCGAATCGATTGTCTCCAGGCGTGGTGCAACCTCACTCTTCCTCGTTCGTCGTCGGATGGGTTCTCCTGTAAAAGGATTTATTCTGACAGGATCTTCGGGCGCAGCCGGAGCAGAGGCAGGTTCGTCAGACATGGTGGAGTCGCGGGTGCTGCGCCGGCGTGGTTGAGGAGGCCTCGAAGACAAAGGCTGATCGAGCGAGTGCAGGCGGCCGTCGTCGAGAGTTGCAAATTCTTTGAAGCTCACGGACGAGCCTCTGGTACGAGTTGAGTGTTGGTTTTCATCGGGAGCGGCCGGATTGTTGAGCAGCTCGGACTCTGAAAATTGAGAAGAAGCGATATGGTCGGCGTCTGAGGAAGCGGCGAAGGGGAATCGGTCCTGAGACGAGTTTGCGTGGTTGGTGTCGAGTCGTAGCTTTCGAAATTCGTGGGAAGGAGCTGGTGTGGCCATTGCCATGTGAAAGGCAGCCAGCAGAAGGGGTCTTTTTGCGCGCGACTCGGGGAAGCTACAGACGGATCGATGCTTGAGTTATAACTAGATCTTGCTCTTGACTCGGCTCCGGGCGCTGTGACAGAGATCTCACGCGTGTATAGTAGAGAACACGGACTGTCAGATCAGGCTATGAAGTCAGAAGATATTCACACGAGGCTTTCTCAGCGAAGTCGGCCTGCAGGGTAAATAAAGATGGCTAGAAGGTGGCATGGTTTGTAGGAGTCGCTAGCGGGAGCTAGCGGGACGAGGAAGTCATGTTCATTCACCCCGCATTCTTTTTACGTGAGCGAAACTGATGCTCTGATTGGTCTGGGCAAGATTGACAGAGGAGCGTCATCCAAGAGCGACTGTTGAAGAAAAGGCTGGTGCACCATGGACGTTGGTGTTGGTGTTGTTTCAAGGATCTGCGACGTCAGGAGGGTGCAGCAAAAGAGAAACAAGTCATGTGTCAGACATGATGGGCAGCCGAGTTGTTGGAGTCGGTCAGCAGCCAAGAAGGAAGTCGGTAAGCGGCCAAGATACGAGACGACCGAGATGAAGCTCGACAACGGTGGTGCAAACAATAGAGAATAGAGGGACTGTGACTTAGGCAGACAAACTGTGAGAGCGAGTGAGGTCAGGGAGAATTTCGAGGGTTGGCGGTAAATAATAATAGAATGGTTATCAGTCTATCAGCCAATGCAAAGCAATCATGGCCAGATTGGGCAGTCAAAGGGTCTGGAGGTTGAGCAGCGTCCGAGCTCTTCTGGCTTGCAGTGCTTGGGCTGCTTCTGCATCACGTCGTTGATCGAATGCGCGGTGACCAGCGCCCATTCAGCAGCAGCTGCCCATTTCTCAACCTCACGAGATAGACTCATCTTGTTATCGTATCCCACATCCCACGTCTCGACTGTCAGCCTCAGACCAGCCGCATGTTATAGCGTTCCGCGCCTCGCGACCCCTTCCCACGAGCAGTCTCGTCGCCGTCAACCAATCTTCCCTAGCCTTGCTGTTCGACAGGCCCAAGGGCCATGGCAGCTCTCAAGAACTTTTGCGCCAGCATCTTCTACTGCTGTACTAGCCGCAGCACTGTCGACTACGAAAATGTCCTGGCAGACAGCGAGCGTGAAGCCGTCACCGACTTGCTGAACTTCCTCGAAAACAGACAAGAGACCGACTTCTTCACCGGTGGTCCCCTCAATGCCCTAAGCACACTGGTCTACTCACACAACATCGACCTGCAACGAAGTGCCAGTTTGACCTTTGCCGAGATCACAGAGCGAGGTGCGTTGGAATCTTGTCAAAGCCATGCAAACCCTAATACTGATGTTTCTTGTTGCAGATGTGCGCGCTGTCGATAAGAACACCCTCGAGCCCATCCTATTCCTTCTTGAAAGTAGCGATATTGAGGTACAAAGAGCTGCTAGTGCCGCTCTGGGAAACCTCGCTGTTGATGGTACCTACCTTACGCCATGACAATTCATCTGTTGGTGTAACGACTAACACATGCTCATAGCACACAACAAGATCCTTATCGTTCAGCTTGGTGGCCTTCAACCGCTGATCAGACAGATGAACTCGACCAATGTCGAAGTGCAATGCAACGCCGTCGGTTGCATCACAAACTTGGCTACTCACGAAGACAACAAGGCAAAGATTGCTCGTTCAGGTGCTCTGGCTCCATTGACAAGGCTGGCAAAGTCAAAGGACATGCGTGTCCAACGGAATGCTACTGGCGCTCTCTTGAACATGACACATTCAGGTACGACTTGAATGCCGTACATAGACTTGCTACAAGAACTAATCCTCTGCAGATGACAACAGACAGCAGCTTGTCAACGCTGGCGCTATCCCCGTCCTCGTCCACCTGCTTACTTCACCTGATACTGACGTCCAGTACTACTGCACAACTGCTCTCAGTAACATCGCCGTCGACTCCTCAAACCGCAAGCGCCTTGCCCAGACCGAGCCCCGCCTTGTGCAGTCACTAGTCAACCTGATGGATGGCCATGCTCCCAAGGTACAATGTCAGGCAGCTCTTGCTTTGCGCAACCTTGCTTCGGACGAAAAGTACCAGCTCGAAATTGTGCGCAATGGTGGTCTTGGCCCTCTTCTTCGACTTCTTCAATCAGCCTTCCTGCCCCTTATCCTCTCAGCCGTTGCTTGCATTCGTAACATCTCGATTCACCCCATGAACGAGTCACCTATCATTGACGCCGGCTTCCTCAAGCCTCTGGTTCATCTGCTCGGCAGCACCGACAACGAAGAGATTCAATGTCATGCCATTTCCACCCTTCGCAACCTTGCCGCATCATCAGATCGCAACAAGCAACTCGTTTTGGAAGCTGGAGCCGTCCAAAAGTGCAAAGAGCTTGTCCTAGAAGTCCCGGTTAACGTCCAGAGCGAGATGACTGCTGCTATTGCCGTTCTCGCCCTCAGTGATGAGCTTAAGCCTCACTTGTTGAGCCTCGGTGTCTTCGATGTTTTGATTCCCCTGACTGAAAGCGAAAGTATCGAGGTTCAGGGTAACAGTGCTGCTGCTCTGGGTAACTTGTCAAGCAAGGGTAAGATCTCCCATAACACCGTTCCTCAACCTTGTGCTGACGTCTATCCAGTTGGTGACTACTCCATTTTCTTGACCAGTTGGAACTCTCCCTCCGGTGGTATCCATGGCTACCTGTCTCGTTTCCTCGCGTCTGGAGATCCAACCTTCCAACACATCGCCATCTGGACTCTGCTACAGCTTCTCGAAAGCAACGACACTCGCCTTGTCAGCACCATTAACTCTGCCGAAGATGTCATGCAGATGGTTCAAGACATTTCGGAGAGACAAGTTGAGAGCGACAACGAGGATGGCAGCGAAGATGGTGAAGCTGAAGTTGTCGGACTCGCTCGCCGCTGTCTAGAGATCTCTAGCGGTGACGGCAACAAGAAGGCCCTTTCTGAAGGATGATCCAAAACAGTCAAGCGACAGACTCGAGACGACAACACAACTTGAACACATGCATGGGCGTCAGTATTTTCTTTCTTCTCTTTCCTTGTCCATTTTCGATATACCAATTCGCACTCGCGCGCCACCTTGGACCGGCAAACAAGTATGATATCCTGGAGCAAAGCATTCGGACGGGTCTCCTTTTTTTTCCTCCTTTTCTTCACATAGCTTTAGTAATGAATAGCGTAGTCTTCTGTTTGGTATTGGAATCAATGAACAACAAAAATGAATATATCCAAGCTTCTCTCTGCATATGTCTAGATCACTATGAAGAAGAAGGTCTGCTTGCAGCTTGGCATCAAGGCCAAGTGAACAGCAAACACCAGACTTCCCATCCTCATGAGATTGGCATCCACTCATTGCAAACTTGCATCCAATCGACCCAGTACCCAGTGAATGAACGCATTGAACCTCTATGACCTTTATTGATCGACTACAAAATGCTCTCAAGCTCAAAAAGGTCGTTCATCGATAGTTGAAGGTAGCACCCTGTCTCAAGCAGATGAGGTCATGTCCGAACAAACGCCGGCGCAACTTTCGTAATCTAGAATTGTTCACCTTTCAAGCTGCAAGCACAACATATTCCAGCACACAATACACCATCACTTCAATCGTAATGGCAGTTCCACAATTCGCACTTCCTGGCGACTCGCTCGCAGCCACATCGACACACACTCCTAGCACAGGCTCCCACGTCTTTGCCTCTACAATCCACGCCAGTCTGGCAGGCCCCGTTGCCAGCGCCGCACCCTCCAAGAAAACACCTTCGCCTGCTGTCAGCGTATCCTCATCCACCTCGGCATCGACCTCATACACGGCTGCTCTGCCCTCAGTCAACGACATCATCCTCGGCCGCATCACACGCACAAATCCCCGCCAAGCCACACTCGACATCCTCGCCCTAGGCCCTACTGGTACCCTCGTGCTTCGCGAACCCTTTCCCGCCATAATCCGCCAACAAGACATTCGAGCCACCGAAATCGACAAAGTCAAAGTAAACGAGAGTTTCCGCGTTGGCGATATTGTGAGGGGAGTTGTCATCAGTCTTGGAGATGAAAGAAGTTACTTTGCAAGTACGGCGAAGAATGAGTTTGGTGTTGTTTTAGCGGTTAGTGAGGGTGGAGAGCAGATGGTGCCGGTTAGTTGGAAGGAGATGAGAGAGGTGCATGGTGGAAAGACGGAGTTGAGGAAGGTTGCTAAGCCTGTTTGAGTTGAAGAAGGATGGAAAAAGTCGCCAAACAACACAGACAAGGGCACAGAGGGATGGCTGATCTCTTGACCAGCAGAGGGTACTGCTGTAGGCCGCAGCGTCAGTCCGATATTCGAAGGACTTGTTAGGAGCACTGTCGCCAGGATAGGTTGACACCAGCACAGCTTCTACCAACAGCTGCCTAGACTCAAGGAGTGCACAGCACTTGCACCATCAACGATTCATCTAAAGGGCCGTTGCAGCATTGGTACTTGATGACGAATTATCAAAAAATGGATCTCAAGGCTTGGGGAATAGATACATGATTAGAGCTAGCATAGGTATTCTGCCTTAGCAAGCTATTAACACTCAATTCTGCTATATTAGCTGTTTCCTTAAATACTTTTAAGCATGCTATTATTATGCAAAGTGGAAGTCACAGCATATCACAAAGTCCAACGACTAAGCGGACAGCTCTTGGCACCTTCAAAGTTCAGGATATTTATGTGCACGGACCGCCGGCATCTCGGGCCGAAGCGCCGCGCTAACCAGCATGAATGCTCAAGGTCCTCACCATCAACCAGTTCATCGCATCAGGCTCTCGCTCTGTAGCCATGGCAATCCAGACGAGAGACCTGATCCTGATGTGACTACAAGACTCGTCCACGGCGATCCCCGCATGCGCTACTACCTGGACTACCTCAGCAACGAATTCAGTAAGTCTATACCTATCATCCTCGCTCTCTCTCTCTACCAATAGTACTAGCCATCAAACTAACTCAACTTATAGCCAGACACTATGGCCAACACTTCGGACACCCGCAGTTTATCTTCCTAGACCTGCCCGCCGGCTACTCGCTCTGGTGGAGACCTCGTGGCAACTCTATCAACAACAGATCGGGCGTTAGAAATGGCAACTTCTTCCTTTGGGGCCATCCTAATGGCCAATTCAGATCTGCGAGCAGTTTTGCTGATCATATCTTTAACACGATGGCGCTGAATAGCCCTATCTGCAACTGTGGTGTTTGCTAGGCGCAGCAATGTCGCTAAGCTTGTACGTATGCGCAGTCTATACACATAGATGCTTCGTGGCTAACGTGCTATACAGATCTTTAAGATCCAGTCAAGCAGCACTAGGCGGAGGTCAGTAGTAATGGAGGTGTTGATTATGACGATGATGCTGGTAGGACTATTCTCTCGGTTAATAAGTCGGGCTTCGGCAATAGGTTCGGCATCTATGCCCCTCCAATCCTACAACAATTGTCACAAAACCCTAAGACTTTCTCATTCTGGTTCTTCTAGTGTTCTATTGAGAATCTTCATCATGTTCTATGAGATTGATACTGATCATGGATTGCCTTATGATCCATTCAAGGTAAGCAGATTTGATCTCATTTAATCATCTCCCCAGTTGCTCTCCTTCTTCAATGGAACTTTTTAAGAATGCAAGAATGCTTTCAAGTTTGAGGATCGTCCAGAGAGACTGACAAATGTCTTGCTCTCTATGGAACTACACGTTTGACTGAAAAGAAATGTGCATTTTTATAACTGCATAGCTTCACGTTGATGATCTTGGGACACTGGTGAATATCAAAAGAGGGCAAGAGACAGTCAATCATCTCCATATCTCCCTGAGCACAAGAATGGTTCCCAGGAATAACTTCCTGCCTTTTCGCAGCACTGCATCTTCCCTATCATCTCTCATTGAAACAAAGCAAGCATAGAAAGGGGACAAAACCACAACCCTCCATATCCCTCATCCTCAACCCCTGTCCTTTACCAGTTCCACAATTTCCTTCCTCACAAGTCTCCAACCTGATATACTGACACCCACCACAAAGGCCTGCGTAGTCCCCCGCCCCATCGGCTGGATCTCCACGCGCTCCCCCTCGGGCCACGACAACCTCGCCCCCTACTCCCAATTCACAAACCTCACCTTCGACCCCCCTTACGTGCTCTTCTCTTCCAACCGCACCCCTTTGGGTCAACGCAAAGATACCGTCAACAACGCCATCGCGACCGGTTTCTTTGCCTGGAATCTCGCTACTTATGCTTTGAGAGAAGAAGTCAATGTAACAGCTCAGCAACTAGACCCGGGGGAGGATGAGTTTGTTGCTGCAGGGTTGGAGAAGGAGGAAGGTAGGGTGGTGGGAGTGAGTTTGGTGAAAGAGTCCCCGGTGAGGTTTGAGTGTGCTTTTGAGAGGGTTGTTGAGTTGCCTGGGAATCCGCCTATGGGGACGGTGAGTTGCTTCTGTCCTTTCCCTTCCCCCCCTTTCTTTCCCACCTTCACGTTTTGCAACCACTAACGGCAGTTGCAAAGGTCGACATCATATTCGGCCGCGTGCTCGCCGTCCATATCTCCGACTCCGTGCTCACCGACGGCAAAATCGACATCAAGAAAACAGAACCCATAGCTAGGTTAGGCTATTACGAATACGCGGTTGTGAGAGATACTTTCGAAATGAGAATTCCGGGGACAAATAAGGCGTTGTTGGATGGGCTTGAGGGATCCGCGAAAGCGAACAGGAAGCTGTAGAATGGGGAGGAGGAGAGTAAGAAGGCAGAGTTTGTGGGGCAGTTGAAGAGGAGTCAGAGTGCTGGTGCTGAGGCTGCCCTTGGAGGAGGGGAGTAAGAGGTATCGCTGGCGTGGTGGGAGAGGTATAGGTTTCAAGCTGAATAAGGTTTTGTGCTAAGGCAGCAAGGGGCTTATATTGTGTATCCCCAAACTCTTCTCAACGCTGCATTGTTCTGTGACTTTGGGCGAGAGCCTTTTCATTCTATGTCTGACTTCTGGGAAAGTCGAGTTCTACCATCCAAGGCAGTTGCTGCGTTTCCGTTTCCGCTCCCTCAATGGACGCATTAACAAACAACGTCTGCCCACCCTTCCGCAACTCAGGAGCAGCATAGCAATAACCCCTAGCTTCTATCTCACCCAACTTTTTCCTGATCTGCTCATCTTCATTCGCTTCAGCTCTCTCACCTTTCAACTTAGCCAAACTCTGTATGACCTCAGACTTCTCCCCATCAATCGCTGTCATATGAGTGATATAATTGGGTTTCTCCTGCCTCCAAGTGACAATCTTAGCACCCCAAGCTTCATGGACATGACCGAAACAATGAAGTCTCGGTTGAGCTTTCGCGACGGCAGAAAACAACATCTCACAACCTGCTCGTCGTTTTGTGTTGTTGTTGTAATCTAATACTCCTTTGGGCGGTGGGTGTGTGATTACTATATCCACATCCGGCGGAATGTCCCAAATATGCCCGGGATGTGGATCGTAAGGATATCCATAGTGGTTTTCCTCAGAGGGGACAAAGGAGCTAGCATATATCTTCAGGCGAACACCATTGGCCACTTCGATATCGTGAGTTCCTTCATCGAGGAGAACGATTCCCGAATTATCGCTAGTGCTTTCTGCATCAAAAAATGCTTTAGCTTCACCAAAATTGCCATAAGTGGTTTTTACAGTATTGTCTTGTTGGGGCAGAGGTAGGCTTGCTTCCGTCAATTTTTGGCGGTATAAAGTGTTGTCAAGCGTAAAATCGTGGTTTCCGCCTATCACTAGTTTGAGGGGTGCGTTGATGTTGTTTAGAAGTTTTATCGCTTGTTTGTATTCGGATAGTTCTGAATCTTGGGTTAGGTCGCCGCAGTGGATCACGACGTCGATAGGCTCGATTGGGTAGTGGGCGAGATCTTCACCATGGGTATCGGAAATGATGAAAAAGCGTACTCTGGCATATGATTGCATGTTGGAGACGTCAAAAAGTGGATGTTTGGAAAAGATTGATCGTGGCGATGGAAAGACGTCCTCAAAACTGTTGGCTCTTGCTAGGCAGCAGTGGGTCACCTGATGTTCTCTTCCTTCAACGCTGTGAGTCAATTTTGTATCGCTACCATACCGCTATGCAGGACAGAATCTTGACTTGAGCGTATCCATGGGACCCTCAAGAGGCTTCGCTCCAGATCAAGCATAGTGGATAGTAACACTTCTGAGAATTGCAACAAGTAATTTTGAAAGTGATGGATGGACGTGCAACAGTATTCCAGAGGCTACGAGGTTTCCAGGGGTTTCGAGGGTGAGGCGCCTCAACTTGTTTGGTTGTGTCCCATCCTCGATCTTCGCACGCCCATCTCTCCGTCACCACAACCTACAACGACCTTCGGCCTATGCTTTAGGTCGGCCATTATCTCCAGCCAGCCCTGATACTTCTCCCGCATTGTCTGCCAAGTCTCTTCCCACCAAACTCTTCTCTCTTCTCGCCATGCCTTTTCACGGTCCTTCACACTTTCCATACCTGCGGCACGACATGAACTGAGCACTCGGTCTGCTCCACATTGACGACCCTCCCAGTCAAGTTTTTTGCTCTTCTCAAATTCTGTCCATGAGGCCTTTTCATCACCAGCAACGATATTCAGCACCATCAGACTTTCATCTTTTGGTGCGATAGTCCAAGACTCTCCCGTAGGTTCAAAAAGTGGAGGGGATTTCGTCGGTCGAGTGATTTTTACCCGCAAGATCATGACTCCTGTCCTAATTCTTTCTGCAATGCTGACCGTGACCAGCCAATTCATGAGTTTAGCCAGCAAATCCTCGTCAGGTTCCTCGATGGCGAGTCCCATTCGTCGGACTAGGTGCAATCTGTCTCCGATGCCTTTGATGAAGAGACTCAGGAATTTGCAGGCAGAGGTGGTCAGACTTGTCACAAGGATATCCTGAATGAATTCGTTATTGCTTAAGAACAAGTCGAAGCCCTCATTGGCGATTTGATGGCAAGTGTTCAGAAGAGGATGGTCGCGTGCGGTTATGGCATGAATGTCCGGATACCTCAGCTTTCGAGCAGCTGGTGAAGGTCGCAAACAGAAGTCATGTATGTAGTATGCTGGACCACAGCGTGTAGTCTTGTGACGAGATGGACCGAGACCAATTAGAACATAGCTGTAGATTTGGTCTCGAATCTCTACCGGTAGAGATAAGAAAAGTGATTTGTTCATGCTTGCTGTGCAGTGATATAGAGGTCGCGACAGAAAATGAGACACAAGGTCAATAACCAGGAGGCAAACATCATATATCAGCTTCCTCAATTGACTTCCCTTCGTACCGAGAACTCAAATCACCTTATCATTCAGTCAGGTGCATTGTAACAATTGTCTTACATTGACGGATACAGCAATTCATCGACCGGCTGTCAGAAACAGACAGTCCAACGGTCCGATATCGATACATGGGGAAAAGTCGGGTGCAAATAAGTCAGCTTGGCTGACATTTTTTGAGCGAAGGATTGTTAAACGTCTAGCCAATTCCTAATGAGCTCAAAGGACGTTGCGACCATAAGAAAAACGGCAGCACCGCAAGTCGAGAATGGAACATCTGGAATCAATGGAATCACTGCTTGCCAACCAATGACAGGCTGCGAAAGATGATGAAGAGGCGTTTGGCAAAAGTGTAATGCCTATACGTAGCGATGAATAAGAAAAGCATGATGTCGACCACTCACAAGGAGACAAAACAAAAAATATTCTGATTTAGGAAAGTGAGTGTTGAAGTCTAATAGAGCTCTTGCCTCGGCTGTGCTGAGATGTTCCGTCCGGTCTCAGAATTTCACCACTCAACGCGTCAACCTGACCAACGCGTCTTCCTCAAACTTCGTGTCAGTTTGCCGCCGAGCACCTTCCACCCATCAGCTATACCATCAGCACTATCATAACTTTCTGAACATCCAAATCTTCTCTTCGCAATTAGAAGCCTCATCTCAAGCTCGCAAAATACTTCATCTCAATCAAGTTCATCACATACAGCATACACAATGGCCGAACAAACTCCTCGCATCAACGCCTCCTACTTGGAACAATTCACCCACCGTACAGTCCGCATCCTGGGCAAGGTCACACAACTCAGAGGCGAAGAAGCTACCATCGATGCTGGCGGTCAGATCAATGTACATCTCAATAGAGTATGTTTTGACTTTCTTCATTTTCTTTGACCATATCAAGCACCTGCTGTATTGATGATGACCATATTCTCTGCTTTGGGACCATTTCCCGCCCAAGCCACGTTATTCAGTCATGATTGTTCATCGCTTCCATTTGCTGACTACAGATACAGGAGTCACATCTTTCTGTCAACCACGCTGTTGAGATCATTGGCAAGGTGCAAGCAGACTTGAGCGTCCGCGTTCTTACCAGCACAGACTTTGGCGACAACATCGGTATGTCATGTCATTAAATCTTTCTTTCTTGCTTTCTCACCTGCAACTTCTTCGAGCAAAGGCTCATGTCTCTCACGACTTCATCGCACACTCACTATCTCACTCATCAGACACATCCCCTTTCTGTGCATCATCCTTTTCATATTTCCGTCTGCCCGTTGCCTTTCTTTTCTTGACAGGCCTTAGATATCTCACGCCTTCACTACCTTTTGAGACGTCCTGCGTCCACTTGATCCACTGCCTACCCTTGCAGAAAGAGCGAACACTTCAAATTCGATATTGCCAAGCTAACATAATCTTACCCACAGACTTCTCACTCGCAGATGCAGTGGTCGATGCAACACACCGCTACAACGAGATCTTCTACACGAAAGAGTGATTTCGCTCCCCTGAATGACAACAATTTTTCTACATTCCTACAATCAACGACAGCACTGAACGCTTCTGTAGACATGATTCGTGGACTGGAGCCAAGCATGTCCGGTGAGGAAGCGTGGACAAGCAGAAGCGCAACCTTAAATCCTCTGCACGAGAAAGAAGATGTGAAAGATCTGGGTGGTGGCACAAGCAGCAAGATAGCAACGTCTTTTGCTGCAAATGTGTAAGAGGCTGGAAAGCACACCAAGGGATGTTGCCATAGCTTGATGGTAGATAAGATACACATGCTTATGAAAAAATCAAAACACATAATATCCTTGGATCGCAAGTATCCTCTTTGCATGCAACGTGCTTGTGTCCGATCGGACCCCCTAGCTCACCATATGGTGTGAAGAACTTATCAGTGGCCATCACGAGAGTGTCATCAAACACAAGCTCAGCTTCCTCTCGGTGCGAGATTTGACGTGAAAACAAGGATTCAAGGCAAGATGGTAACGAAACAGTACTTTGAACGAGAAGAAAAAAACTCCAATATCCAGTTTTCCGATATATCTGCAATGCTTACAAGAGAAGTTAAAAAAAAAAAGCACCCATGCCCCGATCCCTTACTTCTTGCCCATCTTCTTCTTCAACCTCTTCTCAGCCCTAACATCCTTCTTCAATCTCGCATCCACCATCTTATACTTACCCTTGACGCCTCCAGGTCTTCCAGCACCACGATGCTTACCCTTACCCGCAACAACAACCTGCACAGGTTTCCTCTTCTTCGCCTTACCCGCCCTCGCCATGATCTTTGCAATGTTACTTGCTTTGTCTTTTTCGCTCACATCTTCTGACTCTGCAAGCAAGGCAGACTTCTTCTTTAGTTTTTCCAGCTTTTGTGCTGCGTGGAGTTGCTTTCTGGCTTTGGCTTCGCGGACCTTTTTGATGGGGCGCGCGTTAAAAGCACGCATTTTTTCCTTGATAGCGGCGGCTGCTTCTTTGGTGATGGGACGGTGGGGTTTGGAGTTTTTGGTTTCGTCGTCGAGGAACCAGTCGGGTAGGCCATCGACATCTCGTAGAGAATACTTGTTGAAGTTGTCGTCTAGAAGGTCGTGTTTTGTCTTTTGGCCGGTGGCGAGTTGGTGGGCTAGGGTCATTGCTTCGGCGGTGATGATGTCGATGTTTGGACGGCCGTTCTTTAGGGGGATGGCGTCTTCATCCTTGTCCCATTGGGATTGGGTGTTTTTGACTATTTCGAAGCCGCCGTCTGAGGAGTCGGTTTCGTATTCTGCTTCCTCTGCGGCGAGTTCGGCTGGTGTGGGGATCTTGGACTTTTTGGTCTTTTCTTTCTTTTCCTTGACGGGTTTCTCAATCCTTGTGGCTTTGGTCGTGGGCTTCTCGGCCTTGAGGGGTGGTGAGGCTGAGCTCGAGTCCATTTCGATACCGCTGTCGAGGTCCTTGACTGGCTCTTCTTCATCTTCGAGACCTTCGAGTCCGTCAATGTCTTTGAACAAGTCCTGGTCGAAGAAGTTGGCAGCGCGTCGTGTGAGACCATTTGCAGGAGCGGCAGAGTTGTCGAGATCAGTGACGAGTTGACCATTTTCCTCCTCTTCGTCAGAGTCGCTGTCGTACTCGATGGCAGGACCGTCGTCATCGCTGTCTGCTTCTTCGTCGTTTGAGAAGCCTTCGAATTCGCCCTCTTCATTGCGTTCCTTTCTGGCCTTCTTGGCTCGCATTTTGGCATCTCTTGCTTCGCGCTTTTCCTGGTATTGGTTGTACATCATGTCCAACTCGCCTTCAAGACCATCGCCAAGCTCGTCATCGGTGAACTCGAGATCGAACTCGTCATTTTTCTTCTCGGTGACGGGAATGACTTGCATCTTGCCCTTCTGCAGCTTTCCAGTGAGACCAGCCTTGTCGACAGCCTTGAGCTGGAACATGGCATCCTCACCGTTAGGACCAGCTTGCTCCATACCGATTTCCATGGGTGTAGTCATGTTCATCTGTAGACGAACGATCTCTTTTTGCTTCTTTTCGTTTTCCTTGCGACGGAGCTTTCTCTTGTCTTTGCTCTGCATGTCCTTCATCTTTTGCAACTCTTCTTGGAGCTTCATCTCCTCGTCCATGCTCTCGACTTCGGCGGCTTCTTCGTCGTCTGCTTCAGCGTCCTTCTTCTCGGCATCGGTAGCTTTCTTGTGATTGGTGCTCTTTGTAGTAAAGCCAAAGCGTTCGCGGACTTGAAGACGCCATTTCAACAAGAGACGGAATTCCTTCTTGCCGAGAACTTTCAGATCGTTACAGCAGATACGGACTTCTTCTGTGGTTTCGGGGAGCTTGTCGATAGTAGCAAGAGCAATATCGCCGTTTCCAGATTGGTTGAAGGTGAGTTTGTTCATACCACCAAGAATGGCGATAGGATCGGTTGTCTGGATGAACTCGCTGACGGGGACTTCGTGGTATTGGGTCCAGTCACCCTCGTCATAACCTTCTCTCTTTCTCTTCTTGACTTCGGGGTTGAAGACCTTGGCCTCATTGTTAGGAACAGCATCCTTGACTTCAGCAAAAGCGTATTGAGGGTCGAGGAAACGGGGATCGAGGTTCTTGGGGGCCTTGAAGCCACGGCAGACGTAGAAAGTTTCGGCAGAGACGTTACGCGAAGACGGGGGTTTTGTCTGCTCGACCTTGTCGAAGAGTTGCTTGAAAGTCCACTCGAGCTTTGCGCTATCCTTGGAACGGAAGACCTTTGTGACGAAGTTTCCACCAGGGCCGAGGAAGTCGCATGCGAGACGCAGAGAGTGCAAGACCAGCTCGTTCTGACTGAAGGCATCCTGAACCCAGGCGGTACCGACGTTGGGAGCACCGTCGTGGATAACAGTGTCGGCCTTCCAAGTTTTGAGATGTCCACGGATGATAGCGCGAGTCTTGTCGGTAGTAATATCGCCCTGGAAAGTGATTGTCTTGGGAACAGGCTTGATGGGGGCCAGATCAACACCAATGATCAAGGACTTGATGGGCATGGTCTCTGCGGCGACCTGAAGCCAACCACCAGGAGCAGCGCACAAATCGATCAGACATCTTGACTTTTGCAGAAAACCGTACTTCTTGTTGAGCTGGACGAGCTTGAAGGCGGCACGCGAGCGGTAACCCTTCTCTTTGGCGAGGTAGTAGTATTTGTCCAAACGGCCCTTGCCGTGCTAGAGAGAATGCGTCAGTGGGACAGTGGGACAGTAGCAGAATCAGAATGCGCACCTTCTTCTCGATGGCCATGGCTGCTTATTGAGTATCAGCAGACGGCGCAAGACGAAAAAGAGCGTCTCGTTGCGAGAAAAAGTCTCTAGGAATTATTGGGGAACTTGAATCTTTCGCCGCTAGCGGGCGGAGGCAGGGCTGGAATCTCCGTCCTCCAGTGTTCACCGCCTTCGTTGGTCCACCGCCTTTGGAGCGCGGGCGCGAGTCAGAATTCTGCCAATGACGATCGTTACTGTCAGATGTTGGCAGTCAGTTGATGGCTGGGGGGTTAGTGCGATTCGACTTGATAATTCCCTCATGTCGCCATAACATAGTCTTCTTCCATAGCTACACGTATTCGAGCTCGTTTACACACTCGTCGCCGCCATGGGTCCTCGGCGGAAGAAGAACAAGCAATCTACCCCTCAGGACGACCCCGACAGCACCCAGTCTGATAACACTCTTCCGCACAAGGTCCCACCACTATCAACCACCCAGAACGACAATCAACACCAGTGCGACACCGATACACCCGACCCTGATGTAACCCAGCCGTCTAGTGCTTCAGCCTCACCATCAACATCCATCCCTACACCAGACAAGCGAGGCAGCTGGTACAAGGGCGCTCCATGGCGCTCCAAAGCCAACCCCGTCGCTCAAACCACCAATGAAAACATATCCGTGGCTGGAGGTACTACCAACGAGTCTCTCGCCAATAGTCCAAAATCAGGTCCTCGTTTTGTCCATCCTTCATTGCGACGCAGTTCCAAGTCGATTCCCACAATCTCATCAGACTCTATCAATGCCACAGGCAGCAACGCCAAACCCGACAAGCCTGCCTTTTTCTCCGACAACATCAGGAAATCAAGTGTCGATTTTAAGAAATCTCCCATCAAGGAACAGGAAGATGATGACCCCACCAAGACCGAGATGAAGCCAGACGAGCGTGTTCAGGAAGGGGACATCAAGACGGATGATGCACAAGTCGGTGCTGCAGCTACTACTTCTTCCTCCACCGATCTCAAACCTCTTCAACCCGAAGCTGCTATTCAAGAGACGCCACAAGACGCACCAGAAGCCCCATTACCTCCAGAGCCCTCCCAAGATGCTCCCTCTGGTTGGTTTGGAGGATGGTGGTCGCGCCCCGATGGTTACACTGATCACTCTAGAATGCTGAAAGCCCAAGACGACCGCAAAGAAGCCTCAAGCACTCCTCTACCCTCGACACCAGAACAAAAGCCTGATCAAGGCACGAGCTTGAATGTCGAGCCCATCAACCTGAACGATACAATGCGCTCCGTCCGTAGTGTGGGTACCACTGCATCATCGCGCAGTTGGTTTGGCTTGTGGAGCAATGCTCAGAATCAGCAGCAGGCCGATCAGCAGACAGTCACCACTCCTTCAAAAGATGCTTCGCCTGATCGACCCATCCTCGCCGAAGATTCTACCAAGACAACCGATACCCCGACAAAACAGCCAGCAGCGCCTGAGATCAAGCAAGGAGAAGAGACACCACAGAACAAGTCGTCAGGCTGGGCTTTCTGGTCGCGAGCTCAAGGGAAAGATGAAAGTGAGACACCCAATGGTACGCAACGGCAGGTCGGAGAACTTGCTGTTGCCGACACACCCTCACAATCTCACCCCGAAGCTGCCCAATTCAACGAGCAGCGCCAACAAAAGGCAAAATCAACCAAGTCCAGTCTCCCAACCAAGAACGGCAGCTCGACATCACTAGCATCTACCAGCCAGCCTCAGGTCACTCCAAAAGAAGCCGTCAAAGCATCCGACACAGCCAAAGCCATCACTGATGCCAAAGCTGCAAAACCCCAAGCCCGTCCTAATCTTGTGATACCCAGCTTTGATGAGAGCTATTCTCCTGAGTACATACCCTCGTACCGGGAACGGCTCACCACCTATGTCGCCTCTACTCTTCGTCTGATCGACGCACCAACCGCTCCAAAGCACGTCTCCATCACACCCGCTCCCCCAAAGATCAAGAACGCAATCGCTATCGGTGTGCATGGCTATTTCCCTGCCCCACTGATCCAGAAGGTCCTCGGTCAACCTACGGGAACCTCGATTCGTTTTGCCAACTACGCTTCAGCTGCCATCCGCGACTGGGTACAATTGCACCAACCTGACACACCTTGTGAGATCGAGACGGTCGCTCTGGAAGGCGAAGGCTTCATTGCCGACCGCGTGGCTACCCTGTGGAAACTCATGCTCAACTGGCTATCACACCTTCGTCAAGCTGATCTCATTCTCGTCGCCTGCCATTCCCAAGGCGTGCCTGTTGCCATCATGCTTGTTCACAAACTTCTCCAACTTGGCTGCCTTTCTCCTCATGCCAAGATTGGCATTTGCGCAATGGCAGGCGTAAATCTAGGTCCCTTTGCGGACTACAAAAGCAGATGGTTGGGTGCAGGCGCTGCAGCTGAGCTGTTTGAGTTTAGCAGACAAGACAGTCGAGTCAGCACAGAGTACAAAGCTGCTCTTGATGGCGTTCTGAGGCATGGTGTGAGGATAACTAATTGTGGTAGTATCGACGATCAATTAGTCTCTCTCGAAGTAAGTCTCGTTTCGATCTGCACAACTCTATCCTTTTGCTAACCTTATGGACAGTCCTCGACATTCACGACCCTCACGCACCCCTACGTCTACCGCGCCGTCTTCGTCGACGGCCGCCTGCACGCCCCCGACTTCCTTTCCCATCTCGTCGCCTTCGCCCTCAAGCTCCGCAACCTAGGCGTCTCCGACCACGGCCTCATCCGCGAACTCTCCCTTCCTCTAGCAGGCTCTCTCTACGGCGGCGAAGGTCACTCGCGCATCTACGACGATCCGGCAGTCTACACTCTCGCCCTCCGCTTCTGTCTCGAAACCACCGACTTGCCTTCCTCAACCCATATTTCCCCTGACGCCTCAACCCTGCGCTCCTCCCGAGCCGGCCCGCCCGAATCCCTACGCGCCGCCAACTCTCTCCGCCGCGGCAGTGTTTCTGCCTCGTCAATCTCTGGCATCCTCCCTTTGTTTGCTGACTTTGAAGTCCCTGCTAGCGGAAGTAATGCTAATCCTTATTTCTTGCCTTGGGCTTTGAGAGGTATTCTCGAGGAAGAAATCGTCAAGGGAGAAAACATGAAAGAGGAGGTCAAAGAATTGGTGGCTGAGTTTGAGGAGTGGAGGCCGCAGAGTAAAGTTCTTAAGGATGTGAGGTTCAGACTCGAGGGTGTGAGGAGTAAACTATAAGGGAAGAAAGAAGGAGGAGAAGAGAGATTCTGACGCTTTGCATGACGAGAAATGATGGATGGGCTTTGGTATGGTATGGTAGGGAATGGTAATGGCTTTGGGCAAGGCATAGACTTTAGCGATGGCGATTCTGTTATTTTCTTTCTTGACTTCCTTTTTGCTTGTCAATTGGGGGAGCAGCATAAATCAAGACTTTTTTCGATACATGAAATAGCATACAAGACACTTTCGATCACACAAACGTTTCGCACACTTCTCATGTTCAAGGAGACGGTCTTGCTCTTGTGAATGCACTGGAGAAATGTTTGAAGATGTTTGCGGATTCATTAATTCGATGCTCTTGATAATTCATGCTTCTTTGTTCTAATGTATGCTTGTTCGTGTAATCATGCTTCTTTGCCTTTTCCATTGCCCCGATGTCCTGTTATCCATTTGACTCTCGATTCTTGTTGTAGTGTTTTGTATGCTTTTATGCAGTAACCTCTATCTTTCTCTTTGACCGTTCAATGCACCGCCGACTCCAGTAACGCGACCCAGACTCCGAAAATGTGCAGAACAAAAACAAAAGAAAAGAAGGAAATTTGTAGTGCAGTCGTAGAAAGAAGATGTAAAGGTACCGGAGAACTGAGTCCATTCTCAAGCTCCACCGAGATAAGCACGGCGCTGCTCATCGGTCATGTTGTTGTAGTCGAGGCCCATCAATGCATAGAAAGTCGTGGGAGAAACAGGAGGACAGCTGTGCCAGGCGAAACCCTCTGAATCGTATGTTACAATGTCGTTCTCGGCGATTCTAGCCCAGGCGGCAGAGCGCTCGTCAGCATAGGGATTGGCTGGAGGTAAAGTGAGGATGGGAGACTCTTCGTCTATGGAAGCGATGGGGGAGGGTGAGGGACTGGGAGTGTCAAAGTCAGCATTGATCGAAGTGGTCGAAGTGTTAGCGATTGGAAACATACAGGCGTCCATCATGCCAATGTCAAAGCCGGAGTTGTCATTGCCGAGATTGCGGAGCATCGGGTCGAGCTTGAAGTCATTGTCAGGAGCTTCAACTTCCATGTTGTCATCGTTGCTTCCATAGATGTTGAAGAAAGTTGAGCCATCGTCGATTGAGGTCTCGCGAGTGAACCATTCGTGGCAGAGATCACAACCGCAGTAAGGGCTCACTGGGAAGCCATGCACAAAGTGATTGTGTTCCATCAACTCGTTACCTTTAGGGAAAGTCAAATTGCAAGAGGCACAAAGGCAAGGTCCCTCTGGACCGGAAGTGGTGATGCGGATGCGGTCAACGTCTGGAAGAGGGGTGTGTTGGGCGAGAGGAATAGCATCTTCAGCGGCTGTCGAAGGTGAAGGAGGGTCGTCGAGAATATGGGTCTTCTTGTTGTTCTTCTTAGGGTTGTTCGGGGTTCCATTGCCTGGAGACTGACCAATGTACTTCACGCCGCGCCTTTTCGTGACCTTCACTTCAACCTTGTGGACGTCGTGGCAATGACGTGTCAAACCCCAAGGACGAGCAAAGCGCTTGTGGCAGGTCTCGCCTTTCTCGCTGACGTAGGTGCACAAGTAATCTCTCACCCCGGTGTGTGTAAGCATGTGCTCTTCAAGGTTCGAAGCACAGGCGGAAATGCGACCGCAGACGGGGCAAACGAATTCTTTCGTCTGTTTGTTTTGGGTGCCGCGTTTGGCCTTGCGAGCTTTCTTGCCGGACTTGGTAGGGGTCTTGGGAATTTGGACTTCAGGCGTTGCTGCAGGTGGGATCGAGGCAGGCGTTGGGTAGTTCAGAGAGGTCTGCTGGGGCTGGGGCATAGGGGAGCTAAGAAGAGGCCATGAGGTTGTAGTTTGCGCAAAAGGGCTAGGTCCGGTGAAGTTTGTACAGGGACCAGGAGTTTGGGCAGCGTAGTCGTAGTTGAGGTATCCAGGAGTCTGGCCGAAGACGCCATCAGGTGAGTGGTACATGAGCTCATGACCAGCCGAGTCGACGAACGAGTTGACTTGAGCAGAGGGGTCAGACGTGAAGAAAGGATCATACGCGAGTGATCCAGACTGAAAGTCTGTCTCAAGGAGTGAGTGCTGGATGTTGTGCTCGTCCATGTCGTCAAAGATGACTGTGTTCAGGAGAGTATCGGGGACCGAGTCACCCATTGGGACATCCTCGTTCGAGGCGAGATTGTCCTGCATGGAATCGTCCAGGAATTGGTGTGGAGTGGTGCTTAGAAACGTCTTGTGGTGTATGTTTGTGTTGTTGTGTTGTGCAGGAAGGAAAACTGAGATGAACACGAAGGGTGGTTATGTATGAAAACTGGATGAGCAGCGCCATGGCTAGGAAATCGTGTTGCTGCTGCCCGTGTGTGCCAATGCTCATACTGGCGGCGTTGTTTGTGAGAATGGAATACTGAAAGGCATACTGCAACTCGATACGCGATGAACAAAGCCATTGTTGACCTCGAACGATCATCTCTTTGTGTCAAATTTCTTTGTGCTGGGGCTTTGTTACCATGTCACTGCGAAAGTTCGCGTCGTTACCTTTGACTGCGTGATATGCGAGTTCTGCAGCGTTCAGAAGGGCGTCTGATTTTTGTTTTCTTCTCTTGTTGTTTTTGCGATTTTTTGGCGTCTAAGGTGTATCTTGTGACTCGACAATGTGATGAATGGAGCGAAAAACAGGTCTATTGTACAGAAACAAAGGAGAACAGGGACTTTTTTTGGTCAGATGTTTCAGATGTCCAGACAATGTTCAGTGCTGGCGGGGGAGCTTCATTCCAGTGGTGGTGCCGGCACGAACAAGCTTAGCACCTCTTCTTCTCTGGGTCTGGCGGAATGTGCGGTGTTCGGCTCTTGTCTGCCACAAGACACCGATCTCTTTGCCCTGAAGGTCGTAGTGAGAGTAGGGTTTGAGCTTCAGAGAAGCTCGCTGTTGGGCCGTCAAGGCGGCGCGGGTCTGCTGGATAGTCTGATGGTGTGCGTCAATCTCTGCCATAGACGCGCCTTTGACCGAGAAGGTCGAAGTGGAAGAGGAAGTGCTGGGAGTTGAGGTAGACTCCGAGGCGCTGTTGTCATCGACAGTAACAGAAGCTTGACCGCTTGAGCCAGAAGATTCCACATCAGCTGTCGACTGCTCTGCGAGATCAACAGCTTTCTGTTCAGTGTCATTGTCCTTCATCTCGTCCCCAAGGCTAGGCGACTCCCAGTCCGGATCTGCCATGTGGAGAAGAATCAGGGCAGCTTCATCTTGTTCCTTCTGGTTGAAAATTGATGGCGCCATTGTGCTGATTGATTTAGTATCGAAAAGCGCGGTAACACTCATGCACGTACAATTTTCTGATGTGGTCGCGATGAGAAAGAGATTGGAAAGGAAAGCGAGAGTGAACGTGAATCGGAAGGTAGACGTGAAGCTGAGCGAATTGGAAAGAGTGAACAAAACAACGCATTAAACTCCGTGCTGATTATTGACAACCACAACCACTCAACTCGTCAGGCTCAACAGAGCAATCTTCGTTGTCTCGTGCAACGCTTCTCTTACGTTCTCACCTACCTCCGAGACAACTCGCTACCTTCATCACGACAAAGCGCCAACTCAGACTAAGGTCCGAATTCGAGGCCATGACTTATCATCTTCGAGGCTTTACCTAACCATATCGCTTCGAGTCCTGTGCCTCGCCCTGGCGGGTTATCTCCTGAATCCGGCCACGCAGCAAGCTCTCATGGCATCGCTATGTAGATACAACCACTCTGATGAGATTCTTCTGGCAAAGTCCAACGTGTCCGGCAAAATTGTCATCTGGCTCATGCATCAAGAAGGATAGAAGACGAGCTGACGTTCAGATGGAGACGAGAAGAGGTGGGTGTCATGGTATTGAAGATACCGCGTAGATTGCAGCACGTTGGTGAGGAGCCAATCGCGACGCATCGATTGCTTCTCATGATGATTATGATCTTATCTCTACGTACCAAAGGAGGCACTCCGTCTGTCCGCAAAAGTCATGTTAAATCAGGGCAAGCTGCCGTCTAGTTTCGATGTCGCTCCTGCAGCTTTATGTCGCTACTTGTCAAGACAATGACATCCGAAACAAATTCATCACACCGCCCTTCCGGCTTCCTTGCGCTCCCTGCTGAGTTGCGCAATACCATCTATACGCTTCTACTTACGGTTCCTGCTCATGTGAAACAATCGCGTCGCATTGCAACACGAGGACTATGCTCGGACTATGTTCTACCGCCGCTTGACCTATGTCCAGCAGTTTTGCGAACCTGCCGGCAGATTCACAACGAAGCAGTTAGCATCCTCTACGGCGCCAATCAATTCGCATCCCATCCATCACTGCTTACTGCATTACCATACCTCATGACCCCACGCCAACCAATCACCGAAGGCCCAGGCAGATGGAAAATCAAGCGTTGGTATATCTATATCAGACTTGATGTAGATGCTAGGTTCACTGCAGAGCAGCTCGAACAAGCATTTTCCGGTGCTGAAGAGCTTGAGATAGAATACTTTCAGCCAGCATATGGATACGGCGACAGTAGCACTCTCAAGCTGTTTGAAGGCATCAGAGGCATTGGTCGCGCGAAGGTCATTGGTGGTAGTGGCTGTGATCCCGAGTACGCTAGAGCTCTCGAAGGAATGCTCATGAGTCCTTCAGACGTTGTTGTTCAATCCTGAAGGCCATATCCAGCAAACGTCGACCTTGCAGTAGCGAAAAGCACGAGTCACAACTCGCGATGGTTTGAAGCGATACTACCCTACACAGTACATCGGCAAGATTTGGCCGTACTCCTGTCCAATGATTGCTTTTTCAATAAGATCGCGACCTATTGTCTGGACCTGCGAATACGAAGAGCCCAACTTCTCACGTTCACGGTTCACCTCTTGAAACGACTCCTGATTTTCGGAGGAGTTAGATAATGACCTCATCACACAACGCCCTCGCTTGGCAGCTTTACCCCTCCACAGGCTACAGTAGAACTCCTCCCACCTGCTGCAACGAGCGCCAAAATCAAGGCACCCAAGTCGGGCTCACAGAGGTATCAAATCACACTAGACAAATGCTCTATTATGTCGACCAAAAACGGACAAGTTGGCTGACGCGTCTACCCAGCCCCATACATCCTACAAAAAGAGTTCTGCTGCGATTCATCCGATTCAGATGTCAAAAGTATCTTTTGAGATCATCGTTCCAAACCAATTGAACACCATTTCCGACGCCCTGAAGATTTAGCCTTCTGTGGGGTGCGCTTCAAGTTTCCCGTGCACCAAAACTTGAAAGTGACATCAATTTTGTCTTGTCCCTTGTTTACAAGTTCCAAGTCGGATTGGGCGGACTTGGCTCTCATTCTGTTGATCTGGTCCTTGAAAAGACCATGAATCTGAGAGTTAGATTTCGAACGTGCACGAGCTACCCCACAGAAAGGATGGGCTCAGGAGGTCTGGAAGCTGCGAGTTCCCAATGATATCAGGGTCCACGGAGAGCTGGGTTGCTGTACCTCCAATTTAGCATCGAACTTTGAGGTCATGTTGCGCGATGAGCTCGGCGGCTACAACCTTGCCACTGTTCCCGCGGCGCCGCCATCGTTTGTCATGCGCAACGGTTGCTTTACAAGCTGCATGATCCGCGGACAGCCAAGAACTAGCCAACTCAGCCAAGTCAAGCTCTCGATCAAGGAAAATCAGATATAAACCCCTCTTCTGCCTGCGAGTAAGTGAGACGACAGAGCATTCGTTGATCTAATCTGCACCAAAACCTTTCCTTTCCTGCCCATCTTCAATATGCGCTTCCAAAAGATTGCTCCTTTCGCTCTTGCAGCAGCTGCTGTCTCAGCACAGAACACCACAGGAGGTGGTAACCTCACCACTGGTGGAAACATCACCTCCATGACCAATGGCACTGTTCCGTTGGCCAACCAGCAGCTCAACTCGTTCTGGACTCTCCTTCAGCAGTTTGGCTTGTTGGGTACTTACAGCAACATGAAGAACATCACCCTGCTCGCACCTAGCAACGAGGCTTTGGCTCGTTTGAACACTTCCGGCGTTGCCATCACCTCTGAACTTGTTCAGGCATTGGTCGACTACCACACTCTCAATGGCACTATCATGTCCTCGGAGCTCAGCAACGTCACATCTCTCTTCCCTCACACTCACTTGACCAACCCCACCTACTCCAATGTCACCGGAGGACAGGTCGTCGAGGCCCTGATGGTCAACAAGACAGCCTACTTCTTCAGTGGACTTAAGAACAACGTCTCGGTCACCACCGCAAACCTGAACTTCACTGGCGGTGTCATTCACATCGTCGATGGCACTCTTACTATCCCGGGAAACCTTACCTCTACCCTCACCAACTCCAACCTTACCGCACTTGCTGGTGCAGCTCAGGAGCTGAACATGACATCCACTTTGGGTCGTCTCCACGATGTCACAATCTTTGCTCCTAACAACGATGCATTCCAAGCTGTTGGCGATGCTCTGGCAAACGCCTCCATGTCTATGCTCAGCAACATTCTGAGCTACCACGTTGTGAACAACACCGTTCTTTACAGCTCTGACATCAAGAACGGTACCACTTCCGTGTCCACCCTCACCGGTCACAACATCACCCTCCAGAACATCAACGGCAGCTTGTACGTCAACAGCGCCAAGGTTGTCACTCCTGACGTCCTGTTCGGCAATGGTGTCATTCAAGTCATCGATGAAGTGCTTAACCCCAACAACACTGTCGCCCACAACTCTTCCATGACTGCCACTTCCAAGTCAAGCACTTCTCAGGCTTTCGCTGGCGTCACCACCAAGGCTTCCAACGTACCCTTCACCTCTGGCCAGGCCACACCCACTACATCGAACGCTGCCCAGAAGAGTGCCACCACTGGAGCTCTCAGCTCGTCGACCGGTGCCGCCAATGCTTTCGCAACTGGCGCTATCGGCGCTGCTGCCTTGTTCGGTGGTATTGGCGCCGCTTTCGCCAACTTCTAAAAAGGTGTTTGATTGAGTGCAACAAGTCGTCAGACTTTGCTGTCAGGACTGATTTTTCACGTGATTTGGGCTTGTTATTGAATAACGACTATACTCTATAATACAAAGCAAATTGTTTACGCCATTCGATGATAATCATCACCTATCCTCCACTTTCTGTCCTTTAGCTCTGAACCAGTATCATTACATTCTGCTACATGCGATCGCGATCAAATGCCATCGCTATATCAAATATATCTAACCTAGATTGTAGTCGAGCGCGGATAGCGGCGGAACATCGGATTTTCGGAAAACCAGAGTTCTCAACATATATAAGCATTGCAACATCATGTCCATCTATACACGGCGGCAATTTGACGCGCGGAATATTGCGTAGATCCACGTTCGCTTGCGCAATAGTTCGTTGTGTCCGCGGATATTGAAGTCGCTGAACCTTGTTCTGGCGCAAACGTGGGTTCTCTATAATACGACGAATGCGAAGGAGGATGACGGCGGTTTGTCATTTAGCATCGAGTTGTCCTATTCATGGCTTCTTAAAATTGCACTATTGAGTATTCCAGTGTCCTCAGTGCTTAGAAAACTAGTTGTTGTACTTGAGCTCCATTTGCTGACCCGCAATCGAATACCCACACTTCTCATAGAACTTGATATTCTTCTCGCTACAATTCAAGATCAGCTTTCCCACACCAAGATCTTTGGCAACCGCATTCAGAGCTTGGATGACAATCAAGCCCAAGCCTTTTCCTTGATGCGATGCCGCAACACACACCTCCTCGACATGTGCCACCATTGTAAAGTCGTGGATACTGCAATAGCATTTAGTCAATCACTCTGCACACAACAACCCCAACATCATTTAGTACGGAGTCAACTCACAATTTCCTCTCCACAATCATTGTCGCAGTAGCGACGATACGGCTTCCATCGTCTATAACAATGCAATAGTACCAGTCTTTGCCTTTTGTAGCCATCCAGTCAAATCGTTCACAATATGCGGATTCTGTGATTTCGCCGATCCATGTTAGGTCGGTGAGGCAGGTTAGGAAGCCGCGTGAGTAGTCTGAGCGATGTAAGGGGCGGAGTGTATAGCCCTCAGGTAACGAGGAAGATAAGGAAGAAGGAATTAGGGATTGGGGGAAGAGGGCGTAGTCGGATGGGTCGCTTGATGCCATGATTTGCGGCGAGAAGTTGTTAGTTGCAGTTGATCTCTATAATCTTTCTTCTGGGTATGTTCTCTGGTTGAGCTGCTCCATGAAGGAGATGTGACAACCATGTTTGTGTTTTGTGTAGCATGAGCAACTGACCCCACACGATCGACTCTCAAGGTTACATCAGGTGCTTGACCTCCACACACACTCTGAAACGTGTCAAGAGGTTATCAATTGGTAGCATTTCTCGCGCAGACAAGAACTTTATATCAGCCCTCCCCAATCAGTGCGATAATGTGTCCCTAAAGATACTGATGCGATAGCGCATGGAGGATCTCGCGAGGGATTAAAATGACAGAAATTTCATTGGTACGCACTTCCCAAGCTGAACGTAAGCCTGCACGACATTGATGAACAAAATCTTCTCATATACGTAGTAGAGTCTCGCCATGTGTATGGAGAGACAGAGTGCTGAAAACAACATTGCATTTATTGACACGTTCAAACCTGAATGTTGGGAGGGTTGCCCTGACTTTGACCATAATCCATATCTGGAGTATCAAGTTGTGGACCATGATACTGCATATAAGGTACGACGTTTGGTAGATCCAAGTAGAGAACCTGACCACGGAAAGAAGAAATGCAAGTCTCGGTACAAGTCTTTACTCAATAAATTCTATACATGTGTCGCCTTCATCTCAGGCAACTCGTGCATTTCTGGCGAAACTTCGTAGCTTGCAAACTTGCGTGCACTGATTTTGTGCTCGAAGATGATGTCAAGTTCCTGGAAGGTTCTTCCAGATGTTTCTGGCAGCCTAAACCAGCACCAAACGAGACAAGCTGCACTGATAGCGCCAAATAGGTAGCCTGCTTTTCCTTTCCAGTTGCCTTCGTCACTGCTGAGCATATAAGGCATACCAATCGTAAACACAATACCAAACAGAGATTGTACAGCTGTGGCGATGGCAATGGTGCGACCACGAAGGCGTGTAGATGAGACCTCGCAAATCAGGACAAAGCAGATCGGACCCACAGTCATCTGATAAGCGAAGGTCCAGATATCCATCAGAGTTGCTTGCGCCCAGATTGCTCCCGTATTATGTTTTGGGATGTCAAGGAAACCGATGGTGAATAGAATGACTGTCATGACGACCATGCCGCAGTTGTAGATGGTTCGACGGCCGAACTTCATCATCAATGGCCATGACAAGCAAGTACCAACGAATCCAAGAGCAGTGTTGCCAACACCCACTGTCATCATGCGTTAGCTACGATATGCATACCTCGGATCATTAGGAGGACTTACTGTTGAAAGCATCGGCAGAAGCAAGTCCAGCCTGCTCGAAGAAGTATGTCGCATAGCCAATGAGAGGATTGCCTCCAATCACTTGAATTAAGTACACCATGGTACAGATCTCAGTTCTTCTCAAGTTGGTACCTTTGAAGCAGTCGAGGTAAGTTGTACTTGCTTCGTATTCACGCTCGAGCAGGTCGGTTTCTTCAATCAAGACAAGCATTGCTTCAAGGTCAGGACGATCTTTCCCGCTGGTTAACTTCTCAAGAGCGTGCTTTGCATCGCTTCTACGTCCCTGGCGTACCAACCAGTAAGGACTTTCGGGCGCGAAGCAAAGACCAATCAGCAGGACTACAGGCCAGATCCACTGGATTGCTAGTCGGGATGTCAGTCAATAACTCGAGACTTCTGTAAGTATTGAAGCAAGGCATGAAACTTACCAAATGGAAGTTTGTACGCAAGTGAGTCTGATCTGCTTTCGACACCGGCAGCAGTGCCTTGAGCGATGAACTGTCCAATGACAAATGCCAGGTTGACCGATGCGGTAAGTACACCTCGAAGAGCCAATGGACAAACATCGGAGGCATAGACGGGCGCGATAACGACGTAGAAGCCATATCCCAGGCCAGCAAAGATCTCGCCAATGCATAGGATGGTCAAATTGTTCGAGAAGAACTGCATGAAGATCCATGCGATAGACCAGCAGCAGCATGCCGCCAAAGTGCGCTTGCGACCGAACTTCTCAAGAGGCCATCCACAAGCAAGTGCACCAACCAGTTGCCCAGCAGCATTTCCCATACCCAGGCCGGTCTGCCAAGGTGCCGGAATGATGTACTCCCCCTCGTAGAGCTGACCATACTTCTTTTGGAACGCAGGTAAGGCGTAGAAAGATGAGACGAGTTGAGGGTCAAAGCCAGGCATGATGACAGCAATACAGAAGAAGGCCGACCAGAAGACAGCCTTGGGATAGAGCTTGACGCCTTTCCAGAAACCGAGTTCGTGTTCGGCCTGGGTGACATGATTGACAGTATCAAGGACAGTGCCTAGCTCCTCTTTGATAACCTCATGAGGCTGCATGTCGGTTTTGACGTCCATGACAGACATGGATGCCAGGTGAATGTGTTTGATTTCGTGTTGTTCAGACGAATCCGAGGCTTTTGAGGTCAAGTAAGCACAGACGGAGGGCCATGCATATATGATGTGGGCTGCCCGAGGGGCATGGGTATGGATTGAGCCTCATGTCACTACCGTGGTGAGATAACACGGTACCAAGTGGCGATCTGTTTGTGTGAATAGGCATCCTGGGTGGCAGTCTCAGGTGGTCGTGTGATAGGCGAACGGCTCGCATAATCATCCTAGGTGCTAGATTAAGCTGTTATTCGAGATAGGGGAACCTTCTTATCAGAGTTTGGGAGGAATCTGGGGGCTTGATGCGACCTTGCGCCCCGACCCCGCTTCATCGACACCCAGTTGCAGCTCGTGGAGCCGAGATTTTATCTACCGCTTGTTCGGTCGGCAACTCACCTTTGTATGGTAAGCCGATTGAGATCCGCCCGTCTGATACTACAGTTACACCCTTGCCGTACAAAACTTTGAAAGCGACTGTAACATCAGTACTAACCTGGTCGTTGATTCGGAAGCAAACCTGGGTTGGACTGCTTTTTCGAGACTGGTGCAACTTCACATTGAACGGACTCAAGCGACGTGGTTCATTCCAAAATCGCCAATCTCACGAAAGCGATTGTCCAGATGATAAGGGATGAATTGAGCAGGGACCCATGATAGTTTGAGTCCCCTGCTCTGTTTCCTCATCTTCCAGTCCACTTTCACAGTTCATCATTTGCACCAGCTTGCCAATTCTGCGGCTTATCAATACATTCAATCTGCTCTCACGACCACCATGCCGCATCGAGACACTTCTCAAGTGGACGGGAAGCTCAAATTCCTCATCATAGGCGCTGGCCAACGTGGTGTATCTTACGCAAACCCAATTTCCCAGATGTCAAATGCAGCAATCCATGCTGTAGCAGAACCTGTCGACTTTAGACGCTGCCACTTTGGCGAAACATACATCTGGGGCAGAGAAAATGATCCTGCTGAGGGGCAAGAGTTCAGAAACTGGAAGCAGTGGCTAGCATGGGAGACTGAGCGTCGCGAACTCGAAAAATCTGGTGCAAGAGTGCCTATTGGTGTCGATGGTGTGTTTGTCTGCACTTTGGACGAAATGCATGTTGAGATCATGCTTGCAATTGCGCCACTTAAACTCCATGTCTTATGCGAGAAGCCATTGGCTACATCTCTAGCAGACTGCATGTCGATATTGCAGGCATTTTCTCCAATTCATCAAGACATCATCTTCTCCGTTGGACATGTCTTGAGATACAGTCCACACAACCAAGTGCTGCGTAAGCTCCTCCTCACAGACCGTGTCATCGGTGATCTTCTGTCGGTGGAACACACCGAACCTGTGGGATGGTGGCACTTCGCACATAGTTATACGCGTGGACATTGGAGACGTTCAACCGAAAACAAAGACGGATCTCTCCTGACCAAGAGTTGTCATGATATCGACTTCCTGCTTTGGCTCCTGTCGCAAACTCCAGACGGGACAGCTGGAGATATTTCGGCTCATCTACCAAGGACGATCTCACCAACAGGAGCTCTGAACCAGTTCAGAAGATCTCGAAAGCCAGTACAAGCCGGCGACGCCACGAATTGTCTATCCTGTCCCTACGAGCGGGAATGCCAATATAGCGCTGTCAAGATATACGATGATGCTCGGTTGGCTGTGGGACATACTCATTGGCTCAACCACGTTGTACATGATATCGAGGATACTTTGCAGATCTCAGGGGTTGACGCTGCACGGAAAAGTCTCCACGCACGACTAGGCCAAGACTATACTAACGGAGTCACGCCCGATGCAGAAATTGCGGAACGACCTTGGTACGGACGCTGTGTCTACGAGAGCGACAACAACGTCTGTGATGACCAAGTAGTCACAATCAAATGGGACGAGGATGACTCCTCTCCTCTTCGCCGTCCAGGCAAGCTCGCAACTCTCCACATGGTCGCCAATACCGAAAAAGAGTGCGAGCGTAGAGGCATCATATATGGATCCCACGGCGAGCTCTCATATGACGGCAAAACCATCAGATACTTCAGCTTCGATGACAGGAAAGAAACTGTTGTCGCAACACCTAACGCTCCCGAATTTGAGCGAAAGATCAAATCTCATGGAGGAGGTGACCGAGGTTTGGCTACAGCATTTGTCTCCGCTGTCGAAGCTGTCAAGCATAATGGTGCCAAAACAGAAGATGCTCAGAGGCTGTTTGTTGGTTGCACTCTCGAAGATGCCATTAGAGCGCATGCTGTAGTCTTTGCTGCCGAAGAGGCCAGAAGAGATGAGAAAATTGTTCACTGGGACGCATGGTGGGAGAGCAAGAGACAGCAGTACGAAGTCCTGGATTAATCCTCATAGACAGGCCGCAAAGGAATTGTATATTGACTGCTAAAGCTTTCCTCATTCTGCTATATGTTCCATACTCATGACATCGGGTTTCTGTGCACGGGCAGACCAATGGTGGGATCATGCTACATGGACCGGGTCAGCCTGTAGCTCAGGAATGACTTTATCTTCCACTCTACTGGTTTCCGAGACGGTTTCCGGAACCTCTTTCGATCGATAATCACGCTTCGCATCTCTTTTCTCCAGAACGCGTATCAGACAAGCCGTCAAAATTAAGGCAATGCTGAACGATGCAGCAGCAATGAATCCAGGTCGAAATCTTGGAGCCTCCTCCGTCCTCCAGACTGCATCCTGGAACCAAATCTGATTGACGTATGAAAACATGTTCGAGAAGGCTGTCAAGAAGCCACGCATCTCATGATCCTGCGGCATCAGGTCTGGGAACCAAGAATAGAATAACCCAGGTACCCCTGCAGAGCAGTAGCTGATATAGAAAGCGAAATACTTGAGACCGATTGGAACATTCCAGATTGCCAGAACAAGCGTGCCGAAGAACGAGGCACCTTGGAGTACTGCTATCGACTGCCATCTCTTGCCGCCAAGTAGTGGCGAATCTGACAGCATTCCTGCGATGATTTGGGTTACAGCACCGACTGCCGATTGGCCTGTCGGCCACACGTTGACCTGGTATATGCTATGACCTTCAGCCTTGAGCCAGAGCGAGTAGAAAGGTTGCTGTGAAGGATGGCTGGACTGTACGAAGAAGTAGCCAAAAGACAGGACCCAGAACTGCCACGTCTTGACGATGCGGAAGATCTTCTTCTTGTCCCATTTTGACGAGGAAGAACCCAGAGGTGTATAGCCATCCAGGACTAGTCTTTGTCTGGCGTAAGCGGCTTCATCCTTGGTCAGGTAGAAAGCTCTGGTGTTCTCCGGAAAGTCGGGGTTGAAGAAGTAGCCGATCACTCCGACGGGCAGACTGATGATGCCGCAGATGATGAAGAGCCTTAAGCTACAATTAGCAGTGGACTTCCTTGCTCGAAATGCTGAGTCAACATACCATTGCCAACCGGCATGTCCAAGATGACCGTCGAGATTGTCGTATGCCGCTGCTTGTAGGTAGCCGGAGAACATGTGTGCTAGAGACGCAGTGCAATAAAAGATTGTTGTTCTCTTCGCACGCTCATGCTTAGTGTACCATGAGCCTGTTGATCATGTGTCAGAAACCAGAGCGCTCAGTACCCATTACGAAGTCACTGACCTATTAAATAGATGATACAAGGGAAGAAAGCACCTTCACATAGAGCCACTAAAAACCTTAGCCCGTAAAGCTGAGGCACCGATGTGACAGCAGCAGAGCAGAAAGTGAAGATAGCCCAGAGACATTCCAGCGTGGGGATGACATATGACGGCCGCACCTTCGTAACGAGGATGACTGCCGGAAGTTGACTGACGACATAGCCAGCAGTAAAGACGTTGCTCAGGTATGTGAGCTCATTGCCATGCATGTTCAATGCTTCTTTCATTCCCGAGACGTATGCGTTCGAGATGTTTTGTTGATCCAGATTCTTGCAGAAGTACCCGAGACATGCATAGGTCAGCAGGAAGAAGTCGAGTTTGAGCAGAAACTTCTTTTCATGCTTTGGTTTGTCTGGATCGTCCCAGATATATCTTTGGATTGAGCGGAAGAAGCGCTGAATTTGGGTATAGTGCTCTTCCAGATGGCCATGAGCATCCGAAGAGCTGCTATCGCTGACGACGTCAATCGAGGAAATATCCTTCCTTGGAGCGCGTCCATCGTGGGTATCTGTATGCGTTTGAATGGTCAAATGGTCTGCCATGGTAGCAAGCGCCAGTCAATTTCCAGATGGTAGCCAACAAGCCAAATGATGATCGTTTCTAGTGCTATATACTTGATGAGCAGACAGGTCAAAGACACTAGAGTCAAGTGGAGCAAGCACGTATTGCAGGGCACACCATACCCTGCAGCTATTGCGATAGCGAGATGGCAGGACTTCATGACGCATACTCAGGACGCGCTATCGGAGACCATACTGCTGGTTCCATTGAACCAAGCAGTATCCAATTCTTTGAAGGCCAAGCTGGAAGGGCGGAACGATCATGTTTCGATAGCTCTCAAATGATCATTTTCGACCATGCCGTACGCAGGAAGTTGAGACGTGATATGCTTGAAGCTTGATTGCATGATTCAAGACAAGATCTCACTCACAGGAATGATGGATCTCCAAAAAGTTTGTTTTATCTATCATAGAGATGGGCTAATCAATAAACTAAAAGTGATCAGTGAATTGTTAGGAAGCGCTGTGTTGTGTAGAGTGATATGCAAGCTGGAGTTGCGCAACTTCATCCCCGCTTTGCGTGATGGACCCCTCGTTCCTTCCACTCAACCACCTGCTTCCAATTGGTTAATTTTGCTTTTCTCACCATACAACCTCTAGGCTTCTTGAAACAGTCTGATAAGATCTCAACATGTGTGGAGACAAATGGTCAGCAAGTCATGACTCGAGCTATGGTGTGCGGATTGAGGGGTTGTCCGAGGTCGCTGGGAGCAAGCATAAAAGTTGACGACCTCCAGCTCAAAACAAAAGCAAGCATTTAAGCTTTGAATTATTCAATCTCAGTCATCATGCCTGGAAAAACATTGACTCCTTACGAACAGGTTCCAGTAACTAAGGAAGACTGTCAGTGTGGTATTCGTCTTACATCGACTTTCGCTAACATTCAAGTAGTGGACTGGGCCGAGCTGATAACCCTCGATCTGAGCCAATTTGAGAAGCCAGGTGGTAAGGAAGAGCTTGTCAAGCAACTAGAGCACGCTGTTCGCCATGTCGGTGAGTTCCTCTTCATGTGTCTGGCCATCCATCCATCCACTGAAATCAGTAAGGATTCTTCTACGTCAAGAACTTCAACATCAGTCAGGAAGAGGTAGACCGCCAATTCGCCTTGGGTCGCGAGTTCTATAATCTTCCTTTGGAAGAGAAACTCAAGTACCACAACATTAAAGCCCTCGAAGCCGGAGAATACAATGGTTACAAACCTGCTGGCCTTCGCTCGTTGGCCCCTGGAATCACAGACAACGTCCAAGTCTACAACATCCCCAAGTTCGATGGACGTCATCAACGTCAACACCCTGAGGTACTTGAAGACAACATCGAGGAGATCGAGACGTTCAGTCGCAAGTGCCACTCCGAGGTCGTTGTCAAATTGTTGAAACTTTTTGCCCTTCTACTGGAAGTCGACGAGGAGTTCTTCATCAAGGATCACGTCTATGACGACTTTGGCGAAGACCATCTACGCTATATGCATTATGCCGCTCGTAGCGCTGAAGTGAACGCCAAGATTGGAGAGCTCTATGTTCCGGGTCACACTGATCTGGGTTCTGTAACCCTCCTTTTCCGCCAACCAGTTGCAGCACTGCAGATCTTGAACAACGAGGGCCAGTGGAAGTGGGTCAAGCCTCAGGATGCAACCATCACAATCAATACTTGCGATGCCTTGACCGCATTGACTGCAGGATACGTCAAGAGTAGCATTCACCGTGTTCGCGCACCTCCAAGCGATCAAGCTCACGTTGACCGTCTGGGTGTCTTGTACTTCGCTCGTCCTAACAACCATGTCGTCCTGGATCCAATCAAAAGCCCTGTCCTTGATCGCTTAGGTCTTACCTCTAATGCGTTCACCGATATAGGTCAACATCTTACTATGCAAGAATGGGTTAGACTTCGACAGACACAGCAGCAAAGGAAGACAGAGACACCTGAGATTAAGGAGGGCAAGTACTTCTACAAGCCCAAGGATTTGGAGATTCTTCCTGGCTTGACTGCCACCGTACACAACTGATTGGTAGGACCAGAGGGCGACAGATTCCTCTGACAAATTTGGTCATTGAACACAGTCATGGTCGCGGGTCTGAGTAATGCTCGTACACATCATGAAATCAATGTTAGGATCCACCCAGTTTGAAGCCTCTTCGACGCTCCAAAGCCGCTTCCATGAGTTGCACAGCCGTGTATCGTGACGTGACCCTCTCCAAACATGCAGGCAGATATGGACTGAATTTGGCTCATTGTTTTGTAGGTACAGAACTACGCACCATGTGAATATGATTATGTAGTGTGCTATGCTGCCTTGAGATGGAATGCGTGTTATTAATACAGCTTGTGAAAAGTCCCGTCCACCAAAAATTGACCATCTTATTCCAAGAACGTTTCATCATCATATATGTTTTAAGACTCTCCTCTTACCCCTAATCAGTCAAGAGCAAAACACCTCTCACTACTCTGCTCATTATTGCCCCACCAATACGGCATACTAATAATCTTGCCGGAACCAAAGAACAAAAACACCAACAGCAAGTTCAAGTTATAGCCAGCATCAAATGCTGCGCCCATGAGATAGTTATATCTCGCCCACAACTTGTTCCTGTATCTGAAAGCCCAGAACATGACTATGAAGCCTCCGATAAAGGCGCTAGTGTAACCGGTAGAAACATTGCCGTAGAAGTTGGAAACGCAGGAGAAGAAGATTGTAGTGTTCCAGAGGCGGAACTTGAGCTTGGAGTTTGGGAAGAACTTGTGGAGGGTAAACATGAGGATGGGAGCGAAGGCGCCGACGATGAAGCCGTAAGGAAGGGGTTTGAAGGAGGATTGTTGGAACATCTTTGTAGGGCCGATAAGGACGTATTCGACTGATGTTGATAGAGATGAAGAGAGGTGTTGTGCTGTCCATTGGTGTGTGGGGTCTTTCTCAATGCCGAGCAAGATATCGCGTTTGGTTGACAGCACCCATTTCACAACGCCGTAATTGATAGGCACACCAATTGTGCACCCAAAGACCTGCGAGAAGAACGTTGCTCGAGGTGGAATGTGATTGTAGTGCCCAACCTTTTGATCATTGAGCATATACTGTGCTCTATACCAGGCATCTCCAGCTATAGAACTGTAAATGGTAGCGCCGGTGGGGTTCTTGTGGCCACTGACGGCATTCGTCATTAATCCATACAAAAGCTCGTTGAATGTGCCTATGGGAAGTTGATAATTTGACACTGCATATAGCCAGCCAAGGGGTGTAACAGCCAGAGCTCCAGTAGCAAGTGCGACGAAGTACGTCCAGACGGGAATATAGATTTTGCCAGCTGCAGCCATCGTGATGATTGAAACGAATGAGCAGGCAAAGAGAGCTGCGTACCACCAGAGTGGAACCTCCTTGTAGGACCTCATGAGGACATTAAGCTGGTCGTTGTATTGGTGGTTGATCCCCTTGTCCTCGCCCTCGCTGTTTCTCTTCTTGAACTTCGAGATCGCCTCCTTGAACGAAGACCACCCAAATAGGGCAGCCCAGACCCAAGCAGACAAGAATGCTGCGTATGAGAAGAAGATACCCCAGAGCATTTGCGCCCCAAGGTACAGGGGGCCATATTCCTCGTAAGCGGTCTCGTTGAGGGTTCCCTGAGAAGTCACTAGCTTGGTCAAAGGATACTTAGTGCCATTTCCTTGAAGAACGCTTGTAGACATAAGACCAGGCTTGAACTCAGAGAGATTACCCCACTTCGCAGCAGGAAGCAAAACCCAACAATTGAAAGCGAAGGCCAAGAACATGATTACTTGGGTCCACCAAGGCAGCAAGAAGAGGTTGCCGTTTGTGCTGAGGGTGGACCAGTCCAGACTGAGGTTGAGGAAACCCATGCCTCCAAAGCCCGAGCCGATGAAGTTTGCGACAGGGTTTCTAGGAGCCACCCAGCAGAGAAAAGCAAGACTTCCGGTCATCGGGAAGACGTACTCGGGCAGAAACTGCCACATTGTAACTGCAAAGAAGACAGCAAAGAAGACCCTCATCTGTTTTTTCGAAACTGGAGTTGGATGGTTTCTCTCCTTCTTCTGTGACTCGAAAAGAGCGGTCTGGCACAAAGCTTGGAACCAAGGATACTGGGGATCGTAAAGCAGGAATTGACGCGAGATCGCAGCAAACGAGTAGCCAGTCACCACAACACTCCACATGAAGAAGATTGCGACAGCCGGATTCATCGGCTCATTAAAGTAGAGCTCGGCAATTGAGACCGGCGCGTAGGCAAGGTTGTAAGTTGCTCCAGATGCAGCCGACAAAGTCACAAGCACATGCTCTTTTGTAGACCATGGTCCAGGATTTAGGTTGATGCCCAAGATCTTCTTGTCTGGTAGAACTTTTGCAAGCCACATTCCCACGTAGTTCGATGCGATCTGAACGAAGAACACTGAGTAGGCTGCGGATGTCGTTCTGAAATATGACATCTGTGACAGAAAAGCGCCAGGAACGATAAAGAGGATGGATAGTAGGAAGTATCGGAAGGTCAGAGTAAGCTCCTCCGGGTTGTCTGTCATAGACACGATTCGTCGTACAGCCATGGGGATGTCCCGAACGGCCTCATCATCATCAGCGAAGTCGTCGCTCGCGATATCAGAAGCCTTTCCGGACTTGATCTCTTCATCGTCGACTTCGAGTCCGAATGTCTTTGAGGTAGGCTCGATTTTCCCAGTACCAGTGAGCCCAGCTGCGGTCTTCTCATCCAGCGTCGTCGACTCAGCAAAACCATCCGGAGTCAACTCAGCATCTTGATTCTCGCCTTTCACGCGTGCGACAACACGCCTGAACAGCGAGCCTGCCATAGCAAAGATGATGAGAGGTCGGAAAAGTGAATGTGTAAGAGAGTTTGGAGTGCCTTGGCTAGAGGCACTCGCTCTATATAGAGTCTTGAGCTCATCATTCTTGCTCACTCATGCCACGCGAACAGCATGGCGATTTTTGCCATTGAGATAGCTCGTCTGATAGGGCGAAAATGGCGTGCTATGGCTGGTCGATCAAAAAGTGATCCTTTTACATGATCACAGTCTGTGCCTCGTGTTTGACATGTAGCTAGGTTTTGCTCCTGTTTGCGCTGCAGATGCGTAAAAAAGCTTGATTGAGCAAAGCCGCTGCTTAGAGACACCCGAAAGAGCCAAGCTGGTCGGGTAAACTCGTAATTTTTGCTTCGGATGCTACCGTGGTATGCCGATCTTGAGCCCAAGCGCCTGATCTTGGGTGGGTCTCGTCTAACTTCTCCCTCTTCGAGAAATGTTCGTTGGTGATTGAATCGATCTGACCGTAGATAGGCCAGCGGGCTGACTCAACAAGTCTTTGAGTTATCAAAGAGCAATCGTAGAGTGTTGGACTTCCCGGCAGACATTTGAATGCATCCGCGGCTGAACGCGCCAGTTGGATGCGCCAATAACCACCTTCTAGAAGAAGCAGTGAGTTGCAATATTAATGAGAGCACTTCTTTGGAAGGATTCAAAATACGAATGACGCGATCGCGTAGCTTTCTCATCCGTTCGAAGAGCATCCACTTGAAATGCCGAGAGCGCCCCGATCTCTTGATCGTGCTTAGGGGTGTTGCTTGACGTGCTTAACAACTGCTGCCAATGAGCCAAATCTACTATCGCTGCTACAGCATGGGAAATACGTGGCAATACCGAAGTCTCTGGATCAAGGGATACATATCCGGCCCCGGCAGCTCTGTCTTCCGTGTCATCGATTGACCAGCCTTCTTCGGAGTTGAGTAGTGTTATTGAAACACCTACAGCGAGCACTGTGATTCCGTCGACTATGGCCAGAAAGCCCGCACAAGCTGAAAAGACTGACTTGTCCGCTGTCAGCGCCCTCAGCAAAGCCATGGCCTCGCTGAACAGCAAAGGAGACACTGCACCAGGACCCGACTTGGAGGCCCAGCCACAGCCTCAGTCACGCTCCCGGTTGCCTAATGGGAGCTTTAGCACGAGAATCGTGATGCAATGCGATCACCACAGACGCGACATCATATATTCACCGGTGAAACAGCGTCAAGGATCTTTTTCTGAGGGTTGTCTTGTTCCGGCCATCTACATGATAGCTCTCGTTCATCACAATTACTGTCACAAGTTGCCGATCTCGAATTTTCCTAGTCCAGTAGCTACTGATTACCCCTTCCTTCATGGGCTTGAGACATTCACGCTGCCATCCAGAATTGGGGAAGGAGCATACACGTCCGACGATCAAACAAGCAATTGGACGTGTCCGAAAACGATGACCCCTCCGCATCAGACAATGATGCCGCCTCAAGTATTGAGGATGATCATGCCTCCGCCATCGAGGATGGTCTGACAAAGGCCTGGCACACAAACCTGCAGAGACTCCACCACTGCACTATGAGCAATATAAACGCCGCAGCCATGTCGACCCAGAATGGAGACCGGGAATTCAACCGAGACGTTGACTTCGCCATGGACAGCTTGACGAGTCATAGTCCGCTGGGGCTCGACATTGACGATGTTTGGAGCGCCGCCAAGAGAAGTCTTTTATTCACATGAGGTGAGATTGATAGTGAGTGAAAGTGTCATCTCCCCAAAGATCTTTCAATCAAGCTATTTGCCGCTTCTGTCGTTCACCATAACATGGCACCGTAAGATTTTCCACTTCTTTCGTCCACCATAATAAGACACATCTGCCGACCGCGCATCCAATTCCACCATTCCTTTCCGGCATATAACATCACCACAACCATGAGCTCCAGCTGGGAAGACGACGATGAAACCGCCACTGCGGTGGCTGGTTGTCTCAGGCGGTTTCGAGACTTGGTCGGCCTGGACAGCGCGCGGGTCACCCCTGATCTCGAGCGCGAGATGGCTAGAAGGACAAGAGGTCTGATGGCAGGTATGCTCTCGCAGCAACACCAGAATTCACCAACCACTGCGCCAAATGGACTGGGCCTACTCACTCCGGGCACCAGCGCCTCGACCTGGAGCACTTCTGCAGAGGTGCTCGAGAGACTTCAAGCCGTCCAACGCGAGGGACGCCGTAAAGTTCAAGCCAAAAAGCTCGAGAGGATCCAGAATGAGCAACAAGAGGAGTCCAGAAGAGCCGAAGAGGAGGAACGAGACAGAGTCAGCCGTTGGAGAAAGGCTCAAGAGGAGGCACGAGAACAGGCTGCCCGTGCGAAAGCTCAGAATGCGGCTGCTGCCAGAGCCCGAGCAGATGCAGCTGCAGTTGCGGCGCTCAAAGCCCAGAAGCAAGAAGAGGATAGAGCTATGCTCAATAACTTCAGAGTCCAGCAACGACTCAACATCCAGCATTTCAAGCAGCAAGACCATTTCTCCCTCAGGCTGCGTCACACAAGGGCCGGCCAGGCTATGAGGGAATTCTTTGCCAGAGCCAAAGCTCAGGCTGAAGCTGAGGTCGACCAGCTTCGAGCTCAACAGATTGAGCTGGCTCTCGCATCTGCCCAGCAAGACTTGGATCGTCTCACACTTCAACATGACCCGATCAACGCAATCGAAGCTGCTCGTCGTGCAGCCCTACAAGAGCGAGCTAGGCAAGCCGAGGAGGATCGCCTGAGGGTCGAGGGAGAGCGGGCTGCTCGAGCCGAAGCTGAAAGGCTCGCACAAGCCGAAGCTGCCAGAGTCGCCCGCGAACAACAGGCCGAAGCTGCCAGAGACGCCCGCGAACAACAAGCCGAAGCTGCCAGAGTCGCCGCTGCCAGGCAGGCTGAGATCAACAGACTCGCCGCCGCGCAACAAGCTGAAAACGAGCGACAGAGGGCTAGAGACGCTCGCCAAACTCGACTGAATGATGAAACCGCCCTTTCTGGTGAGAGTCAGCTTACCATCATCATCGACCAATGGCAAGCCGATTTCCTGCAGGTGGTTCATCCTCTCGGATACCACACCGAGCTGTATCGTGCTGTCGCACATCTATGGTTGGTGGACGAGAATCAACTTGGTATCGTGCAAAGGAAGTGTCAGACATTGTGGAATGCTGTTCTGAGTGGTGATGAAGAAGACTGACAGGTTCTGAGACGGGCTCTCTGAATGTCGTACAAAACATTGCAGATGCGTTCGATATCCAGCTTGTTGTCTACAAGAGAACAAACCGCAGCTGGACAATACACGTTCGCGGTCCCAACCAGCAAAAAATCAACGCCGCATCCACCTGGTCAACTATTCCGAGATCCAACTGTGGGCCGCGCTCCAGTGTGCTCAGGTCTGTAACCCCTATCACACTCCGGCTGAGACAAAGTGCAAAAAAGTACACTATAAAAAGACACGATCGTGTTCGAAAGCGGAAGTGTGTCCACAGAGAGTCGGCAGATTGTTGCTTCTCAGTGGAGATTGTTCTATTTCCTGATACTATTGTGCATTTTTGCAGCTATATAACTTACACTTCGACACATGGGGAGATCGTGAGCCCGATGATGTACTCGATCGATCAAGTGGCGTTCAAACATGCACAGGGTCATCCTCCCTGCGACCTAGCAACGGTGTCTATTCTATTTCTGCGCGAGATCAGGGACATCTTACTATATTGATTTCGGCTCATGCAAGACACAAGTAGAACAGCTGTTGCTTGTCGTTATTGCTGTCTAATTGCAGGCCACGGAATGTGAGGCCCGCGAGATGCAACATAAAATCCAGCTCATAATCCTCCTCAATCACCCGCTTATGCCAATATCTTGTGCATGTCCCTTTTCTCCATCTTTGTTGCGGCAACTTGTCTTTCTGCGAGCCCTTAGCCTCTTCTCCTTCGATACATCTGTATAAGACTGAAGAACATAAGAACCGGAAACCCAAAGAGACAAGCCTGTTTCCATATATGCGTGAAACAGACGTCGAGGACCACAGTCCATGGCTCAAATCTGAGGAGATTGGGATTGGCTCTGAGGTATGAAACGATGTCAAAGAAAGCTCCAGCGATTCCAGTCAAGACAGATACGCATGCAAGGCTGTCTGCAATGTCACTCAGAGTAATGTTTTCGGAAGCGTCTCTGTGTGATGGTACTCTTCCAGCAAGAGATTGTTGATTGCTGTTGTGTTCTTCTATCGGACTGCTAGGCTCTGAGTCGGGAGTGTAGCATCCGTCGCCAGATTCACTGGAAGACTGAGAAGGCATTTCCGGATCCGGGAAGTACCATGAGTGTGTTATGCGTGGACCATCAGTCGCAGCCATGATATGGCGATCGGCAATGGGATAGTTGACATAGGGGGTTTCAATCTTGATACTTTTGATCAGATCAGCTTTTTCATCCACCGTACGAGTGGCTGATTCGATGATTGCTAATCTGATGTTATTTTTGAAGGACGGAGGCTGTCTTAGAGACTTTAGCACAGCTTCGATCGAGTGAAATACGGTCTGCTTGTCGCGACGTCCAGAAAAGAATTCAACGACCACATCGGTGAATGTTGTTGATGGAAAGTCGACGGGAACCATGGTTGGATATGGTTGGTGGACGTATGTTGGTGGTCTAAATCAAGCTTGCAAACTCGATAGATGGTGAAATGTGGGAGGAGCGATGCAAGAGTTGCTTCAAATTGACCAGTCTTGTTGTAGTAGAAAAAGAGTGATGAGGTAACGAGATACCGTCGCCTCCTTATAGAAAGGTTGATCGGCTGACACAAACAAGTTTTTTGTGTTGTGGGTATAATGAGCATGATTGCGGCCAATAAAGCGACGACTCCCGATGTACCCTATAGATACTTGATGAAAAGTAGCAACACATCTACAGACATCGTTCTGTTGCTTCATTGCGCGATGTGGCGGATCAGCTTCTGCAATCACGGCATCAAGATAAATGCCTGCAAACGAATACACCTATTCCAAGTTAGCAAAACAGAAACCCTCTCTAGCCGCCGAAAGCTAGAAGGGAAAGAGAATCTTTTTCCATACATTTCTGTACCCAGTACATCCTCAAGACCTGGACGCTTCCTCTTTCTCAAGCAACAAAGTCGTATCCAGAAATAACCACGCTCCCGAAATCATAAAACCACAAAACAAGATAGAGACAAGCAATTTATTGCCACCAGAAGTAGCCCAGAGAAGGGCAAGAGCGCTTGCGACGATGAATATCGCGAGGGCCAGAATAGCTCCGTACCAGGTCTTGGACCCTATTCTCAAGCTGAGGGACCACCAAAGCACATTTAGCCGGATCTATGAGCGTAGAGTGAGTTGCTGCTCTGGCTTGTCGAGTATTATGGTGCTTACCTGAAGGAGCTCCATTATTTGGCAACAGACATTCAGACGTACATCGCGGATACGGCTAGCCGAGTTCAAGGATCTGACTACGGCACACAAACACCGGAAACGAAGTATTAGAGAACAAGGTGTGGTATTGATATGACGGACGGGAATCCTTGATGAGAAGAGGAAGACAAGGAAAGACCATAATAAAGGTTGACAAGGTGGCGCCAAGAGAAGCGTCGGAGCAAGCTCCGGAGGGACTTCCATTCGAGGTCCACTCAAAATGCCGAGGATGATCACGATGGACAATCAGCTTGATACGAGGTACCGGGCTATCCATCTGATTTTTGTGCCTTGCACAAGACAAGAACGTCGTCATTCTGGAAGCTATTTCTCACCTGCCTTGCCATCACCATCCTTAATCACCGAGCTATAACTCGGAGGATCATCCTTTCCCTCACCCCCCCGTCCAGCTGCCAGATTCGGCACCGTCTTGAGTATCTGCTCTGCTCTGATTTCCACGAACTTACGCAAGGCAAGCAACGCTTCTTCCTCTGTTTTCCCTCCTTCCTCTGGCTCGATCTTTGCTTTGATAACGCTATCCTCTCGTGCAACAATGCGAGCTAGTATCTTGGAGCCTTGCCCATTTATACGCGAATACAATAACTTGAACTCGTTGAATGTAACATCGATGCTTCCGTTGGCGGTGGCGACTAGGATGATGCTATCTGTGAATGTTAGTGGTCACTGTAGGTTTGTCAATGATGAGTACTTCTCAATTGCTTACCAATGAAATGCTGTCTATCCGCTTCGCTGCTAAAAACGCTGGCCGCTTCCTCGATGCTGGGAATCTCTTTTGATAGCGTCCGATTCAGGAGCTGTGACTCGATGTTGCCCATATTGACTTGACTACACGCTCTGCAGGTCTGTGGCGGATAGTGGTGATGAGGGATCGGGTAGTTGAGATATTCGGCCACGATGCGATGGAAGCTAGTAGGCAACCTTTCAAGGGATGGGTCTGCTACTCTTATCGAACACTGATCAGCAAGTTCGACTTGCGTGATTTACTGATTTCATGATAGCAATGTGCAAACCACCTAAAGTATTACCTCGTATTGCTAACGTTCCGAACTTCAATGTTCTTATCTTTCCTGTAACAAGCTTTTACTCGGAAGCTTGTTTTCGCTCCATCTGACCGCAAAGAAACGAGGGGTGGGTAGGATGACTTGATTATACATGCGAAACCATCGAGGTTTACGGCCGGTTCTTGCTACTGTGAAACTTGTTCTGGGCGGCGTGCCGTTATAGAGCTTTCTTTGATCTCGAAAAGTGGCCTCTCACTGAATATTGTATGACAGACCTGCCGCTGTTGAGCGAGGGGCCGGTATTCAAAGGGGTCGCTCGAAACGAGTTCCTACGGTATCTGGAGCGCTCTGAATATTGATCCTCCTGTGATCCCACAAGAAATAAGCATGATGTTTCTTCAAACTTTACCTGATATGTGGTACTTCACCCAGAAGAGCAGTCGAGTAAGTGCAGGCAAACATGATGCAACCATGTGCATCTAGTATATAAGAGTATGACTTACCTAAGAGTTGCACGAGCAACCAGCAGGAAATTACGCAAGCGAGAATAATCGAGCAAACAGCAGTCAATAAGAAGACGAGAAAAGAATGATAGGAAGGTGAGTAAACCAAATGACTTTTTGCAATTTCCGTAACGACTAAGAGAATTGCAGGATGAGCGTGGATGGGGGTACTTGCGAACAGCGTAGAAAAGATCTCATGGCCATCTTGCGTTGGTAAAGGTGTGTATGTCAAAAAACAGAAAAAAGACCCAGTGCAGACATTACAAAACAAGCATTTTTCCCTTTTTCCTTCTCAAAACTCCGGATGGTGATCGAATTGTTTGTGGTTGCGAGGATGGTTCAGGATGGGTGGCGGGAAAAACAGGTCGGTCTCGTTACTTTCGTTCATGAGTTTCTTTACGAGGCCATGGCGCGGTTGCCTCCTCTGCGGTTGAAGTTCTTAGTCTTGGCCGAGACGGTGGACCAGCCATCGTCCTCCATGGTCTCGGCTGTTGTCTGAGGCTCCTCGGTCTTTCTCCATGAGTCGGCGGTCTTGGATGGCACCTCGCGTGTGACTTCCTGAGGCTTCACTTGCTTGTCGTCGGTGATGGTGCCCTCGGCATCAGCATCAACACCCTCCTTATCATTCTCATCACCCTCGTCCATGCGACGGAGGATCTCATATTGTCTGCCTTCCTCACCCTCCTTCTTCTCGCTCTTCTCGGCCTTGGAAGCGGCCTCCTTAGCACGCTTCTCCTCACGGGCCTTGTCGTCTGCCTCCTTCTTCTCACGAATTGCCAGCTTGCGCTTCTCCTCAATCTCCTGCTCTCTTGCGGAAGTGTCGATGGGGCGGGCGGCACCGAAAGGTGACGACTTGGATGAAGCGGCAGTGTCGTTTGCGGCGGGTGCCTCAGAAACGGTACGCTTTGCGAGGTTGAGTCTGGGTCTCTGTGCAGGTGCTGAAGGTGATGTAGGGGTGCTGGCATCGGGCGACGCAGCGGGTGAGTCGGGCTTCATTCTGGCTCTCCACTTGTCGTCCATGTCTGCAGCGGTGGGCTGTCTCTCGGGTCTAGGAGGTCTCTCGCTGAATCCAGCAGCGCGTTCGGCAGCGCCCCCACCCCATTGAGGAGCGGCTCTGGGCTCCCTGGGTTCTCTGTTGAAGTTGGACTCTCTGCGCTCGCCCATGGGTCTGGGCTCAGCAGGGGCAAGAGGACCCTTTCTCTCCCAGTTGCCGAAGTCGCGGGGCTTGGAGTCGACGCCCTCGGGAGGTCCTTGTCTGAAGCTACCGGCTCTGTCACCCATGCCACGGCGCATGCCACCGTCACGCTGTCCAGGAAGATCGGGAAGGGGGCCCTTGCGGGTCCAGTCGTTTAGCTCGCGTGGGGGTTCACGGTCCTTGGCTGGAAGATATTGTGAGTATGATAGGCGTCAAGATGAAGCCTTCAGAACTTACGTGGGTCGGCAACGCTGATGCGGATGTTTCTGCCCTGGAACTGGGTCTCGCTGAGAGTAAGAGCCTTCTTCAGGCCGTCAACGGTGCCAAACTCGACATAGCCGAAACCCTTGGGTCTACGGTCCATCTTGTCCTCAACAATGCGGACGCTGGTAACCTCGCATCCGTCGAGGAAGTCGCGGACATCGGCCTCGGTGACTTCGAAAGAAAGGTTGCCAAGGTGGGCGGTGTATGGGGGTTTGTCGGGGAGAGGGAGCTGCTCACGAACGGCATAACCAGCGGTGCGGTCTAGAGGCAGCGTGTGAGCCCATGTTTGAGTTGATATGCGCATATTGGCTTACCGCGGAAACCACCGGCAGGAGCGTCATCGCCAGCGGGGGCAGCAGCGCGGGAGGAGGCACCCCAGCCGCCGGAAGAAGTGTTGGTGCGGGAAGATTGGTAGGGAGTGGCTGGTGATGGTGTTAGGCGGTCGTTCTTTCGTTTGCGTCAGGTACGGGTTGGACAAGACATACAAGCTGTCCAGTGTTAGTCGTATTCGCCTTGGTGAGCATGCGCATTTGACGTACCAGGAAGAGGGGCAGTTTCCATCTCATCGGCCCATGAGCCGAGCGCTGTGAAATTTCAGCCATGCATGTCTTTGCGACCAAGGTGGATCATAGAGCGCATACACTGGTCGTTCAAGAAGTCGCCGAGCGACAACTTCTGCTGTTGCGATTTCTTAGGTGCTGCATTGCGGCCGTGTCAGCAGTTGGTCATGGACTTTTTTTGCCTGTCGCCGCAAACCGCATCGTCCACTGTGCCATGTGCGGGTGGGTTGCGCCGACCGTATGAGACTAACCCATGATTGCGGAAGTGTTGAGTACGCGCTGTCGAGTATGCGCGTGTGGTTCTGGGTTTGTGTCTTTGGGTTATGAATGCACGAGATCCGGTGCGAATAGAATATCCAAGTCCCTCTCGCTTTCGCTGATCAACGCTGGGGCGCTGAACTTCTTCGCCAAGACACTAGTCCGGACAAGGCAACGTCCGCCCTCGATTTCCGACCTCTGCTCCTTCCTTGGATTCTTGACCATTTTTTATCTGGACATATTCAATCAGAATGGATCGCAATCAGGCAGCTCGATCGCCGCAAGCAGAGTCAATAATTGGACCTGCTCTCAAGGTTGGTGCTCTTTCTGGTAAGTAAAATCGTGTTTTCTTCCTTCTCCGAAATCCAAGCCACAAAATAAAATGTTGACCGGATCCTTCCCTGTTCGAGTATCATGACTTCGGTGGTCATAACTATCATCTAAACTCCGAACAACCACTTCCCCTTTCGAATTTTCCTGTTCTAACACGCCTTGCAGGAGCAGCTGGATTTGTCACCGGTAGTGTTGCTGGTGTCATTCGAAATTCTCCCCCTCTTCTGTTTGGTATTGGCTCTGGCATTCAGTGGTTCGGCTTGGGCACAACCTTTTGGGGTGAGTCTATGTGATGTCAAGATAGTTGTATCGTACCAACCATCGCAGGTACAAGGAGCTTCATCTTCCAAGCATGGGACACTGGCAAGGGCTTGACGAAGAGCGACAAGGTCTCTGCCAGCACAATCGCTGGTGGTGTCGCTGGTAGTGGCGTTGGCCTCCTCACTCGTATGTATAGCCTGCTGTCTCTGTATTCACGATCGACTCACCGCTACAGGTGGACCTCGCAATGTCATCCCAGGAGCCATCATGTTCTCGCTCTTTGGTTTCCTTGGCCAAACTGTCTCCAACTCATACGACAAGACCAATCTTCCAGCGTCTGACGAACCACAATTGAACTTATGGCAGAAATTTGCCAGCCTCAAATGGATGCCCGTCACAGTTCTTAAGGATGGCGAGTATGAGGACATGCTGCGTGAAAAGCAGCTCAAACTCGAAGCAGAGATTGCTCTTGTGGATGAGCGCATTGCAGCGCTGAAAGCCCAGCATGCTCAAGCTCTTTCTAAGGAGAGTGGTGCTGCATGAAAGAACGCTGATGGACGTCCATTTCCATCAACACGCTAAGCCTTCGATCAATCGACATACCCTGTTTGAACCAATGAGTCAGCAGACTCTGCGATCAATGTCCTCAAGGTTATCATGCTGCAACGCTCCCGGATAAGAGTGGCTGAAGCGACGAAACATTATAGTCTACCCAACGATGGTCTTCCAGGATGTACCGCCTGACCCCTTATCGGGATGCAGCTTATGGTACACATGAGATCGTACGCATGGCAATTCTGAAGTCCTCGCAGCCCGAAGTGGCGGAGAAGCAAACGCACAACATGTGCGAGCAAAAGGACCTCTGATCTGGAGCAGCGAGAGCAGTGAAATAACTCTTCACACCTTACGACTATCTATGACACGAGCATTCATTTCTCATCGTCGTTCGTTCTAATTCATTTTTATCACATTTCTTCCGTTGTCAAAGCAAAAAGAAAGTCGCTCGTCCAGTGATCAAGGAATCTCACTTACCCGAAAGTCCATCTGTTGCAGTTCCGCCCTCTTGCTAGCCCCGCCCAAATGCTCTCAGATCTTTTTCCATCCCGCCTGAAGGTGTTTGTAACGATCCTTTCCACAGGCGCCCCTTCACCCAGACGTTGCTTGAGGACTTTCACCTCTGGCAAGATTTGCACCCTCACCACGAGTCTGACCCTCTTGCCGGTTGAAGAATCTGCGAAACAAAGGTCAGTTTTGATCACACGGAGAGTTGAACTGTGGTCATTAGTGACTGTGGGTGTCTGGATTCTGATCAGCGAACTGTAATCAAAGAGTGATGGCCTGACCACTAGACTAAAATGACTTTGTATGGGAAGAAGATGGTTTCAATGGTTTATTATACCTGAGGTCCAGCGATGGAGTGAGCGGAGGCTCATGAAGCGCATCCGTTGCACGCAATGCTCCCATCACAACAGTCCGCCGCACGTTCACCCTCCGCTGCACTTCGCGCGCTTCACTGGCTCTGTGTTTGCACTCAACCCTGTCAGTGGCAATCAACGCTCTCTCGGATTGACAGTCATCGTCTCTTATCACGCTGCGCCGCAACTCGTGGACGTTTCATTGCTTTTGCTATAGCCAAGATACCTCTCAGGGCTCCCTTGGTTTAGAACACGGTCTCTCGCACGATAGTGACGATCTCATTTCACGCTTTGCTGTAAGTCGCACAGGACTTTCCGTCTTTGCCTCGAACAGCATTGCTCACACCGCCCAGCTCAACTTGGTTTTGCACTCTCCCAGGCACGCCAGTCCTCACTTCACTCAACGCCGTGCCGCAACTCGCGAACACCCTGTCGACTTAGTCATCTCGCATACCCATCAATGCTTTGCTTCCTCAAGTCTGCTCTCTCACTGCGCAACGATTTTTGTCTCTGACAACGCTGTGCTGCAACTCACGGCATTCACGCTTGTCTACGCTGCTGCAAGAGATCAGTTTTCTACAGCGTTGCACTTCCCCAGTGCGTGCAGCCAACAAATTTCCTACGCATCGCTGCAACTCACGTGCGCTTTGTCCTCTACGCTGTCGTCCGTATCACTTATACAGCTTCAAATCTTAACTGCCTGGCGCTTGACCACTGTTGGACCACCTCCCGCCTTGTCGACTGCTACCAACTCTGCTTATCGAACGTTCAACACTTCGCCGATCGTCAACCACACTTCACCCGATTCTCCAAGTCAAGATGTCTGAAGTCATGGGTTTGCGTACGCAGATTATGGGTAAGATCTCTCGATATTTCTAACAGCAATGCCAATACTAACATAACTCAGAGAACATCCTTGCTCTTCAGCCTCAATTGCTCGAACCCAGATGGCTCTTGTACTGCGAGATGAAGCCTAATGACGAATTCAACGAAGGTGACTCGGGTGAAATCATCAATCCCGATGATCAAATCTACACAAACTCACACCCAAGTGAAAACGGCAAGTCTGCGCATGAGCTCTACACTGTGGTTCTCGCTTTAAATGAGCGCTTTGGCAAGAACATCTCCATTCGCATTCGCAAGGCTTCTGCTACAACTCCTGAGCTGGCCTACAGAGAGTTACTCAAGCAGACTGCACTAGCACTGACTGAGCATGGACATGTCGCTATGTGACGGTATGGAGACGAAATGGCCGGGTCGATGACGCGAGCTCTTTTGGCGCAGCTTTCGTAGAGTCGACCGCTGGTTCTGAGCACACGTAGATAGCGTTCAGTATATCGAAAAGCTGTCTCGATACCGCGGGACTGTCTCTTATACCACCGTAAACAATGACGTGAACTACAACGGGTTGACGACGCGGACTCTATTGGCGCAGGTTTCGTGATCTCGCGCGCGGGTATCAGCATACGTAGATAGCGTTCAGTGTATCGGAAACTCGTATTGAGACCGCGGGATTGTCTCTTATACTACTATAAACAATGATGTGAGCTATATTGCGTCGATGTCGTGAGCTTTTCTGGCGCTTCTTTCGCGATCTCGAGAACAAGTTCTATTCTACGTAGAAAGCGTTCAATACGTCGTAAAGCTGTCGCAAGATCACGGGATAATCTCTTATACTCCATTTGGACGCACGGCAGAACCGGGTCGATGTCGTGACCTTCTTTGACTCATCCTTGTAATTCCAAGCATGACTTCCATCACACGTAGATAGTGTTCAATGCATCGAAAACGCATGTCAACATGGCGGGATCGTATGCTGCATTACTATTTTGTGATCTTTCATGTAACAAAGCACTTTTTCCAACTTATGAAAATGCAAAAACATGTTTGATCTCAGATGTGTGTCTGAAGAGAGCTGGATTCCTTATCTGTCTCAATGGTCAAGTTACATTCCTGGATACTTTTCTGCAATTTTATAGCTGAATTGACTGAATTGTCTGTACAGGAGATATGAGTCCGGGCTTGTGCCCGACTTCTATCTCCTACATACATCAAGCGTTTTTGTATGCTATAAAAATGCACAATACTATTAGAGATTAGAAGTGTGCCCTCAGAAATTCATCAGTGTTCACATATCTCAGTTGACTCTACTCTAGTTCTGGAAGATATTGTGCATTTTTACAGACATTTATTCATAGTCAGCGGAATTGGAGACATCATCACCGAGCCCCAGTCACACATTCAGACTTTACATGCCCCCTATATGCTGGAAACCCCCATAAATATCTATAAAAATGCACAGTACAACTCAGATGTCGAGCGTGTTCCAGAGAGAGCCATTGTCTCATCGTGCTTTCTCTGGACATGCCTCAGAATTGAAGATCATTGTGCCTTCTTATAGCTGAGAGTTTCGTGCTTTGTTGATACGAGTCAAGAGCTGAGAGTGGCTCATCGACGCGGTTTCTTTGCTTGTATATTCAAACGTGTACATTTGACCTGCTTTCTCTTCTTTCATAACCTGCAAATCGTATCAATCTCATCCAATCAATCCCCCATTCGCAGACCAACATGTCCGTCGCAGATGTAGTGACGTATCGCACGCCCATCCGTGGTAGATAGAATCCAAACCCCTCGTTATATCTCCAACCAGGCAATAACCATTCCATAGACAACCTCACGTTCATAGAGAACCTTGTGCCCGAAAGGATTGAGTTTCTCCTCTCTTTCAATCGATATATTGGATGGACTCCAGAAGCATACTACGGTGCTTTCGACATGCTTGACAAAGTTGTCTTGCTTGTGTCTCGAGGCCGCAGCCCTGAACATGCATATGAAAACATGTTTCATCAGACTGCTGTTCTACTTGAGTATCAAGAGGATGAATGGGATTATTGGGTTTATTGGTGCTAGTCGGTTGCTCTCTTCGGTTTCTCTTTAGCACGCCGTTTGATATTGCTCTCCGTCGATGTCACCATCCAGCAGTCAGAGGGGAGATCTACTCTTCTGGGTCCATGGAAGAGTACCAACAGCTAATCTCATTTGATGCAAACGATGACGCGCTGCTGTTTGCGCGAGTGGTTGATTCAAGCAGTGACCAAACGCTGATTGTGTGTACAAACAGAGAGCTTTGTCCCGACCAATGCAAAACCTCTCCTCAGATACCATATAAATATCTTGTCTCTCCTCCCAAACCCATCACAACTCCTGTCAAATCCAAATCATACAGTTTTCCAATACCAAACCGTGCCTTACATCACAACCATCATCAACTCCTGAACATGTCTGAGATCATGGCCCTCCGCGCTCAGATAATGGGTATGTCGTCCATAGTGCATTGAATAGTCACACGACGCTGACACAGAGATAGACAACATGGAGATGCTCAACTACCCTGATCTGCAGCTCTGTCGCTTCGTCCTCACTGTCGATCATGAGCTTCATGATGGTGATCCATTCTGGCATGTCTTCCTCGACAAACCTCCTCATCACCCCTTCAATCCTGATCAGCCTTCCGTGACCAAAGGCTACGGCGACATCAAGTTCCAGGGCGAAGGTGATACCCCTGAGGACGCCTACAAGGATCTGCTCAAGTGGACCGCTGAGATGCTTCACAACGGCTACGCCAACTCCAAGAAGACGTGAGTTTTTCCATCATAACATCAAGGTAAGCTGTCCAAAGTTGTTCCAAAATGACATGCTCGCTAACGCTTTCCTGCAGAAGGTCACGAATCGAAGCCGATCAACACCATCTTCTTCCTGTTGAATGATCAGTCTTCACTCATCTTCCAGAGCAAAAATCTTTATGCGTCAAGAACATCGTCTACTCCGTCTGCTCTTTCTTGAGCAAAGTCTCTGTCATGCAAGCAGATCATGTCGCTTGTCACAGTCTTTACAGAAGAATACTTTACATTCAACATGATTCTGAAACTTGCTTAATGTCCCAACTGTTTATGTGATTTCCATGTAGCCATGAACATCATCCGATGCCCTTCTCAGCACGATCTGCGAAGATATAATTCTCTGTGGGTGATTGAAACTCTGCCAAGTCAATCGGATGTCATCAGTGCCACACTCAACAAACGTCTTTACCATGTTGCATCTTAAGTTTCCCTACTTTCACATTTTCCTCAACCTGAACAACGATAATTTCAGCAAGCACAGCCGACGACATGACTGCGGGCGATACTGATCCGGTATAGCGCCTTGCATAGACGTGGTTGACGGCTGTATACTTTCAACGCCTTTTTGCAACGTCGAACACTCGTCTGGGTCGAATTGCAGTTCGGCAGATACATCATCATTCAAGCGAAAATATGGCAATGAATAGCCCTGAGATCGTTGAGAGATAAGACATTGCCATGCGACGCCCCATGCGACGCTGAGACACTTTGGGATTCGAAACGGTAGCCACATAACGTAGAAATCTCTCGAGGTCGTCATAATGTAGATATATTTCTGGTCAACCCTATACTTGCAAGTATCATTGCTGTCTTGGTATCCTTTCAATTCTTGTTTCTATCTCTGCATCACATAAAATCAAGAAAGCTGGTACATAGCTCTTGACATCATACCACAAAGATGCCTCGAATAATGGCCCTACGCACTCAAATCCTAGGTCAGTAAACTCAAATCCCATCGTCCTTGACCACCATTCAAAAAAAAGTACTACATTCCTGACCTCAATCCTACAGACAATCTAGAGATCCTCGAATACCCCAACCTACAACAATTTCGACTATGTCTAGCTTGTGATGGCGTTGAAGGAGGCCAATGGACTGTCTTCCTCGATCAACTAAAACCCAGGGAAAGGGGAGATGCTAAGGTCCTGATGAATGATTATCATGGCAAAGGGGGTACGCCGGAGGAGGCGTATAGGGAGATGTTGAAGATGACGGCGAGGCAGATGTATCTTTGTTGTCTATGAATGAGGGGGAGGACAGAGAGTATACTGTAAGTGGAATGGATTTCGAGATGGAGGTTGAGAGTCGGGATGGGTTACTGACTTTGAGGCCAGGCTAGTAGATACTCGTGGAGAGCGACCAAAAGTCTCACTGCAAGAGAGCTGAGTGAGAGAGCCAATAAATCGCTTGTGGTGGTGGAGATGGCAACCAGCGACCAATGATACCCTTTTGCTTTTTCATACAGCGCAGGAGGCAGGACAAACTTATGTAATATGCCGATTTCAGAGTACAACTGTTTAAACATGATGACTGTGTCCAACCTCCCCCTGGCTTATTAGCTTCCAACTTTCTAAAGGACTCTCAATTCATCCTTACTTGTAACGTTGACGCTGGTTCTGAGAAGTGGACTATTATCCTATGAAGACCCATACAGGACAAGCGCTGCAAATACCATGACGCTTATGAAAAGGGTAATCGCGGTATCCCTGAGGATGCCTACAAAGACTTGCTCAATTAATTTGCCCTGGAGCTCGACACTCGCGGTTATACGTAAGTGACATTGTTTGAATCCTGAGATTTTGCTCTAAAAGGTCTCATAGATCGGCAATCTCGTACAGAGCCCACCCAATCAATCAGTGATGGACGCCGTGAGTGATTCTTGAAAGGATAACGCGCTGTGCGACAACGTAACAAGAATGCAAGTAGGAGGAAGGGGCAAACCTGGAGCGACAAGGGAAGGAACGACGAGATAGGCAGCTCAAATAAGGGAGTGAGTGGATAAATTCTTCCTTAATACTGCCAGTAATCAGGGGTATCATGCAATGCTAAAAGCCAAGTGAATAACAAAAAGTCATGAACGCCTACCATAATGCAATCTTGAAATTCCCGCATGACTCCTCCATCGAAGACCAGGCCTCCAGTCTCAAAACTTCAAGAGTCCTCCATCCGCTCGGAGGCATCCAGACAACCATGTCGTAACTCGAAGCTCGTTGCGGTTCTACCTGGCATCGCGGCTTCTTGAGCGTGAACGATCGCGCTTACTGCCGGCCTTTTCGCTGTCACGACGTGAGGCACCAGCGCTCGCAGAGGGTACGTAGCGGTCGGTCTTTGGTCTGTCGTCGTCTCTGCGGCGGCGGTCACGATCTCTGTCACGATCGCGCTCTCTTTCTCGTTCGCGGTCTCTTTCTCTGTCCCTGTCTCTATCTCGCTCGCGATCCTTTTCACGATCTCTATCACGATCCTTGTCGCGCTCCTTTTCTCTCTCACGCTCGCGGTCACGATCTCGCTCACGATCTCTGTCTCTGTCTCTTTCCCTATCCCTGTCACGCACATCGCGGTCGCGATCACGATCTCTGTCTCTGTCTCTCGAGCGATCACGGGTGTGACGGTCAGATGGGACGTAGCGATCGCCCTGACCTCTAGGAGAGCGAGTACGAGAGCGTCTTCTGCGTGTATCACGGTCACGATCCTGGCGATCGGAGGGAACGTAGCGGTCGCCCCTGTTAAGAGGACTGCGAGAACGATCACGGCGTGCGGGACGGCGATCACGAGAGGGAGATCTGCTGCGACGGTCCTTGTCGCGGAGTTGTTTCGCTTTCCATGCCTCGCGTTCGGCACTGATTTCACGCAAGGTGGATTCGCGTCGACCCTCATAGCGGTCGTAGCCTCTTTCTCTGAGCCTGTCGCGGTCTCGGTCTGCAGGACGGTAATGGCGGTCTGCTGATGGTGAACGGCGGTCTCGATCACGATCGCGGTCGCGATCTCTGCGGGCATATCTTCTGTCCAGACTCTCGCTGCGTTCACGTTCGCGTTCCATCTTCTTGGCTCCAGATTTGGAGGCCATGGCTTGACCTTCTTCGAGCAGCATGCGCATAGCCTCCTGCTCGAGACGCTTGGCCTCTTCCTCTTCTTGAATCTTCTTGCGTTTGGCTCTCTCTTCCTCTTCTTTCTTGCGTTCTTCTTCGAGCAGTTTCTCCTTCTTCTCGCGCTCCTCGGCAAGAGCCTTGATACGAGCCTTCTTTCTCTCTTCCTCTTTCCTGCGAAACTCTGCTCTTTCGGATTGTTTCTTCTGCAGAACCTCCAGACGTTCCTTCTCCTTCTTCAGTTCCTGCTCGCGCTGTTTCAAAGCCTCGAGCTCGGCCTTCTTCTGCTGAGCACGTTCCTTCTTCGCTTGTTCCTTCATTTCCTCGGCATGACGTTCGAGACGTTCTTTGTGACGGCGTTGTGAGGCTTCGGCGTAGACTGAATCGGGTTTGTTACCAGCGTCCTCCTCTTGCTTTGCAGCTTCTTCACCAATGTCGCTCCTGCGGATGTCCCGTAGAGCTTGTTCGGCAGTGTGGAGATAGTCTTGGATGAAAAGATCAATGACGGCTTCGGTCTTTGGATAGATGTCTGCACGAGCGGCAGCACCTTCGAGGAGGGGAGCAGCGAGGCGAGGGTTCTTGGCGAGGTATTTCACAGGGTCACGATCGATTTCGGCGTCTACGAAGGAGCGGATTGATTCGACTAAAGTGTCCTTTGTTGGCTGCGTGTAATTTTGTCAGAAGTGGAATCTACGATACAAGTAGATTCGCATACACCGTGATCAAATTGGGCAAAAGTGTTCTTGCGCAGGTCGTCGAACTGGCCCTTCTTCTTAAAGGTGTGCAACAGACTGTCGATGGATGCACGCTTGGACGAAGAAAGAGGCAGGTCCGAGACACGAGGGGGTTTGCGTCTCGACATGTCTGGCTGGGCACCGGCAGTCGTGTCGGTCGCCGCTGCCATGGTGGATGAAAGAACAAGTGTTGACGATGGTAATAATTAATCGAAGCAAGTCTGGATTCTGGAGACGGTGATGCGGGATGCGGAAGGCGCGCGGAGCAGAGACTCTGCCAAGACCGAGCTTGAAGGCAGGAACGAGCGTCTTCGGACGCAGACGCAGCCAGACACGACGAGAAGGTCAGCAATTGTCGATTGCATACTGTCGCCAACAAGTCTATTCAAGACATCCACCCACCCCTCCTCCAACCCATCCACCGACGTACTGCTGAGCCAGGAGCTCTTTTCAGCTGCAGTGCGACCCCGATCCGACCACCACCGATACCACTCTCGTCACATCACCAGTCGCAATGTCCAAGATCCTTTTCTGGGGCGGTTTCGGTGCGCATCTCCTGTTATACAGATCAAAAGTCGGGCGCAATGACTCATAACATCCTACAGGCATCGCCGTCCGCGTCTGGCAACTCGGCATTGAGATGCGTCCCATCATTCAGCGCAACTCCCTCTGGGCATACCCTCTGTTCGGCGGCATTGGCGCAAGCTTCGGCTACTGGCTGCAAGGTGTTGAAGAGAGACAGCTGCGCATCCTCCAAGAGACCAAGGAATCATTGCTCGAGAAGAGAAGAAGACGCGCCGAGAGAGAGGGCGGCATCAACATTGGTACCGACTACCAGAAGAACGAGGAGGGCATCTTTGCTTCTGCCCCTGCCGGCCACGGTGTTACCACAAAGCAACATTAAATCATGACACATCCACTTTGATATCCAGAGAGCTGCTACTTCCGCCGTCATGTACATTCAACCATCCACCAACCACTTCTTCAGCCTCGTCTCTTCTTCTTTCTTAGTCATTATGCTAGACAATCAAAAGAATAACCCTTGAACATATTGTGCCAGTCTGACATCTCGAGATTTCCTAAAGTTGGTCGAGTACAATGAGAAGCTTCTACCTCGAATCGCTGAGCAAATTGAGAACTAAAGTCGCGGATACCCATGTGTCTAGATCGATCTGAGTGTCAGCGAATCCATCCTTCGCACTCCCGTAGACCAATTCATCAGTGTCAGATTTGACGCCCTTAGCGAAGCATTCGAGACTGTAGTCCATTGCTGAAGCAATCCTTCCATCCTCTCGGATTGTCGGGCCGGCTGTGTCTACCAAGAACGAACGCTGCAATCGCTCCTCGATCATATCGATCAACGAAAACATCTCAACTAACATCACCGCATCATTCGAACAAAAGTCTGAACAATATTGATTGATATCTTCGAAGTGTACGGCTGCTCTGTCGCACTCTGGACACTGACACGCAGACATTGTTGATAGTGATTGCGAAATCCTGAGGTGCAAGCAAACAACGGCAACCACCTGTCAACAACTCTCTGCGCAAGCATCAATCCCGCAACCTGTCTTTAACCTCTATTATCTACATTTGTGGTCTGCTCCAGTCTATCTGGCTCAACCTCTGAAGAAAATATAACTGCGCACGCGACCAATGGAAACTCAACCACCACGAAATACTTGGCCAGGGTCACTTCGGCTTCCATCTCCAAATCCATCTGCCAGATGTAGTCAGATAACAATCTTTGGTGGTGGCACGGGTATGTTTAGGCGCCTCGACAGTCCATTCATGGAATCAAGAAACTGACATTGCGTATCAGCTACCAACCATCTCGTCGATGTGTTTACAAATCTCGCACAAGCCAACAATAGTGTGCTTAACTATGTCATTCCTATCAGTGACAATGGCGGGAGTTCTAGCGAGCTGATTCGAGTGTTTGGCGGTCCTGGTACGTGAATGTCTAGATTATGTGTATCGTTGAGATTCTATGCTGACATAAAGTACAGGCATCGGTGATCTACGTAGTAAGTAGTCAATACCTTTCTTTTAACGACCACGACAGTCCTCTCCTCCCTATCAATAAGATGCTAAGCTTTGCTCTCCTAAACAGGTAGACTGGTCCGCCTGATCCCTGACAATGGTGATCCTCACTCTGAGGCCGCGTCCATCAAAGCACTTTTCAATCATCGCCTACCACCAGATCCCAAAGAAGCACGTCTAGAATGGCTGGAGATAGTCGAGTCTCTACATCCGCTGTGGCAGCAGATATCCACGCCTAAGAAAGAGCTGATCAGAAGCTTCTTGAACTTGGTCAATCAAGAGATTGTCAAGAGAATGAGACCAAGCTCTAGATTCGACTTCTCCTCCGCAAGTATTGGAAACCTGTTCTTGACCGGGTGAGTACAACTTGCATATTCAAAGAACTCAAAGACAACTAACAGACAAAACCAGCGCCCGCCTCTTCTCCGGCAGTCTAGAATCAGCAATTTACCTCCTCAGCAGCGTCTGCAACGTACCAACCAGCATAACCGTCCTCCCCGCCATAAACACAAACTTCTCGCACCACATCTCCGTCTCTCTAGCAGATGGCACCCACATCACAGGCCAAAACAACATCTCCCACCCATTAGCTCCTTCTTCCGCTCTCCCACAATCCACCTCACCACCCTCGCCAACCCGCATCCGTCGCGAAACAGAAGAACAAGACAATGTCGAAGATGCAAATCTGCCTGGCTCATTACCTTCTCTCCGCCGCCCAGCTATAAACTTTTCAAAACTCCAAGAAGAGGATCTGCCGGCTAGGATACAGAGGCTGTGGTATATCAACCCTTATGGCCAAGAGATGAGTTGTCCCGCAAATCCTCGCGTGCTAGATGCGCTTGCAAATTCTTCAATGGTGATTTATAGTATTGGATCGCTGTTTACTTCGATCATCCCCAGTATCATTCTTAGGGGTGTGGGAAATGCGATTGTTGCGCCAAATGTTCGCAACAAGGTTTTATTGCTCAACAGCAGTATAGACAGGGAAACCGGCCCCAGCAGCACCCCCTTCACGGCTATAGACTTTATCGCTGCGATTGCGAATGCGTGTGCTGAGAGTAGAGGCTTACCTCCTCCTGAGCTCAAAGAGTATGGGGTCTACGTTACTCATCTGGTGTACATGGAGACTAAGGAGGCGCCCAAAGTGGATAGAGAGGAATTGGCTCAAGCAGGTATTGAGGGCATTAGGTTGTATGGGCAGAGTGGGAGGTATGATGATAGAGCGCTAGAACAAGCGTTGAAGATGGTTTTTGGGAAGGGAGAGCAGGGGAATGGGTTGAGTAGGAGGAATACTCTGCAGAGATAGGTGTGAGGAAGGATGAGGTTGTAGCTCAAAGTCGTGTCTCTGCGGACGAGTGTCGAATTCAAACTCCAACCCGACTTTTTACAGCTCACTTTGTCGGACGAAGCGGGCTGGGAGTGTGGTGTATAGCGCAATTGGAGGCAAAGCAGACTCGTTCCTAACAGTATTCTCATTACAATATCTCATCGTGGGTTGCAAATGTATGCTTCGTTACATAAACTCCTTCCAAAACTCTTATTCAAACTTCTCATCCTTACTCCTGGGGTTCACGACCACCTTGCTTTCTCATCTCATCCAGATAGTGATCCTCAGACTCGAGGTCAAACTCCATGGGGTGAGTGATAGGCACCATAGGAACACCCTTCTCCTCAAGAAGCTTCAGTCTCTGAGCTGTAAGAGGTCTGCTCTTGTTGATGCTGTAGATCTTGACACGGTGACTATACCAGCAAATTAGCATAAAGATTCTTCTGTCCTCTGTCCGTAGCAACAGGAAGGAACATGCAAAAAAACTTACCAACTCGAAGTAACGTGCAAGTCCCAGTTCCAAGCCGAGCGCACATAGGTAGGTTGGGTATTCATGGCATTGTCCCAAGTCCTGACACACAACTCCAACCACCCTTCTGCATCAACTGGAAGATCAATCTCCCAAAGCCTCCAAGCATAGTAATACTTTGTACTCATTTTCTCGTAGGGCACTTCATACCAGATACTGCCGCCGTCGCCAGAGACCTCGACGCGGACGGGCCAATGGCCACCGCCTGAGTAGGCCCAACCGCGCATCTTGATCTTGCCGTCGTGGATGATTTGGGCCATGTTGACGGGAGTCATGATGGCCGAGGAGACGGGCATGTCTTGGATGCTGAAACCGTTGCTGTACATGGCGTTTTGCTTGCCGACTTGGGGTGTGTAGTAGAGGTATTCCTTCGCTTGAACGGGAGCAAGACTAGGGCCTCTGATGGCTTTGATCTTGTAGAGCCATTTGCAACTTCTGGCTCCAATGTCTTTTCAACTTTGGTCAGCAAACGTTGCATGTCGAAGAGGTCAAGTCACTCACATCCGAACACGACGGTACGAAGAGGGAAACCGTGGATTTTTGGCAAAGGCTCGCCGTTCATCTCCCATGCGAGCAAAACCTCGTTGATCTTGACCTTTCTCCAGGGCACACTGACCACATAGTTATACACCTTACCCTTCTTGAAGTAGGTATCAGCACCGTAGAACTCAAGATGAATGCCTTCGCCACCATCTTTGAGGCCACCACAGTACTTGATAACCTTCTTCAAACTGACACCTGTCCATCGTGCTGTTCCAATAGCACCTTCACCCCATGGTGCGTTGATCAATTCATCACCATCGCCAGGGTATTCGTGAATCTGCTCGATACGGCGGGTTCCAGAGCATTGCAAACTGACGACGTTACTTTGGCGAGGGAACAGTTCTTCGTTTTGCAGGTCTGCGAGTGTGAGTCTCTTGGGGTCGTTTACTAGGCCTTCAATGTCCAGGGTATATTGCCCAGCGTCAATTTCGGGGACACCTCCGTGGTTGCGGATGAAATGGTCCTTGTTGCTGGTAATCTCAGTCTCTACCAGACGGTCCTAAGGTTTTGAGATGTCGTTAGTGTGTGTTTTTGATTTCTTAGAAGGGATAAAAAGTACCCTAGGAGGCTCTCCGTTGTAGGGAAATTGCAAGACATGAATCATGTCCTCACTCTTTTCCTGCTTGACGTACTTCCAGCTACTCCGATTAGTTGCCATTTCTCCGCCTTATCTTAGGAACACCGTACCTGATATCTGGGATATCCTTGAGAGTCTCTCCCATAGCATAGTGATATTGCTTCCATCTTACACCTTCCAGGATAGGATTTTGATCGGGCAGAGGCACAAGCTGAAATTCTGGAGGTGGAGGGAACTTGTAATTGGCGAGAATCTTCTCAGCGTGCTTTTTCTTCTCTGGGTATTTCTGGACAGGATGTCAGAAACGTGTCTAGGTGACGAGTTTTGATTGTTGGTAGACATGCCTCCCACTCGATATATCCCTTCCATCCCTCTCGTTCTTCGGCGTAGTATGGCGCTTCTCCAGAGACCTTGAAATCTTTAAGCTCGCCGGAGCCCTGCTGAGTGGGGCCAACGGCAACAGAAGTCATGTTTGCTAGTCAGTGTCGCAAATTAGTAGAGTCGTAGGTAGGTGGATGTGCAAGAGAATGCGACGAGGGGAACCAGGGTAGATAACGACTGAGCCGGGCAGGCTCGGCTGGCCTTTATTATGAGAAAGCACCACTCCATGCGGTGTCCCTGACGTACTTCGTACACAATCGTATTCTTGAAGAGGCTGGCCACCCATGTCTGAGTGATTAAGATCAATTGGTTCAAACCTGACCACAGATCGCACGCACTAGCTTGATCGAACGCGGGGAGACAGGAGTTTATCTCGCGGAACTTTCGGAGCCTCTTTCTTCTCGAAGAGGTTATACAGGGCATGCTTTTCTCGTCTCGTCCCTCGGATCATTCTCATCTTCTAGCTGTCATGTTACAACCCTGCAAGTTCAAGGAACTCCTTCTGTTGCTTGTCGACTTTGACAAGGATGAGGCTGACTCGGAACTCTGCGGAGAATAGCTCCGTCGTTTTGGCCAATCATGATGTCACGGTATCCGGCAGTTCCTGCCCTTTTCTTGACTTTTCCCTATCTTCGTTCGCAGCAGATTAGCAATCCTTGTTTCGCGCGAGCAAAAGCCGCAAAGTCCGTACCCTAGAAGTGTGAATCGAGAAGTGATCTTGGTTCGCTGTTGTACTTCTGTTTCCCGGCCACTGAGATTTGCATGCTGGACAGCGTGACCATGCATCGCCCTCCAGCTTGTGATTGTCCTAGCTGTTCACGAAATCAAAGTCAAAGAAATGCGAGAGTTGATGGTGGATGTCTGGCGCTCAAGAGGCCATGCTTGTGATTACTATTTATTTGTGCGGACGTAACGTGGCACATTACAAAAACGTCAAATGGGTATTGTTGAAACAAAAGGAATAAGTGCCGATGCATCGCTCATGCAGTGCCCATAGAGAGGCTAAAGGAAACAACGAAACAACAGGAACAGGCAGGTAGCCTCTCCTACAGAAATAGGAAGGTCAAAACACCGCTCAGCAGTGCCAGGTAAGAAGCTCTGCTTCGGTGGGCTGCAGATGTGTCGAAGGGAGAACCGCCACTGCCCTCTTCGGTCTGAGAGTGCTTGGCAGCCTGAGTAGTTGATGAGAGTGTGGTCTGGGTGGCCATGAGTACTGATGACGGCGTGCTTGTGGCGAAGGCGAGAGACGTTCCGGTGATGGTAGATGTGACGCCAGTGAACACATCAGGGTCGGAGCTGCTGGACTGGGGCAGTGGTCGAATGGTAGCGGTACTAAGCGCGGTGACAAAGCTAGTGCTCATGCTGGACGTATCGACTATGATGCCGGTGCTGGTAGGAGTCATGTCGCTGACAGTCATGGTGCTGGAGCCGATTGAGAATGATGCCGAGGTCTTCTGAGCACTGCTAGCTTGAGTTGCGCTGGCAGCATTGTTGCAAAGATCCTGGATGCCCTGGCCGTTCATGAAAGCAGCGATGATGTTGCTAGCACCATACTGTTGACTTTGACAAGAGCTTCTGACGGAGGATCCCAATGCAAGCAAGGCCGAAAGGCAAGAGGAAGAGCAGTCTCTAGTTTGGAAGTCTCCACCATCACAGCCATCGATGTCAGAAGAGTAGATGGTCTTGCAGGCGCCAGTCAAGTCGGTCAAGCGTGGGGTGAAGTCGTTGAGTGTGACCGCTGATGCAAATTGCAGGACAAGCAAGAACGCGATGAACAACATTGTCGGGTGATACATGGTTGGTAGTGTGTATGGGTGGCTGATGGTAGTGTTGATGTTGTTTTTGTGATGAGTTTGGTGATGGTGTTGTAGTTTTAAAGACGCCCGTGAGAAAGCACCAGGCTATCAAGAATTAATGACAATTGCACCAGGCAAGCTTTGCACGCTCTTGATGATGGCGGTGAGTCTTGTCGCGTGCTTTGTGTAATGTGAATGAAAGCGAAATCAAGCTGCAAGGAAGAATTGAATCGTGGAATTCTGAATGCACGGAGTGGAGCCTGCCTCGCAAACGAGGTTGTAAAATGAGATCGAGCTCTAAAGGCGATGTAGGAAGGAACAGAACAGTTTTTGCATTTCGGCAGGATGGATATACCAAAGCTTTTGACGGGGAAGTAGCGATTGACAGCACAGGGTAGATCGCCTTGTTCATCCTCCAGTACACGGACTACCAGGCAACGTCACACACCTGCTATGTATGTGCATGTTCTCTGTTCTTCCACACGAAGTTGTACCCGTTTGGTGGTTTGATGAGGATGAGACGTGCGATGACCCCTCTTGAAAACTTCTGAAACACAGTCTTTTGTCGATCCTTGCGCGAAATCTTGCATGCAACGCTTGTGATTGGTCGAGGCAAGCGCCAAGAGACGACCTCGCATGCGAAGCGATCAGAGCATCTTTCATGAGCTTTGACAAGGCCATCTCAATATAATCGTTCGTGCACGGCGAACGTCCGGAGTATCGAAGTAAGACAAACGACATAAAGTCTGGTAGATCTCTCCATGACACCGAAGAAGGGAACACTTACTCGTACTTCTACCATCACCACAGACAGAATTATATCCCTTCCATTTGTCCATTCCGGTACTGCATTCTCACTCACTGTGTCAGGCACGTTTCAGGTCTCCTTCACTTCGGGTAAGAGTCCTGCTTCACAGCTCCGCGATGAGACAGACTCCCGACCAGCAAACAGTCAAGCACTGCATGCAGACGTGACATGGCTGATCTATAACGTGCCTGAAGCACCTATCAAACCTCGCTTTCCCCCACCCATACGTTCCTGCAGCTCCGTTGCAAGAAAACGAAACCAGTGGAAACGGCATGGTATCCATGTCGAGGTAAATATCTCAAGTCCTCAACCATTGTTATGCACAATGGCAAAATGATGGTCCACCAGCATTCGTAAGCTGCAAGTCAGAGAGCCTGATCATTGTTAGGTGGGCGCAATTCTCTTGACTCGTAGTTCTGGTTACAGTGCTCGCCTAAAGAGCAGTATCGAAAATCATGAATAAGCTGGCCGCAAAGGCTTGACAAGGATAAACAGCTGGGCTTAAAACGGTAGCCAAGAAGCCTGTCTATATTATCATTGACGTATATACGACAGGGTTGCAGAGGAAGATTGATCGGACGATGCACTTCTCCTATAGTTGTCCGGATGTACGGCGTAATCTCGCGGAGCTTTCTTCCCAGATATAGCTCGGCGAAAATACAGACAAGATCTGCTCAAACTCCAAGTCAGGGGAAAACCGCGCCGCAAGACGCGTCCGCTGGAATACGAAGATGATGCTGAGATCTTCAAGGGATGAGATGGTCAAATTCGTCGACTTGAAACAAGAAGAGTGAACCCCTCGTGAACCCTTCGAGGGTCTTGGCACGGGTGAACGCTGCGTCCTACCCCACGCTTTCGGCAATGATCTCATTTCAAGAATTTTTTGTATTTTTTCTTCCGCTTCCATAACAACTCGGTTCGCATCACGCATAATACGTCTCCCTATCTCTCGCTGATTGGACCTGTTCCAGTGAACACGCAACATGTCAGATCAAAACTCGCCCTCGCAGTCGCCGGCGCCGTCGCAATCCTCTTCCTCCCTTCCTACCTCGATTCCCACCATTCGTCCTAAGAAGCAAAAGCCAAACTTCACACGCCCTGCGACCTCAGACCTCCAGTCACGTCTTCAGGCTTTCCTCCCACAAATGGCAGCCGCGAATGCTGAGCTCGAGAAGCTTGCGAAAGAAGGTGGCCTCGAGGGCAAGAGGCTTGAGGACGTAGGCGACGGTGATGAGTACGTCGAGATGGAGCTTGGCTTGGGTGTCATGGAGGAAAAGAAAGAGGGAGAAGACAGCAGCAGCGATGATAGCTCAGGCGAGAGCTCGGAAGATAGTAGTGAAGACAGCAGCGAGGATGATGAGGAAGATGACCAGGAGCACAACAAGCAACAGAAAGAAAAGGAGCAAAAGGAGAAGGACATCCTAGGCCGACTCATGGGACACAAGCAAGGCAGAGAAAAGGCCGCCGGCATTCAAGAGGTTGAGTGAAGCGCTAGTCTCGCTCTTCTACCATCTTTGCTCTGTTCAAGTTTCTTGTCCGACGTAGAAGCGACGACACTGGCCGACCGCACCTCGGGTCACGATATGACACAGTCTCTCGACTGCCCTTGCTCTGTAGCATCTGGCTCGCCAAATGCTACTTCTCAGTCAGGCCCACGTCTTCTACCTCCTTCACGACATGAGGCTCTGTCTCTCCTCCATTCGGCTTCGGAGCCAGCGTCGCCTTCTCGACGACGTGCGCACTGCTTTGTGTCGACTTCTCGGTGAACACAAACTCTCTGATCTCGCAGTTCTGCCATCCGGTACCTTGTCATGTCAGCGAGAACTGTTTCAGCAATCTTCGAATTGTCGACTCACCAAGAGAAGCATTGAAGCTGGACCAGTCTTCGGTCAAGGCGTGCAAGAAGCCGCCATGCGAGACCACAACCACAACATCTTCCTTGCGGCCGAACAACCAAGAGCGAAGCTTTGCAGCGCGTTTCTGGACGGATGCCCTATCTGGAGCCCATTTTCCTTCCTGCGTTTTGTCAGCATTGGCATATCCAGATTCTGAAGGGCCTACCTTAACGTTCCATCCCTCCTCAACCACATTGAAATCGATCTTGTTACTCGGAACACTCAGTTCTGTGTCCCAAAGCTCTCCAGCTTTGACCTGTCTCTCCAGTTCATCTCGATCTGTACCAATATCACAGGGATATGCATTCATTTCCTGTGCCATTGGCTGTAGAACAACCCTCACTCCATCTCTCTGTAAGGCGGGTGCGAAAGCGTGCACAGCTGTCTGAAGAGCACGGCGCAGAGGTGACGAGACAACCAATGCCACGGAATCATGATGTGCAAATGAGGCACTGAGATCGCGGCATTGAGATTTACCATGGGGTGTCAAGACTGCATCAGGGATACCGTCGTCGTGCTATAGCTATTGTCAGATTTCGTTTTAAGAATGATGTTGGTGCCAATTCACCTGTGCATTGTGCTCCCCTTGAGCGTGGCGAACAAAGTAAAGTGTTCTTGGCGGCATGATTGAGTTTTGCAGGTGATGTCTCGCGCGACAGTTATATAGTCTTTTGCCAGGTTGAACTTGTTTGAAGAATGAGAAATCACCAGCAAAGATGTTTTGCATGTGAATGATCAAGAAGGGAAGGCCTCATGTGATGTAAACTCGGGATACCTTCCTCGTCAAGATACCGCAACTCGGCCGCACTTGCCTCTTCAGGATCATCCGTCAACTTCACTCCTTGCCTTCACTCCTTCCCAAACGAATTCCATGAAAAACTTTTGGCAGATACTTTGATGTTCGAAACGAAGGTCGCAATCTTGAAGGCGATTATGCAAGGATACTAAGATCCATGTATGTTGATGTTGGAATTCACGTTTGAATTAATCTCATGCTCCGGGAAATCTCAAGACAAGCAGAACAGCAGTTTTGTTACGCTTCAATCGAAAGGGCCAAAACAGGTTTGGAATTCAACATCGTGAATAACCTGAAGTGCGAGCTCCTCAAGAACGTGGAGTCTGAGGAATCAATCCATTGCTTCTCTCAAATGGTAGATGTCAATGCCGCTCAACTTAACAATTTGCAATGACCTTATTCGCCAAACTCATAATCTTCGACCAACTTCTCCAAGAAGTCCTCCAGGTCTAGACGATTATACCAATCGCCATACCAATTCAAGAACTCGAAGATGGAGTCGAAGATCCTGGTTGGGTGGACTATACCGTCGTCGAAATCGCTTTCGAGATGAATGACCACGCGCCAGGCCCACTCTGCTTCGTCTTTGTCGTCTTGGGTCTTTTTGGTGTCGTCAGCGTTGTCTTGGTCCGCCTTGTGACGGCAAAAGAGGTAGTAGCTATGCCACCACTCGACTGGCTCATATTTACATATTCCGATGGACCAGCCGAATTGAAAGCCGCCCAAGACATCCAGGCGTGAGAGTACATCCATCTCGAAGAGGTCTGCCCACGTGTCGTTGAAGTTTTTTACGGTAGCCTTAGGAGCTTTGTTCCTCCCATCAAGTATTTCGCGCATCTGCTCTCGAACCAGGGTTTCTTGCTCCACATCTTCATGCACAAGGTTGAACAGACATCCATCGTCGCAGACGAGATGATCTCGGCTCGCTTTAGACACAACTTCCTTGATTGGAGCTTCAAAAGGACAAAGTCCACGCCGATCATAATCAAGACTGAGAACTCCACTTACAAAACCGAAGAACGCGATCAGTTCTTGCGGCACAACCACTTTGTGCTCCTCCCGCCCCTTGAACACAACCTTGATCATCTCTTCCACCAGCATAGTTGAGAACTTCTCGCTATAGGGAAGTCTATAGCAATTCCTCTGTAGCTGTGGCAATCCTAACACTTGCTCTAGCCGCTCGGGTGGCCATCCATAGTCGCCAACCTGTTTCGGGGCGCTCTCTGGCTGGTTGCTGAAATCCTCATTCTGACCCCAGTCCTCTGATCTAAAGAGGATTTGAGCTATACGATTGAGTTTTTCCTGCTCGGTGAGATTGAGAGTGGAAATAGCGTTAACGCAGTCGCGGAGGAGACGTAGGTTGCTCTCTTTGGATTTTTGATTGTACGACTGGACTGCAAGGTGCATTTCCTGTTTGAGAGTTAAGGCGTCTGAGTCGATGGCGACGTTGTGTGTGCCGGCGACAGTTCTTTCAAGATCTTCCGACATCTTTTTGACAAGGCCGACGGACAGATTAGTATGATTGGAAAGAATGAGCATGGTTCGATGAGAAGCTTTTATCTGTTTGAGAGCTGGGCTTGGCTACTGCCTGGTTAGCTGCCAAGTGTGACCAGTGGTAATTTCCCAAAAAGACCTTACGTGTGGGTCTAATGCTGAACTATAGTAGCCAAGCCCTTTAACTCGCAAGACTCATGAGGATAGCCCTTCGGTGAATCCGCGGTTTGAGACCTACTGTTGTTCTCGGCAGCTACATTATCACAAGAGTCCTATACTCAAGAGAGACTATACCCACCTGTTCTGTTGTTGAATGATCAGGTCTAGCAGATCCAAAGGCGCTACTGCCTAGATCCTTCCTGCTGATAGTATCCTGGTACTTCACCTCGTGCCTCCTCGGTCTGCCACTTTTCTGTCAAACCTACCATTGACTCAGTCGAATTCGATCCCCTCAACCAATTCCTTCAAGAACCGAGCACGATCCAACCGATCATACCAGCTTCCATACCATTGCAAGAAATCGAAAATCGTGTCGAAGATCTTGAGTGGTGCCACTATGCCTTCGCCGTGGTCGCTTTCCAAATGCACAACGACACGCCAACCCCATTTCGTGTTGACTTCCTCATCATCCTTACCCCACATCGCAGTGACATCCTCGTCATCCTTGGAGCGGCAGAAGAGGTAATAGCTATTCCACTGTCGAACTGGCTCATCTCTCCAAACCCCAGTGTTCCAACCAAAGTGGAAGCCTCCTAACAGGTCTAATTGCTCAAATCCGTATCCAGATGGCATATCTTCCTCGATATCTTCAGGGAATATGCTGTTCCTCTCAAGGGTCTCGTGCATCTCTTCTTGCGATACGCCTTCCTTGACCGGGGCTTCGAACTGACAGAGCCCGAGTCGGTTGTAACCCAGGTCGTACACACCACTGACACAGCTAAAGAAAGCGACCAACTCTCGAGGCACAACAGATGGCTCAGCATGCTCTCCAAACACAAATTTCGTCATCTCTTGGACAAGCATGGCAGAAAAATCTCTGCTGAAAGCGGGCTTCAGGCTGTCTCTGCTCAATTGCGGCAAGTCTAGGACCTGATCAAGGCGTTCTGGCGGCCAGCCGTAGTCACCAGCTTGCTCTGGCTTGAGATGCGGCTTGGCGTCAAAATCGATGTTGGTTCCCCAGTCCTTCATGGCGAAGAAGACGTGGGCCATTCGGTTGAGTTTCTCTTGTTCTGTCTCTAGACCGGCTGCAGCGACAGCCTCTACGCATTCGCGCACAAAGCGAAGGTTGCTCTCCCGAGCTTTTGTATTGTACTCCTGAATGCTTTGCTCCATACGCTGTCTAAGAGCTTCATCATCTTCGTCGACATGAAGGCTGCGAAAACTAGCGATAATTGCTTCCAGATCTTCGGTGTCCATATTGTTGTTTCGCGCCGAGGCATCAACGTAACAAGACTGCTACGAATCAAAAGCTGGACTGACGGGCAGTCAGTTCTCATTTATGAAGATGCAGTTCCTGGCTGTCGCTTGGTTGTCGATGGATCAGAAGGAAAGTCTTAATCTCCGAGGAGTGAATCGACTATAAGTGGATGTAGCCGCCAATCTGCTTGACTCAAATGAGCCACAGGATAAGCTATATGGGTCCGAAGCACAGTGTGCTCGATTCATGGTGTGCACGGTGTATCGAGCTGATAGAAAGTGTTGTGTTATACAAAGTCCGTCCGATTGAGGTGGGCAAAGTCTGCCAAGATTCCGGATCATGCTTCCCTCAGACGTGTTGTGAGCTACTTGCCTCTGACATCAACATTGTACTTCCTTAGCACTACTAGGGTATCGAATAAGCGGGAGCAGTGTATATGAGATTGCAGCAGCGAAGGTCACGAGTTCTGCTTTCCATCCTCAGCTGAGCTAGGCGCCCAAGGCCACATTGGCTCGTGAAGTAACCACCCAAGCAAGACGACGTATTTGGATAGGTGTAACTACTCAACCGCTGGAAGTACACAGGTCTGAAGTTCGCACGAAGAATTCGGATCAACTGGCCAGAAAGCTAGTATCCCGACACCCAAGAAGAAATGTAATGTCGTCATGCACATAAAGTGTTACCGCATCTGAAAAATCATCTCGCATGACCCCAGGCATCCTGCGATAAGCAACAATGCTCATAAGAAGATGGTTGAGCTAATCGTGGGCATTTGTAGGTTCGCTTCAGTATCGTTGACGTATCACCTTCAATCTACCACGCCCTCGCTTTTTCTCTGATGTGAGACGTCGAGGAGTAGCTGAGTCGAGACGGCTCTTCAACTGAGACCACTTCTCCGTCTGTGACCCACTCTTCATCTGAGGTTGGTTCTCCATCAGGCATCGGTTCTGGAAGTCTGGTGTCGAGTGTGGCTTCTTCAGGCTCTGGTCCAGTTTCTTCGATGTAAAGTGTCCTCAATGGCTCCTCGGCGGCTTGTGAATCTTCGTCGTTGACGTCCGGGTCGAAGACTGAATTTTGTTTTGGCTCGAACTTGGGATGGTATTGAAACTGTTGCAGGAGATGTGGCTTGAGAGGATCTTGTTGTTGCAACACGACGATGCGCTGCACAGGTTGTCCTGGGCATTCACCCTTCGACCAGCAACCGAGCTCTTTGTACTTGTAGAACCTTCCATCCGGATACTGGACATAGATCTCGGCGGGACCGTGCCTCTAGTAGCGGTATCGAGTCTCTTGCTGTGCAGGGAAGTAGTAGGTGCCGGCTCCAATTGCTGGTAGTCCATAGCCTTGGTAAACGACCTTAGCACGCCCTCTTCTGACATCATCTCTCAACTCTGCAGCTCTTCTGCCGTCTGGGAAGCGTAGAATGATGTACCAGGCATGCAGAATACCAGGTGTCCAGCCGAACAAGGTGAGGACGATATTGATGAACAGATGATGGTCGCAGCCCGTTCTTTTGAGGACGGATAGTGGAGGTAGGAAAAGAGCTACGATGGCAAGAAAGAGTCCACCCTGCGAATTGTTAGCTAATTCCTTGAGTGTGGAGTCTAATGCGACAAACCCAAAGACCCATGATGGATGTGAAGTCAGGGAAGGCAGGATGGATAAGGTCGCAGAGGCGGCTGTTTAGTTGAGATAGATGATATCTAGAGATGACAGTGACAGTGATGAGTGAGACGAGGTGATGGTATGTGAAAGGGGATTGCGCGAGCATGGCCTGAGCTTGACGCTGAAGGTGCCATCTTGATGACTCCTTCCTCAGACGTCAAGAGCATGTGAAGATGGGACAGCAAACTGTGGACACAAGCCAAGAATGTTCGAGGGTAAGAACGAAGCAGCTGAGAGTAAGGCTCATGCCTTTTTAGTGGAAAGTGTGCTCGCCGATACTGTTACGATTGGAATATATTCAAGAGTTCAGTCACCCCTCCAGTGGTCCACAAACCAACAAAACGTCCTAGTTGGACGGGTCTTCCACGCAGATAGATATCTCTAGAGAAGGCATAGAATCTAAGATTGTTTACCTTCGTTAGGATATGACCACAGGGAAACCGTGCAATAATATCTCTCCGAGATCAACACTTGCTCCTGAAAACCATGGTGCATTCATAAAGCTACATTGGAATCCTTCAGAACATGGCCGAAATAAAAGAAAGTATCATACACAGGATTGAGGTATCAAAACATTCTTGACCACTACAATTGCTATCAACATTCTGATGACATCGACCGCAACAAGTATCAGCAGAAACAAGCCCAAGTTCCATTATCAGGAAGACCGAGTTTTCCTCAACCATCCATCACAGCTCATCAAGGCGCACGTTCTCGCTTCGTCCTTGTCTTACTAACTTGATCTTCGCCCATTCGCTCTCAAGATCCTCTTCCCAGGCTCTTCCACTTTTTTGCTCCAACATCTTGACCAATGCGGAAGACCCAGGAGCGAAGAATTCCGTCTCCTCAAGCTCATACCAGCCTAGGAACGTGAACTCCTTGAGCTGACTTGAGGATCGGACTTTAGAGAATACAGCGATAGGTTGGAGATTACTTGTCTTTGTTGCATCACCAAGTGGTTGAGTGGAGGTAGGCGAAGTTGATGCAGCCGACGAGGAGGAAGCGACTTCAGGTCTCTCAGAAGCCGCTGATACCGTACGGCTGCGCAAATCTATCAGGTCAGGGTCTGGAAATGCGTTGCTGGGATCATCGTGCTCATGCTCAGGCTCTCCAGCGTCCTGATCCGGGTAAGGGAGTTCATGGCCGGGGAGAAGATGGAGATTGACCTTTGCAGATACGGCCAGCTTGCGATAGCAGCCGTGGTTGCCATTCTCGTAATTGCTGAACAGGACAATGAACTTGAGAACATCGGGTTTTTCTGCCGCAGCGTTCAGGGTCTGTATGCTACCATGTTCAAGTCGGAAACGTGTGGCTATCTCGGTAAGTGAGACAAGTCCTGAATTGTTCCTGCCAGGTCTCAGACGCCTGGTAGATGCATGTGGCTGAGTTGGGATCACTAGAGTGTTCATCAAGGCGTTAAGTTCCAAAGAGAATGGGGAGGCTAGAGGACCCGGCCAGCACGGATGGTTCCCCACAGAATAGCAGGGCGTGAGTGTTCTTGAGAGCACACGATCAACACCATGCATATGTTCAACGTGGCCTCCCCAAGTTTGACCATATTCAGAGGCAGAATTCGATCGCGCGGGGCCCACAGGAGGGACCTGTCGAGCAATGGAGCGATCGAGTATCCTAGTATGGAGTCTCGGCCTTGCTCTAGGGGCTGCAGGAATGTCGTGACTGATTGCAGAAGTCGGGTGAAGTGTTTGGCGGCCAGACTGGGATTGGCCTGGCGGATTGGGCACGTGCGAGCTGTAGTTGTACTCAGGATCACTGTCAGTGTCTATAGACACATGGATGCCGCTAAAGCTCAGAGGCTCGAAACCCTTCATGGCGTTCGTAGTGCTCGTTGGGTCAGCTAGAGCCCAGGTGCGTGAAGAAGTGATGTATGAGGGCATCTTTCTCGCTGCCATGGTGAATTGAGTCATTGAAGTAGGTCAAGAAAGTAAATTGTGAAGTTGGCTTTGCAGTTATGGTGGGCTTATGTACTCTCCTGGCATGCGCTTCGAGAGCAATACAGCAGGGAAGACACGTGTGGTATGTTTGGCCACATAGTGAGTGGAAGCTACAGGCCACGCAGACCTACGTGGACATGGCTGCTGAGCCTATCGGCTTACCTTGCTTAGAATACGAGCGAACACATGCCGACTGTGGATATCAAAAGTACACTCGTGATTGAGATCAAGGTATCACGAAAACCCCGCTGAGCAAAGAAGGAAGCCGAGGGCACGAGCAGGTTGAATCTTGCTGCAAACATAGCGGGGTTTTTGACACGCTGCTGAGATTCCGGCACGAATGCTATCGAGAGACATGTTTGAGTTGATGCAGAGTGTGCAGCGCAGGTCGTGATGCTAAAGCAGGAACGAAGTCGATCAAGGAGGAAGGCCCGTCAACATCCCCATCGGGTTAGCGTCAAATTGACTCGCTCTCCGTCATACTCGCGACTTTTGGTTGCACTTGACTTTGTTCAAGAAACAAACCAGCATTCATCATGGGAAAGGGTAAGTCTCTCTGGATTATTCGATTTGAACAGATGACTGACTTCCATCGCAGGCACAGATAAGTTGTACGTATGTCGTAACCTTCTTACTGGATCTGCTTGCGACTCGGCTAACATACCGCGACACAGATCACTCACAGCGAGTGGGCTTCCGACACTGCCTTCTCTGCCAGCGCTGGCGCCGGTGTGAACAAGGGCAATGTTCCTGGCGCCTTCAAACGACTTCCCTACAACTTTTGCGCCTTGTCGCTACAACCATTCGAGCATCCAGTCTGCACATCCGACGGGACCATCTTCGATCTCACAAACATCCTGCCATGGCTGAAGAAGCACGGAACGAACCCCGTTGATGGCGCGCCTTTGAAGTCAGCCGACTTGATCAAGCTCAACTTTGCGAAGAACGACGATGGCGAATACGTCGATCCTGTCACCTACAAAGTCTTTACCGACAACACTCATATCGTCGCCCTCAAGAACACTGGAAACGTCTTTGCTTGGGATACTGTCGAGCGCCTCAACATCAAGGCCAAGAACTGGAAGGACCTAGTCAGCGATCAAGATTTCAGTAGAAAAGACATCATCACACTCCAGGACCCACAGAACATCGAGTCGAGAGACTTGAGCTCTTTCAAGTACATCCAAGAAGGTGCAAGCACTTTGACACCAGAGCAAGAGGCTGAAAGAAGCGCCAACGTCAACACTGGTGCATTAGGAAACGCTGCAAAGATTCTCAAGGCTAAAGAAGCCGTCGCGAAAGCAAGAGCAGACAGACAGAATGCCGCGCAAGGAAACTCGTTACAACGAGCAATGGCAGAGGCAAAGAAGTCGAATGCTGCTACTGGATCTTCGAAACCTGTTCCGTACAACGCTGCACAGTACACGACAGGAAAGGCTGCCGCTTCCTTCACCAGCACTGGTATCTCCGTTCATACTGGCAATGAGCGCGCGTTATTGTCAGACGAAGATTATATGTTGAAGCCTAAACGCGTCAAGCACAAGGGTTATGCTCGCCTTCAGACAAACCTTGGCGACATCAACGTCGAGCTACACACCGATCTCGCCCCCAAAGCCGTCTGGAACTTTGTCCGTCTAGCACAAAAGGGATACTACAAGAACATCCTCTTCCATCGCAACATCCGCAACTTCATGATCCAGGGTGGTGATCCAACAGGAACAGGGCGAGGTGGTCAGTCAATCTGGGGCAAGAACTTTGCAGACGAAACCGAGAACGCCCTCGTTCATGACTCTCGTGGTATCTTGTCAATGGCCAACAAAGGCAAAGACACGAACTCGTCACAATTCTTCATTACTTATCGCGCCGTACCGCACCTCAACAAGAAACACACCATTTTCGGCAGAGTAGTAGGCGGCATGGACACCTTATCCCGCCTCGAAGCCGTCAAGACAGACGAAGGCAATCGTCCCATCGATGACTGTGTTCTAGAAGACGTTGTGGTATTCGTGGACCCTTTCGAAGAATTCCAAAAAGAACGTGCTGAGAACGAAGATGCACAACGACTGAAAGAAGAAATCCAACGTCAAGGAGGTACGGAAGATGACAAGACTACCTGGACTGGCAAACGCATCAGAGGCGATGGAAAGGTCGAGAACACTGGAGCATCTGGAGTAGGCAAGTATCTCAAGACTGCCTCGGCGCCGCCGGTCGAAGAAGATGAGATTGTGGGAGAATGGGACGAACCAGAACCCCCGAAGAAAAAGGCAAAGTCAGGTGGGTTTGGCAATTTTGATAGTTGGTGACAAGGGAGTATCATATCACATTAAGTGGTCATTGATGAAGCACTTTAGCTATCACTACCAGCAGATTACGAGCACGCTTTGTGTCTGACTATGATCATCCAAGTCATCGTGCGTGGCATCTCGTCACTCTAAACTTGTTTCTCTCGATCACACTCTTGAACATCAGACATTGCACCTTTCCCTTCATCCTCCAACGTCACGTCGGTTGGTTTAGTCAGAACTGCATAATGCTTGCGACGTGACCTGTAACAATCCACTAGTTGTAACACGCAGCAGCAGGCCTGTAACAACAAAGACCACTTTACGAGTGTATCTTCTGGACCCAGAGTAGCGGCAAGTGCAAGAACAGTTAAGAGAAGGAGTATGTTGAATACAGCAAAGCCTGTAGTTGCGATAAGCAGATATATCACGTATCTCGATGCAAACGGTTAAAGGACGAACATACCATTATTCCATACTACTTCCCAGCGCCTTGGGCTTTTGGTTTGTAGAGCCGGTACTTTCTCCATAGACAGATGTGATGGTTCTGAGATGACTATGAGATGGTCACAGACAAAGATCACTATAGCTCGAGGTCAGGGATATAGTCATAGCTACATGGTAGTACAAAGTACAGTAAGCAGAAGAAAAAAGGAGGAAAAAGAATAAATGATGTCTTGAGGAGAGTGTCTTGGCACTGCGGACAGATCGACATGGAGGCTTGACTCATGTGAATTTTAGGATTTTGATATCGCATCAGCTGCTGGACCGTCGCGACTTCTTAGCGCATCACCACATGTTATAGCAGAGGCTTCTGTTTCGCGACTATATAAACAACTCAGACCGCTTGTCACGCGACGCGAAACACTTCTGGAACCGCAGACGACTCGGTCAGAGCAAACAGATCATTCACGCGCAAAACCTCGGACGAGAGCCGAAACCACACAACCATCATGTCGTCAGCAGCAGGAGAGGCTGACAAGGCCGCGAACACACCTTCGCAGAACGAAAATGCAGAGAAAGCAGCAGGCGCAACGAAAAAGGACAAGGCACAAAAGCAAGAAACCGGAAAGAAGGATGAAGGCACAGCAGATGGAGAAAAGAAGCTCTCAGGCGCCGAGCTGAAGAAACAAAAGCAGGCAGAGAAAGCAGCAAGACGTGAAAAGGAAAAGGCCGAACGCATGGCTCAGCTCGGTCAGACAGCTGCAGCACCACAGACACCTGCCAAGGGCTCCAAAGGCGGTGATGCAAAGAAGGGTGGAGAGGCAGCACAAAAGGGCGGTCCTGCTCAGGGCCAGGCACAGCACAAGAAGGGTCAATCTCAAGGTGGAAACTTGCCTATGCGCGGCAAACCTGGTCCTGGAGGAGTCATTCCCATGACTCAACAGCAGCAGCCGCAACGAAAGACTAATAAAGAGGTCGGTCTGTTTGGCCATCTCTACACAAATGCCCCTAAGAGAAACACTATGGAGGGTGTGAGTAAGGAGGTTCACCCTGCTGTTCTGGCACTGGGTCTGCAAATGAGCTCCTTTACTGTCTGTGGTAGCAATGCACGATGTGTTGCCATGCTGCTTGCGTTCAAGAAGGTAAACATCCATATTCATTATCCGTTTTTGTCGTTCTGTATTCTGACCTGAAATCCCAGGCCATCCTCGACTACCAAACACCACACAACACCTCTCTCGCCCGCCATCTCACATCTCATTACCTCTCACCACAAATCGACTACCTCAAGTCTCACCGTCCCATCTCTGTCTCCATGGGCAACGCCATTCGTTGGCTCAAGGACCTCATCATCAAGATCGACCCCGACACGCCAGAAGCAACCGCAAAAGAAGACATTTGCGCCGCCATTGACACCTTCATTCGCGAACGTATCACCGTAGCCGACACTGCTATCGCTGCAACTGCTTGCGCAAAGATCCGCAACAACAGCACCATTGTCACATACGCAAAGTCCTCCATTGTCGAGAAGACACTGCTTCGCGCTTGGGAATCAGGCACCCGCTTCAAGGTCGTTGTCGTCGACTCGCGTCCTCTGTTCGAAGGCAGAAATCTGGTACGACGACTTGCCAATGCTGGAATTCCTGTTACCTATCTCATGGCTGCCGCTGCACCTCACGCTCTCAAAGATGCTGATTTGGTTCTGTTGGGTGCCCACGCCATGATGGCCAACGGTCGCCTATACTCACGTGTGGGTACTGCTGCAGTAGCCATGTTGGCCCACTTCCGCGACATCCCAGTCATCGTACTTTGCGAAAGTATCAAGTTCACCGACCGAGTCGCTCTGGACAGCATCGTGCTCAACGAAGTCGCACCTGCTGAACAACTGATTCCCGTCTCAAAGTCTGTTTCCACCCCTGCAGCAACAGATGCCAAGAAAGACGACAAAGAAGAAGACTCACAAGCGAAATTGGAGAACTGGCGCGACATGCCTAATCTGCAGTTGTTGAACATTCTTTATGATGTCACGCCTGCTGAGTATGTCAATATGGTCATCACTGAGTATGGATCTTTGCCGCCTAGCTCTGTCCCTGTGGTGCATCGTATCAGTACAGAGAGGGATGTCAGACTGTAAAGGTCTTGTGGATCATGTCTTGGTGCGAGCGACGTGCAAAGAGAAGATAGCAACATGAGAAAATGAAAAGCATTAATGATCATCGATATCTCGGTCCCGAAACATGATCGGCCTGAAAAGAGATGCTCCCCGGCATTGCCCCTCGAAATTTGCATTCGGTGGTTGGCCGCTTCAGCGAGGGCGAAGGCGAGAATTCGGGAGAACAATACTAAGCTTCGTGTAGCGTAGGCCTGCCTTCCAGCACTCAACCTAATTTGACATTACAAAACCTCTTTACACCACTGTCACACTGCTTCGAACCTCGACGGTTTGCCTCCACAACAATACATCGCTTGCTCGAGATGACGCTTGTCAATGGTGAAATGCTCAACGAATTCACATGATTTGTCTTTGCGTTGCCAACCTTCGAATGCGCTTAGCCCACGACAGTGCTGTTTGACCGACTGGTAGTGTCGTGTTTTCATGGGATGATATAATTTGACAAAATCGTCTCCCCGTCAGCCTGGCAGTGAATTGGTGCTCTGGTCTCGATGTCTTTGTTTGCATACAACAACATCAAGACCATCACCACAATGCTTACCAAGTAGAGATTGACAGGAAGTAATCTCCGCCTACTACTCGAGCCATCTCTATTCTTTGACATCTTCTTCCTGTTCTTTATCTCAAGCACAAATCACACGAACCGAACCATCTTCATCCGAGGCAAGCACGTTTCAGCCATACCAACACGTGGCGAATCTACCAGATCAAAGACCTTGTCTCCTCATCTTCCATCGAACATATAACCGCCCAACCATCCACTACATCCTCTCTCTCTCTCACCCACAAAATCACAAACACTCGCTAGTAAGCCCTCCTCCCACAAGCCTACCAATCTTTTATCCTTACTAACAAAAGCCCCCAGCTTTTTCAAAGTAACACCAACCCCAATCAACATAATGGCCATCACCGACTTCTCTACCGCTGGTACCATCCAGAAGAGCAACGGCTCACTCGTCAATGCTTCCTGCACTCTCCAAAAGAGCAATGGACAGCTTGTCAATGCTTCTTGCACTCTTCAGAAGAGTAACGGACAGCTCGTTAATGCCTCTTGCACTCTTCAGAGCAATGGACAGTTGGTCAATGCTTCTTGCACTTTGCAGAAGTACTAATTCTCTGCCGGATGGTCTGAGGCTTTCTCGCCCTGGGTTCGTCGCTCTTACTTGAAGGATCTTCTTGGAGGTTTATACTCATGCATGTTCTCATGTTTCTGTCTGGGTCGTTGATGTTTGTTGCGAATCTTGGATTGGTCTTGTTGCCTGCTGCATTGGGTGACTTTGCTATCTGAGGTTTCTTCTTTCTACTCTCAATATATCTTTTTTTGCTTGCTTGCAAATCATTTAGCTTCTTCCACTTTTGTATTTCGATGTGACATCTTGCTGTCGTGCCTCGTGCTTCCTTCTTCTCATGGCTGCCCTCGATCGTTGTGTCGAAAATGTACTACCGTATACGGTAAATACCTTTCCATGCTTCTTGTGTGCGTTTCCCTATGGATGCCATTATATGCTCTGTAGACAGCGATCGTTGAAGTTTCTGTTGCCACAATCTCAGAGACACTGCTCTTATTCGGTCGACGACCTGACTGTGCTTGTAAAGAGCATTTTTGGGTGTTAAAGCAAGTAGGTAGAGTACGTACTACGTTCAAGGAGAAGCATTTGTGGAGCTCTTGGCAAAAATTGGCTTTCGTATCGGCTTTCTAGCGCCGACGTCCTTCGAACGGTCATCACCTCTTTGATCCTGCTGCTTACTCGTGTTCACCTGCCATGTCTCAAAGACAGTCAAATATTCTTCGCTGTATCTGTCGTTGACATCCTGACCATGTCTCCACGGTATCGAGGGCCCGAATCGCAGCATACCGCGACGAATAGTCTTCGATGCCGTTATGTAGTTTGCATCATCATGCTTCTCCTTTACCATGAAAGATGCCAGACCTCCTGAGCTCTTCGTCGTCACCGTCGCCGTTGACACAGGGGCTCGTGTGCTCTCTGGCAGAAGCCTGGCCATGAGGCTTTCGATTACAACGGTCAGTACTACTTCTGCTCGGCTCTTTGCACCCAGCATTGTGATGATGGCGGACGGCTACCGCATCAATTGCATGGCTTCCTAAAAAGGAGTTTCTCCCGCGACTTTATTCACAGTCAATTATCTCTCACTGTTTCTCGCAACCTTATACTACTCACCTTCATCTAGAGGCACTCTTGATACCAGTCCGCATACATAGAGCTTGCTACTACTTATAACCACAGACCACGACTGGCACCGTCTAGTTCATATGTATATCAACTTGCCCTCACGGAGCAGCACACCTGCAAGGGGATCTCCAATGACACCAGGCTTGCCGTCGAAATACACAGATTACTTCCACCAACCACGACGACGAACTCATGTTGTCCGCATACTTGCCATTTCTCTTGCCATCGTACTCTGCTATATCGTTGCGACACGTGGGCCGGAATCGTCACAATGGGTGCCCACAACCATACAAGACAAAGTGAGCTTTGGCGACCACGCTGGGAAACCTGTCGACGAGAAAGCACCGCCGCGTGGCTACAGTGATACGGATAGTGGCAGGTGGACTGAGCCCGCCGAGGAGCAAGATGAGAGCACATTGGACAGTGGGAAAGAGATGGAACATACTGTCGATCGTATTGAAGGAGACGAAGAGGCCGAGTACGAAAAACTCAAGGATTCGCAGACCGACAACAAGGATCCCGACATGAAAGAAGGGTCTGACTATGTCTCATCAACCGGAAGTGACGAGGAGTCTGCTGTCGAGCCATCACACCATACACAATCCACACCATTTGTTGCTCACAACATTGGTAACGGTGAAAAGTACTCCTTCCGAGAGGCTCTCAGAGATGTCCTTCACATGGTTCCAGACGAAATCTACACTCGCGATTTGCTCCGCCCACTCGAGGGTGGTGGTCAAGATCGTCTGAAAGAGTTGGGTATCAGAGCTAGGGCTTTCCATAAATTCTTCACCGTCTGGGAGGCACTTCATGTTGTTGCTGATACAAAGCTGACCTATGTCCGCGACGATGTCATCAACTACCTAGAGAATGCCCCTGAGAAAGAACTTGCCGATGTCTCAGACCTGGAGCGCGGAGACATCATCAGAGCCTACGAGAGGTACAGAGCATTCTTGGCAAAATTGTCGAGTATTCTTTACCCATACACATCTCCTTACTTTGCGGACCATTTGACTCTCCATGCACACTTCCGCAATGGTGGTCGTGGTATTGTTCTCTCTGGCAATGACAAGCAAGCGCCCTTTATCTTGACTTCGATCATGTCCTTCCGCAAGCTGGGATGTAAACTTCCAGTCGAGATCATGTATCTCGGCGAGAACGATCTCAACGATGATTGGAGGATGAGGCTTGAGTCCATCCCTGGCGTTGTCACTCGCGATTTGAGTCAGATGGTTTCTGACGAAGGATGGGAGCTCAAGGGATGGGCATCTAAGGCATTCGCTCTACTCATGTCTAGCTTTCGCGAGGTTATCTACCTTGATGCCGATACCTTGTTCTTTGTCAACCCTGCAGAGCTGTTCGAAGATCCTGGCTACATCGAAACTGGCGCTTTGTTCTTCCGCGACAGAGTTTACGCTCCTTCGTCTCGCAAGCAGTGGCTCAAAGACATCCTTCCCAAGCCTATCTCGAAGAAAGCGCAGACTTCTCGTTACTGGACTGGTGAAAGTCGTGAGCAACAAGAATCCGGTTGTCTTGTTGTGGATAAGTGGCGTCATCTCGTTGCTATGTTGACTGTCACCCGTATGAATGGGCCTGATCGCGATGATAATGCCAAGACTGGTGCTAAAGGCGTCTACTCGCTATTCTATGGCGACAAGGAGACTTTCTGGCTCGGCTGGGAACTTGCTGGAGACACAGATTACTGGTTCAACGAAGGTGCCGCTGGCAACATGGGTGTTGTGTCTGAGCACGTCTACTATAAATTGGTCGAGGGCAAAGCAGAAATCATCGATAACTACCAACCACCAGTGTCACAATCAACCCACGAGCACGACGCAGAAACCCAAGACAAATCGAACCAAGGTGCAGAAACTGACAAAGAAACGTCCCTCACAAAACGCGACGACAAAGTCCACGAACTCTACACAGTCTCCTCACCACAACTCTTGCATCTCGACCTCAACAACCGACCCCTCTGGTTCAACGGCTGGATCCTCGATGACAAGTACGAAGAAAACAAACACGTCAATGTTAGCACCTGGGACGTATACCTCTCTGAAGTCAAGGAAACCCACGAAGCCGCAGAATGGAGGATCGGAGGACATAACATGGCAACATTGAAGAGTAATAAAGCTTTCGAGTTTACGCAGAAGGAAAAAGATGTGTTGCAGATGATTGTGGAGACGGCGAGGGAGAATGGGGCGTTGAAGCCTGGACAGTAGTTCCGTCCAGAGTTCTCTACAAAATCGTGATATAATATCGGCGGTGTCGGGTTTCTTTTTCGATCTGGTTGATGAGGCTTATAGTGGTATGACAGCTTTTGTGGAGTTTTGGAGTTGTCGATCGTCGTCAGTGTGGTGCATGTGCATGTTATCCCCGTGCCCTGCATGATTGTGGCGGGGTCTCGTGTCCCGGTATGACGTTTTTGTGGTCTGGCGCGTGCACCTCTGATCCGAGGCAGTCCATGACCTTTTATATAAGAACTCTGCTGCTTGCTATTTCTTTGGAGGTGAACATTCTGAGACATATCAAACCTTATTTTCTGTCCCCTACTATTCTGCACTTTCGGCATTCCTAGACCACAGCGAAGCGAGAGCTGTAGGCTTTGATCGAAACAGTCAAAAATAACCAAAACACCATCGACAACATGTCAAACCATATCGACGTCCCCAAAGAAGACGACGACAAGATCAACAGAACACTCCGCGAGAATTTACCCGATAACATCAACGAAGTAGACCTAGGAAGCAAAGAGCAAAAAGGCATGTATTCCCTCTGCCCTCTTCCCTTCCCCTCACTCTACTACACTCCTTATCTTCTCTCCTCCCCTCTCTTCCCTTCATCCCCAACTCTCATCCTCCCTCCCGCCCTTCCAGACATTCTACTGACAGAATCTTAGGTTTACTCTCCTTCCTCGGCGACCCCCTAGGCAAAGGTCTAGAAAAAGGGCTCTCACCAGTAGGAAACCTAGTAGGGGGAACTGGAGACAGAATGGCAGGGTTCACGAAACAGGATCAGCCGCAGAAGGGAGAGCCGTATGAAAAGTTCGGGGGCAAGGAACAGAATGGGCAGAATCCTTTGGGGTTGTAAGGTGTGTGGGGAAGATATTGCATCTTGAATCAGCGGCATATGTTTTGGTTGTCTGGCAGTCATATGGGAAGCATACTTGGTCTTATTGAAGCGTTTGCATATATCAAGTTCAGCAGCCCGGAATAAGAAGATATCGTTAGCATTGGCAGTGATGTTCGCCAAGAGGTTGCGTCACTCTCGTGGACTGCACATCGTAATTCTTGATGAGTATATCTACTTTTCGTCGAGCAATTGTATGTACAACACATGTGCCAGATAAGACCTCGAAATGGCCGAAGATGTCTCTGCTCGCGATTGCATCGATTCGACCATTCCAGTATTTCCAGTTGCACGATTCCCCAGGAAGGTAAAGATGTTCTGTCTCTGACCACGCGGTGATCCAACTGAGATGTGTCGTCTAGGTGCTGGATAGGTTTTTTAAGCAAGCAAATGCAGCGTGCAGACGATGCGAGTATGAGGAGCCTCAATCGACCCTGATGCTATCTCGAGACATCTCCTTGATCAAATCAAGAACAGAAGCTCCAGTAGACGACGGTCTTCTCGGAACTTGGCCATTCGAAAGGTTTAGTGTCCAGCAAATTATCGATTTTGCTATCCAACATCTGAACAACACAGACCTATCTCCGACGAAGATGCTTGTTCTGGATGATATTACGTATCAAAGCAACACATGCGTGTTGCTATCCAAAAATACACTTACCGATGATCCGCAAAGCTACATACAGGTATGCTCGGATTTTGAGTCTTCGTTAGTGGTTCTGAAAACCATTGAGACTGGCTGTGGTGATGCCGATTCGCAATTAGATACTCAATACCCTGGCTCCGATGGCGTGTTGAGGATCTCGGTGCGAGATAGACTCTGATGTCTCTCAAGGTCACAAGAAGTTGAAATACCAGTTCATTCATCACCACCGCTCCTTCTTGACCGGCGCAAAGAACGGAATGGGGATAGCTGTCGGCTTCCACTTCTCGGATTCATGAGCACAAGAAAATTCGTAAACTCCAGATCCAACCTCGATGCCTTCTTCTTGCTCACCCAGAATTGTGCTTGTTTGCTTATCAGGCATGACAACTCTTGCAGTCGTGTTGGGCGGCACTGTCATGGAGAGTTTGAAATGACCAGCATCAATAGACCACTTGCAACTCAGGACGCCGTAAGGAGTGTCATGTTTGACCTCCGCGTGTGTAAGCGAGCCACCAGGGACAGGTCGAATGAGCGAGTGTTTCCAACCTGGTTCAAGCGGACTGATGCCACCAACGACCTCATGCAACCAATTGACGATCGAGCCCAAAGCGTAGTGATTGAAACTTGTCATCTCTCCAGGATTGATACTGCCATCAGGCAACATACTGTTCCAACGTTCCCAGACAGTTGTGGCTCCCATTGTGATTGGGTAGAGCCACGAAGGACATTCCTTCTCGGATAACATACGATAAGCCAGATTCTGCAGACCAACCAAAGACAACGCATGTGTGACGATTGGAGTTCCGACAAACCCAGTGGCCACCTTGAAGTTTGCCAGCTTGACCGCTCTTTCCAACCTGGCTGCTGCTACTTTTGCCTGGTCAGGCGTCTTGAACAGATCGAAGACGATTGCCAAAGCTAGGCCGGTCTGAGTGTCGGCGACAGGAAGGCCCTCGATGGTGATATATTTCCTGCCGAACGCCTTTTTCAACTTTTTGTGTTCAAGAGTGTATCTGGCGGCTTCTCCCTTGTGTCCAAGAAGATCACTGACAAGACTCATTAGTCGAGTCACATGCACGAGATAGGCATCAGCGACGAAAGTGCCGTCAGTCTTTGCTTCCCCAGGTCTGTCTGGTGGCGCGCTTGGGTCCAGCCAATCGCCGAGTTGATGGAAGGACGGATCCCAGAGATCATCAGTGCCCCTTCTGACACCTTTGTCGAGCCACATCTGCATACTAGGGTACTGTCGCTTCAAGATTTCAATATCGCCAAAGGCACGGTATAGAGACCACGGCAGCAGAATGACCACATCATCCCACACCGCTTGAGGGAACTCGCCCCATGAATGGTCTCCTATATCGGAATCGAGAATGTTGGGGACGACGAATGGAGGTATGCCATTATGCTCTGCTTGCTCAGCAGCAACATCCTCTAGCCAGTGACCGAGCATAGCACCAGTGTCAAACAGAAAGTTGGCTGATGGACCGAAGACTTGTATGTCGCCTGTCCATCCCAAGCGTTCGTCTCTTTGAGGACAATCTGTTGGTATTGACAAAAAATTCCCGCGCATACTCCAGACAGTGTTCTCGTGTAACTTGTTGACGAGCGAGTCTGAACATGAGAACCAGCCAGTGCGCCTCATATCGGTATGCATGACGAGTGCTTCAATACTATCCAGCGTCAATGGGCATTCCTCATCTGACGTTGTCCAGCCTTCAACTTCCACATATCTGAAGCCATGAAAAGTATACCGTGGTGACCAATGCTCAATGCCATCACCGTTCGAGATAATGGTATCTGTCGCTGTAGCACTTCGAAGGGGGCGTACCCCAAGCTCGCCATCTTCCATCACTTCAGCATGGCGAAAAAGGATTTTGTGGTCTGCTGATTTCTGGAGGCGCTTGACAAGTAGTTTTCCAACGAAATTTTGTCCAAAATCGATTATGGTCTTGCCAGACTTGCTTCTGAATATACGCTCGGGTTTCATATGTTGAGTCACTCTGACTGGAGCAACATCGGATGGAAGAAACTTCGCTGTCGTGAATGTTAACACTTGTGTTGACATCCAGTCTGAGACCTGAAGATCAGGGTCATTGGTCCAGCCACTTCGCTTTTCTCTAGCATCGTACAATTCGCCATCATATATGCTGCTGCTGATCAAGGGACCATAACCACACTTCCACGTCTCATCCGTGATGATTTTGATAGCATCGTCTCGCTCTGTTGCGACCACTTCAAGCTGAGCAAATGCTCCCAAAACTTTGCCATAAATGTTGCGTTGGCCAGCCCAACCCAGTCGACCAGCATACCATCCTTCAGCTACTTCAATACCGATGACGTTAGCTCCTGGTCTCAGAAGATTGCGAACATCATGTGTCTGGTAGAGGTGACGGTGTGAATAGCTGGTCCAGCCCGGTGCCATCTCGTCGCTACCAACTCGCTGGCCGTTGATGAAGGCTTGATATACACCATAAGCGGAGACATACAACTTTGCCTTGTCCACCACAGTATCATAGTCAGGCACCGTGAAAGTCTTCCGGAATTGAAGTGGTCGAAGCGGTCCATCAGACTGAGGTTGTGTAGAGCCAATAAAATTTGCGGTAAAGTGGTCTCGAGATGGCACATACCACACAGTAATTTCCTCAGACCACAGTGAAGTCACTGTTTCACCAGATTCGTCCTTACCCTCGACGCGAACTTTGACTCTGCAGCTGCTTTCCAATAACAATGGCTTGCCAGGCCAAGGAACCAGCACTGATTCAGGGCTTTCAACGCATATATCCGGATGAGGTTGACCCCAAGCGGACAACTTGACTCTGTAACCAGTTTGACGCCAGCCCCTTAGTGTAGGGTCCGTTGCTTCGAACCGCCAGGAGAGTCGGGGCTGACGGTGGCCAGTATGAACAGGTAAACTTGAGTCGATATCATGGTGGCTATCCTGCTCTATTATAGGCCTTGAGACCTTGATTCTGGCCATGATATAGTCAGACTTTCTCGCATGATGTGTATCAGTTGTAAGAACGATGCTCAAGGCTGCAAGGAGGAAAGAGCACAGTGGGGTTTCTTCGGCAGCCTCGGTGCAATTCTTGCCGAAGCGCGGTGGCCCCTGCTCTTGCAAGACACAAGCCACCTGCTCCTGCTTCTTTCGACTAACAACCTCAGCATCGCCCTTATCAGTGTCGAGTTGGAGTGATACTAAGAGCTGACGAGCTACACGCTGGTGTCCTGAATGCAGATCCGCCGTCAAGATGGCTTCAATGAGAGATTTTGCAAAATCCAAATCCTTCGCAAGAGTACTGTGCATCTTTATGCGACGAACTCTGACACTCGAGGGTAAGGAAGTCGAGAGTATATGATTACACTGAAGCTTGAAAACCTGCAAGACAGCAAAATATCGATTGCGTATAGTCGTCATGATCATTAAACACGTAATAACTTCTCAAACTAGGTAACGGAAGCCCTTCTGCATGAAGGACAGATCTGTGACTTCCGCCCTCTTCATCAACATTCTCAAACGCTCTGGCGAAAGGTTTGAGCCCTCGTTCTCCAGCTCCTCAAGTGCTTTGTTCTGTCTCTGCAAGTACCAGCGCAAGGTGCAAGCAAGGAAGAATGCAAGGACCAACAATCCAGCCGCAATACCAAGTCCTGGGCGGTAGTAAGGCTTGTCGCCGTTACGGTAAGTGAAAGAAGTCCAGATAGAAGTCGAGTTTCCCAGAGCATTCATGATGGCCAGAGCAGCAGCGCGCTTGGCAGGTGGTCTTGGAATTGAGCTTGAGATCCATGCGAACTGTGTTCCGTTGATGGTGAAGACGAACATCATCAAGAAGAAAGAGAGATAGCGAGGGCCGAAGCCCTTGCAAGTCATGAATACGACCAAGCCAACGATGGCAATAGGGATCGGGTAAACGAAGAACCAAAAGCGGTTGGATCTCTTGTCTGACATCCAGGAGTGGAATAGCGACCAGAAAACCATGAAGATGTATGGTGGTGCAACCAAGAGCAAAGAGATGAAGTTGTTGTAGCCAAGAGACTTTGTGAGTGTTGGGAAGAAGTATTGGTAACCAGCAGCGCCAGTGATGCAGAAGTACATCATGGCAAGAATGTAAGTCTTGGGATCTGCGACAGCCATCTTCACTCCCTTCAACTGCGACATGGCACCTTCCTCGTCCTTGTCGGCTTCGGCGGCATCGAGCGAGAGGCGCTTTATGGCGACGTGCCTCATCTCAGGAGACAGGGCTTTCCAGGTTTCGGGGAAATCAGGCAAAAGGAAGACGATGATTATGCCAACGCCAATGGTAATCACACCTTCGATAATGTATAGCCTGGCCACCAGGTTAGTTGTACTTTCGAAGTATAAATCGCTGCGCTGCACTCACCATTGCCAGGCATCCATTCCATCACGTCCCTTGAGTCCTTTGAGGATACCAGCAGCAATCAAACTGCCGAAGGCACCGCTCAGCAATGAGCCTGCGTAAAACAAGGACATTCTCAAGTTCAGTTCTTTCTTGGTGTACCACTTCGAGAGATAGAAGAGGATGCTACGGCATATCAGTTTCAAGCATCTAGACGCGTTTCTCACCACGAAAACTCACCCAGGAAAGAAGGGTGCTTCAGTAACACCGAGCAAGAACCTCATTGCAAGGATACCGGCGTAGTTGTGGACCTGGCTGGTCACGGCAGATACCAGACCCCAAGCAATAATGAAGAAACCCAAGTACCAGGAGGGACGACCGCAGTAATTCAGCATCAGATTGCTCGGCAACTGCATCAGAATGTAGGAAACGAAGAAGAGCGAAAGGCCAACTTGATATTGGTCACCTTTCAGGCCTAGATCTTTCTCGAGGCCTTGTAGACGAGCGGCGGCGTAGTTGTTGCTGTTTTCGGTATAAGTCCCTGCCAAGGCTTGACAACGACGCACTTGCACTCACCGATCAATGTAGTTCATCAAGTACACCAAAACAACCAGAGGCATAATCAGAAAATCGATCTTGCGACGCAACTTCTTCTCAGTCTCCAATTCCTCAGGGGTCAATACGTTCGCCTCGTTGGGCACGGTCTCCACGTATTCTTCATGCTGGGTGTAGGCCTTCTCATCCAAGATGGTTGGGTGGTTGTGTGTCGCCATGATAGGCGAGAAACGATTGGTAAAGGAGGGAATCAAGAGCTGATACCTAGCGAGCGAACGAAAAAGGACGACCTGCTGTCAGCGGTTATATATGCATCCTGAACATGGCCATGGCTTCCTGCCCAGACCTGGTCCCAAGCCACTAGCTCCACAAACCGTTATGATACATGGATCCCCGCACTCGGCAGATCCGGGGTTGGCACCTTTTCGCGGGGTTGCACGAGTGTCTAGCGCGACATGTGCCTACTTTTCGTTCCTAGACCGTTGCTTGCTTCTGCCTCCCAGACATGGGCGACTGTCACCCTCACTTGTTCTCGATGTATCTTCGGTGACTTTGGTACGTCCTGAGATCCTTGACTGGGCCAGAAGCAGCACCACGCAGCAACAGGTGTTAAAGAGTGGCCAATACGGAACCACACCTACTTCCTCCCAGCTTCGCGGTTCTTGGTTGTTAAGCAAAACACGAGGAATCTCGCGGAAGTTGGCCGAGTCAGCCAAGCAGACTTTCCAACGACTAAAGACCAAAAGCAGCCATCACAAAACCCGCCGGTGTCTCTGGTGTGGGGTATGGGGTTGGTTCACGGCGAGAAGACCGATCACCATATAAACACCTCCGCATCACATGAGCCTTGCAGGATCAAGTGGCTAGAAGTTTATCTCCACCTCTTCTGCTCCGCGGCAGTTGCTCTCTGACCTTTTCGCAAGAAATGACACGCGTTTCTGACTGGAGACATGTTCACGAAAGACATGTCTGGATTTGGAGATGTGATTGTGACAAGCTTTGGTACCTCGAATCTTGCCATTTAGGCAAGACTCGAAGGGCATTTGCTTGCGGGTGAGTGCGGACTTTGCGCCTCGAACGTGCAGGGTCATGTTCTCTTGTCAAGTCTAGTCGACTTGGCAGCTGACCTCATGTTATCAGCTACTTGAAGAAGGCGAGCACGAACACAATGGATGTAGCATTAGAAGCAAAGTGTGGTTTATCTTGAACATGTTCGTTTGCTGAGTTGTGAAGCTCTCTTTGTTCTGGCTGACGGACAAACGCTGGCTCACCAACATCTCCATCCCGCTCTCTACCTTACTGCACTACTATTGCCGAGGGCGTGCCCGGAGGCTGCGCCTAAGAAGGCGGGATGAACGACGCTCTTCTTCCCTCCGTCTTTGCTCTTCTGCCTCTCTGTCTATAGCTTGTTGTCTGATGAACACATCCAAGCCTTCATGCACCGCCTGTTTGCCTTGGAGCTGGCAACCTGTGGTATACCACTCTTTTGTATACCGCCAATCATCTGCATACTGATCGCCTGGTTCCGTCACTATGTAGCCTCGATCAAGCTTGAATTGTTCGAGGGTGAGGGTTTGAGAGATCCAGAAGAGAAGACGGTCCCAGTCTCCGATAAGAATCAACTGCGAAAGAGTCAAGCGTTTCAACGAAGGCTTGTGAAACTCAAGGAACTCGCGCAGCTGTTGTGCTGTCAAGCATAGCTTGTTCAGTGATATCTCCTCCAGAGCGTCATACCAGCGCAGCCAGGAGACCTTGTCCAACAACAATCCTTCGAACCGGCGAGGATCACAATCTGAATGCAATGAGAAGCATTTGAGATTTTTCGGCGTCCTTTCGATGATTGCTGGTAACAAACCAGGAGCCAGATCATTCTTCCGACCATAGATCGTGTGCCATTTGATGTCGATATGGAATTCTTCGCCAGGCATGTGTAGTGGTCTTCTTGATTGCCGAATGTGCGGGGCTTTGTACCACTCGCGGCCACGCGGCGATGGTTTTACGGAATCTATGGCAACCTCGAGCCTTCTGACGATGCATTCGGTTGAAGATACAGCATCCAGCATCAGCCGCAGTGTCGAAAGCATGTCGGGTTCTTCGAAAACCTGGTGAGCAGACTTTCCAGTTTCTTCCAAGGTTTCTTTCAGACCAATTGGCCTATATGGCATGGAAAGTCGCTGTGCTGCTATCGTTATGGGATGGCCATGTCCTTCAAGGAATTTGAAAGCTTCCTTCAGAAGCTCGAGAGCAGCTCCAGACTGTGCGAAGTCGTGTTGTTCTTCGATCAGCTCCAGGAACCATTTCATCTCGCGTCTCCTGCGATTCGTCTCGACCATCTCCTTGTAGTCAACCGCCGTCGCAAGCCGCGCAGCCAATCTCTCCAGCGAAGATGTATGAGCCCTTGCGCTGAGCAATTGCACCTTGCGAACTTGCGGTCCAAAGATTGGGTGCTTGCAGATGTCTACTAGTGCCTGCAGACTCTTTCTCGTCATCATGACAAAGGGATCCTTAATATATCTTTGAGCAAACTCTGTCGTAGCAACAGCATTAAGCTCTCTGCAGGTTAGTCTGATGACTGCAAGGTCGTTGGCTGTCAAATCCTCATCCGCGCACATTATCGTCAAGACTTCGTTGGGCAGCGAAAGCAAGCGTAGGCCACCAACTCTGCCTGTGTACAGGATCCATTTCCTGGAGGAGCACCATTAGTCAGGATCTGCTGTAAGCGATCGTTCTGGTGTTAGACTCACATCTTGGGTAGGAAATTCGTAGCACGGTTCTGGTCCGATGTGATAAGTTTGAGAAGAGGTAAGTTCAACAGTATAGCAGTCACGGCTGATTTAATACTGAATCACTTGACAGATCGATAGCGAGTCGGAGCTAGAAGATTCGAGTTCTCTTTTGATATGTCTGAGGCCAGTACGAATCAGAAAGGCAAAAGTCAGAGATGTCACTGAAAGCTCTGCACGTCTCTTCGAAAGACAAAGAACTTGACATAGCAATCTAGAAGGAGACAGATCTTTCTTAAGTATACTTTTGCAATTGGAAAAACGAGTTGGCTGTGGACTACCGTCACTCAATAAAGAAAGAGAAAAGCGTTTGAGACATGTACCACAACACGTCAGCATTTTCTTTTCCCTTTTGGGTCTCGTTTGTGGGATCATGCAAGATAATTTGTTTGCTATCTGCTTTGTCTAATATACAATTTGAAATCTTTGTTAAGTCCTCTCTCCTGGCCACTGCTCTCTCTGGATTTCCTTGCTCAATGTTCACTTTTCTGCATTTCGGCAGCAGTTTTCAAGGTAGCTCCTGGTTGCCGGGGAGACTTCTTTCGGACAGATAAGTCCATTGTGTTCTTGAACTAAAGTTATTTCCGATGCGATCCATTATGAGGGAGTGCGACGGATGAGGTTGTCAAGTCCGTCACGGGTGCTCTGTTTACCCTCGAAAGAGTTGGTTGGGGGAGCTCTCCAAGCTTGTTGTTTTGGTAAGAAGACGCCTCTGCTTGTGGTATTGTTACGGTTGATCGTGTGTGGATCAGCAACATGTAGCTTTTCCAGTTCGAGCTCCTTGCGCATCCATTTCAGGCATTTTCTCCAGGATCCGAGCAGTGTGATCTTGGAGAGCTTGACACTCTCCAGAGTCTTCTTGTATCTCTCCATCAGCAGCTCAAGACTTTCCAGTGTGCATGGCACATCTTGTAGGATCAGCACTCGAAGCTTGAAGCTGGATTTTAAACTGAAGAGCTTGGTAACACGCTCCAATGTACTCATACCGACAGGCCTTATGCCTGTGCAGCTTGTCCCGAAAGCAAGTTCCTGTAACCTGGGTACAGCTTTGAACAGTTCCTCGATGGATCCGAAGGATACTGGACATCTCAAAGAATCGAGATCCAAGTCGAGATGGAATATTGTCAGATTTGAGTAAGCACCGCTAAGAAGTTGCATCATGATGCTGTCCACAGTCGGGTTGCTGGTGTGGGGCTTGACCTGGGAACGACGACTCATCTTCAACTTGAGGCCGTTCATCGGGACGCGATCGCCAGAGCTCAACTTCGCGACAACCTTTTCGATCAACTTAAGAGAGCTCTTCATCTTTGGTTCGAAGTCTGGTAAGTAGGTAATAGGTTTGCTCAAGTTTCCATCATAGTAGTGAGTCATGACTGGAAGCCCGGCAACTCTTCTTGAATCTACGTACTGCAAGTCGTTGACGACTTTGATTGTTACTGGGTGTTTGAGTTCTCTCAAGGCAGTGGTGAATAATTCTTCGGTATCTCCAGAAGCCGCCAATAGAGCTTGTTCTTGCAAGATCCTTGCATAGTCGCTGATGATCGTGAGGTCGTCAACCAGTGAGCTGCTGTTACTGTAACGCGTGACAGCAGTTTCCGTGTCGGAAACACGCTTAGTGAGGCCACGGATGTCCACTATTGTGGCTAAAAAGCCAATGGATTTGATGTGAGGGCTCAAGATCGGATTCTTGCAGATGTTCACCAGGAACTGTAAACCGCCCCGAGATGGGAAAATGAATGGTTTCATGAGAAAGAGTTTCACGAACTCCACCGTCGCAGCCGAACATGTTTCTTTCGAAGTCAGACGCAGTGACTTAAGATCACACTTACTCAAGCTTGGATTGCTGAAGACGATTGCCAGTACTTCATTGGAGCATGAAAGAAGTCCTGCAGCCGATGCCATGGTTGATGGACTGGTATGATATCTTATGATGTTGATGCAGTGGAGGAAGAGGTTCGTGGTGGGCAGATTGTTTTTATGGTCAAGTAGTGATGAGTTGAAGTGCTATGTGCGAAGAGTTGGGAGTGAGTTGCTCATTTTAGTAGTGATGATACAGTAGAAAGATGGTGAAAGGTCAGAAATATGAGTAAATTGAGCCCTTACTGGAGTGGCTCTCAGCTGTCCAGCTCCGAAATCTGTGAATTGTCTCACTAATTCAAAACCGAAGTGACGATGTGCTTCGGAGAGAGAAGGAGCGATCATAACTGCACGTTCAGTCCAATGCGGGTATCTCGGTGGAGACTACCCTGATCACCAGCAGATTGTGCATTACTACAGCCACAAACTTTCTGGTACTGCGAGTTGGGGAGACCTCTTGCCATCAAGGTATCTGGCTGGATCACAATTCCAGCAGCAATGACGGTCAAATGGTTCTTGCAAGTGGGAGAAGAGATTGTTGATTGCGTACTGTACAAGAGAGAAAATTCGAGAAAAAAACAACAAAAAGACGCAGCCTGCATTGGCTCGATCTGCCTTCTTCTACTTAATCTGAGCCCATGAATTCTCCACGGAGATACTGAATGTCATCAGCGTCGAGCCAATACTCCTCACGATCAAGGTCCTGATCTCCTGCGAACCATCTCTTCAGGTAGTCTAGGAATTCCTTCGTTTCGAGACATACTGCATCTCTCCCATTGGCTCCAAAACCGCCAGAAAACCACGGAGATGCTTTGACCACCATACCATTCATAGGCTGCTCCATAGTAAGCATAATCAGTATGCACAGCTTCTCAAAATGGAGGTTTTGTCCGATCCACATCAAGAGGTCATTCCAATCTCCGATCAGTGGAGCTTTGATGATTGCCAACTCCTTCAAAGTATGCTTGTGTTTCTCCAGAAACCACAGAAGATCTGTTGCACGAATCGATATACCTTCCAGATGGACATGAGCGAGAGCATCGGATGTGATCGACCCAAGTACCTGGGTTGCCGAGTTGAGAAAGGAATCACAGGATTCTTCATATGCGTAGGTAGTCCCTGGCTGATTCTGGTCAAATGTAGTCAAGTAGAGTTTCTCCAGACCTCTAGCATGAGGCAATGTTGCCCGAAGAACACTTTCCAAGCCACGCAGCAGAGGACGACCGTGCAAATCGATCTTGATGTTCTTCAACGCAGTCAACGCCTTGGATACAGTCTCAATTGCAGAACGGCCAAGGTGCAAGTCACGCCAATATTCACCTGGTGTCTGCAGACTGAGACTTGACACTTTACAGCCGCTCGCAACGACCGCTTGGAGCATCTTCATGAGACTGAAAGCCAGTCCGTCTTGATTGAGTACATTGTCCCGAACGTCTTCTTCGGAGCGTGTGAACTTATTGGTGGCAGTGAGAAAGCCCATGGGTCGCAATGATTTCCAACTCGTTCTTCTTTCCAGGGTTCTCATGTTGTTTCCTGGGAAGCTTATGCTGACAGACTTGTCGTGGGAAAGGAGCGAGCAAAAGACTTCGTTGAGAAGTTCTGCGGCTTTGCCAGAGCTTTCAAATTCGTACTCTTCCTCGAGATACTCTAGGTAAGTATTCATATCTTTTCTTGTCTGTCCTATGGCTAACGGGTTTCTTTGGAACATTGAGGCGCTCAGATCGTGGCCCAGCTGGTGGACAAGATTCTCGTTGAATCGGAAAGGATAAAAGACGACTTCCTGTACGCGCACACCAATGAGAGGATGATTGCATAACTCTGCTAGAGCTTCTAGGCTTGACTGAGTGAACATGGCGACCGGCTTGTCGAGATAAACCCGTGCAAACTCTGTGGTGGCAGGCGAGTACAGATGCGTACAAGTCAGGCGAAGATTTGATATGTGCATTGGCTCTAGATCTGAGTCTTCGGGAGTCATGGGAAGTAGAGCCACAAATCTGCAGATTCTTGCTAGGATTTCAGTGGGCAGTGAAAGCAAGTCCGGTGGCGACTTGCGTAACGAGGACATGCTAGAGACCTGTCAACAGATGAAAAGGTCAACACAACCATAAGAGATCTTACGTTTTGGGGTGCGCAGCCAGAAAAGTGAAGGGTCTTCTGGTAATCTAACTTGCGAAAAATGATAGACTTTGTGTTTTGTGATGCGCAGCAAGTGCAGCGAGTGGTTACTGCGATGCTTTGAAAAGGGTTGTCAAATTTTGTCAAGCAGTGGTGCGCAATGACAAGAGAATGGCGCCTTCAGCCTGCGTCCAGAGGTGAAGAGTCGTGAATTGATCGTTGCGAAGATGGAACAGCGTCTGGCGGTAGAGGAGCTGCGAAAAGAGGGTGGTCTGACAGGCTGGAGTGATATGTCTGAGTGTTTGCGACGTGTGAATAGTCGCGACAAACAAAGAGAAAGCGCTGAGGGAGGAGCTTTGTAAGTTGGCAAGCAAGAGAAGGTGATAAGGTGACAAACAAGTGCGCGCTTTGAGAAAAGAGTGGGACGAGGATGGAAGCACTATCTCGGAAAAGCGCGAGTTGGGCGGGTGAAAAGCAATCAAGGTAAGAAAGTAGGGAGCCCAAGGGAGATATCGACTGATTTGATTTGGTTTTCTTTGTTCACACCTGGTCTAGTATACATGACTTGTTCTTGGTCGCTCCCATCTTGCTCTTAGCGATTTTTCATATATGGACTTCTCACGTCCGCTTGCATCGCACTTCTTGGTCTTGTTCCCAATTTCAACGCTCCTGATCTCAAAGCTCTCCCTGATAATGCTCTCCATCTTCCTCTCTCTTGCTCTGCAGTAGCTGATCCAGACCAACGCGAACATCATCAGGGCTATTCCACGAGCCGCAACCTGACCAGTATTGAATAGACCCGTCAGAGTCCTCGGCTTCGAACTCGCTTACATCCATATACCATGGGCCACGAAGTGAGAACATCCGAAGGCTGAGGTTGTCTCGGATACACTCGACAATTTCAGCCCAAGCCCCAATCAGTCCGACGGACTCGAGCAACAGCTCTTTTAGGGTTCGGCGATGCTCGAGCAGGAAGTTCTTGAGAAGCTCTGGCTTACAGACCAGTGAATTCAAGTGAACTCGGCGTAAAGAACTAGACCGTAAGGATCCGAGTATTGCTTCGGTTGTTTGACACGACTCTGTGGCGTGGTATACTTCTGGACTGATATCAGGGTATTCTGTAGTGTGGAGTTCCAGCTCCGAGAGGTTCTCTGCTAGTCTGAGCGCACCGCAGATGCCGGCAGTATACTCAGGCACATAGCTGCCAATTAGAAGCTGCATACACTCCAACACAGCAAATGCAGCAGTGTTTTTGGCAATCTCAGCAATGTCAATATCAGGATTGGGATCCGTGACCTGATCGTCAGGGATCTGACAGATGAACTTATTGATCCTGCATTGGCTGCGCTGGGCGGCAACGAGCAGTGTACGGAACGTTTTCTTGAACTGGTAATTCAAACCGTTGCCCCATCCCCTGTTGTGGCCAATGGGTAGCATATGAGTGGTCGCCATCAGAGCCATGCTGACAGGCTTGTTGTGTTGTTTGATCAATCTCAACGCCTCGGCTATGAGTTTTGCAGCACTACCATGGTCATCTAAATGGAACTCTTCTCTGTAGGCGTCCAGATACTCTTGTAGGTCATGTTCTGCAGAATCCATCTCCTCAATGTCTCTGGCCTGGACCGAATTTGTAAGCTGTTGATACATCCATGTAGGACCATATTCGTCTAAGCGATACGCGTCGACTGAGATACCGCTAACACGAGGTCCGAAAAGAGGATGTGCGCAGATCTCGATTAGTGCTCCAAGGCTGTATTTGGTCATCATGACAAAGGGGTCTCGAAAAAATCTTTTGCCGAATTCGAGCGTAGCAGGTATGTAAAGATGTTTGCAAGCGAGACGGGCGGATGTCAGCCATACTTTCCCATCCGAGTATCTTCTTTCGCGATGGTCGTCGACAGCGAAGGTACAGATCTTTGTCAAGATCTCATTGGGCATCGACAGCAAATTAGGGGCCGGTCTCGTAGTGTCCGACATTCTGTGCAAGCATTCATGTTAGCACTTTTCCATTTCTAAACAAGTAGGAGCCTTACGTGTCTGGATGCGCAACAGTTGAAGCGGCGTGTCGATGTAGTAAGATTGTGTTTGCGCTGGCGCGGATCACTTCCGAGTGATGAACAGTAAAATATGCGCGGGGATGACTTGTGATGATCAAGGTGCGCGTTGGCGTGATGAGAATACTGCAGAGTTGCAGGTGTGCCAGCTGAGGATGTTGAAGTGGAGTTGTGAATAAACAAGTGGTGCAGAGGAAGGCTCCGCAGATCGGAAGGATGAAAACGCGATCAGGTGGAAGAAATATTTTCAAACAATCCTTGCGTGATGAAGCAAAGAAGAGGTGCTCCAAGAACTGCGAGGCTGAATAGGATGAAAACAAAGCGATGGGAACAGTGACTGCAACAATCGAGCCTGACCAATCCAGTCTGCCCAGCCTAGCAAGAAAGTGCAAAAGAGAAAGAGGCACAGCACTGAATCGAACCCCTGGCCTTGACTTCCAGGCAAATACGGTGTATTGAAAGTTTGAAACACTGCTGTACGGAAGAGAACAGCCGTATGAGTCTTCTTGTGCAGTCCTCTTCTCCATGGTAGATTATTGACTGGAACCTTGAAAGAGAATGCTTGCTGTTGTTTGATATACAGAGAAACACAATAACATGGCTGGCAGAAAAAAAAAAAGACCCACTGGGTAGACAGCAGAGCTTATCCGCGACAGGGCACGCTCTGCCGGTCATGCGCTGCTCAATCTGATTATGTTGTAACTTACGGTGCCACCCTTGGGCCACAACCCCAATTTGTGGTTATAATATGAGACCGAGCAAAGCTCAATATAAACCTTGAAAAGAAAGTGAGAGTTCGACTCATTGAACCACATGATGTGAGTTGGCGAATGGACGTAGATGGCTGTTCGTCCAGTGCAAGACTCTCGAATATCCACCACATATTCATTCATTCCGTCAGCCAGTGGTGGCAGCGATAACAAGAGGCCCAAATCTGTCGAACCCCTTCCTCGGAAATGCCTGCTGTCCTCGCAAACAGGGGTATCTTCTCGTACAACTCCCGAGCCATGTGCACATACGTGAACAGCTTTTTTGAACTCTTGTGTTGATCGCACAACTCGTTCAAGCAAGCTCTGACTGCAACAGATCCCTCAAGATCAGTGACTCCACTGTGCCACGGCACTCCAGGTCGGTTTATTGTTAAAGCTCGCCAATCATTGTCCAAGATTACACGAATGTCTCCCAAGGTGACGCTGTTTAGTGCAATGTTATCGCGAGTCCAGGCCATGATCCTGCTGAGAGATGTCTCGCTTGATGCAGGAAGGCTGACGAGAAGGTTTTGGAGATGGACTTGCTGGAGTGTATGCTTATGCTCTATCAGGAACTCCTGAAGCTTCTCAACTGGCACCAGCATTCCATTTAGATCCAGAACCTCAAGAGCAGGAAGTCGGATCTGGCCCAGGAGAACATCACCGCGAATGTAATCTGTACACGTTAAGTTGGGGATAATGTAATTTCCCAAGCTCAGAGAAGAGAGCTTTTTCGCTTTGTCTATGAGCTTCAGCAAAGCTATCGAGCCATCCGAACGAACTCTGGAGATACAACCCCTAAACCGAGCAGTGGTCAGATTAGAGATCAGTCGGTGATTGATTTCGAGAGGATCATGCCAACTACGATCGTACAGGCTCGTGTCACTGAAGTCGTGTGTTTCGATACCTTGGACTTTACAACCACTTTCGTCGGCTAATTCAAGCAGGTTTTCTAGTATCTTGCCAGTCTATCCAGTTTAGTTGCTCGCGTAAAGCACTCGTGGCCTTGCTCTTGAGGCCAATAGGATAGTGTCAGGGCGTTGATCCGGTCGAAATGTCTCAACACAAAGGACAAGCGGTCTTGCATGCTCAGATAGCAAATCGAATGCAGTCCTCAGAAGTTTCGTAGCCTCCTCTGATGTTCGAAAAGGTACATTTTCTCTTACAAGAATCTTGGCAGCCTCCTCGACTCTTTCCTCGGGTGTTTGGTGAACTTTGAATAGTTTGTCGGGTTCTAACAAAGCCATAGCTATTCCTTTTCGCAAGAGTCTCCACAACTCGATCCATGTCTGCATAAGCACGCAGTCGAACCTTGCGAACTCTAGGACCGAAGATAGGATGTCGACAAATTTCAACCAAAGCCTCGAGACTTTTAGCGAGACATCATGATGAATGGTTCTGAGAGGTATCTTTGAGGAAACACAGGACTGACTTGATCTCGAAGCTGTTTGCAAGTAAGGCGGAGCTTCGACAATGGGCACTCTTCAGAAAAAGCGTCATCTGCAAAAGTGGTGATCATCTCCATTACTCCAGTGGGTACAGAGAGGAGTGGAGAAGGTCTATGACCCACAGATATCGACGTTAGATTCATGGTAACAAGAGCAGCCATAGTTGGAAAGGTAAGGATGACTGAGATGGAAGTGCTTTGCAAAGCAAACGCTCCAGAGATGAGATATCAGATATGTGCCTGTAACTGTGGTACACGTGGGTTTAATTGAATTGATTTGAGCAACATCTCGATGTGTTAGAAACGGGCCTTGGACGTCAGATATCAGACATCGAAGGCCATATCCCGAAGAGCGCGATGGTCTCGAATTCATACAGACATGTGTATGGAATGATTCATTGAGCAAATGAGTAGAGCGAGAAGCACATCGGGACATGCAAGACAGGTGATTGTTGGTCGCAGGTCTTGAATTGGAGACATTGAAGAAGTCTTGAGGTTGCACTTCCTGAGCTTGGCAGTCACATGCGGCATCCGGACTTCCATCATCGTCTTTGCCCATGTTCATTTCAAGGTGAAACAATAAAATAGGTGCTGATTATGGATAATTATATCGAGTATATAAGATAGAGAAGCAATGCACCATGAAAGAAGTAGAAAACGATGAAGATAAAACATCTCAGAATGTCAGTAGTAGGGTATCTGCGCTTTCGCTAATGCAACAAAAATGAAGCCACACCAAATAGGAGGTAACCAAATCCACAAGAAGCACACACGAGGAACGAATGTTCAACCCTTCCTGAGCTTGATGCCAGAAAGTAGTCTCACGCTATTCCAAACACTTTCGGTGACCTTGACAGGGATTTTTCGGCCCTTCAGCCGTTGATCGATCAGCCACAGTCCGACAACAAACTCGTCCCGTTGGAGCCTTCCGCATTTCTGGTTGTCGACCAAATCCCAGATCAACTCCAACTCATGGGGAGGTAACCGGCTCCGCAGCCAAATGTCTTTTGCTACGATATCCGCGATCTGGTCACAAACATCAGATCGAATTCTATCGCTCTCTTTGGACTCAGGGTGTGCAGTAAGCACAACTAGCTCTGAAGCGGTATATTCAACATGAAGGCCCCTGTTGGCTGCCCAAAGGCCCTCGTAGCGTTTCCGTTCAGTTTGAGTGACACTGTCTCGCCAGCGTTTCCTGTCGCCTTCGTGATGCTTGTTGGGGTGTTTCTTCACCCATCGCTTTTTCTTGTGCTTGGAGTAGGGATCCTCATCCGAATCGCTTTCGGAGTCAGAGGTGGGCTTGCGCATTGTATGGCGCATGCCCTTCTTGGGACTAGGAGTACGGGCGAAAAGTTTGTGATGAGACGTGCGTCGACCTGGTAGCGAGGATGGGAGCTTTGTGGGCGATGGCGCTCGAGACGATGCAAGACTGGAGGCGACAATTGCGTTGGCTAGCGAGTCGCCAGATTTGAGGGGTGTCATACGACGAGGGTGGAGCTGGTGATAGACAGCCGCGATGGAAGGATGATCAGGGTGGGTCAAATGATTGGGGCTGTAATTCCGATGGATGGGTATGGGCTTCGTAGTGGAGGTCGACAGGTGTAAGGGATCAGGAGAAGACGAGCGCCGACGTGTCACATTCTTCTCAGATATGGTGCGCGAGGGCGGTTGTACGCGGATCGAGGGTTCTGTGAGCTCTTGAACTTTGCTGTCGGCACGTTGGATGGTACGAGGAGGTGGCGGCAGACTCGGTTTGTGTGGCTGATCTGGCGACAAATGATCCCTAGCGGACTCGTAGGCCTCATCGCCAGAACTCTCGTTGTACGTCTGCTCTAGACGGGTGGTAATAGGCTCAAGGGTCTGATTGCGTAGAAGAAAAGTCTTGCGCAGCGGTTTCGGAGATTTGATGGCCGGCGACGGGGGAGTTTCCTTGCGCTCGAACAGTTCGACCAGCGAAGTTGTTGGCGGGATAGGGGTAAGGTCCAGCGTTTCAGGCGACTTTCTCTTGGACGCGGTGGGCGAAGGGAGGTTCCCAGCCGCGCGAACCGGCGGTTTGACCGGCGGCTGGGCGAGCGCATTGTTGACGGTAACAGCGGAGCGAGCGGCAGCGATGGTAGCGGACAGGCTCGACGTCGAAGCATTCGTCTTGTGCGGTGGTCTTTTTGGCAGCCTCAGGTGATCCGGTGATGTGCGGGTGCTGGCGGGGCCGTCATGGTGAGCGACCGGGTGATGAGCCGTTGATCGAACATTCTGCTGTCGTCTCTGGGTTGGAACCGGCGGCGGAGAGCGCTTATTGAGATACTTTAGAGCCTCGTGTGGTGGTAGCGACTTGATGAAAGCCAGGTTGGCGCCAGACAGAGCGGCGTCACGCGAGGCTTGAGAGCCATTCGGACTCGAACGCAGAGGTTGCCTAGGGCTCCCCATTGGCCATGCGAGGGAGCGTTCCTTTGGTGAAGATCATCGGTCGCGAAAGAGCAGGTGCGATGGGTTGATTTTTCTTTGTTTAGGAAGGCCCGTTGTCAGGTCCTTGGTCCTTGCCCTGGTCGTAATCCGTCGGGCTGTGCTTGCTTCTGCCCGCCTAAACACATCAGCGTCCACTTAATATACACCACATGACCGCGCGTCAACCAGAGCGCGTCTCCCAGCGCTATTAGTCTCACTGCTACCTTGAATCTCACTGTATTCGATCATCAACAAAGCGGAGCACTCAACTTGCTTCGCATCAACAGCACAAAATGCCTACCTCAGATGTCGACATGCACGAGCGAGACGATTTTGACGACGACGGAGATGGAGATGACACTTATCAAGCAACTCAGCGGCCTCAAATCATGACCGAAGAACAGCTTGATGAGAAGTATCCCAATCGTCCTCACAATCACTCAACCACTTTTCCTTTTCGCGACCTGTTTCTAGAACTGTTCAATCCACTCAATGAGAATAAGCGACGTCGCGGCGGTCCTGCTCTTGCAAGAAGACGCGGTACTCACAAGCAGAATGTCAATGAAACTCGCAAATCCATAATCGAAAGGTTTATCAATCGATGGCGGACCGAAGTTGGCAACGATGTTTTTCCTCTTTTTCGTCTCATTGTACCAGAAAAGGACCGCGAACGTCCAATGTACGGTTTGAAAGAGGCGACCATTGCCAAGCTAATGCTCAAGACTCTACAAATCGACAAGAACAGCGAGGCCGGCTATAATCTCCTGCATTGGAAACTACCCGGTGTCAAGTCTACCAGTCAGATGGCTGGCGACTTTGCTGGCAGATGTTATGAGACCTTGTCTGGTCGTGAAACCCGTACCGATCCTGGCAATCTGACCATTGAGCAAGTCAACGACATGCTTGATGATCTGTCTTCCAAACACAAGGAGGAAGAACAACTACCCATCTTCCGCGAGTTCTATACCAATATGAATCGTGAGGAAATGATGTGGTTGATTCGCATCATCCTTCGGCAGATGAAGGTAGGAGCTACCGAGAAGACCTTGTTCGAGGCATGGCACAGAGATGCAGAGAACCTCTTCAATGTCTCTTCGAGTCTGAGACGTGTATGTTGGGAACTGGTCGATCCCGAAATCAGACTCGATGGTGATGACAAGGGTATAAGAATCATGCAGTGCTTCCAACCCCAGCTTGCTCAATTCCAGTCACATACAGTGGAGAAAATGGTCACGCAAATGCAATGCACTGAGGAAGACCCTTTCTTCTGGATTGAGGAGAAGCTGGATGGCGAGAGAATGCAGCTGCATATGATCTATGATGAGAACATGCCAGGCAAATATCGATTCAACTATTGGTCGCGCAAGGCTAAAGACTACACTGATCTCTATGGTCAAGGCTTCATGGAAGAGCAGTCTGCACTCACACGCCACATCAAAGATGCGTTCAATGAAAACGTCCGCAGCATCATTCTCGACGGTGAGATGATTTCATGGAACATGAAAGACGACAGGATTGTTGCCTTTGGTAGTCTGAAGACTCATGCAAAAGCACACAGAGAGGATCCCAATGCACAAGAATCGCGGCCTCTGTTCCGTGTTTTCGATTGCCTGTATTTGAACGACGAAGTTCTTACCATGTACACTCTTCGTGACAGAAGAAAGGCACTCTCTTCTGCTGTCAAGGATGTTTACCGCAGGCTCGAAATTCATGAATACAAGGAGGCTACTACTGCCGCTGAAGTCGAGCCAATGCTTCGCAAAGTCGTAGCAGAGTCTTCTGAGGGTCTCGTCATGAAGAACCCTCGCTCAGTATATCAACTCAACACACGCAACAACGACTGGCAGAAGGTGAAACCCGAGTACATGACTGAATTTGGAGAATCGCTCGATTGCGTTGTCATCGGAGGCTACTATGGTTCTGGACATCGTGGAGGCAATCTTTCTAGTTTTCTTTGTGGGCTGGCTCCTCTCCATGCGGCAGGCAGCCCCAACCCAGAGCTTATGTGGTCTTTCTGCAAAGTTGGTGGTGGAATGACTGCTCAGGACTACGCAGAAATACGACATATGACTGACAATAAATGGAACGACTGGGATAAAGACAATCCGCCAAATGATTGGATCGAGCTCGGCGGCTGGGAAGCAGACCTACAATACGAGAGGCCTGACGTTTGGATCAAGCCGAGCGACTCCATAGTGCTGCAGATCAAAGCAGCATCTGTGATCACTGGTGAGAAGCGATATCGTACAGGATGCACTTTGCGGTTTCCGCGCTTCACGGCAATTCGCAAAGACAAAGATTGGAAATCAGCTCTTACCTTAGAGACGTTCTGGCAACTGAAATCTCGTGCAGAGCACGAGAAAAAGGAGAAAGAGTTCAAGGTCGACGATGCACGAAAGAAACGTGCCAAACGTGCTCGCAAGAAGGAGCTTACTGTGATTGGTGCTGATGAACAAATTCAGACGCCATTTGCCGGACCTGAAACTGCTCTCTTCAACGGTATGAGCTTCTACATCATCACTGGTGCTGCCAAACCATTGAACAAGACAAAACAAGAACTAGAGCAGCTGGTCAAAACCAACGGAGGAAACATCGTCGCGACTCATACTAACACCGAGACAATCTGCATTGCTGAGGGCAACCCAGTTCGTGTAGCCTCGATCAAGAAGGCTGGCACACGCAATATCTTCAGACCGCAGTGGCTTCTGGAATGCATCAAGCAAGCCGAAACTGATGTCGGAAGACCCAACGTATTGCTTCCTTTCGAACCTCGACACGTCCTTTTCAGCAAAGAAGAAGACGAGGACAGCTTCAAGGAAAACATTGATGAGTATGGCGACAGCTTCGCTCGCGATGTTGACATTGAAGAATTGGAGAAACTGCTTTCCGACATGCCTGACTTCAAAGATGAAGACTATGATGCCAACGAAATCATGGACGAGCTATTTGACGATGATGTTTTGGACGGCCCAGGATGCATGTTCCGTGGCTTGCGGATGTATGTCGATGGTGATGATGCGAGTCTCGAGGCTGCCAAACGCATCATTCTCTTCGCAGAAGCTCGTCTAGCCAGCACACTGAGAGACGAGAAGATCACTCATGTTGTGGCGTTGAACGACAAGCAAGCCAGAGACATGAGGATTCAAACGGCTGATCGCAGGTATCCGCCACGTGTGGTCAATGTGAAATGGGTTATGAAGTCGCTGAAGGAAGGCACGAGGTTGGATGAAGAGAGTGCCTTCGCATAAGTTAAATCCGGCTCGGACTTGCCGGAGATAACGGCCGAGAAACAAACACCGCGGACATAATGACATATCCTGTCCGACAGATCAATATAAAAGTTCAAGAGAGCCAATTAACAGTATTTTTTCGTTAATACAAAATTATTATCCCTAAATATGTCGTCCAAGTCTCTCATCCTCATCACCGGTGCCAACCAAGGCCTGGGTTATTATGCCGCTCAACAATTGGCCGCCACTGGCAAATACCATATCTTGATTGGCAGCCGCGACATTAACAAGGCCAACAAAGCCATCGAGTCCCTCGCCGCTGATTCCTCTGTCAAGGTCTCAGCCTCCGACTTCTCACCTCTGGAAATTGATGTCAACTCCGACTCCTCCATCCACGCAGCAGCCAAGCAAGTCGAGGAGAAATACGGCAAACTCGACATCCTCCTCAACAACGCCGGCATTGCACAAGCCCAAGAAGCCGCCTCTGACGGCAGCGGCCCCAGTCTCCGCGAGATCTACCGCTCGCACTACGAAACCAACGTCTTTGGCGCCGCCGTCGTGACAGAAGCTTTCCTGCCTCTCCTCCGCAAAGGCACTTCCAAACGCCTAGCTTTCACCTCTTCAGGTCTTGCATCCCTTGAACTTGCCGCCAAGCCTGATACACTCTACTCTGCCAACAACTACCCCATTTACCGTTCTACCAAGACGGCTTTGAATATGATTATGCTGGGATATGCTCTGCAGCTTGAGAAAGAAGGTTTTGTGGTTTCGGCGGCGGATCCGGGGTATTGTGCTACTAATCTGAATGGAAATTCAGGTTTCAAGGATCCGAGGGATGGTGCTAAGGAGTTGATCAAGAGTTGCGTGGGCGAGAAGAAGGATGTGCATGGTGTTATGGTTAATGATGAGGGTATTGTGCCTTGGTAAACCATGTCTTGAAGACCACTAAAGGGTATAGATACCCCATAATCAAGTTATGATGCAAGAACACAAGTTTTCGAGCTTGGCACGTGATTGAATCAGAACATGAAAAGAACAGATCATGCAGTGAATGGATGGTCAAGTAGAAATGAATAACAAGGCATTTGATTCATATAGTACATATCTAACAAAAAAAACCACTTCATTAATTAAGATCTTTGGGACATTAATTCATTCTTCTCGATCTGAGTGATTCTTTCTCTGATCCCCAGTCCAAATCACGACTGCTGCTCACTGTGCATCATGCTGCTGCTGCCACCTGAGACTCTGCTGCTCTTCTTGGTGGTAGTGGTGGTCGAAGACTTGCTACCAGAGGACTGGGCAATAGCACGCATCTGCGAGGCAGCTTCCTCCTCGAAGCGTTCAAGCTCGCGGCACTTGGATTCGTATTTGCCGTAAACCTCATCGCGCTCGCGGTCGGCAGAGGCACGGGCAGCAATAGCTTGCTCCTTCTGCTCGCGGGCTTCGCGAAGCATGGCGCGCATGTTTTCAAGTTCAAACTCGAACTCGGCAGACTCGTCTTGGGTAATGGTTTCAGTGACCTCCTCGAGCTCTTCGCGGGATCTGCGAAGCTCTTCGCGGAGGGCCTCGCGCTCACCGCTGCCATCGTGGATCTCGGCTTGGAGAACGACGATGCGGCCCTTGAGCTCAACGAGCTGGTCGTTGAGGGTGGTGTTCTTCTTCTGCCAGTCGAGGCGTTCACGCTCAAGACCCTTGACGGTGCCGTTGAGGTTTGTGATCTCAGCGCGAGAGTCGATGACGATCTGCTCAGTCTTCTGGGCGGTCTCGTTGAGAAGGTTGATCTGGCGCTTGTAGGCGTCAACCTTGCCCTGAGCGGTAATGAGCTCGTTCTGAAGCTCGTCACGGGTGATGATGACGAGCTTGTGCTGCTCGCGGAGGTGCTCGAGGGCTTCGTGCTTCTCATCTCTCTCGAGCTCAGCGCTGCGGAGGCGATCCTCGAAGAGGGAGAGCTCACGTCTGAGACCGTCGAGCTGGGTAGTCTTCTCAAGAAGAAGGGTCTGAACTTCGTCGTGTCTGGCAATAGTAGACTTGATCTCACGGTTCTTGACATCAACAATGTGAGTAAGCTCATCACGCTCAGCCTCGACAGTGCGGAGGGTGTCCTTGAGCTTGCTGATGTCGCGGTTAGACTGGCTGAACTTCTCGGAGATGATGAGAAGCTCTGAGCCAGACTCCTCCTCTCTGCTGCGAGACTTGCGAAGCTCTTCCTTCAGACGGTTGATCTCGTGGATCTTCTCATCCTGATCGAGCTCGTACTTTCTAATGCGCTCGGCAGAGATGACAGCCTCCTTGCGGATGGTGTCAAGGTTGGTCTGAACCTCCTCAAGTCTGGAGCTGATTTCTGTGCGCTCTTGGGTGACTCTCTGGAGGCTTCGCTGGTATCTGTCGGCATCTTCTCTTGCACCATCACGGTCGTCCTGCATGGCCTTGAACAGGGTCTCATGAGACTGATACTCTGCCTTGAGGCGGTCGATCTGGGAACGGAAGGTTGCCTGAAGTTCTTGCTGGCCAATGAGCTCGTTGCGGAGACGGTCGATGTGTTGGTCACGCTCGGAGAGCTTGTTCTTCTCTGCAGCAAGTCTGTTGATAGCGGTAGTGAGCTCGATAGAGATGGCGCGAACCTTCTCCTTGTGCTCAATAAGTTCACCATCGTGCTTGTGGTTGTCTTGCTGTCTGGTCTCGAGCTCATAAGAGACTTCTTCGATCTGCTCACGAAGCTCTTCACGCTCGGCAGCAAAGTTGCGGCGCTCAGCAGCCATCTGCGACCAAAGCTCCTTCAACGAGATCGCTTCCTTGGAAGCAGTGGCGACCATCTCGAGGAAGGCAAAGAACTTGGCCTCAGCATGGTTGACGGTTTCATTGCTCAAAGAGCTGCGGAAGGATGAAGATGCCAACGAAGTACGACGGCGAGACGCGCTTGAGCCTGAACGACGCATAGCACGGTGTGTTGCTGAAGAGCCAGAAGCGGATCTGGAGGAGTAGTCTCCGCCCACATTGGAGTACATGGACTGAGATCTGCTGAGGACAGCATCAACGGGAAGGGCGGCACGGAGTTTGTCCATACTGAAGCTGCTTTCGACAGGAGAATCTTGCTTGGTTTCAACTTGAGGTTGCTCCATAATGAGATGTGAGAAGATTGAGAAGTGTGAAGGTCTGGAAGGAAGGAGCAGAGCTGAACCAATTATATATGTTGAGCTCCACGATGAAACTACAATTGCTTCTCGCCAAAAAGCTCTCGTTGACGTCGTTGCTTTCCTGAAGTTGCTTGACAAATTCTACTGCATATGGAAAGACAGATCTGCAGTGGGTCTTCCCTGCGATATCAGCTCCAAATCGTAAGCGTGGGAATGAGTTTGTAGATCTTGTCTTCGTGTAAGTTGCGTTGGATACGTGTGAAGGTTGACAACGGAGGGGACACCGGCATGCTCGGTGCTTGGTACAGACGTGAAATAGTGACATCTATAGTGACATCAGGGTCGGAGCTGTCTTGCTAGTTCCATGTTCCCGAGCTTCTTCGAAGTCCAGACAAAGCAATAAGCTGGCGGTCTGCTTAGCCTCGTTACTCACAGCTCTCTTCTCTTATAGCATGAGAGTTGCAATCAACCATGCTTGATCTTGACGAGGATACAATCATGCAGCTCGAGAGATCGTTCAACAAGATGGTGCCTGAGCACAATACCAAGGATCTGTACCAGCATGTCCTTCCCCAGACTTCATGCACGCACCTTACGCCTGCTTGAGCACCACCTCCCCTGGCAGAGCCCAATTGAGCGATGGTGGGGTGTCTCAAAAAGAAGTGCAGATCAGCGTGAGCCTCTTTGGGTAAGTGTGGGGTAACGTGCATGAAAGATTGGTAGATCGGGCCGTGCGGACCAGCCCGATCCTGTTTAGTGCTGAATCAAAAAGCAAGCGGCTGCACCGGCTGTATCCACCTGTTGACATCAAGTTGCAGGAATTCAGCTGTATTAGCTGCGCAATAGCGTGCTCACCATCTTGCAAGTTGCAACGTCTCTGCCCACGTATGCTGCATGCATGCACGCTCTGTTCCTGGTTAAATCGTGCATCGCACCGAGCGTTTGCACATGTGGATTGATCACGTCTTGACTCGAGGTTGACCTGTTCGTAGCATGATCATCAAAAGTCATCGTTCCTCGGAAGGTTGACTCCGATTTGGGTGAACATGCTTGGTCTCCGTTTCGCTTCCAAACCAGAAAATGCGCGGCTCAATAATCGATCCTCGTGGGATAAGCATAAATGGCGGGTACAGTTGCAATACCGGGTTTGTAACCGAAGATCAATGTCTTTGGCTCCTTCGTCATCCCATTCATTTGGCTCGGCTTTCTCCTTAGGTAGCGATCATCGGACGAGAAGTTCTTCACACCCCTGCCATTCTAGGGAGGGGTAAGGTGAAGCCCTAGTGTACTACGAGTAGGTTTTTGTCTGCTTATGCAGGCGTGAGCTCAATCGAAAGTTCAAGTGATGATGTGTAGATGTTTGCAACCAAGCCATAACCACGCGGAATCAACTTCATAATTCCTCCGTTTGATCCGGCCGTAAGCAGTCGCATGCTTTACTCAAGGGTCCCGTCACCTACAATCGATTGTCTTGATGCAGGATAGTACAGCTCGTGACGATCAGTTATAGGAGCGATTCACTAAGCTATTGGCCTCGCTTTCCTCGCAAAGAGTCTCGTATAGCGTTCTCAACGTATAGGTTACCTGACTCAAGTGTAGCTGATCAACGATAGCTCTCTTTCGATTCCGATCCGGAGCAGATCTTCATAAGTTGAGGACGTATTATGAGAATGTTTCTCGTGCATGCAACAATCTTGGAACATAGATTGAGGTTAACAGGACCATGTTCAGACATGACATAACAAACTTCATATCTTCGGAGCTAGTTGCTAGCTGTGAGCAACCACACTTGCACATCTAGAGGCCAACGCTGGGTGATCCGAGTTTTGAGCATGATGGGGACGTTTGCAGGTTTGGTCCAGCTCAGATACCAGAATTGTCTCGCCAGGAGCGTGCGAGTGCGAGCCGGGAAGCTGGCATGGTTGGATGATGCCACTCATTGCACTGTAAGGCTTTTTCCATTGGCCTACTATGCAGATGCAACAGAATGAGCATTTCGTCTCTACCCATTTAGGGTCATCGCTTGTAGATTTTCTATTCTGCGGCCTGTCAAGGATGTTGTAGCCATGTGGCATACGGAGTATTGCTTTGACTAAAGAAAAGATAGTGGAGAGGCGCGCATTCGCAAAGCTTGTCTTGTATGCAAGGCACAACTGTCATTCGACAGCTACGTACCATCCTTCTGAGATCGTGTTGCAGAAGATCGTGATGCGTCATCAGTTCATGCCGTTGTACGCCTGCAGTACCGATGAGCTATAGACCCTGGCAGTGTTTGCAGTTTTGTGAAGCTTTCGGCAGAGTGTCACGGCGATGTCCAGCAGAGACCGCACGTTCCTCGCAGTATGCTGCCACGAGGGCAAACCGAATCTGCAGAGCCACTAGTAGATAGAAACCAAGCTACCATGGGACCGAACCAGGCTCCTTCGAGATTGAGTCTCCATGAGAATCGAAGATCGCTATGATGACCATGTGCTCGAGTGTGCCAGTATCCGCTGTGGAAAAGATGACATAACTTTGTCCATGCAAGGCAATGCTTTGGTCTAGGGATATCTTTAGGGCTTTGGTTTGACGTGACTGTCAGACATGGCCAAGCAGCTCTGCCCTCCGTACTGTCACCACACCTCAGCGGTCGTCGGTCATCCTACGCGTCGAAGAGTAAGGTCACATTAGTGCATCGCGCAAATGAGTCGCATTCTCTTTCTTGGTCAAATCTATGGTCTGCAAACCAACCGGTTGATGTAAGCCTGCTATAAGCCTGCTCACACGAACAGCCGATGCTCTGAAGAGTAAGTGATGCTCGATATGATAAAAACATGACGCGCAAGAGCTGAAGTTGAACTGGTTTCTGGAGATTATGAGGCTCGTGCGTACGACCAAGACTTTTGGCCACGGTTAGAAACTGGATTATCACTGCGAAAGAGCAGCACTCGATGATGAATAGCAAGCATCTCTGAGTTTGCTAACGTAGAACTAGAAATTTAAAATGCTCACAGTGTACGATGAACGTATCTGACAAAGGTTGGGAGTGCCATATCTAGTTGAAGAAACCGATTCGGGACTATGGTGGTTGTGATGGAGCTTTCTTCGAAAATCGACTCAACTCACAGAATTACACTCTACAACCTTCCTCGAAACGGAGGGCACTAGTCGGCCATCTGGTCAGCTCTGTAAATATCGAAGAACATACAGAATCACAAAATATCACTCTTCCGTACATTCTTGCGACCGATATACCGTTGTTGATGCCTACTTTTCTTGTCAGGAGAGGCACCCTGTTTCTGCCCACCAGACGTTCAGTCGCGTCTCATCATCACGCCTCAGAGACCTCCTTCAGAGCTTCCTTCTATTCGCGCCGAGCGCGTCGAGCATGCTTTCTGTATGTCCTCTGGTATAATGGAGATGAGACGTGAATACTCTCCAAGACCTGACCAGTCGGACGCGCGGCAAAGATACAGATTTTGCAGCGCATCACGTATTCACAACCGAAAGTCATCAGGGATCGCGAGTTTCAGTCCAAGCCAGCCAAGTTCATAACTATTATAGTGCTCGAACTGTCCAAAATCATTATAAGCCTGTTGTAGATGGCCACCATCAACCCCCTGCGTACTGCTTCTTTACTCATCCAACCCCACTTGATCCCACGCCGTCAACACCAACACCTTAACAAGTTGAATCCACTGTTTCCTATCCACTTCCTCTGCAGCCCCGTCTCCCATTTCCACATCTTGCAATGCCGAATCCACCATCTCATCACACGCAACATCCTGGTCCGTTGCAAAATCTGGACTTTGTGGTGGTGGCGATGCTGCTGCTGTTGCTTCGCTATTTTCTACACCACCAACACCAAGACAGAAACTCGATACTCCTACATCGGTCCAGAATCGAGTGTGTTGGCCAAGTCGTCGTCCGGTCTGGAAGTCAGGGATACTGGGTCTTCTTCCCAGAACCCTTTTGCCGTTGTTCGATAGTGAGGTAGCGACAGGATGAGTTGCACAAGGCGTAGACAATCGAGAAGGTGTAAAATCCTTGATCGGAAAGTTTCTTTGCCAGCATGAAGATTCTAGATCAAACGTTGCTGGATCGATAGTTTTTGTGGCGGGTCTAGAGGAGAATGAATCTGGCGAAGAGGGTGTTGGTTGGATAGCGTTGGATGTGGCGACAGCGGTGATCATGCAGTCGCCTCTCCAGAGTGACCTTCTCTCATCGGTGTGGAGTAAGTGTCGACATGTGCCCAAATGTCCTTCCTCGGTATCAGATATCGCTGCCAGAACGATTGTGCCGAAAAGATGGCGTCGAATGGAGTGTAAGCAAGCGTAGGCAGCCACGATGGCCGCAGTACCCGCTGCGTGCGCTGACATAGGTGCCGAATTTGATGATGAACCTGTAGTCTTGTTGAAGGAGTATGGATGGGCGGGTGATGTCAAGCGTGGAGACAAAAGTCCATTGAGCACGAGGCAAGGACCTTCTCCTTCATCAAACACACTGACCACAGAAGGGAACGTCGGTGAACCTAGTGCGACGTTCTTGGTTTGCCTCGAAGACAGAAATTCAGATATCACAGCAGCGACTGGTGCTGTAGTCGCGTAGCCATCCCAGCGCTCGCTCCCAGTCAAATTTTGAATGGACGACTTTGCAGCGGTTGAAAAGTCATCTAAAAACTCGATCAACTGATCAGTCTCTGCGTCGATAGCGTCCTCGATATCTTTCTTCCAGTTCGTGGCTGACTGATCTAGCGAACAACTTCCTTCCTCGACCTGCTTGGATCCTGTTTCAACTCGCAGCAGCTGCTCTACTGTAGGATAGATGTGATTCTCTTCATTCGGCGGTGTCGGAAGTACAGTCTCATGTAGTCGTCTTGCCATTCTGGTTTCTGCGTTCTCAGAGGGTCGAGCAACAATCGGTCAAGGTGAAGGCGAAGATTGATAATGTGCAAGTATTATGTTAGATGGCAAGGTCGAAACACTTTGATGCTCGAGATTTTGATGGCATAGAAAGGGTCTGAAAATATTGAAGCCAAGCTCCGACGAAAACAATGCAGGAAAGGAGATGGACAGTAACGTCTCTAAAAACAGAATGTCATCAGGTCTGCCTGTGCCTCTTAGGTTACACGGGTGCAGGGTTTCGGCAAACAACACACTAAAACGACTCAGAGTCTCAGATCTAGCTTGAGACCACGCGTGTGGGCTCGTCCGAATCCGCGTGTAATGCTTGTTTACAGTTGAAGTTATTTCATGGTCAGAACGGTGAAATAGCCTTCGTTATGGGCAATGATAGTTGCAATATGAGAACCACGAGAAGATTGCCCAGTCCCGAGCGGGTGCGCACAGTGTCGAAATACCAACGCTTCAAATTGTTGTGGCGATCAAAAGGGTCCGTATAACCTCTCAACAGCTTAGCCACGATAAATAGAAAAGCGGGCGGCTTCGCTGCCTGTACAGCGATGGTTCCTCGACGCTCCTAGAAAGCGACATGCGCTCTGAACACGATCCATATGGATAACAACGCGAATCTTCGATCAGTAATACGAAAACAGACCGACCAGTCTAGACTCTGCATGAGGCTTAGAAGTGGTATAAAGGTTGGACGGTGTTGTGATTGTATGATGTCAAATCAGGTAATGATTGACATGACCTGCGGCACTTGAGCACACTGCCGTGTTAGCTTGTCCGGGGAAAAGCGTGAGAATGGTGAAGCTGCCAAGCTGGTCGGAGACCTGGCCGACTCGGAGGCTGTCCGTTCTTCGAACACCTGACGCTGAACGCTAAGTGTAGCATGATCTTACGGTATTATCACGGATATTTCTGATTGGTGAACAACTGTTATACGCGGCAGAGTGCGCTCGTGCGATTTCGCTAGAAACGCTAGATCCAAGAACTAGTTGCAGCCAAATTGTGTCATGCACTAGTCAGCGGCCCCAGTCAAGACGTATCCTGCTTGTCGCGAAAGCGTGAGAAGCGACGGTTATATGCTGAGTCGCCCGGCTAGACAGCTGAAGTGATCATGGGCAGGCTTTTGTGCATGGCAGGTCCTGTCGGTCGTAAGAATCTCGCTTCAAGTCTTTGAGTTGCAAGTGTTCGCCAGGAGATCCGACGTTTTGTGTACAAGATCCCACGGGCTTTGAGAGCGTGGCACAATGCAACACGGAGGCTCATCCCGTTGAGAGCTTGCATGATTTCTCAACGCTCCTGCAGCCACAAGCATGACTCCAATTACCCAGAAGGCAAAACGGTTTAGAGTATACTCCAGCTCCCGAATAGCGTTCGCTGAGAGGTAAGCTACACGGAAGGACTGAATTCTGAGCGCGGGCTTCAACAGACTTCCATCCCAAACTTTGTTAAGGCGTGGAAGCGTGCGGAGCATTGTTCAAGCAGCGGCCTGAATGAGGCTCTCGGAAGGCGATTCAATTGTAGCCTTTGCCATTTCTGTAGTGGTTTGACCCTTAGTCTCTGCAAACTTCGAACTGCGTTTGAAGCTGGGTGAGGGGTTGTAGAAGTCATCGATGATGGGATGAATAAGGACGGTCTGATTGTGAATAGTGACGGTGCTGTTGGTCGGAACTGTGACCCAGTTGTCACGCTCGAAAGTCAGAGGTTCACTGGCTACAAGAACAATGTCGGCTCCTCTGTCACGTCGTTCCATAGTGTAGTCGGCCTTTTCGGCAGAAAGGCCGTTCTGCTTTTTCCAGCTGGTACCGGAGCTGAAGAACAAGCTGGCAGCTTCATCGGTAGTGCTGCTGACATAACGGGTGCAGACGACACTCTTGCCGTCGGTAACAGCAAAGTTGAGCAGACTGCGCGTGTCGCCTTTTCGAACGTCTTCGGGAAGTTCGCGAATGTAGCCGTTGATGCGCTCGATGGTTTTGAGGATGGCCTTGCGCAAGACACTGTGTCCAAAACCATTTGTCTGGGCTTCCTTGTTGTCTGGATCATAACCCAGCCTCTCTAGACTGTCGAGGAATAGAGCAAAGCACCACTCAGAATCGGTGCTGCCTGTGACGCCTCCAAACCAGCGGTCGCCAACATCGCTGACCAACTTGCGCTTGACACCAGCGTTCCAACCTCCAACTCCTCCGTTGTGCATGAACATCAAGCATCCGCGGCTGAAAGGATGGCAGTTGCTTTCAGCCAGAGCACCCTCGGTACTGGCACGGACGTGAGCGAAAATGAGTGGTGAGACGGTCTTGCTGGCTAGACGGGTGAGGTTGTTGCAGTTCCAGGCAGGAATGGTCGAGGTGAAGATGCATGGATCAGGACCGAGCAAAGGTAGTAACGAGGGTGGAGTGTAGTAGCCAACACCGAAGCCATCGCCATTGTGAGGACGGCGCGTGTCCAAACGAAGTCGTGAGTCGTAGGATTGCGTAAGAATGGAGTGAGCCGGGTCGAGAATCAGAGTGGAAAGGAGAATGGGCTCCTTGCCCTTGTAGACCTACAATATGGCCGGCCCGTCAGCAACCATTTGCATCTGTGGACAGAGTTCCAGCCTACCATAAATCGACACATCTCTTGAGGTATGCCTGATAAGAACTGCGCGGACGAGAGACCTGTCTTCTCTCCGGCTGTAGAGATGGCTGGTATAGGTGCGAATGAAAGATATGTGTAGAAAAGAAAGCGCCTGCGAGTTCGCACCTTCCTGTCGTCGCAGCATTGCGCAATTGCGCTTGGACCATCAAACACTTTCACATGAAGCCTGAGGCTCCTTGGACTTGAACCAACCGACTGCTCCTGCATCAATTCATCTTCACAAGATGACGACTTCATCATCTTGGGTTTCAATTTGAAACTACCACCAGCTCTGTGTATGACAAACAGCTAATCAACTTTTGTTGATTTGCTTGGCCGATATAGCTGTATGCTGCCAGGGTGACGTTCCAAATACGAGAAAACATCCCCGGTTTCATTTCCAAACCTCGAATGTCCCCGAGTCGGCGACATTCCCTATCACAGTCTGATGGTCATATCCTTGCTACACGACCCATGGTTACTTTTCGATTGTTTTGCTTTGCAAAACTGCATTATACGCAATCTTGTTGGTGTCTCTCGTGCCGTAGCATGATCTCTGCGAGAAACTACTATGACAACCAGGACCACTTCTCAGGCGCCTGCTTCTGCTGTCAAGCCATCACCGCTGGCTTGCACTGAATGTCGATCAAAGCATTTGAAATGTGATGGAATCCAGCCTGTCTGCTCACGATGTGCTGCCTCTAACATCGCATGCAACTACACGCCTTCACGGCGAGGCTGCAAAGGAATTCCGAAAAAACGACGCAAACTTAATTCTGATCACCCAACACAAGATCCCCCATCAAGCTCATCGACTCAGTCACCCATCCCAGCACCACCTATTGCTGATGCTAAACCCGAACAATCAAATTGGCAGAGCCATTTAAGCACTCTTACTGCAAGCAATTTACCCAACACGTCAGATGCTGTCAGCATCGCATTCGATACGCCGTTGATCGATTCTGGTCCGGCATTCATGCTAAGCAATCAAGTCTCAACCTCGGTATTGAACACTCAACAACAGAGTCAACCACCATCGAACCCAGGCATGGAACATGTTGTGAACCTGTACTATTCGAATTTTCATCCAGCACATCCCATTTTGCTCCCTCGTCACATGTATGGCCAGAACTATCCTTCCTACCTTCACTCGGTTGTCCAATTCATTGGAAGTCACTATTCGACATCTCAATCCAGCGACTCCTTCCGAACGCAAACAGCAGCCGCTCTCAAGGACAACTCGCAAAGATCGGTCTACATGGTTCAAGCTCGCCTTCTATTCGCCATCGCGATACATGCTAGAGGCGAGCCGAATGAGGGACAGGCGATGCTTAGAGATGCTATAGATCTAGCGATCAGCCTTGGTATGAACACGAAAGATTTCGCGATGCTCAACAGCGGTTCATCGTCATGCCTAGAAGAAAGCTTTCGTCGCACATGGTGGGAGTTGTTCGTAGTAGAAGGCATTATGTCCGCTATTCATCGCGTACCAACCATGAAGACTCGATCCGTTGCTTCCGAGGCCTTACTGCCATGCGAAGACTCGACATATACAGACGGTGCTTGTTTCTCTGATGGGTCATCCCTGGCTCAATTCACTGATCGACACTTTGCCGAAGAAGAGATCAGCTACTCCTCGTCTTGCTACCGCATTGAGGCTGTTCAGATCTTGTCCAGAGTTCTGTCGATTGCAAACGCCGAGGCTCATCCGGATGAGGTACAAGCGATTGACAATTCCCTTGCAGCATGGTCACACTATGTGCCTCCGGAAAAGCGAGATATCATCTCGAATTCTGGAGAAGTCGATGAGCTTCTATTCCAGGCACATATGCTTATTCACTGGGCAACTATCCTACTGCACATGCCCCGAAGTGAACTTCTTTCGGTCCATCCAGCTACTGCGGATATCTTCTGTGCCAAGGGCGACAAGCAAATGCCGTCCACAGATACAAAACATGCTCATGCGAGTAAAGCCACAGATGCGTCCAAAGAGTTGTCAAATCTAGCTGCTCTCCGCTGCCCGGTACAAAAACACACTCCCTTCTTTATCTGCGCTCTCGTCATCGCATCAGTGGTGCAATTGGCCGCTTGTACTCTCCACAATTGTCGCTGCATGTACCAGCATCGCGATCGCATCACTTTGGTCGTGGGTCTGCTCAAATCACTCAGCTTGAGCTGGGCATGTGCTGGTTCAGTACTCGTAAAGATCAAGAAGATTGCAGCGAAAGTGATGAAATCTGAGCATTGCACAATGACTGTTGCCTCCACTCAGTGCGATAGCTGCACAGATAGTGGCTTAGGCACGAGCATAGGTGCCGAAGATGTGCCCTGGATGGAGTTTTTCGATGATCCTGTTATGTCTTTCGAGGGCTTTGCACCTGGACCGACCCTATTCGAGCAAGGCTGAAATGGTTTCATCTGCAGTTTTGAACGGATGTTGGGTAGTCTACTCAGTCGGTTACCTTTTCGAAAGACTGACAACATTGGAACGAACCAATTCGAATAACGCTGCTGCTATAATCAGTAAAGTTTTGCTCATATTGAGCAAATCAAGCCACTTGGTCGGTGAATTCGGCAATGGTAAGCCATGTCTTATCTGATGAACACGTGGGGAGTCGGGTTGTGATACAGGTGCCGTGTTTGCACCTCTTGGTTTGGGTCAACGGCAAACGGCAAGGAGATCCTGAAGAATATAGGGCAGATCAGGACGATGATGATGAATCTGCTTCTGTGGTCATTATATCCAACGACAGCATTTTGGCTGACTTGCTCTGGCACAACAATCAATTAAAGTGGCGGCGATTATGCTACGATAGTAATTGTTGTATACGAGGTCGGTCTCATTGAGAACAGGATGGCGTTCCCCAAAGGCCAGGGTTACTCAGCGCGGCTGGTGAACTCTATATTCATCGACATTACGAACGGCACCTTTACGCCAAACACCAGAAGCCGAGACCTTCACAGGATCAGAAGATCAATTGACCGACGTTGTAAAGTGTTCAAAAAAAACCAGGCCGACAAAATGCAATGCATGAAATGGAGATGCGAAATCGAAGTGCTGCAAGTATACACAAACAACGATATCCTCTCTTAGCCATTCTTTCCATGCAAGTCGAAGCAATCACAGGATCAATATGGTTCCACTCATTTACGAATAGTGCGGGATCTGAGAATTCAGGAACCGGAAATGGATTTTGGAAGTCGGCGAGCGGGTGTCACCGGCATTTGTTGTGTATAACCGTTGAACAACAACGGTTCCTATCAACTACAATATAGGGCTTGGGAGACTACGCCGAAGCCACACTACGACGCACTTGACATCCGCAGCTTGGACCATCATCCGATTAGTTGATGGCTTTCAATCTCGAGTATCCAATCATGAGTATGTCAATCGGACGTGAGCAATGTTACGGTTATCCTCATACTGGCCAGATGCCTCTGCCCTGGTTTCGTTTGAGCAGACTGCTAACCCCGTTGTGGGCTCTTTGAGGCTGACTCGTACCACAAGTTATAAGACAAAAGGCGTTGCCAGAGGTGCCTACTTTTTCGTACATTGGTCAAATCCAGAAGCAAAGGAATTAGACAACTCCGCCTGGTGGCATTCGCGCCCGTTCGTTCATGTCTCAAAAAACCAGAGTACGATAGCTTACGCGCGTTGCAAGCACTTTTTCTTGCTTGACAGAGCGTGATCTTGCATACATATCGTCATTGTGCCTCAGGTACTTCGGAATTTGGTAGCGAATTTGTCTTTTCTCCTTCTACACGCATATTGCGAGTCTCTCAATCGCAGTCATGAGCGAAGTACCGCATTACTGGATCGATTCAAGCAAATTGGAACTCATGAAAGCACTGAATGGCACTTTTCTGGCTCTGTCTTGCGTCACCGTGGCTTTGCGTGTCTGGACACGGACGAGGATAGTCAGATGCTGGTCGTGGGATGATTGGTTCATTCTGTTAACTTTGGTGAGTGTAGCCTTCCTTGATTTCGTGCGATCAGATCTCTGACCTTTTCGTACTAGGCTGTGTTTATTGGCGAGTGTGCTACATGGTTGAAATTGGCGGATATAGAGGGCAGACCGGCATCTCTAGCGAATCTGGAGACATATGCTGCAGTAAGTGACACGCCTCGCCCGCCTCTGTCCTCCTAATGCTAGAGTTTGTCGTTTTCATCGCACTAAAACACAGTAAATGAGCAAGAAAAAAAAAAAAAAAAAACGCCCCATGAAAAGGCACGCTTGGTTCTTGAAGCAGAGGAGTGCCCACGGAGAGTTGAACAAGTTATCACTTCTCAGTGGACACTATCCTGTTCCTGATACCATCGTGCGATTTTTGTAGCTACCTGTCCGCGTTCACATCCTCTAGCACGTCGAGGGAGAGTGTCACTGCAGAGTGGGAACCATGCTAATGGCGCATCACAGCTCATCTGTGCCGAACAAGCCCTCTACATAACCGGCACAATCTGTCTCAAGATCTCGCTCGCCTTCTTCTTCCTCCGCTTCCTGATAACTCCTTGGTCGCGCCATATAATCTGGATCAGCGTTACCATCTACACCCTCCTCGCTACCTCCATGCTCTTCCTCGTAATCTTCGAATGCGGACTCCCTGGCAACTACGTCTTGAAACAAGCATCTCACCAATGCGTCTCTTTCCACATCCAGAGTTCCGTCGGGTTCGCTCATGGCGCTGTAAACGCACTCACCGATTGGCTCTTTCCCATCCTGGCGATCCAGTACTTGGTGCGTACGAAACTCTCTCCCATGGCTAAGATTTCCTGTGCGGGTATTCTGGGATTGGCCGTGTGTGGTAGTATCGCATCTATCGTGCGCACAATCTATATCCCTGACTTTGGACCTGGCGGCAATATCTACAGCAGGACTATGAAACCCTTGGTTTGGACTTTGGTAGAGGGGGGTCTAGGTATCATCGCAGCGAGTCTGGCAACCCTCCGTCCTCTGTTCCGAACATGTTGGAGTAGGACGAAAGGGGTGTACCAGGGCAAGAGTACTACTGGAGAGCGGTCAACGAGCAAAAATGGAAAGTCTTCGCTTGGCAGTACGTTGAATTGCTTTGGCTCTACTAGCCCTGTGTTGGCCGAGTTGCCGCAAGAGTCTGAGGTGGAAAAAGGCGATAGTGCTATGGATCTGGAGTCTGGAAACCATCCAGAGACAACCACACGACCGCTGCATCTAGGAATACTCAGTAGTGTGGATACGGAGACGGGATTAAACACAAAGGTGGATAAAACGAGGACGACGGTACGGGGCTTGAAAAGCGCGCTCTGATTGCTGGAGCTTGCCACGGGCACTTTTGTTATGATTTTACGATGGCTATTGATTTGTCAATTCTTGAAGATTCTCAAAAGAACTGATCTTCTTGCTTTTTGCGCTTAGAATCTTGTTTCCGCATCACAGGTGCCGGCAGGGGTCTGATGGTGGGAACACCTGTCTTTCATGTTTCGAGTCCCCACGACCCCAATCGTAGGACTCGAGTGAAGTGTTGGATTACAAAGTCTCGATAGGACAGAAACCATGCGGTTTCTCCTTGGGATTTTCCGCTGTGATATCTGTGCGATCCAGTAATGGCCACGGAGTATCGCAGCGAGGCGATACGATATCAATGTCAAGATAGTGCTTCTTGGTAGTGATGTGCCCATGTTCATCGGAGTAGGCAAAATTCGAAATGAAGCACTGCTGCTGCTGCTTCGTGGGAGAGATGTCGACGATGATGACATCAAATGCTGGGCGATTTATTCCATCCTGGGGAGAGAATGTTATGGTGGTATGTTGTGGTTGTGATGAAGCTCGACGTGGCACGCTCATCTGAAGAGCCTTCTACCACCATTTCTAACAGCAGCAGACTCTCTTCCCTCCAAACTGATACCAGTGAAACCCACGGTGCCTCCAGATCTATCGTGCTTGTATCGTCTAAGAGCCTCACGCAGATGATCGGGTAGCAGCGGACCTCTGTCGCGCTCTTTGACCTTTGGTTCGCCCTCGCCATCCTTGCCAAAAGCCTCCTCATTCTTGTCACCCGTAGGTAATGTTTCGGAGGCAGCAAGCCACTCTTTCTGAACCTCTCTTGCGCGATCGACGATTTCTCCTACAAAGACTTTGGTGTACGAGTTGATAGTGGTGACGACGCTGGCAGGTACTGATTGCGACAGAGTTTGGTTGGCGAGACGGCGGACGACTTCCTTCTTCAAATGTATGCGATTCCAGGTTTCGTAGATCTCGGCATGGGCGGGGTGGATATGTGTGCTAAACATGGCCTTGCGCTCTTTCTCAGCGTCCATGGCGGCTTTTGTGAGCTTGCCGCCTTCGAGTGTGTTGACGTCGTCGCCGCCATCTTCTTCGTCTTCGCTGTTGGCATCGTCGGCAGGGCCATCTTCATTGTTGCCGGTATTTGTAGAAGTTCCTTTGCGACCAGCATCGCCATCGATGAGACTGGCGGTATCACCGCGGTTTTTTGGCGGGCGGCCAACTTTGCCAACCTTCTTGGTCTTGTTTGCGCGATCTTTCTTGTTGCTAGTAGTGCCGGTGCGACCGCTGACTACGCTGTTGATTTCATCGTCGATATCGAGACTATCGCTGCGACGAGAGACGGGCGAGTATGCGGCTTGCGAGGCTTGAGTGTCGGGACTGTATTCTCTGCCTGGACGGTCCGGTGGTGGAAAGGATGTCTGGCGCAAAGGATGTGTAGATGAAGCATTTGACGGCTTGCGACGCTTGTATGATGGGGCCTGGCCGGGGATGGTGATGGAGGGGCGCTTCTTGGGCAGAGCCAGCTGCGGACCAGTTGGAGGCGGTGAAGTCGCGCCTCCGGGAGGGCTGCTCGCCATGCTGCAGCTGGTATGACGGAGGGATGGATGACTGTGTACAAAGTTCGTAGATTCAGAGTGGGTGATCACAGGGATCCGTCCTTGCCGTCAGACTTCAGTGGATGCTTCATGCGCTGCGTCAGATGCGGAAGGCGCTTGGACCGACTGGGACAACTTCAACCCTCCTTGGTGCAGTCGACGACGACTCATGCCACTTTAACCTGCTGACATGTAACGTCCACTATCCGGATGGCACCGCGAGCCATGCGCTCACTGCCTGACCTCTGCTTTATAATCTTCCACGCCTGCCTGCCTTGACTAGCGTCGTCTGCTTGAACTTCTTACCCTTCACCTACTCCTGACATCACCACTTTCCTGTTCGTCGCTGTTCTTTGCATTTGATTCACAAGCACTTATCTCATCATTGCTCAATTCTCCAGTGAAACTCAAGGGGTATGGCCTATTCTCTCGATCCAAGACCAGCTGTCACTCTCCCACATGGCGGCTTCTTCAGCGCTTTTGCCGAAGACAAAATCGCTGCTCCACCTTCTGCTGTCTACAAGGCTCTGCTTGACACGTCCAAATATGGTCAATGGAACAATTTCGTGACTAAAGTCACCATCAACAAGCAAGCCGACTCAGGGTCGGCATCTCAAGATACACAGTTGAAGAAGGACATGGTCATGACTTTTACTGTCCGCATGTCTGCGACCATGACCACCCATAGCAAAGAACTAGTTACCCAAATCGATGATTGTCCGACTGACTCTGCGCCTGGCCATATTACATGCATTCGCTGGATAATGGCAAACAAGGAAAGCTTCGCCCCAAAGTTCATCATAGCAGCCGAAAGGGTCAATGAGATAGAAGACCTGGGCGATGGGACGTGCATCTACAGGTCCTGGGAAACTTTTGGAGGTCTGGCCGCTCGTATTGTGAAATGGAAGTTTGGCCACTCTTTACAGAAGAATTTTGAAGACTGGGTGGCTGGTCTCCAGCGATACGTCGAGGAAGAGGAGAAAAAGAAAATGGAGCGGAAAGCCGCTGTTGAATTGGCAGCTTGACATGGCCAAACCTTTCGAATCTATCCTTTCTATTTCTTCGCGTCTCTCAATACCCCCAATCAGCGTCAAGCTCAATATCAATCTGGTCCTTCCCGCTCTCACTCCTTTCGCTCTCTCGGACAGCTAGTAACAACCCTTCCTCGGCATTCATATAGAGATCGGTTCGTGTTCTGGAAACAGCAAAGTCGTTCCACCCCCCAGTCATTCCGGCAGACTTCCCTTGTTCGACGGCAACGGAGAGCCAATTTTTCAGTCGCTCGTAATCTCCAACCTCTCTTCTCTCTTCGACAGCCGGATGCAGTGTGATGCCCAAACCAACGGGTTCTGCATCTGTCCTTTGTTTGTCCAAGATGCTGCGCTCTTGGTACTCTGATCTTTGCCATTTCTGAAGACTTTTGCTCTCCGCCAACCACATCATGGTAGCCATCGCCAACATCATCCCCAGCAATATCAGAAGAAATATTGCAAACCCTATAGGCGTATCTGTTGTTTGACAATCTGCATGAGCCGAGAGATTCAATTCTGCGGTTTCACTGGACGATGATGCGATATTGGTTGAAGTTGTCATAGGTGTAGGACGATAAATGAAGGCTGGCGAAGTCGTCGATGATAACGGTGCATACTGGATCCAAGGGCTGCAAGATGTTGTCGACAGAGGTACATATTGGAACAAAGTGTTCAATGTCTTTGTCGAGTATGTTGTGGGTGTCGAGAGTTTAGTGGGAGATGGTCGCATATGAGGACGAGTCGAAATGGTATCTGAGAAAGAATTCATGCTTGAGAAATGGTCGGAGATACATTGGGAAGAGGGTGGCATGCTCAGCGCCAATTACTTTACCTATCATATAGGCAAGTTGGATAATCTCAGGCACTTAGACATTGTCTTTACTTGAGCATATGGTTTCAAATGATAACAAGACATTGTTCCATCCAGAACAATCATTAGTAGCTCGGAGCAAACATAACGCCTTCAAGGATGCATATGTGATCTCAGAGCATCTAACATGATGACTATACTTTCCATATGGCAATGAGGTCTGATTCTGATGCTTGCCGAAATTCATGTCAATCCTAAACTCCAAAAATGCAATATCCTCATTCGGATGTTGTACTGTATGCATTGAGTATAGTCCGTGCACTATGCCACAAATAGCCGTCCTGATGAGAGATGCAAACTGTTTGACATATTAAAGAAAACATAATTTGCGAATGGACAGAGAATTTCAAACATCAAGGTCCAGTCTAACTGTCTAGAATTGCTACCTGTATAGATGCACCGAGGAATCACTTTATATCTTGCCGTAAATGGTTCGGCCGATCTCGGGCCGAAACTCAATCTCGATGCGCAAGAGAGGAGCAATGCTGGTGACGATTACACTTGCGCATCCTCTCGAGTAAGTTAGGATTGTGCTTGAACGGCAGTTGCTTCTTTGAAGGGTCTGAAGGGGGTTTTTCTTATAGTGCAGTTCTGGAGTTGCGTTGGTGTCTGCCTAAACCAAAGTGTGTTTCCACGACGCCAAGAAGTTGCGATGCAAGCACGTCGATCATCCTCCTTCAATTGCATCCTAGTTTCCTCGTTCTTGTGAGCTGGTCTTCGACACGCGACTTTTCGACTGACGGATACTGGATACTGGAATGGTCTCCTTAGCTCGACAGCCGCGATGGCTAAGGCCATTCATCGAAGAGCCAGGAGTTGATGACGATGTTCAGCCGAAGAAGCAGAGTCTACCCTATGTGGCGATTCTTCTCTTCATCCTTACAATTACCGGTTTTATTTTACAGGCCATTATCAGAATTCAATCGCCTTCTGTTCTATTAGGCATTGCTGCTTTCTACCTCGTACTGGTCAGACCGCGCACAGCTTCAGTATTCCTGCTCGTACTGTATGCGACTTTGTTTGTCTTGCAGGTGTCGATATTGACATCCTCTGAATGGGGTTTCGATGGATTTGATCTTATCGTTGCTTTTCGAGTCATCAACATCTGTCTTTCGCTTATCAGCATTGCCGCTGTCGTAAATTTGCCATTGCGAGATCCTTCATTGGCACGCGAGGGTGTCAGTCAACCATATACTACACCCACAGCAGACCTCAGATCTCCAGAGGATGACCTTACACTGTGGCAATGGATGACTGTTTCGTGGATGTCACCGCTCATCTCCACTGGCAAGACAAGACAATTGAATGACGACGATGTCTGGTCTCTTGGTTACGAGTTTCAACATCGCCACTTACATGATGCTTTCCGAGAACTTCATGGAACGGTCGTCCGACGCTTGCTTCGTGCGAACTGGCATGATCTAGCCATACTTACAGTACTAGCGATATTGGAATTGGCAGCCAATTATTCAGCGCCGATACTGCTGCAGCAGCTTCTAAAGGCTATGAACAATTTGAGATATGAAATACAGCCAGCCATCACATTCGCACTCCTCATTCTCGTTGTGAGATTGGTTGCCGCGCAGAGTTCGGTATTCAGTCTATGGTTTGGTAGACGTGCCTACGAACGGTCTAGAGGAGAGATGATCACGATGCTGTTCGAGAAGACGCTCAACAGGAAGATTGTCGCGACAATCAAAGACGACGAAGAGAAAATGGACAATGAAGACATGAACGAAGAGACGGACACTGATAATACACCTAATGGTAACAGTGCGAGTGAAACGCAAGGACTTTTGAACGGCCACAACAGCAAATCGAACGAAAAGCAGTCATTTCTGTCTAAAGTGTTCAGGAAGACTTGGTCCGGCATTCGCTTCAAGCGTGACAAGAAATCCAAGCCCGCAAACGAAGACAACGCTCCCGCCTCGATGGGCAAGATTCTCAATTTGATGCGTGGCGATGTCTACGAGGTTAGTGGCATCAAGACTTACATATGCCACAGGCTAATGCGTACGTTTAGGTCAGTCAAAGGTTTTGGGAATTTCAGAGATTGATCAACAAACCTCTCGGCATGGTACTTTCCTTGTGCTTGGTGTGGAACCTACTAGGTCCATCTTGTTTACTCGGTGTCGCCGTTGTACTTCTCGCTCAGGTCTTGAATACCATTTTCGCTCGGATTCTTATCAAGAAAGAGCAGCTTCGTCGTAAAGCTACAGACACAAAGCTTCAGCAGGTGTCGTCATACGTTGAGGCAATTCGACATCTCAGATGGTATGGCTGGCATCCTGTCTGGCTCGAAAAGATATTGGAAGCTAGACAAGCGGAGCTTGACCTCAAGATTGTGACTTTCTTGTGGAACCTAGCCATCAGATTTATCAATATCTTGGGCAGTGGATTGCTGCCAGTCGCCGCCTTCTATGGTTTCACAGCTCTCGCTGGTCATGAACTGCGGATCGATATCGCGTTCCCTGCTCTACAGCTCTTCAACATGCTACAAAGCGATTTGAAAGAGATACCAGACCTCATCACAGTGCTCCTTAACGCATCTGTTGCTGTCGGTCGTATCGAGGCTTTCATGCAAGAACCTAACAAGACTGCAGACGATACCTCGGCCTCCATATCAGATGGCATTCTTGAATTGAAGGATGCTTCGTTTGCATGGCCAGGACTGTCCAAGGAAGTCCTCCGCGATATCACACTTTCATTCCCTCCTGGACTTAACGTAGTGTTCGGTCAGGTCGCAGCAGGAAAAAGTGCTTTGCTCCAGGCTCTTCTTGGAGAGCTCGACCTACATCATGGTGAATTGATCAAGCCAGATGCACCAATCGCTTACTGTGCCCAGACTCCCTGGTTGCAAAGCATGAGTATTCGTGACAACATCTTGTTCTCATCGCCTTATGATGACGTACGGTACAAGCAGACTCTCGAAGCGTGTGCTCTCACTGCAGATCTCGCTAACTTCAAGCATGGAGATCTATCGAACGTCGGAGAGAATGGCATTGGTCTATCTGGAGGGCAAAAGGCTAGAGTCGCTCTGGCACGTGCAGTATACAGCCGAGCCAAGATTCTGCTTCTTGACGATCCTTTGAGCGCACTCGACCAGCAGACTGCAGAGTCCATAGTCGCCAAATGCTTCGGAGGCGAACTCACTAGAGGCCGCATCATCGTCTTGGTCACTCATCGTACAGATCTGTGCAAGAGTATGGCTGAACAACTTGTTGAGATTACCGAAGGGACTGCACAGACATACAGGGGTGATTCGCTACAACTCAGTCCAACTACCTCCCGCACAGCTCAAACTCTTCAGGATGCAAAATTGGCTAAGGTCGACGAAGCGCAAGAATCTGCTGCGGTGCCTGATAAGTTCGAGGAAGAAGAACATCGAGAACATGGTGGAGTCAAGGCAGGAGTGTATTGGCAGTACATTAAAGCTGGACGCTTGAGATGGTGGTCTCTTGTCGTTCTGTCTGCCATCGTCTTCCGACTACTTATGATAGCCGAGTCATGGCTGCTCAAGGTAAAACTGACTATATGTCATTTACAATGACTTCTGCTTACATTGAACACAGGAATGGGGAGAAGCCTATGGAGAGACCGAGCAGGTGTACAATCTGCAAATTGTCCAGGCCAAATCTCACATCATGTCTTCGAGTCCCGTTTCTCGCTTTTTTGAACGCTTCCCGGATCCTGGCGTGAATGTCTATCCATGGCTCCTTGCATTCCTTGTCTTGATCATTGCTGAGTGTGTGGGTTTCATGATCTCGCAAATCTTCATGCTTGTCATCACCTACACTGCTGGTAAGAATCAGCTCTTGCTTCTTACTCGTCATCTGCTAACAAATGCAAAGGCAAAGGAATGTTCAAAGACATTATGACAAAGGTCAGCCATACCACCTTCCACTACTACGATGTAGTGCCCATCGGGCGTCTAATGAACAGGCTCACATCTGATGTGGGTACCATCGATGGCAACATCTCGAATCAATTTCTGGTCGTAGCCTGGCAGGCAATTGCTTGGGTGACATCAATAGCTGTGATTGCAGGTGTCACACCGCTATTCCTTGTCTTTTCTTTCGCACTAACTCTAGCGTTCATCCTTATCTTCATGCAGTTCCTGCCCACCAGCCAAAGCTTGAGACGCCTTGAAATGGTGTCTTTGAGCCCGCTCATGTCGAACTTCGGTGCTCTCTTGAATGGTCTGACGACCGTTCGAGCCTTCTGCGCTCAATCACAATTCCAGGATGGCGTGATCGCTGTAACAGATGCCTTCCAAGGCATGGATCATTTCTACTGGTAAGTGAAAACAGATGTAGGATAACGAAGCTTGACTAACTTCAATCCCAGGTCTCTGCAGGCATGGTTGATGTACAGGTTTGATATCTTGTCGGCAGTCTCGACCTTCATCATGACTTTGCTGGCCATCAACTCTGGTCTATCACCAGGATTGACGGCCTTTGTCTTAGCATCTGCCAGCAGATTTGTGGTCGCAACTCATGCATTGTGCAAACAATATGGTCAGTTACAGTTGAACTTTGTCTCTGTGGAGCGTGTGGTTGAGCTGCTTCACCTCGAGCAAGAAGATGCTGGCGAGATCGAGCCACCTGCGTATTGGCCCTCATACAGCGATGACATCGTCTTCGAGGATGTCACCATCAGATACGCTCCACACCTCGACCCTGCACTGTCAGACGTATCCTTCACCCTTAAAGGAGGCTCAAACACTGCAGTCATCGGCCGAACCGGTTCTGGCAAAAGCACACTCGCATTGTCACTCCTCGCAACCATGACACCAGAGTCAGGCCGGATCCTCATTGGCGGCATTGATATTGCAAAAGTCGACAAGCAAGCTCTGCGCAACCGTATCACGTTCCTCGCTCAAGATCCTGTACTATTCCCAGGTTCCTTACGGCACAATCTCGATCCTACAGAACAGCACACAGATGGAGAGTGCGAGGCTGTGATCGCCCGTGTTTGTGGCAACTACAACTGGACCCTGCAGACGCAAATCGACACTGGCGGTAAGAACCTCAGTCAAGGGCAGCGACAACTTGTCGGCTTAGCGCGTGCGGTGCTCAGAAGAAGTGCAATTGTGATTATGGACGAGGCAACGGCGAGTATAGACAAAGACACTGCTTGGGAGATCCAAAGGGTGTTGAGAGAGGAGATGGAGCAGAGTACTGTTGTCACTATTGCACATCGACCTTCTGCCGTAAGAGGAGCAAATTACTGTCTTGCTTTGGGCAATGGCAGGATCATTGAGAAGGGGACGCCCGAGGAGGTTGATGTGGCGAGTAGTACTGTGCCGGATGCCATTTGAGGTAATTTGGGAATTAGATAGAGATGCTAGACAAAAAGGCCTGCTTGATCAAATACAATGCTGAGTCTTTTCCCTCGGGTTTTCTGACTTTGGTTCTGAGGCAAGGCGATTGATGCTCTATTCAGTTGTTTTCTGACCATATGCTTTCAGTCAACAAACTGGCGGAGTCGAGAACAGACGACTTGTCCAGGAATACTCAGTCGTGTCACAGTAGAACAGACAACGAAATAGCAAAGTGAAATACCCAAAGCAGAGTGATGAATTGTCGCGCCTTCCCTTTTGAGCACAAATTGAGAGGGTTCCGTGACAAAGCTTGGCGCGTTCAAGGATGTCGATCTTCCGAATGAGTGAACTGCAGGCAGGCGATACTTTTTCCTACTCCCATCTTTTTTGTCGCAACCCGAAACAGAGCTAAGCTGGTTTACTTGGTCACACAAGTGAAGTTAGAGGATATTGTCACCTTACTGGAATTTCCTGGATTTTTCGACTGTCCAAGACAAGGAGAGACGGTCGTCAGCTTCGGCAAAGCCGACTTCCCTGCCACACATGCCAACACTCAAGCGTGACCGTGAAGCCATGGACGACCAAGGTGCAAGGAAAAAGATCAAGACTTCTCCCGTCGATGAAACACACCACATCCAACCCATCATGGATCTGACCGCCGACGAACCACAAACAGCACCTGGAGCCCAAGTCCCTCCCTCACAAGAGCTTCAAGTACGAATCCGCTTCACTCGTCTTCCATAACACCTACTAACACCCCTCGTTCAACCTCAGGCACTGAAAACCCTCCGCGGCGACTTCGACGACATCCGTCAACTCATAACCTGCAAAATCTGCGAACGCCTTCTCTACGAACCCTACGTAATCTCCTGCGGCCACACTTATTGCTACAGTTGCTTGTGCACCTGGTTCGGCACCACCAAGAAAAAAACATGCCCAAATTGCAGAGAAGTGATTACACAACCACCAGCTCCTTCCTACGTCATCAGAGAAATGATCAATATCTTCATGAGGAGTCATAATATCTTGCCTGATGGAGAGGCTATTGAGCAACATCAGCAGTGGGCTTTTGAAGAGGCCGAGTTGGTGAGGAATGATAAGAGTAATACGGATCCGAAGACTGGAGGGTTGTTTAAGGGTATTTTTCGTCAGAGGAGGAAGAGATTGCTGCCGAACCATGATCCTGTTGATCATGTGGATAGGTGTCCAAGGTGCAATTGGGAGATTGAAGATGGGATGTGCCAGAACTGCGGCGTGCTTATGGATAGCTGGAGTGACGACAGCGATATCAGCACGACCGACCTCTCAAACTCTTTGCATGCAGAAAGCATAGAAGACGACTTTGAAGAGGATGATATGGATGCCGACCCTGAGTTTGGAGAGCTTGATGGAGACTTTGATGGTGGACTTGATATCGATTTTGATCCTCAAGCTTATGATGCATGGCTGGAACAGTCAGGGATACTGGACTACTCTGACCATTCGCCCACGCGATCTGGAGGAGCCGCTGGACGCGCAGACGTGTTACGCCAAATGACGCGCGAGAGAGGAAGAACTGCAGCTCATAACGCTTTCCGTCGCGCCACACGGGATCCTCATGTCATAGACGAAGAAGCCGAGGATGACTTGATGGGATACGAGCATGACGAAGAAGACGAAGACGATGATGAAGATGACGAAGCAGGTTCAATCGACGATTTCCTGGATGACAGAGACATCAACGATATCACTGCCTACGACATCAGTTCCCAAACTGCAGAGCCCACTCCAGCACGTCAACGCCACCATCATCACCGCTCTCACAACTCAAATTCAAGTTCAGATTCAGAATCAGACTCTGATTCCGACGGTGTACGCCATAACCCCCACTTCCGCCGTCCACAAGTCCCTGTGTATACAATCCCTTCCGACGACGAAGAACCAGTAACACAACCTACGCGCTCCCGTCGCGCAACCCGTATCGTTGATAGCGATGACTCCTCAGAAAGCGACTCGGCAGACGAAGACGACGATGAAGGTCCTAGACGCCCCTCTACACGCCTCAACGTCCCAGCTTCCCGCCGCTCAAACCCTCCAGTCCTCGTGAACCGCAGACAAGCACGTCCAATCCGCGTTCTGGACAGTGAAGACGACGAGGACGAAGAAGTTTCCTCCGCCTCCTCTCCCTCCCACCATTCAGCAGAAGAGGACGGAGATGCAGATATCCACTACAACAACTACAGCGATGACATTGAAGCAGTAGCACACGTCGGAGCAGAAGAAGGATTTTCTCCTCTGCAAAGCGAGGGGCAAAGTGGCAGTGAAGACGAGGCAAGTCAAGGAGATAGTGCAAGTGAAGGTGAAGGTGCTCAACACGCCGTAAACTATTTTAACGTCTATGGCGAGGATGAGGATGATGGACAAGGAAGCAGTGAGGATGATGATGAAGAAGAGGATGATTATTGATCTGTTTTGTTCTGTTTTTTTCTTCTGCAAGAGATACCCAACCAGCCTTTTTTTTTCATAGGTTCCAAAGAATGTTTGTACTTGAGAATGCAAGTATCTTCTTCGTATTCGCCCTTCTGTGACTAGCTTCTGATATTTTTCGTTGCAAGTATTTTTGAGCAGCGTTATGCAGATCAAAAGCCGTGGTCCTGATCCTTCACAAGTCATTCAAGCTCAAGCCAAACAATGGAAGAAAGACGAGAGAAAATGGCATCAAATAATTTCTTTACTAAACGACCGCAGTACCTCTCAAATCCCTCCTCACTCACTCACTCCTGACTCTCGATACTATAATACGCCCTAAATCTCGCATTCCCTTCGACTCTACAATCCTTGACCGCCCAAAAACAAGCCATAAGCAGTGTCGGAAACCTCGTCGTCCAGTATTGTAAATAGCCCTCTGGCAAACTGCCCACCCTCTTCTTGACATCTGCACTCATATCCTCGTAGTGATTTTTCTTGTTTCGTAATGCGCGCAGCAAATCCAGCATTTTGGTGCCGTTGTATTTGCGTTGTTTGCCGAGCGTGTCGAGGAAGGCGCGGTCGAGTTTGCGTTGCCAGTCTTTGTCTTTTGTGCTGGAAATCACCATGTCCGAGTAGGATTCGAGGTAGCAGAGGTGGGGTGAGGGTGGGTCGCGGGGTTCGTGCTCGAAGTGGTCGGACACGTCGCAGAGGAAGTCGAGGCGTTTCTTGGGGGACCAGAAGAAGGGGTGGCATAGAACTTGTTGGGCTGATGGGCGGTCTTCGGGATTGTGGGCCAGCATTGCGGTGATCAGTTGGCGAGGCTCTTCGCTGTCGGAGCCCAGGTCGAGCTTGTGCATGTTCTGAAGATTGTTCTTTTTGATGTTGAGTTCACGCATCTGCATCCAGCCTTCCTTGTCATCGTAAGGGTGGTCACCTCCAGTCAAGACCCAGAAGAATAGACATCCTAGAGAGAAAATATCTGCTGCTCGCTTGACGCCTCCCATAGTTCCACCAGAAGAGCTCTCGCTCGTGCCAGGATGCGACATGTTGCTGTGACCGTTGTTGGAAGCAGTGTCCTTGGGTTGCGAAATAAGCTCTGGAGCCTTCCATCCGCAGGTACCGGCATTGCTCGTAGGGTCGATCAAAGTACTGACGTTCTCGGGAAGGGTTTTACACAAGCCAAAGTCTGAGATGACCAGACGAAGTTCATTGGGCTTGTTCGGTTTGGGGAAGGCAATGAGGATGTTCTGAGGCTTGATATCGCGATGAATAATGCGAAGATCGTGGAGATGATACAGTCCTTTCGTAAGCTGATAAAGTGTGCCACGAACATCGCGTTGTACAGCTGAAGCCAGGGACTGAAGTTGCTGATAGCGAGCTTCATCGCGAACATCCGGAAGGTTGAAGAGATCCCACAAACTTGCTTGGCAGAGTTCGACGGCAATGTACAGGAAGTGCTGGTCCTTCTGTTGACAGTAATAACGAATGACGTTCTTGTCATGGTCGCTTTGCTGAAGGAACGAGACTTCCTGCGATGCCAATTCGTAGTACTGGGAAAGCATACGCTTGACTGCGACGGCACGACCTTCGAACTTGCCTTCAAACACACAAGTTCCGGCACTTCCATGTCCAATGATGCGATCCGTGTCAATGGTGAGGTTGTTGATCTGGATTTTGCCAGAAACATTGGGGCTCTCTGATGCGTCGACACTGATGACATCCATACCATCAATCTTGGAAAGAGGCTTTGGAACAGGTGTGGCGAGGGCACCATTGCTTTCCTTGTCACTGTTGCTCTGGCTGTTCGCACGACGACGCTGTTGGGCTTCGAGTTGTTCCTTCTTCTCCTTCGCTTTTCTGCCTCCTCTAACTCCACGAGTGGCCTTCTTCTTCGGCTTGACAGGCGTTTGTTCTTCAACGGGTTTGTCTGCTTCTGCTGGAGATGGTGTCGAAGCACGGGTAGGTGAATCGACCTTGACCTCGACTGGCGCTTCTGGGGAAGGTATCATTTCCTTTGCCTTCTCTTGTTCTCCTTGTGGGAAGATGGTCTCCTCTGCAGGCTCAGGGAAGCGGACCTTGCGATCGACAGGCTCGCTTGGAGTAGAGCCATCATCCTTGCTAGAGGCAACCTCGCTGGTCTCAGAAGTGACAGAGATAGGCGCCTCCTTCATTGTGACGGGAGCAGAAGCTTGTCGTTGTATGACCTTTTGCACGTCGACCCATCTAGATACAATGGCGAATAGTCCAACCAAAGCAAGCAAGCCCACGATACCCGATGAAGAGATACCAGCCCAAGGATTTGATGTGTTGGGTAGCATGACTTGAGCGTTGTCGGTGTTATAGGCATTTGGTGAGCCAATAAGTGATTGGTCGGGTCCACCAATGGTGAGAATCTCGTTCTGTTCCTGACTCATCGGATGAAGAGGGTGTATGCCAACCAAGTTTGCTCTCTGCTTGGCTGGGTTGAAAGTGCCTACGGGAAGAGCGTATCCTTGAGTGTAGCATACGGCGTTAGAGGCGCCGTCGGTGACAGTGGGATATCTGAGCTCTGACATGGCATACCAACTGCCGGCCTCGGTACAGTTGACAAAGATCTTGTCTTGCTCGATGGTGTCATCTCCAGCCGGACCAATAGGCTGTGGCAGAATAACAAGCGAAGCATCTAGGATTTCTTCATCAAGTGGTCTGACGACATCATAAACGCGAGCAACCGGAGATGAGAACTTCTGCTTGTACAGAATAGAGTTACCAAAACGGTTGGTCTCTCTGTAGTCAACGGCGACCACGCTACCATCGTGTTGAGTGTATATGTACTTGCTGTCCATGGTCGAGGCGTACTGATTGTGTAGGTCTTTGTCGCGATTGTTGGGTCCCCACTCGAAGTAGCGGATGGTGCAGATAGGGTTTCCGGTCAGTTTATCGGCAATGGAGACGGTATATTCTGTTCTGCCCAAGGTAAGAGTGCCAATCGTCTCGCATTCGTTGTCTTCGAGTGATCCCAGACCATCGACACGGCGGCAGTTCTGATCGTTGGAGAAAGTCGACGCGCCGGAGCTGAACATCTTGAGAATCCTCCCATTGGACGCGTCGACAGTGTATAAGGTGTTTTTCTTGTCGGCGGTGTAGACTACGGGTGGATCTTCACCAGCGTATGGAGACAGTTCTTCGACGAGCTGCTTGACGGACAAGCCGAGTTTCTGCATGCCAGTCTGTGGTTCAGAAGAATAGACGTAAAGGCTTCCATCCTGAGAAGGCTCGACGATCCAGATGAGGCTGGTCTCAGGCTGGGCCTCTGGATCCGAGTCGTTGTGGTGGTAAACAGTCTCGATCATGGGCTTGTCAGCCTCGATCTCCCATCTGGGAGCGCCTGTTCTACGGTCTCTTGCGTGTAATTTTCCATCAACGGTCGCCAGGAGAATGATATCCTCGACTTGCCAATCCTGCAGAGACCGCGCCGGGTGTCGCGAAGAAAGACCACCGGACGAGGCCGATGATCGTGCAGGAGGTGCTCTGACGGCCGGGTTAGACTCGGCTGGAGCAAAAGTCGCAAGGGCGCGCTCAATTGAAGGGTCGATTGCGGTGTCTTTCAGGTGTTTGTGGGTGGATCTCAGTTCTGGCGGAGAGCGCGCATTACCGAGGGAAGGGCGTTTGCGGATGTTGTTGTTGGCATTGTCGGCGGACTGCTGCTGCTGAGCAGTGGCTATCAAGGGCAGCCATACAAAGATGCAAATGAGAGCATTGCCGAGACTCAGTGCTGGAGGTCTTCGACGAGGCATGATTCATGAATCAAGTTGCAGCCTTGTCGAGCATTGGTCGAGGAGCGAGAGTCGGGGTTTGGGGCCTCAGTATTTCCTAGCACCCATGAGAGATGCCAGAAGAGAGCAAGAATCGATGGTTGATGAATGAATGATAGTCAGACGCGATGGTGAATTTGATCAGGGGTATGCACGTCGTGTGCGTGGATGCGGCTGGTTGCTTTTTGTGGGCTGTTGTGGAGACGACGACGACTTTCGCGCGTTCCGAGTAGCGACCGTTGGGTCTTGATCGCGCGAGTGGTGGGGTTCAGCTGAAGACTGACGATGGAGGCTGGAAAGTAAAAAAGATGAATGTCGTTTCTCTACGATGTTGATGAGAAGATAGAGAGAGTTGATACTGTTGCTGGCAGGCGATGCTGACTGTGTGGGCACAAGCGAGCTGCTGCTTATTGAGAGAGGCTCATCTGCGTGTGCACCCTCTCCACATGATTCTATTCGAGACGATTCGACCAAGGAGTCCCTTGCCGCAACGCCAGGAAAAGCCAGCCCTTGCCGAGACGACATCTCGTGTGCGTCTCACGACACGAAGGATCAACCCAACATTTTCCTGCCTTCCTCTTGCTGAAGCACTCGTCGTGATCAAGGCATAACTCTGCCTATGCTTTTGACTGCCAACAGCGGTCTAGATTCGGTCTGCTTCCTTCAATCGAGACGATCACTATTTTTCATGTGCTCCCCGCTTGCTGCTAGCGACGGAAGACCCTTGCGGTCCGCGGACGGATCCATGTCGGAGTCCAGCGGCTGTTTTATCTTATCTCGATGATCTGTCCATCAATCAATTCCCCGCACAACCTACCTGACCAGTGACCACTGCTCACTCTGTGACTTGTCACGAGACTCTATAACTGACCGAACAAATTATAGCAAGAATGGCTGTCCCAGGACGTGAAGTCGAGTGAGTCGTATTCCATCCTACACCAACGACCATGTTTGACCACGGCTGGAACAGCTTATCTACGCTGGCCCGCCATCTCGTCCAACACGGACCCCATAAGACGCTTCCCACTGAGCGACGCGTGAGAATCCTAATCAACGGCGCTTGCATCGCAGACACACTCAACACAACAGGAGCCTTGTTCGTCTGGGAACACCCCTACTATCCCCAGCTTTACTTTCCTAAAACTGCTTTGGTGGAACATGTCCAAGGCTATGATATTACATACGAAGATGATCAAGATGTCAAGGATACTCATGGACAGGTCATTGCAAAGACTCTCAAGGTCAAAGTAACGCGTAACTCAGACAACTACATGAAAGAGGTAAAAGACGGGTTTATGATTTTCAGCAACGATCTTCCTGGAAAAGCAAGTCCCCTGAGTGATATGCTCAAAGTTCATTTCAGCGCTGCAGGTAAGTGTCCCCTTCTGCCTTGTCCTTACATCAAAACTCAAGCATCACATCAGACCAATGGCTCGAAGAAGACACCCCAATTTTCGTACACCCAAAAGACCCTTTCAAACGCATTGACATCTTACACTCGACACGAGGCATAAAAGTCTCTCTCAAAGGCGCCCAAATCGCACAAAGCGAGTCTTGCATGCAGCTCTACGAGACCGGTCTGCCAGTCCGCTATTACATACCCTTGACCGCCATCAACACCTCCTTTCTGCGGCCCAGCAAGACAACAACACAGTGTCCATATAAGGGCGAGGCTGAGTACTATGATGTAGTCGTTGATGGCAAGACCCACAAAGATATCGTGTGGTTCTATACTCGACCAACAATTGAGTGTGCCACAATCGCTGGTTTATGTTGTTTCTACAACGAAAAAGTGGATATGATGATCAAGAACGGGAATGAGTGGCAGAAGCTAGATCGCGCAAACTCCATCTTTAGTTAGATATATGCTACCTATCCAACCCATCCAACTCAACCAACCTAACAACCAACTCCACCAACCCCAATGCCTTGCCCCTAAGCTGCTCTCCAGGCCTCTCCACAAGTCCCTCTAGCACCTCATCAAGCATGCCCCTCAGCCTCCCCACCAAAACTCCAATCCTCGCCCATCCTTTGAGTCTGATCCATCCATCAACAACCAAGCCTCTATTCTGCGTATCCAGCGTAATGTCCCCAGAAAACATGAGCAGAGTGTAAGCATTAAACGGAGTCAAATCACGGATAAAAGTTTTCGAGGTGGATAAGAGGGAGAAGTAGGACAGGAATGCTGTGGACGGAGGGAAGTTTTGGCCTGGTGTTGAGGAAAACAGGACACTGCTGGGGTGGATGAACAACCGTGAGTTTCCCTGTTCCTGCTGTGGTTGAGGTGTTTGTTTGCCATTCTGCGCAGAGGGCAAAGTAGGTGCAGCGGAAGCATTAGGTTCGCGGAAGTATTTGATGGTTTTGGCTTCTGGGTCGAGGGCTACAGCACCAGAAACAGAGGCTGCGTATTTGGTATCTGGGAACTCTATGCGTGCGACCTGGGGAGAGAATGCTGCAGCTACCAATGCGCGAACCAGGGCGGTGTTGCTGTTCCTAGCATTGTGGTCTGCAGAAGCCGCAGAAGAGGAAGTCAGGAAGCCGATTTCTTGTAGTGAGGACATGTATTGACGACGGTTGGTGTTGATGTCGAAGAGAGTTTGCGTGGAAAGGAAGCTTGTGTCGCACCATTGGCGTAGAGAAGAGGAAGGTACACCTTCAGCGCGTTTGGCACTCCAGACTTCGAAGGCGCGAAGGTCGCAAATAAGATCTCCCTGGCCCCCGGGTGCAAATGCTAATCGAGCTGCCTTGGCCTCATCACGTCGAGCGGGAGGAGAAACGAATGGTGAGCGAGCAGTGAGGATAGATGCGATAGTCAAGCAAGCATCCAAGCATCCAAAGACCGCACCATAGACAAGCAACTTGCCACAGCGGAGATCAGCAGGGATGGAGCTAAGATGCCGACCCAAAGCCGTAAGCTCTGCGCCATCTAGAGCGCCCATACGATGCAGAGTCGTCAATGCACCACTGACTGCTAAAGTCGAAGGTGGAGTGATGGCACGAGACAAGAAAGACGGAACGTCCAACACACCCATAGCCTTGACGCTAAGACACAACTGCTCCAGCGGCACACGCAAGATCTCAGGGTCGGGACGCTCAGCCATCTTGGTGATCTCGGCTTGCTTAGTGTAGAGCTTGTAACAGGTGCCTGCTCGTACACGACCTGCACGACCACGACGCTGTTTACAAGCTGCTCGGGATGCCCATACTTCTTCGAGCTTGATCATGCCATTGGCAGCGTCAAAGCTGGTTTCCTTGACACGGCCGGAATCAATGACAGCGACGATGTCCTCGATTGTTATGGAGGTTTCGGCAACATTGGTAGCGCAGACGACTTTGCGTTTGCCAGCGGGTGCAGGGGGAAAGACTCGCTTTTGCTCAGCTGGCTGTAAGGAGGCATGCAGAGGCAGGGCATGGATGTGATGGAGATGCTGCAATGCTTTGAGGGTGCGATCGATCTCAGCGAGGCCAGGTAGGAAGATCAAGATCCCGCCTTCTTGCGAGCCTAGTTGCTCGTCGATGGTTTGTACAGTGTCTGAGATGAGATCGTAGTTGATCTTCATTCCGACACTGCGCAGAGCTGCGCCCATGCTGGGCTCTTTGCCACCCTCATCATCGCCTTCCTCGCCGATAGCCCCTGCGAAACCTGTCATACGGAGGATGTCGTCTAGATAGACGTCTTGTACCGGATGGGTTCTGCCTTCAATCTCCACGGTGCTGACGGTCATCTTACCGGCAAAGTAGCTTTTGAAGATCTGTGCGTCCAGAGTGGCAGACATGAGGATCAATTTGAGGTCCTTGCGTACCTGCAACACATCTCTCAAAAGCACCATCAAGAAGTCAGTGTCCAAACTGCGTTCGTGAACTTCATCAATAACCACATGGCTGACGTCAGCCAAAGCATCGACAACATCCTGCGGCTTTCCACCAGACGTTTGGAGTCGTCTCAACAAAACACCAGTAGTGACAAAAGTGATCTTTGTAGTGCCAGCCTTCTGTTTCGATTCTCCTCTGATTGAGTAACCAACCTCTTCACCGACTTTGACGCATCGCTCATCAGCAACACGATCTGCCAGACCCAAAGCTGAGATTCTGCGAGGCTGTGTACAGATGATGTTTGCCGCTTCTCCAAGTCCTTGTCTGATCATGTCATCAAGGACAAACTGAACAGACTGAGTAGACTTTCCTGAACCAGTCTCACCAGAGATGATAGTAACTTGAGAAGACGTGACAGCTTCAACGATCGCATCTCGCAGCTTCCAAGCAGGCAAGGATTGCCTTGCTGCCATCATTTTCTGTTGTGCGGGAGTTTCTTGTCGGGACTGCCAATCTGCAAGGATTTTCTGGCTCTGTTGTGTTGAAGGCTGCCAGTCGATGGGTCTAGGCATACGCTTCGGGCGTGTTCGTCTGCGGCTGGCAGTTTCTACATCAGGCTCGGCCGAGGTGGAAGACACCGAAGCAATACTGCTGAGTCTACCGGGGTTAGCAATGATATTGGGTATCTCATGCTCGAGCCAGTCGATGAGATTAAAAAGCATCTGCTCGCCAAGGAATTCGGATTGAGCTTGCAACAAAGCTTGCTTCAAGATGCTCAGACGGATATATGCAGGTATAGAAGCCTCGATTGACAAGACAGGAACGACGTTCGGGTATCCAGCTGTTGGTTTGCAAGCATGAAGGACGACACGCTCCTTCGGCTTCTCGGCCACTTCCAAGACAATTTGACATGAAGTCTTGGTTGACTTGTATCTGTCACTGTAAATAGAAGCCAAGATGACTTGCTCTTCTTCCCAGACATCGACATCATCTGAAACGTCGAGGTTCTCAGTAGCAGATGCCAGAGATGACGAATCCATGTTTCCAAGAAGTCTATGTTGTAGCCTCTCTGCTGCTTTTGCTTCATCGCCTGAAGACGCATCAAGCGCTTCTTCACAGAGTTCCATGGCGTAACCAGTAATTGCAAGACGTTTCAGTTTACCCTCTCTAGCAAGATCGCTACTAGCCATCGAGACACCAGCAGAGTAATTCTCGGGTAAGCTCCACTTTGGCAAATCATCTTCCGGTACGTGAATCAGTAGCCATTCGACAGTCTCTTCGCGGTCCTTGCAGATCTCCACTGCTTCCTCAACGTGAGCAGGACGGAAGCCTAATTTGGACAGATCCTGCACGATGTGCTTCTTCTCAGCATTTGAAAGAGTAACACCATGCGGGTTCCAGAGTGCAGCCTGTCTGACCAAAGCCTCGACATCTCTGCGCATTTTCTTGCCCATTTCGACCTTGGGAGCTCTCGTCCAGCCTTTTCCAGGGTTCTTGTTGATGCCTGGCGCACTGTTATCCTTCTTCTCAGCTCCCATCTGCTTCTCCCTCTCTTGCCTCTTCTTTTCCTTTGCAGCTCTTTCATCATCCCACTCTTTTCGTGCTTGGAATGGATCTGCAGCATATAACCAGCCCATGCCTTCTTTTGTGGCCTCCTTTTTCATATCTGCAAACTCGCCCTTCCACAGATCGCGGTAGTTGGGAGGCATCATCATGTGCAGGTTCTTCGCATTGGCCACGCGATATAGCGCATAGGTAGCAGCAAAATGTCTAGCCTCTACAGCCGTCTCTTGCACACCCAAAGCCCTCTTCGCAGGAGGCAACGACATAGGCGGTAACGAAACGACTTCCTGTGTCTTTGGGTTCTTCCAGCGCAGAATGACAGAAGAGATTTGGCCTGGCGGGTCTGACGAGCGATGCATGGTGTATTCTGGCTTTTCCCATTTCTGCTTTTGACAGTGCTCGGAGAGCATATTGACGGGGAGTTTTCCTGTCCATGATTGACCACCGATCAAGGTTCTTGTGTCGGGTTTCTTGACTGGGTCGCCAGCCATGTCCAGTTCAGGGCCAGCATTCTTGCCTTTGCCCTTTGCAGCGGTTGCAGAGCTGTTCGCGGCCGGAGGTGTGGAATCGTTCTTCTTGGATTTCTTCGAGTCCTTGCCGTTGGAGAAGACTATGAAGCTCGTGTCTTCGCCATTCGCGGTCGCAGCAGTCGAAGCATTCTTCTTGCCCGACTTGTTATTGCTCCTGGGAGCGTGAGGTTTGTTGACCATTGTCTGGGTTCATCACGGGCTCACTCTTGATCGCCGTGGATAAATAATTCCCTTTGATGACGGCGACAGGCGGAGATAAAATCTGGGGTTCACACTCACTTGGCATCATATGGAGTGATATCTTGTAGATGTCAACGTGAACGCAAAACTGGCTGGTCACGATCATGATGAGAGATGATGAGATATTGAGATGAACATAGAACGAATAGTCATTGCCGTCATTCATTTACTGCTAAAACGAGTCGTGCTATCCAGGGATCCGCCCTTTGCTTTTTGACGCTATTGATACATCCTCCTCATGCAATATACACTTCTCTTGAAGTATGCTTTATGCTCTAGGCCCAAGGCCTTCCAATGCTTTCCTTGCACATTCTTATGCGGCAGGTCTGCTTCTCGATCTGGGCTTGGCACCAGAGGCGACACGCTTGGCCTGTGGGCGAGATAAGTGGTGGGCAGGGATCCAGGACTCGTCGTAGGCCTTAGCACCGCTGGTAACAGCAGGACCGTCGGCACCAACAACGCTGACCTGCTCGGCAGGGTCGACCTTCTTGGAACCACCAGACGAGCGCTTGGCACGCTCACCACCCTTTCCGCGACCCTTCTTCTGGGGGAAGAAGGTAGTGATCCAGGTGTTGTAGATGAAGTAGACGGTACCAGCGAAGACACCGCTGAGCACAAGGTAGAGGAAGATGCTATGAGGCCAATTAACTTGTGCGAAAAGACGCAAGTCGCGTAAATTGACTTACATCTGAGGGTCGAAGAAGCTCATGGGAGCCTCAACAACAGAGACAGTGCCGTTGAAAGCAGGGAAGGTGTGGACCATGCCAGTGTTGTCCTGGAAGACGGCGGCCAGGTTGAGGGTCAAGTCCTGGGGGTGCATCTCGGTAGCGAAGCTGTAGGTGGCAGTCTCCTGCTCGCCAGCAGGGACCAAAAGGTCGTACTTGCTGAGGGTCAAGTTGCTGATAGTCTTGGGGCCGACGAGAGAACCACCAACGAAGCGAAGATGAACAGGGGCAGCCTCATGGTTGGCGATGGAGAGAATGGCGTTGGTCGCGTGGCCATTGACGAGCTTCACACCAAAGACTTCAGAGTCAGGGAAGGAAACCGAGACGGCGACGTTCAACTTGGGGGTCTGCTGGACCTCAGGGTTCTCAATCTCTTCTACGATCTCAGGAGCCTATGCACGTCATTAGCTTGGTCAGGTCAATTGCTTGCCATTGACGCGTGACAAACCTGAGCGTAGGCAGAAACGGCCTTCAATGCAAAGAGCGCAAGTGCGCTGAGCTTAAGAGATACCATATCGACTGGTTTGGATGTGTGGTATACAATGTCTTCTCAAAAGTTACGGAGAATAAGAGAGCTGCGGGGAGTTCAAGAAGTTGCGAGGCCACCGTGGCTCCCAAGCTCGGGCTTCATTCCTTCTTGGCAATCTATCGAGTAGCTCCACTAAGAGGTCTCGACCCTCGACAACTTGCACTTCTCATTCTGACAGACACATGGATCAAATAGTCAATCTAGCAGCTTGATTGTGTGCTACAAACGATCCGTAGTATCAATACAGCTGGCCATCAATCCTTCCTTGTTGTCATCTCTATAACGACCGCATATTCTTCCTCAGGTAACCTTCAAACGACGGACGGGGGTAGTATCCATCTTGTGCATCTCTGGTGGAAACCTGCAGTTCTCGCCATTGATGCATGGCTTTCCTTTTGACCCACTCTCTCTACTCTCGGGGAATGGGCAGCGATGGCCATAGATGCACCCAGCATCTGAACAATCACTACCGTGGATGCATGCAGACATGCGTGCCACAAGCTTCAATGTCTCCAACTCCTTCGCGTTGCATTTGTACAAGTGGTCGTGTTCGCACTTGCCGTCAGGGTATGGGCAATTATGACGAAGGTGGTGTGCGTTGCAGAGCTTCAGCTTCTTGAGCCGGTTCACCTCGTCCTTCTTAAATTCCGGTGTTGGCGGGTCAATACGTTGACCCTTCCTGTTGCGACAAATCCCGTCGATCGAAAGTTCTCTTTCCTTAATAGAACTCTGGGGTGGTGCCTTTACTGCTGCTCCCTTCTTTGCTGCCATAGCCCATGATGTGACGGGCATTGCTGACGATTCGACAGACTGGTTTGAGCTCATCGAAACCTGACGGCTGTGCAATTCACGGACAGCAGGATGTTGCACAACTGTACTCGTTGCACGAAAGCTGGAGTGCGATGTCGCGGGAGACGATGACGACGGAGCAGGGGATATGGATTCTCGGAGAAGAGTTGGGATGGTGCTAAATTCTGGAATCTGGTCCTTCACCTTGGGAGTGTCAACTCCGGTGTCGCGAAAGACAGCATTCATCCGAGTCGGAGCGAGTCGGAGCGATATAAGATGGTTGTCGAGCGGAGTACCATGGAGCAAGGTGATGCGAGACCTAGTCCCAACATGTTCGGCGAAAAGCCTTTTGAGCATAGGCGCGTAGATCTCGCCGTCTTCGCAGCCGAAGAGTATATGCTTGCAGTGCGTATCGACTATGTTCATATGCAAGTTTTCTGCGCGCTTGTCAGTGTACAGCTAACCATGAGCAAAGACATATTCGAACCTTCCATCTTGTCAATCACTACCTCGCGACCTTTCATGCCGACATCGATCATGTCGAAAAGGTTCTGATTCTGGCAGAAACCGCGTACGAACAATTTGAACTGGTTGCTGTGGTAGACTAGCCCAGCACGAAGGCAAAGGCTGCATAACTCATCCAGATCGACATAGACTCGGACGAGGACTTTGGTGTGGATAGACAGAGTATCGATGGTTGAAAAAACATACTCGTTAATGGTCTGGAAAAGAAGTCTCGCAGCTTGACGACCACCCTGGTCGCCTTGACTCAGAAAGTCGCTTCGGAAGATGAGTTCGTTACCGTCAATCAACGCTAGAACGAAAGAACCTTGCTCTGTCGAGCAGTCGTGGCCACCAAGAAGTCTAAGGCTGTCGAGTTGTTGCTGCAGACGTGCGCGTCCGGCACACTCCAATTTCAGAGCCTCCGTTAGTTGCAGTACGTGCTGCATAACATTCTGCAGACCTTAGTCAAACGTCATGGTCCTCATGGAGTCAGATACTCACGTCGTAGAAGGTGGTCTTAGTTTCATCGAAAATTTTGATATTCTCGTGGTCCTGGGCGAGCTTCCTGGCCGTGGCCCCATCGAGCAGCTGGAGCTCGCTGTAAACTCCTGACGATGCCATCACGATGCGACGAAAGTGCGATGAGTGATAGTGGGGATAAAAATCGAGCGGGAGAAGGATGCGCGGTGATGGGGTTGATGAAGGTCAAAGCCAGGAAAGTGAAGATAGAATTCGAGGAAGCCGCAAGTGAGAGTGACTGCGAGAAGCGAGAAGCCGCGTGTTGGCGACCGACCAAATCGAGAGATATGAGCGTCTGTTTGATGCAGTGTGAGTGAGTTTCTAAAAGAACACGAATCGCGGATATTCTTTGATCAATCTTGAAGGCAGTAACAACGACATCACCTCGACAACCACCCGGCTCGTCTCATAATGCTACAGCCTCTCTCCTTGTCGTTGACTTCCTACTTGCTGTCCACGTCAATTCGTCACAAATGACTGATGCACCTTCGGGAACATGCATTTGGCGGTCGAAAACGAACAAACGACTCTCGTTGGTTGATATGCATCGAACCGCACAACCTGCAAAGCGAAATCCCTCTTCTCATGTACAATGAGGATCTTTCTTATGATCGACTTACGAGCAGAATTGTGGTTGTAGGTAAAATACGCATTCATGCTCGCTTTACTAGAGATGCTGCTTTCGCAGGCCAGGTCAGGTAATCAGTGCCAGAGACTCAGTACTATGCAGGAGACCGAACAACGCTGTGCTGATCATCGCTCTTCATGCAATACCACCCAATCATCTACTCTCTCTTCCACTGATCGTGCTCTTCAGCCAAATGCGCCTTCAACTTGGTCGTTCTGTTCCCAAAATTTTTCTTGCACCGCCAGCAGACGAGATCAACAGTATTCCAAGGCCCGTGTCCAAGTCGCCGTACTGGATCATCGTCTGCTAAGGGGAATTTCTCCAGTGGTACGAGGAAAGAGGTCTGGAAGCTGTTGTAATGAGCGCTCCTTGTCAAGCAGTCGCTTACCATGTCTCTCGACATGACGTGGACATGGAGATGGTTCATTGAGGGCACTGCATGAACACCAGTAATAATCTCCTTCATCCAATCGCGCCCTTCTGGAAGGACTTCTGGAGGGTCATCTGAATCTCTGGCTTGAATTCTTGCCTGTTCTGATTTGGAAAATTGGCCGTACTTCCGCCGCAGCTCGCTTGCCACCATTTGTTTGGCCCTTTCAACTTCCACTTTGATGTCCGCAAGCAGTTGAGGGTCTTCAAACGCCTTGAACGGATGCAACAAATTGCGATCAGACTTTGGAAGGACCAGTAGATGGACGGAAGACTTGGGGAACATATCCTTGATGATGACCGCATGTTCGTTGTTGAACAGCACTCTGTCGTAAGCATCAGGGTCGACTGTGTATACTCCCAGGCCATCCCTCCTATCGAAAGACATCTTTGGCTTTGCCTTGTCAGAATTTGCATGCTTGCCAGATTTTTCAGGATCGGTGGGTTTCTTGGACATTAATTCTGTGACTGTCAACAATGAGGATGGTTCCCGACAGTGGGTAGTGGTATACTCACACGCATTCTTGGAATTTATCTTTGTCTTTGTATCTGGAAGCTCCATTCCGACCATCTCATCTTCCGTGATTGCTTCCTGAGGTGCTCCCATGGTGGCGGTCTTCTTGCGTCCTCTATTTCTTCCTTTTGCTAATATGCTTGTTGTGCTGAATCCTTTGAGTATACTCGTACACTCAACCCTAGGTATCTCCTTCTTACGGTGCCTGAACAACAAATTAATCATGCAAGTGCGATTAAGGAGAGGAGGCCATAGGATACCTAGCAATGCTAGAAGAAAGGTAACAATAGTGTCAACAATATTTTATGATGCTTCCATTTTCCGCAAGAAGCCAATGACGTTTTCAATCTTCAATCAGTTTGCCTGTTTCGGCTTGATCGCGTGAGCTCGCGGCAGCTCGTTTCCGCCAAATCGCGTCTTCCAGCTTTCTGCCTTGCAAGAAATCTCACTTTCACTTCACCGTGTTGCTTGACAACTCAAATCACGACTCTATGTGTTGTCAAAAGTTACATACTGGATATTGGACAACAGAGCAATAAACATCATTTTTACCGAATCTTGGATACAATCTCCCTTCTTTCCTCTTGCTCACGAAGCACCGCTTCACTTGCGCCGCCGCCACCATGCCTCGCTCGTCTAAGCGACAAACGAGGTTGACCTTCGATCCACTGCCGACATCATCACCGGCACCTCCTGACATGAGTAAATCGGTCCGCGACCGCGCCGCAACTGTTCGATTCGAGGGTGCAAACCCAGCCAAGAGACGCAAAGTGCACGATGCTCCTGGACCTTCACTTGCCTCGATCACACCTGACATACCTGAGAAGAGCCTACCGCCCACACCGGACCCGACTGGGCTCACCAACTCCTTTGGCGCATCAGCTGTCAGCGACGACGAAGACGACATCAGACCTACCCAACGACTGTCGAGTCGCAAGAGCCAGAAGAAACAACAAAAGCTCAACCTCACGCCATCGAGCCCCAGAGCTATCAACACAGCGCGACCAGTGAGAGCTGGCTTCTTTGGGACTCAGCAGCAGGCTGATGGCGACTCAAGTGACGAGTCGGACTCCCTACCACAACTTCCAGTCAGAAGCCAAAAGCAAAAGAAGAGCAAACGTCAGAAGAAACAAAAGTCGCCATCACCGGATGTAGAGAAAGAAGAGGAAGTCGTACAACCAACTATCATCTCAGACGAAAGTGAAGACGATCTACCAACAACACCAGCAGTGAATCGTAAGCGCAAGCGTCAAGCTGATAGCTCTTCACCTCTGGCCCTCATCCCCGACGACGAGGACGACGACGACAGCGACGTCGTTGTCACTGGCTCTCGAAAGCGAACACTAGCTACCAAGAAACAAGCACCGCCGCCACCACAATCTGAGTCTGATCCAGACGACGAGCCACCCTCATCCCGGTCTCGCAAGCGCCTACGACGAGCCAAAGATTCTGCACCAATGCGCACAATAACTGAAGAAGAGAGGCAGGACCTCGAGGATGATCTTGTGGATCTAGCTTCTAGTGGTAGTGACACTGAAGTTCGAGTCTCACAGAGAAACAAATCTCCACAAAAGAGCGCTCGTCAATTAGCCCTAGAGCGCCTCAAGGCCAGGAGAAAAGCCCCTATGAGCAGCATCGTTGAGGACGAGGATGATGAGGAGGATCAAGTTGAAGATGAAGAAGAAGATTACAATCAGAGTTCCAATGAAGATGAGGAGGAAGAATACGACGACTTGCCAAAGCCCTCGACAAATAGGACCACTCGCAAGCAGATGTTTACTGAGGATGACGAAGACGAAGGCTTTGTTATTGATGATGACGGCCCGCTCGGCGTGCCAACCAACGTGCCAATCGCCTTTACTCGTTACGCATCGATGAAGGCCAAAGACCTGTTCCGTTTCGCTATCGACTGGATGGTGCAGAAAAAGATCAACCCGGCCTTCCAAATGGAGGACGAGATCTACGACTTGACGTTCAAAAAGCTCGACGACGAAGTCAAGGGACTGGCTGGCTCGAAGTTCCAGTCAGCAGCTTGGACATCCAAGTTCACCCTGGCACTTCAAGCAAGACCAGACCTCCTTTCCGCACGATTAGATCGACAGTCTTCAGCTCACTTCGGCCGCGACAAGTGTGATGCTTGCAACAGATCTGGACATCCAGCCACGTACGAGGTCAAGTTCGAAGGCAAGCCATACGACAAGAACTCTCTGGAGCCTGTAGCACCACGCAAAGCCACCAACGGCGACTCGGACGACGACGACGACGACGACGACGACGACTCCAGCTCCGAAAGCAGCGTAGATGAAAATGCACCCGTCAACTACGACTCCCAAGGCCGCAAGATCCTTCCCGAAGAAACCGTCTTCTATCTCGGCAAGTTCTGCATGAGCAATGCCGAAACCGCTCACTCGTTACAACACTGGCGATACCATCTCTACGAGTGGGTAGTCGAATACCTCGAAAGCGCGGGCTGGAATACCCCAAAGCTGATTGTTAAGCGCGATGGCTGGAGTGTTCGCAAGCGCAGAAAGCATGCCAACAAGATTGTGGATATTATGGAAGAGCAGGGCAAGATTAAGGCGTTGTATTCCGACTTCAAGAAGGAGATTGATACGGCGAGAAATGCGAAGCAGGGGCGTTGGGATAGTTCGCCTTGAGCAGTTGGCTCTCAGAAGGGGGTCGAGCTGGAGCGGGAGTTGGTTTCTTGAGATCGAAAACCCTTTGTAATAACGTGATGAGACCTACGATCAGCAGTTCTTAAGCAAGTATTCACTTCTTTCAGTTCTCAAGCCCAAGTCTTCATTCCTCTCGATCGTGTTGCACTGGTTGAAATGTCTTGATTGCGGACGCTCGTCAAGTCATCCGCATGCTGTTGGCTGTCCGTACCCTCCACACCGCTATCATACTCATGTTAAAAAAGAAAAGGGCCATGCCAGACCCTATACGTAAAGTAAAACCGTGGTTGAACACCCCTCATCCGTCCATGCCCTCCCCTCCACATCCTCAGCTCCTTGTCCTTTACTCCTCGCTCTCCTCAGTAAACTTCTTATAAGCCCCCTCATCCATCAACCCCTCCACCTCCTTAACATCCCTAACCTCAATCTTGGCAATCCAGCCCTCACCCTCCGGACTCTTGTTGATTGTACTCGGCTTCTCCTCCAACACAGCATTGGCCTCGACAATGACTCCCGACACAGGAGTCATAATATCAGAAGCGGATTTTACAGACTCGACACTGCCGATGGTGTCACCGGAAGAGACTTCGAGATCGGTGGTGGGCAGTTCGACGAACACGACGTCGCCCAGGGCGTTGGCGGCGTAGGTCGAGATGCCGATTGTGCCGGTTTTGTTGTCCGGGGAGAGCTCGATCCATTCGTGATCTTGGGTGTATTTCTTTGCTAGGGCTGTGGGAAGGGCAAAGGTTAACATTTTGGACAGGAGGAAGAGGTGTTTGTGGTTTACTCACCAGCTGATCTGGCTGAGAAGCAGCGAGTAGATGAGGCATTGGCGATGCGGCAAGAGAAGGTAGGTCTGCTGGCAGTAGCCAACGAACGGGCAAAGACTGAGCGAGCGATAGATGCCATTGTAAAGCTTTTGTTTCTTGGAAAATTGGTATGTACAAGTAAGTTGATCAAAGCAACAACGAGCACAGCACGAGAGCTTTCCCCGATAGTGACGGAGTAGTTCGCCAAGACTCGGGGAACTTTGAACGCGATTGCGGGAAAGGGTCCGCAGACTTCGATCGAGAGATTAGATAAGATTGAAATTTGGTTTCGGTGCCACACTTGGCCGACGTTTGTCGTCGCTTGTGGGCGCATACCAAAGTTCAGCAGCAAGTTGCGAAGCCACAAAGTCACACTTTCTTCTCACACTCAACACACATCATGCTTTACGAACTCATTGGCGTGGTATGTCCATTCCCTCTTGTTAGTCCATATCTTCACGCGACAGACAACTAACAACCCTTCTCACAGGTCCGCCCAGGCAACCTAGCCGAAGTCCGCGAGTCCGTCTCTCTCCTCCCAAAACCCTCATCCCATCCACCTCTCTGACCCTCCCTTGTCTCACAGAATCGCAAAAACAACAGGCAACATCGTCCTAAACTCCGGCGGCGTAGTCCGCGGCATCACAAACTGGGGTGTTTTCCACCTTCCCAAGCCCATGAGAAAAAACACAGTCACCCACAACACAGGCCACTATTTTGTCGTCCGCTTTGACAGTTCGGCAAGAACGCAGCATGCGGTGCGCAGAACCCTGGGCTTGGATCCGAGAATGTTGAGGTATTCGGTGGTCAAGATGGGCGGGACGCTTGATGAGTTGAGGAGTGTGGTTGGTGAGGTGCAGTGGAGGGCTGATGCTGATGCTGTGCAAAACTGAGAGAGAGAGAGGGAGAGATTGAGGGGTAAAGAGCGAGGAGAGGAAGTTTTGATGTACATTTGGGATCAAGGGATGGCGTTCATGGGCTTGCTTTTCTTTGGGCTGGGTCATCACCAAAGAGGTGGAAAGAAGCATGGTTCTTTGCTCAGGATATCTCCAAAGAGTCTTTTCCTGGACCCTTGAGATATCATGCAAGAACAAAATCATCACTACACAGTGGCGATCTGTACAAATATCATCCTGCTCTTGTATTGAGCTATATAACAAAAACCCATCCATTTACAATTCAGTTTGACATTTTGTGATTCTGATGTATGGCACATCTATCTGTTCGTTCGTGCTCTATGGCACATAACCAACCGATTTTTTCGTCAAGGTGGAGCCTCATCTATACCGGCATCTGTTCGTCATTTCCTTCCTCATTCTTAAGTAAACATGTTGCCCAAAGACCTTTGAGCCAATGGTACCTCATCACTCTGTGATGCATGTCAGTAAATCGTGTTCCACACCACAGCACAAAAGATAAAACTCACCTCAACAAAGTCCGTCGCATATATTAAGGCACTGAAGCAGCCGACCAGGTCCTCCAAAGCTTGTTTGATGCTAGGACGAACATTTGGACCTTCTCTGACGGCAGCCTTGAAAACACCTTGCATGCACTGTCTGTTCTCGGTCAAGAACGCTCTTCCTTGAGCGATGACGTGCTGGTTTCTCGATCCTCTGCTGACGACACATGAGGTTAGAATGCGCAGCATAGAGATCAGGAGGCGGTAGAAGTTCTCCAGTGCTTCGACATTGTCAACGTCCAGGCCGATGTCTGGATCTGTTGCAAAGAGCTGCGAGTCACGCACGGCGCTGAACAGGCCAGCTTCTAGGATGGCTGCAGCACCTTCATTGGTGTGTGACATCCGCAACAGTACAGACAGAGCGGTGTGGATATAAGAAAGGAGTGTTGCGATATCTGTTGTAGAGTCAGCAGGAGTCTCGAAGAAAGTCATGAGTTGCTTACCTTGTCCTTCACGCTGCTGTTGAAATTCGCCAGCGATACCACGAATGCCGTCCACAAGTACAGAGGTGAAGTTGAGCTTGGTCATCGCCCGTGTCAAATATTGCGATTTGACCATCTGGAACAATTGCAAGCAAGACTCCAGCACCATCAAGGCAGAGACTCTACAACTACCTGCGCTGGACATGACGTCTTCACAGATTGTGTCCATCAAACGCTCACCTCCGTGCTCGATGATCTTGGCGGTCTGACGTTGCAGCGGCGATGATGTTCTGCACACGGACCTGATAAAGTGACGGATGGTCTGGTAACATGTTTCGCGCAACTCAGTACCCCCAGAAGCGCTGCCGATACCTCGTAATGCGGTGCGGAAAGTCGCTGTTAGCCTATCGTGGACTGCACTGACTTCCACGTTTTTGTCTGTGGCAGAAGTGTCCAGAACCCTCATCAGAGTGTAAGTTAGCTTTGCAAGTGGGATGGTGACAGGAGAGTCTTCCACAATCGTCCTGTCCAGCTTCGGCAACACGATCTGCAGAGCTTGCAATGCGAGTGCAGTCTTGGGCGCGGCTTGGAAGTCGCCTAATGCAAGCATCATTGACATAAGCTTTACCCATACATTGAGTGCCGCACGTTGTGCAAGCATGATCGAAGCGTAATTGTTCTCTGATTGCAGGCATAACATGGCAGCATCAATCTCTGCAGCACATTGTTGTTGTGAGCTCGGGTCGAGCAGTCTGCCATTCTTTCGTAGATCAGCTTCGCGCAGAAGCAGCAACTCCTTGGCGAGCGCAAGATCGTAAACAACTCCAGACTCGGGTTTGTCTGTCTTGCAGGAGCCGAAGTCAAGGCCGCCAATGAAAGCTTTTTCTGTCATCTCAAAAGGCAAGGAGATGTCGACATCGATAAAGTCAAACAGCTCAAAGATTGATGCGTTTTGCACTTGCTCGCCAGATGACAGAACAGTCAAACCCAACAATGATGATAAGACTTTTTGCCGCTGTGTCGGTGTGTTGCGCTGGATGGTTGCTCTGATGTCCAAGGAAGCTTCCTCAAAGAACATGGTGCGCTGGATCAAGAAGTCCCTGAAGACAGCAGCAGAGTCTGAGATTAGGAATTCAGGGTCAGCACAAAGTCTGTTAGCCCACAGGTTTTCAGCATTAATAGGTGCTTGCACAACTGCCACAGCATCTGAATATCCAGACTCCCTGAGCTCTTCGAGAATGATTCGCTCGGTCAGCGACGAATGGAGGAGTCTCGAAATTATCTGACAAGATGTTCGACGTATCGAAGAAAGCCAGGGAGCTTGGTTGACCTCGGGCAAAGCGATAGTGTCGGCTGAGAGCTTTGCCACAGCATGGAACAGCGAGGCTCCTGAGTCGAATAGGCCATTGGGTGGGATACTGATAGCTCGATCTGTACAACGGAAGCCTAGCAGGCAATGTGCTAAAGCTGGACGATTGGCTGCTGTTTCGAGTGAGGTATTGAGCAAGTCCAAGATGCCTTGCTTGATGTTAATGCCCGGTCCTTCCGCTCCCATTTCGAGCTCTCTAGGGTCAAGCTGGAGAGGTGAAATGAAAGATGCGGCGATACGATCGACATCAAAGTCTTGTTGCAACGCAGCAAGCACGCGGCTGCCTCCGTAAGATGTGCCAGTCGCAATTGAGAGCTTACGAGCTGTTGCTAGCTTCTGAAGAAGTTGCAAAGAAAGCATTGTTAATTCCTGGTGGCCAGTACCGCAGTATAAACCAAGATCAACGATGATGTTGACATGATTCAGAATGACATCTTCGAATGAAGCAAGTGCAGGGTTGGCAATAGCTTTCTCACGTCCAACATATTGCGTCTTCACGATAGGTCGGACAACATCAAAGTAGATTGATTGCAGTTTCAGAACCTGGTTGATCACCTCAATGCTGCGACACAATGCAACAACCATGGGAGAATCTGGTGAAGCAGCGCTGATCGTGTCGACGTCTTCATGAGCAGCGGCGAACAACGCATTCGAAACTTTGTCGTTGAAAAGCCATTCCATAACGCGGGCGAAAGGATGGAAACGAACATACGCGGCTAGAGAGGAGGTTGAAATGATCGAGTCAACGGGAATGTTAGTGCTGTTAGCAAAGATAACAAGATCCTCGTTGAAAGTCGAAAGACACGTTGAGATAAAGGCCAGGCAAGTGCACCTTAACTCCCAGATCTGGTTCACGTCAGGCAGATCAACCATTCTTTCCTGGAAGACACTGCCCATGATGAAGTCAACGTAAGGATCTATTCCAGGCATGCGGTATGCTGCACCCAGTTGTTCAGGAAAAGGTAGCATGTCGCGCAAGCTGCTCTCTTCTGGACTGGGCACAACCATGCTCTGTACGAGTCTAGTGAACGCATTGGGTAGCTCGAAGCCCTCCAATAGTGATTGGAAGCGTCCTTCTTTTGCCACTGTAGGGTTTTGAGGCGTTTTGGTGCCAAGATAGTTCCTCAAGCTCGGCGAATCATACATCCATGAATCAACGTAGTCCCAGAGTGCGTATCCAGCATCAATGCTCTTGTCCGTCAGACTGGCCGCTATAGCCATAAATGTACAAGCTTTCAGGCGGTTGGAAACACCAGAGACGGCAAGATTCAGCACAATCTCGTGCAGATTGAAAGTGGGGTGAGTTAGGACAAAGGTTCTGGCACTCACGCTGGAGCGGCACATGTGTGTAACAAGACGCAGATAACACTCGAGCATGAGTTCACTCTCCGGTTCAATGAGTGGTCCAGCCATTGCGCCATCGCCTTGCAGGGAGGTAGATGTGAGCTTGTCACTGATACCAGGAGCATAGAAACTCAGCTCGTTGAAAATTTGTGCCCAACTCAGAGGTGCTCCTCGGCGAAGTTTGGCCACCGCGGTAGTCGCATCGTCCATGAGGAACTTGTGAGCAGCTTCTGCGCATTCGGCATCCTCAGATATCGAAAGGAACATTTCGCAGAAAGCAGCGGCTCGAGGAGTGGATTGTCGTTTCGAGGCCCATTGCAGGAAGCCATAAAGGTTGCTATCGGGATCTTGCCAGAATGATTGAGCAGCTTCGGGGAAGCCCTTGAATGCGTATGAAATGATGACCAGGAATCTTTCGAGATGCAGACCATGTTCCGGAGTACCATGAGGCTGGCGAATACTAATGTTGCGACGCTGTTCATCTTCCTCAAACTTTAATCTGCGGATAGTGTCGGGCATGTTTGTAATGAAAGCATCGACGAATAGCTGCAAATTTTGGGCAAGGATCTCCTGGAAGTAGTCGGATGCCTTGATTGGGCCATTCCTGAAACGTTCTGCTCCGGTCAAGAGGTAAGACACCAATCCAACCTTCGCTGGATCGTGCCACAAATCTGCGCGCACCTGGGCGCAGATGAACAGGATAAATTCGAAAGCACCATTGCGAACAGCATCCAAGTAACGTTGAGAACGCGATTCAGTCTCCACTTCCAGATCCACTCCTCTCAAAGGCGAGCCGATAGGGTTGTCGATGTAGCGGCCGCTGTATTCGGCTAGCCAGAAGACAGTTGCAGCAGCACGGAAATCAGGTAGCTTCCATTTTGAGTTGTCAGAGTTGTCGGCGAAGTATTGGTCCAAACCACGGGCATCCCTCAGACTGGCAGCACTATCCACAGGACCAAGAATAGAGGCACAGCTAACCAGAGCAGGTAAGTAATGCAAAGTGATGTCGTCAGGGCTGGCGAGTTGGGCTGTCTTGTTCAAGAGGTAGCGATAGTCGTCAACAGTTGCAATTCCGACCTTGACCAAATGTGAGACGATAGCACCCAAAGACTCGTGTTGTTTTGTCAAGCTCTGCTTCTCGAACTGCAGCGTCTCCAATGCATAGCCATGAGCAGTCTGACCAATCATGGCAATCTGGTTCAATCGATCTTGCAGCTTCTGCAGCCATTGTTCAACGATAGCCATAGCATCCACACACTTGCGCCAGAAAGTTGCGTCCGGCTTTTCGGTAATCAGACCAGCACAAGTAACGAACTTGTCGCGATCATCGGTGTTTTCACAATCAACGGCCTGTTGGATCGTCAAGCGCAGACATTCGAGTAGCGTTTCCCTGTGCCCGTGGAAGCGGAATATAGCAGCCATCGATGTAGGTCTTCCGAGCTCTTGTGCAGTGTTCTCCGATTGCAGATTCAGCCTTGCGGCATCCAGCTCATCTAGATCTAATTCATCCGCGACTTGAATGACCTCCTGTCTCCAGTCTTCGTTGATTTGGTATTGAACATCGTCGACGGTTATTGTGTCTAGTCAGCTGTGTCAGCACGCAAGTCTTCTCCTTTCGAGTCTTGAAAAGCGTACCGGCCTTAAGTGCCTGCCTGCTCTTGTCGCTCTTGTTCTGACGATCCAGCAGTTTCCTGAAGTCGGCAATGCTGTCCTCCAGCTCTGTCCAGAGACGATCGACATTGGGTAGGCGGGATTCGGAAAAAGCTACGAGGTCGGCTTGGAGACCTTGCAGTCTGGTCAAGCTGTCGTTCTGATCCATGGTCGGTGGGATGGTTGCTCGTCACCCGACGAGAACTGAGGTCTTAGATTCCAGTTCGGTAGTTTGCGCACAGGTTATGCGCGTGGTGAGTCCGGTAGTGTTGAACGCGATAATGATTGTGAATAATGTTTTGTTGCTTGAAAGCGCAAGCAGCAACGCGCGCGAGAAGCTCGACCCGCCCATCACCTCGGCGGCTTGCACCGAACTTTTCCCGTCTACGCCGTCTTTCACATCGCGTGCATCCTTTCGGCATACCACTGCATGTCTTGCCTGAAGGACAAATTGTCTTTGTTGCGCATGCATGAATCTCTGATTGACGCAAAAGACTTGGTTCCAGAGAGTCGTCCGTAGCATTCAATCTCTTCCCTAGAACTGCCTTCCAGATCAATTGACCGGGCTTAAGCGACATATGTCCGGTCAATCGTGACTGCCCAAAAAATCACCAGCCATATTCGCGCTGTTTACAGCATCTTGTTGTGTCGTGATTCCCTCCGAGGTTTGCTGAGGTCACTCACACACGCCAAACTCATGCCATCGCCATAGGATCATCGCCCAGCATGGCATCTGATATCAATCTGGCAGAAGCTCTTGGTATGTTCAGGTTAACCTTACACAATCCATGTCCTGACAACGAACAGAGGGTATGTCCTCGAAGGGTATCAAAGAAAGGACTGATGCTGTGGTCAATCTTCGCCAAATCTTGAGGCATAATCAAGGCACTTCCAGGATTGACAACCTCAAGGATTCAGCGCTTTTCAAAATCTTCGATGCCATTTTCCAGGCCATCGATGTCGAAGTCACTCAGCTTCGAGCTTGCAGGGCAGGCGTTAAGACCAAAACGACTGTATCCGCTACCGAGATACGCCTCACCAGTTGCTCCACTACATTGCGTGTCGCACTCGAGGTTGGCATCCGCAATCTCCGCTCCAAATCTGTCAAGGCGCTCATCGATCACTTCATTACTCACTTCGATGATGCCGACGGCACCCCTGATGTTATTTTGTGTGGCGATTATGCTAGGAATCTCTCCATTGTGCTCAGTCATGAACCTCATGTTGAGCATTTATCTCATGACTTATGGAAGGCAACCCTGAATTTTTGTCTGGACAAGATAAAGTCTGCTTTCAAGCCCGATCATGGATTAGGATCAAGCATTCTGACACCGAGGTCGTCACGTTCTCATTTCGCCCCTTCGCAAGCAAGTTTCACCAAAGGCACGCTACCTAGGCATGCTGTGGATGATTTGGTCAACGTCGTTCGTTCTTTGATCAGTGTTCCATTTGCCCCGCTTCTCCCAAAAGGGCCTCAAGCTCTCAACGCAATGGCACAATATCTGCATAACTCACCGCACTCTGGGAAGCCTCAGATTGACGCTCTAGTGGTGGTCAACACCATTTTGTCCCAGATACGTAGTGAAGATGTCACATTCACCAAGAAGTTCACCCGGGATGCTCTCGTTTTCGCTAAAGCGCTGTGGAGCACAAAGCTTTCTGCGCTGAAAGATGAGCTCCTGTCCATGCTGATTCTGCTGCACCCTTTTGTCGAGGTCCTTTCTCAGGAAGGTGAGAATGAGCTTCTGTTAACCGCAATATCGAACCTCGTCGACACAATCAAGGGCGAGTACACCAAACGGCCAATCAAGGACCAGCTTCAGATCAGTCAACTAAACCTCCAACTTGATTTCAAGCAACCCTTTGATGGCTTGCGAGGTCATGTATTTGGACTGCAGGACGGCCAGGCAATTGGTGAGAACACTTTGAGTGCAGAACACAACTGGACTTTGTTAAAGTTGCTGGCTCACTTCTCAGTATGGAATCATCCTTCTGACCAGCGAAGCATCAAACAACCTCTGTCTTCAGATGCTGGTCCGCAAAAGCGCCAGCGCATTGAACGATGGTCAGACGAACTATCTCGCATGCTTTCTGACTTCAGCGTTGCAAATAAACTTTGTTCACTGCAAATCATATGCTTTGCTGCCCAGTCTACTCTCATCGAGGAAGAAATTCTGGCCAGCTTGCTCGGGAAATTGGCCACTTGTATTACTGATGACAATAGTTCTGTCGCAGCGTGGGCCTGTCTGGCTGTTGCAAGGTAAATAATTCACCCTAACAAATCTAGCCATCAGGCTGACATAATAATAGTTGTGCTAGTCAAAGCACGGCTCGAGCAGCCACTCTGGCTGACATCTGGAGGTCTATTTGGCGTTACACTTTGAGAGGTGTCAGTCCTGCTCAAACATGCAGATCGGCTTGTCATCTCCTTCACACCATGATTCAGACTGAACTGATTGATCGGGCAACGATTCTCGAGAACATTGGTTCTATGCTTTCGAGTATCTCAATCAGCGGACCCTCCATGTTTGGTGATTCTGTCGCTTCGCTGTTCCAAACTGTCATGGTTCAACTTCAGCGTGAGAGTACTTCGTCGCTAAGTGAGAGAGTCGAACAAGTCTTGACATGGGTTTTTCGAACGTGGGCCCCAAGCAACTTTTTTGACAAGATATTTGCTTCCCAGAACACGAGTACCAGAGTCGTCGATGTCATGAATCTCGTAAACGTTTGTCTAGGGTTGCCCACAGAGCAGGAGCCACTCCAAAGCCTACCGGTCTGGGGCTCTGTAGCACAGACATGGATCTTGCACAGCCGCACTCAAGACCTTCTCGATTTCCTGCTGCTCAGAAAGAAAAGCGCTGCGATCATCCCTCACTTACATCAAATTGAGCAGGTCACAGAAAGAAGCTCCTCAACAAACAATGTCGCTGTCAAGCTGGTGCTCGGTCTTTGCACAACTGAGGTCAACAGTGCGGTCGACAAATGGAAGAACATGAAGGAGCAGAGTGCCGGTCATCTCGACCAGCACATGGTTCGTATGGTTGGCAACTTGATCACTGTTGCACTGTGCATTGCAAATTGCCTACACATCAAAGACACACATCGAGCAGAACAACTTCAAGCTGCTAACGAGAAACTCATGAGGCTATTGTTCAGTGACCTCTCGAGTCCTGTGTGTGAACAAGATAAGGTGGACGCCCTCATTGATCTTGTTGCACATAGACTCTTGATTTGTCAACCGGACGTGTCGAATCAAGAAGGACATGGCCATCATGTTTGCATGGCGCGACTCTCGACCTCTCTGCTGGAACTTCTCGACGGGAGACGCTATATGACACAGTCGGAGTCTTCGGCCAAGAAGAACGAGACTAGTGACATGATGGACTTTGACACTGATTTTGACTCTCAAGTGACTACATACACTGCGCCGGTGAATGAGGTCCGAGCTCCAAGAAAGGTCATTTCCACCAACTACAGTCTCATGTCCCAAAGAGCGAGCGTTACAGTCTACGCTATGCTGATGCAGTCATCTAGTCACTTCGAAAAGCGTGGCGACAGCATTGGGAATTCGACACAAGAGCTCATATCGCATGTCCTTGATCTTCCAGCCCAAGAAATTCTTGCCAGTGGGCCTGTTCTTACCACTTTGCCTCGATACGGCGTACAACTTACGCCCAAGCAGTTCGAACCACTTCTCGAATTCTTTGCGGACAACACACTGCAGTCTTACGAGTTTGAGCGTTCTGAGACGAATGTTGACCTATTGTTGGGTGTCATGGAGAGCTTCGTTTGTACCTGGACAGACGCTTCGGACCAGGATCTCTATACGTTTGGCCTCGATATCTATAAATGGTTCACTGTGACGGCTTTGAAAGCTAATCTTCTCTCGCCATGTGTGCAGAAGCGGCTCGTTCGCCTTGTGCTGCAAATTCTGCAGATTGACGCAGATTATGGACAGGCAGACAAACTTCCGACCATCCGATCAATGTTGTTTCATCTCATGCGGGAAGGCACTCTAGAAGTCAAACACTCCATTGCTCAACACCTGTCATCACTCTTTAGCCTCTTCTCTCTACCTGTTCATACAAAAATCTTCGAGGAGCTCCGAAAAAGTCTACCTACTGACACGGAATGGATCGAGGGCCTTGCCGTCCGAGTCTTGGTTCTAGCAAATCTAGCCGCTAGTTGGCATTCCCTTCGACGACAATGCATCTACCACATATTTGAGACTGCGGGTATGATCACTGACGTCGAAAAATATGCCGCCACATGCATTGCTACGATCTCGGAGGCTCTGGATCTTGACTCGCCTAAAGAGCTATTCCGGCTTTTCTCCCCTCAATTATTATTCACCTGGTTAGAATCTCAAGCCGTCGCAAAGATTCCGTTTGCAGTTTTCGGTTACAAGACTATGGCTGATCTGTTGGAACACAATATTGACGAGATATATGCCCAGTTGCTCATTCGCGAGAAAGAGGAGCAAATAAGTTGGTTGACCAAAGCCCTGAACTTGGCCGAAGGGAAGATCTTACATTCTACTTTCAGTAAGACGCTTGCCTACGCCATATCCTGGGATGTAGCTGGCAAGCAATCATCATCACAAGATTCATCCCAGGTGGCGACTACATGTGAATCCCGCATTCGGACCTTTTTCAAAACAAGCGGTGAATACTCAAGCGCAGTTCAGTCTAACCTTCCAGACATTGTGGCTCAAATTTTCACGTCGATGTACCACGAAGAGGTCGTTGAAAAGTTCCTTGAGAAGCGATCTCACTACGCTTACGCTCAACATGCTCTCTCCGCGATGAAGGAATATGGATCTCTCGACACAAATCTCTCGCAAGCCCAACAGCCGAGTTTCAAAGGCAGATACCTCATCGATCAATTAGAGCGAGTTTGTCGTAGAGCAGGAAACAAAACACTCACGACTATCAAGGACGCCATGAGTGTCCCACACATTACGGCCACTCTGCGGTCTATCATCGATTGTATGCATCCTGCATATGGTCCATTACATGCTTGTCGCACTGTCAGAAAATTGCGCATATTCATCGCGCTGGCAGGAGATGATGTCTTTGGTGGATACCCTTTACAGACTCTGATTCGAACCCTGCAGCCAGTCGTTGTCGACCCACATTGTTCTGACGATGGTATGGGTGTGCTACGATATCTTCTTGAGCGTGGAAAGCCTTTCCTCAAGCATGAATTGTCGATGATCACCGGAACAATCCTCCTCATTCTCTTCTCGTTAAAGCAATTCATGACGTCTCGGCAAGACAAGACCACCCAGGAAAGTCAGTTCCGCAATACGGTATCAAAGATGCAATCTTTTCACGATTGGCTTGTCGACTATCTTCTTGATTTCTGCTCAACCTTGAAAGCGCCACAGCAGGAAGCTTTCCGTTCGCTTGTTCAGTCGTGTCGTGATCTCGAATCACCGGCATCTTCGGGAGATACGAACCAAGCTGCGAGCGCAATGCTACAGGGACTCCTAGACGACGAGGAGTCGATCTCGCCAATCCTAGGATCTAATGAAAGAAGAGAAGTCATCTCAACCTTGTGCCGCCATTTCCATGTGAGCGACAAGACAGCCCAAGACATGTTTGGTTCTGATGAACTTTCGCTTTCGTATGCTCGGCGAGTCTGGGTATCTACTCAGGCACTCAAGGTCAATGATGATTATGGAGCCTGGGCAGCAAAAGTCCTAGGCCGTGCTTATGCATCGACAGTCTCATTGGAGCAGATCAGACCTGCCCAAGGCTTGATCTCCCACCTGACCAGTGGTTCTGGAGAGAAAACTCAATCCATGCAAGCAGTTGTAACCAAGCTTAACAATCTTCTGTCCAGTCAGAATCGAATACATGTTGGTGTTGCTGAGCAGTGTCTCAGGAACATTGCAAATCGGTTTCTAGTTTTGGGAGACCACAACGGTTCAATCGAGTTTGAGAAAAGCCTACCCAATCATGTTATCGACGCGACGGCAATGGTATACTCGAAGGACATCGCAGAATCAAAGAACACTCAGAAATTCCGTAGAGAGGACCTCTGGCATGCTGCAAAGCTCGACATCAACAAGCCTTTCGAATCATGGGTGCAGAATCTGGCGGTCTCAATATGCAGGTGGGCAAGAGACGATCCGCTTGTTGGTCAGTTGGAAAAGTTGTTCCTATCTGATGAAAAGTTGTCTCCGGAACTCTTCCCATTCATCCTTCATCTTGCTCTCACCTGCGAGATGGAAAAGGAACAAGTGCTGCGAACCTACCTATCAGAGTCATTCCTTGCACATTTCCGCAATCAAGAAGCAGACACTGGCCGAAAATGTCGACTACTATTAGAGTCGCTCCTATATCTGCTCACTCAGAAGATTCCTAATGAGAAGACGAGAATGGACCGTCTCGAATGGCTGGAGCTGGACTATGTTCTTGCTGCAGAAGCTGCTGACAAGTGTAACATGCCTACAGCTTCTCTGTATCTTGGGGAGCTAGGTGCAACTCCTCAGAGCGTTCCTCAGTCATCAAGAAGGTCATCAACGACTCTCTCTAACCCGAAATTGCCTTCAAATGAGCTGCTCCTCTCAATTTACAGCCGTGTGGATGATCCAGACTCCTTCTACGGTGTCAAACAACCACCATCTTTGGAATCCGTGCTCGCACGTGTCCATCATGAAGGCGATGGAATCAAAGGACTGATGCTGCACTCCGCTCGTACGGACGCATCTATGCGACAGTCTGGACTGGCCGACGAGTCGGATAGATTTGGTCTGATAAGCTCTGTCGGTGCCATGAATCTGAATAGCTTGACCCATGATCTACTCAAACAGAAAGGTGGCAAGTCTACGGATGCCACAACAGATGCTATGCTCAACGCTGCTCGCAAACTGGAGCAATGGGATGTTGCACCGCCTCAAAAGAATGATTCGGCTGCGAGTACAGTGTACAGTATGTTCAGAGAGCTTGCTACTGCTACAAATCTAGAGGCTGTCCAACTGGACCTGAACAGAGCTCTGGGATCATCGATACAGCACCTGCAAGACACTCGTCTCGATGCGTCTGCAATCCGCGCCACATTGTCGAGTATTGCTGTGCTCAACGAGGTCGATGAGTTAACCAACGTGAGATGTCCCTCTGACCTTTCACAACTATGGGCTCGAATGCAAACGCGACAAAACGGATGGGACATTGGGCGGTAAGTGATGTAACCAGATCATGCTCCTGATTTGTACTAATATGTACTTAGTTTCAACGACGCTCAAGGGATTGTTTCTTGTCGTGAAACTCTTTTCAGCCTTCTGAGTCAGAACAAGAATCTCAGAGAGGCACTTCACGTTAGCATCCGGGATTGCCGCGCAATAGAAGCTCAATCGGTCATCAGCTCTTCTCAGTTCGCCAGGAAGAACGACTTGATTCAACAATCCCTGACTGCCGCGACCTATCTTTCTCGCTTGGTTCCTATATGTCAAGAGATTGACGTGAAGATGGATGCCGCAGCGCACTTCGAAGTTGCAACTACGTTGTGGAGACAAGGCGAGATTTCGACGTCTGTGCAGATGCTGCAGGAACTCTGTTCCCGAACGGACCTGTTGAAGCAGTCGATTCATGTTGGCCGAGCAGGAATGTTGGCTCAATTGGTGAGTGTTGTGTGGTTTTCTGAGAGATGGAGCATCACTCACGTATTGTAGGGTCATGAGGTGGCAGATGCGCGTCTAGAAAAGCCCGGAGAAGTCATCTCGAACTATCTTAGACCTGCCATTGAGCAGCTCGACCAAGCAACATCTGGCTCGGAAGCCGCAAAGGTCTATCACGAGTTTGCTTTGTTCTGCGATCAACAACTCCAAGATCCGGGTAATCTGGAAGATTTCCAACGACTAGCAAAACTTCGTGATCGTAAGTTGGGAGAACACCGACAGTTTGAGAAACTCATCAAAGATACCCAGAGCAAGGAGAAGAAGCGCGAGTTGATGAGACAACAAAGAACTGTGCACCAATGGTATACTCTCGACGATGAAGAGTTCCAGAAGATGAAACGCAGCCGCGACGAGTTTGTGCGCCAAAGTCTGGAGAACTATTTGCGAGCTCTGACTGTATCTGATGAATTCAATTCTTCAGTCGTTCGCTTCTTTGCTCTCTGGCTTGAACACTCAGATTCGCAAACCGCAAACGCAGTCGTGCAGAAGACCCTAACAAACGTCCCTAGCTGGAAATTCGTCGGTCTTATGAACCAACAAACGTCGCGCTTGCAGAAGGATTCGAGCATATTCCAACAATCCCTCGCCGACCTGATCACGCGCATCTGCACCGATCATCCTCATCATGGTGTTCACTACCTCTACACCGCCATCTACTCGTCCATTGTGGAAACTGAACAGGCTGCAAAGTCTCGACGCGACGCTGCACATTCTATAGCGCAAAACTTGGGCAGGAATAAAAATATGACCGAGACCATGCGTAGAAACTTCCAGGTGGGTAATGTCTACCACAGACTAGCAGAGGTCAAGTTGAATCCCAAGGAGTTCAAAGGCAAGATCACAGTCAACATGGTGCCTGAAGCGAAGGAAATGGTCAACACAGTATTGCCCAGGAAAATGCCTCCTGCGACAATGGCTGTCGAGCTCCGTCCTGACTGCGACTACTCTTCTGTGCCAGTAGTCGCCAGATACAGAGACGAGATTCGCATTGCCGGCGGTCTGAGCGCGCCTAAGATTCTGGTCGCAATCGGAACAGACGGCAAAGAATACAAACAATTATTCAAAGGTGGTAACGACGATCTCAGACAAGACGCCATCATGGAGCAAGTTTTCGGAGAAGTCAGCAAGATGTTACAGACACACAAGAACTCTCGCCAGCGCAACCTACACATTCGTACCTACAAGGTGCTTCCACTCACCTCGACCTCCGGCATCATCGAATTTGTGCCAAACTCGATGCCCTTGGGCGAGTTCCTGGTCCCAGCGCACGCAAATTACCATCCTTCAGACCTCTCGCAGGGCAAAGCGCGTGAGAAGATCGGTGGTGCACAGAGTATGCCCAAAGACACGCGTCTCAAGGTATACCGCGAAGTGGCGGCGAGACACCAGCCAGTGCTCCGCCACTTCTTCTTTGAACGGTTTCAAGATCCAGACGATTGGTTCCAGAAGCGACTCAACTATACACGCAGCACGGCTACCATATCTATGCTGGGCTGGGTTCTTGGACTTGGTGATCGTCACTGCCACAACATCCTACTCGACGAGAAAAGTGGTGAAGCCATCCACATTGATCTGGGTGTGGCTTTCGAAGCTGGTCGTGTTCTGCCCATCCCTGAAGTCGTTCCTTTCCGCCTCACTCGCGATATCGTTGATGGCATGGGCGTAACAAAGACCGAAGGCGTCTTCCGCCGCTGCTGCGAGTTCAGCATGGATGCCCTGCGAGCCGAAAAAGACGCCATCATGACTTTACTCAACGTGTTGCGCTACGACCCATTGTACTCATGGACAGTATCACCTCTCAAAGCACGCAGAATGCAAGATCCCAGCCGCGATGGCGACGACGGTGGCAACGGACTGGGATCTGTGAGCAAACGTCCTGAAGACGAAGCTGGCGAGGCTGCAAGAGCATTGGCGATTGTAGAGAAGAAGTTGAGCAAGACGTTGAGTACTGCTGCTACGGTCAACGAATTGATCCAGCAGGCCAGTGACGAGAGAAACTTGGCAGTGTTGTTTGCTGGCTGGGCTGCTTATTGCTGAGCTGAGCACACGGTGTGGATTTTGCAAGCATTAAAGGTACAGTTGCTTTTCGCTCACTGACTTAGATCATATCACGCTCGCAAGACTATATATTGACTAATAAGCATGTTAATAAAAGTATCTGAGATTTTGCTGTCTCTGTTCTTTGGCCAGTCAGATATCCTAATTGTACTTAGGCTTGATTGTGAGCAACTTATGCAGTTTTATGCATCTTGATTATGCTAGTGCATGGTTGGGTATAAACTGGCTCTACTTAGGAGCAGGGTCGTACCCCAGACAATGCTTCAAAACATGTTCGACGACACTATGGTCGCCCAACACATTATTATCTGCTCCCAATAATCCATCTAGACTCCGAAAGCATGATTTTTTCCATGATATACGATTGGTGCTGATAATGCATGTCCTAGTCGCGTAGTTGTAGAATTAAGATTTTCAGATCTGTTCATTCAAAACATTAACCCGGTCGTCACGATTCTCGATACCGCTTTGTGACACAGTCGCTTACAGAACCACTGTGAACCTCAATGGTGGCGAAAACAGTGGCGAAATAGAGTATGGGAATGACGCGGAAGACTGAGACGACGACGAGTCCAAAGGTTGTAATAACGCGGATGGCAATGCCTTTGGCTATGGAAACAACAGCCGCCCAACCCTCCATTCTTCTACTACTACCACTGCCACCTCCAAGATGTTGGCGAGGGAGTGACGCACATCGAATCCACCTGCCAAAAAGATGTATAGTGGAAGCATAAAGCTTTAATCACCAGTGACCAGAATCGAACACACTTCCAGCAAAATGAGATGGCGTTACACCCAATATTCCCGGCTCGTCTTAGCTACAAGAGATATAATTATCGAACAAGTAGGGAACACTAGCTATTCCGCTCAACCAGACACACTGTACTCGACCTACCCTTGTGGCCCTCATTGCAGATTGCCTCCCAGTGTGGTAAAGTATACAACTCGTGTAATTACAGAAATGCATGATTGCAATATAAAACAAGATGTTATCCACGGAGAGGCAACAATTTATCAAATGTCTATGGACAAGCATTTGTCTCCGAATGGGAGTGTGCCTTTTGATGGCTTCTACTTCCTTGCTCTGTGTTGTGGTCGGAGTATGATGCAAGATGCATATTTTGAACATGGGGAGGAGAGAAATGATGTTGCAAACACTTCAGAATTACCCAAATCGATAAGTGGACTATGAGGATAAGAGTACATGGACCACAGGGCAAAAAGGCACACATTAGAATAGGCCCTCAAAGCATGCAAAGAAACACTGAGTAGTGAAATAAGAGAAGAGCTAAAAATTCGTCATTGATCCATAACTCCATCTATCAACCCATGCACCAGGAAAGTGATCAAGTGTATATCTAGTAAGCAACGATCCAAAATTACCTAACTCCGAGTAGCAAGTAAATGAACAGAGAGAATGCAGAGAAAAGAGTAAAAGCAGGATGAAGAAGGGGTATCTAATCAAGCGATGCGGCGTAAGATCATGAGGACGAGAGCGATGACTATGCCGATGATGGCTTTGTCGATCCAGGCGTCTGTTGTTGTGGTTGCTGGTGGTTGGACTGGTGGTTGTCGTTGTTGCGTTTGGATGGCAGAATGTGTTTGAGTTTGAGGCGAGGATTGAGTGGGCGGTTGTTGTAATTGCTGAGTCGTAGGTGTAGGTTTGACTTCCTGAGCGGCGGCCACCGTAGGCGGTGATGGCGAGGACGAAGACACAGCTTCGCCAGTTCGAGGTGTTGTAGATGTTGCAGCAGAGGGTTCAGTAGTGGCCCCTTCCTTCTTAGGTTCGATTAAACCAATCTTGCCGAGCAGTGGGTTCTCTTCTTCGTTTGTTGTCTCAATGCCCAGCTCTTTGCATCTCTTCTCTTGCTCTTCGAGGATAGCCAAAGCACCTTTCCCACAACCAGCACAAGAATACTCTCTACTCTTCTCTGCCAACTGCTTCCTCACATTGTCAGGGGCACTCATACCACCAACCTGACCTCCAGCATCGGTATCCATAAAACTCCTGATGGCGACTAAGGCAGTGCGTATGCCCCAAGCAGGCTGCCAGGTCTCTTCATGATGGCCAGAGATACTAAGACAGATTTCGCGATTGGGTTCGAAGCGGCCCGAGGGAGTGAGAAAGCGGAAAGAAGGAGGTCGTAAAGGGTATGCCGGAGGAAGGATTATGCGGCCGTGATAGACACCGCCAGCGAAAGGAGATGGCTCAGGAGGACCGCGAACTGTAAAGTGCCATTCGAAGAGATTTTCTTCTAGAGGAGCGGCGTGTAAGTCTGGAGTGGGATTTGTTGTGATCTCGGCGGCTTCTTTGACTGTGTGAGGTGTTAGTGGTGGGTTTTATCAAGGGACGGAATGGGGTTGAGGTACGGATGCGCTTGATGGTTGTGCCTTTGGCTGCCATGTTGGGCAAGGATGCTGCTGCTGAATCAAGGAAAGACGAAAGGATATAAACGCTATGTGAATGAGAGAAAGAAAAGGATAAGATAATAGTTATGCAGAGAAGGCGCCACGTCGACAGACTCGATGGTGTCGCGGCCTCGCCGTCCCCGCGTCAATGACGACCCGAGTGAAGATGCGAATCTGGGGATGGTCGATTCGACAAACATTTGTCCAGTCCATCTTTGCGCCGACACTGTCAACATCTCACCAACAACCTCTGCCGCCATCTACTCAGCTCCTCAGTCAATTACGACAGTTCAAGCACCGTCACAACCTGATAAAAACCTCTCAACTGCTCACAACACCCCTTCAGTCGCTATGGCAGCACCGCCAGCCCAAACCCTCACCGAGGACGACATCTACCGTACATCTACTCAGTTCCGACTTTGGTCTTTCAGCGAGTCCGCTCTTCTATCTCTCCGTCAAAACACCCATGAGGCCGCCGTCCAACAAGCTCGAACATACCTGCCCGAATCTTCTCTGGCCTCCCTGCCTTCAGCACAGGATGAGCTTCGTCTAGTACAGCGCTACTGCGACCAAGTACGCAACACATCCGACTTCTTTGGATGGTCAGTCAACGTCAAAGCCACCGCCGTCCAATACCTTAAGCGCTTCTACACCACAAATTCTGTCATCACATACCCGCCCAAGGAAATCTACAAGAGTGTTTTGTTCCTGGCGAGCAAGACTGAAGGTGTACACATGACTCTTTCCGAATACGCCAGACGCATAAAGACAGATCCAAAAGACGTCCTGGCTCCAGAGTACAAAATAATACAAGCCTTGCGCTTTACTCTGGATGTACGGCAACCGTTTCGCGCGCTCAAAGGCTGTCTTATGGATCTCTTGAACCTGGCAGCTGGTAATGGCGCACCCCTTCCTTTCCTCACCACAACCCCCGAACAACTGCAACAGCAAATGTGTTCTTTACCACCACCACCCCAAGGCTCAAGGACACAATGGCAACCTCCGCAACACATAGGTGCCAAGGAAGCTTCAGACAGAGCACACTGCGCTTACGCCGTCGCCCGCCATATCCTCGATGCACCTGCTCTGCTCACAGACGTTTATTTCCTCTTCACCCCTCCCCAAATCTATCTCGCAGCACTAAAGCTCAGTGATCCTGTATTGTTCACGTTTTACCTCAGCACAAAAATTCCCGCCACAGCTGCTGCCCACGACATCATCATCTCTACAATCGCACAATGCGCAGACATGCTAGCGAGTTTCGACCCCAAAGCCGTGATGAGCAAAGACGAACGAGCAAGTCTAGAAGCCGCGTTGGAGCAAGTGAGAGATCCCAGTACCAGGGATTTGGTGGGGAAACATGAGGAGGCTAAGAGAGGTGGATTGGGCGTGGGACAAGTGGACGAGCAAAAAGCTGAGAGGAAGAAATTGGCTAGAGAGAAGAGTTTTAGAGAGGGTGAGGATTTGTTTGGTCCCGCTTTGGTTGTGCAGCAGAAGGGATGATCATGATGGATACTTTGAGAGCGAGAAGGAGAGGAAAGATATAGATACAGAGAAATTTATCTCATCAACCCCCTTATGAAAAAATGAATAACTCCATCCCACTCCATCCATATGCACAGAACCAAAGAAGATATATATCAAAAAACCACAACCCCTTCACCACCTCATCTCTTCATCCCTTCCAGTCCCTTACACAACCTTCCCAACAGCACTAGGAATCTTCCTGATCAACCCGGGATACCACGTCGAGTTTCTATCCACCGTATTCTTATTCTGCTCTGCCTTCTTAACTTGCTGTTTCGTCGTAGTCGCAGAAGAAGACTGCACACTGGCATCCCTCCAATCCGCAAACGTCGTGGGCTTGTTAAATGTGTCGCTGTATCGAGCAAAAGGCACGTCTTCCTCGTCAACCATAAGCAACGAAGGAGTTTGCATGTGTGGATCTTGTCCCTTTTCGCTCTTCTTGCGTGCGGGTTTTGTTTTTGCCGCAGAAGAAGTGCCAGCAGAGGAAGGTTTTGCCTTAGTAGCAGAAGAAGAGGAGGAGGAGGAGGAGGAGGAGGAGGAGGAGGATGAGAATCTCATCTCTTTAATGATTTGACGCAGTTCAGAGTCATTAGATGTGGTTTGTGCTCGTAAATAAGCCGGCGCTTCTGCTTTCTGCAGACTCGTCATTACAGGCTCTCGATCAGCGTAAGAAAATCTTTGGGGGTTGGGTGGGTTGGTAGGAACAATCTTAGGATCAAGATAGGCTTGTTCTCCCTTGGCGAGCAGTTGTAGGATGTCTAGACTTTCACCGGGAGGAATGGATGTCGTGTGGGAAGGAGTAATACAATCCATGTCTACTTCTTTGCGAAGCACGGAATCGATATCGACGGCGGAGAAATAGGCGCATGATTGAGGTAAGTCGTGGATTCCCATTTGTTGGGAGAACATTGCGCGGGTCCAGATGTTGCTGACTTGCAGGGCCATTACAGCACGGTATTTGTCTTCTTCCTTGACCAGGTATCTGATTTCGTCGTGTACGGTGATGGAGAGGCGAGCATTGATGTTGTAACGACGGCAAAGGTATTCCATAGACACGATGAGCAGATGTAGGTAGTCGACTCCTGAAGACTGAATGGCCCAATTGATTCGTGAAGTCATGAAACCACCTTTGCTGATAAATCGGCGCATTAATGCTTCGGTTATTCCAGCACCTAACACTGGAGTCCTTGGTCGTTCTTGCTCGGCAAAATCTTCCAGCTTGTTGAACACGAAAGACTCGGTACCTCCACGCCAGAAAGGTCGTTCGCGGAGAACCTTGCGAGTTGTCTTCTGGCCCTTGGTGTTCTCGTAAAGTTTCTTCGCTGTGTTATCGGCATCTGCGTCACTGATAGTTGGGTTGAACTGCCGGAGCAGAGTAGAGGCAAAGCGTAGACCAGCGCCGTAGATACGACCGTAATTGAAAACTTTCGCGTCGTTGCGAGAAATGCCCAGGATTGAAGCGGTACGTGAGTGCATGTCTGTGCCTTGCGCCTTGCTGCCTTCCAGATTCATAAAGCCAATCGCATTGCCACCATGAATCTGGAAGGATGCATCGCCTACCAGTCCAGCAATCCAAAGCTCTTGTGAGTCGACATCCGCACCCACGAAGCAGTAGCCTGGTGGCGCCTTGACCATAGCCTTGAGCTCTGAACCCACGCGATTCTTCTTCGCATTGCTGGCAGTAAGCCATGTCTTTTCGACCGCTCGTCGCGTGATGGTTCCCATGGGAATGATTTGCGGCAAGATGAACCCGAGCTGATCGGTTTTGTTCTCCTCTCCACGATATACAACCATTTGCGACATGATTCGGTCCCTCGCACTAATCCAGTAAGAGCAGGATGCGTTCATCTGTAATGCCTCTTTCGCGTATGTGTATTCTGATGAGAGAGTGCCGTTCTCAAAATATTGTAAATATCCCTTTGCCAAAGGGTTGGCACATCTGGCTTGAGGTCCGTCCTTGTGCGGTAAGCGAAAGTAGACATGGGTATTGTCGTCTCGTAACTTCAGATTCTCCTCTTCAGACATGTCGCAAGGCTCAAGCGCTCGATCTATATACTTGCTCGCTTCTGTTTTCGGTACTCTGTAAGTCCATGCATACTTGTCGGACCAGATCAGTGGGTAACCGTCCCATGCAAGACGTAGTAGCAGTGGTGATATTCTCGTGCGTACTGTGAGACCAATAGGCGCACCATTCTTGACGAACAGATCCTTGTACCAGTTGGGCATACCGGGCATCTTCTGGCGTGCGGCAGGTCTTGGCGGATCACCTTTTTTCTTGCCCTTGACCATACGAACCTCCTGGCCTGACCAGTCCAGCTGGCTTAACCACGAATCGTTCTCGTATTCTTCCATTTTGTCTTTCAACTCAAGTGCTTTGCTGGCTAGATCGTGTAGTCGCTGTTCAACAGCATCTGATAGTTTATGGTACGTAGCTTCTGCATTTGCGATGTACGAATCCCATGTTCGGTTGACAGGCAGTATCTCTGTCGAGAGATGGCGTAGCGCAGCAAAACTGACAGGATGAGGGCAAGTCTCCATGAAAGCCGGAAACACTTTCTTGTAAACTCGATGAGTAATGTCAACATCAGCAGCGCAGTAATCCAACAGCTCGTCAAGCTTGTCACGGACGCCTTGTCGATCGAGCTCTGAAAACCATTCACGCTTAGCCTTATCGATGGTGACACCGCAGTGGAAGTGGGCAACGTCGCGCAAGGAGTTGACAGAACTACGGCCAACCCAGAGCTCCTCCTCCTCATCTATGTCTCCTTTGGCTTGCAGAAGTGCAGCCAGATCGGCCGTAGCTTCTGAGTTCGCGATCTTGTCTCTGGTCTCGCGGTTCTTGCGGTGCATATTCCATGTAGGCCTTTGTCGCGAGCACATTCCGTTCACAGCAACATGTAGCGACATGGTATCGATAAAGTAGTTACGCGATTGATCGAGCTCGTATTCCTCGGCGATTCGAGCCCTGTCATACCCAATATTGTGACCTACAATTATACGCGGCTTCTGAGGATTTCCAAGCGGAATAAGATGGCGGTCGCTTTCTGATTCACCTAACAACCAGGGCGATAACCAGGCATACCAGAATTTGTCACTGACAGCACATGCCATGACAGCGTAGGACGATTCGTGCCACAGAACTTCGACATCGAAGGTCAGCATCTCCTCGTCTGGAGCTTCTACAGGCTCGGATGAGCCATCGCGAGAGTACTTCGTCCATCCGCTCTGTCGGACCCATTTGCGCGGTCTAGGGGGCGCATTTGCGATCGAGTACTTCTGAGCAAGACCTAAGTAGGGTTCGGCAGAATCCATGGCCAGTTTGTAGAAATGTTCATCTAATGTCTGTCCTTGTATTTCAGGCATGTCAAAGGCGACAGGATCTGACGAGTCCGTGTTCTTTCCCAGCAGTTCATGTCGTTGCAAATGGTCCTTCGATAAGCGGACAAGCTCTTCCGGAGCTGGTGGAGCTTTGCCAGGGAATATTTGAGAGTAGACATGGCTACTGATCTGCTGAACACCAATTTCGTTGAAGCGCGATTCGGACGAGACTGATAGAGAAGAGCGACGATTTGCGACCAAAGAAGCAGGCGAGGGTTGTTCGTTATGAGAGATGTCGGTAGCGTAGTGTCGTGTGCAAGGGTATGGCGGGCGTGGGTAGACGACGCGGCGGAGGCGCAACAGCGAGGCCTGTTGCGACCGCATGGAATTGGCGGTCATGCTACCCTCGATAGTATGGTAGAATAGGAAGCTCTACAGATAGCGCATGGATGAGAGCTCTGGGTCGAAACAGGTAACTTCGAGCGGCTCCATAGCGGGGGCAAGTGAACTTTCTTCTCGCGCAGTCGACATCATGACCTTTTGCGGCCACTGCTGACTTCAAAGCTCCAGCGCTGATGCAAATAGCGCAAACCGTCGCCTGCCAAGCCCCGCTCGGTCGAATGTTCATTATCAGAGTTCTGCAAACTGCGGGAGCTGGAACATTCATGCCCGAGAAAGGCTTGACGTGGAAGCAGCACCGCCGCCGTCGTAGACAGGGCTGACGCTGCATAGAGAGGGTCGCGTGCAGCATGCGCTTTCAGGGCTTCTCTCACGCTCTCGCCCGCTGCACGACACGGCCAGCAGCAGCAGCAGAGCGGCAACATCATCGTCAATCAGCAGAAAGGCAAACTTCACTATGTGTCGCTACTTATGTACCCCTCAGTAGTTTCTTGCAATAAAGTGCCATGACGCCTTGTCGTCCAACAGAGCAGTTGCTATCGCTATCCTTACGCAGTAATGTCTTTTTCGAGTAACCACTGGCCCTTTGACGGCTCTTCTTTCAACTTCTCGTCCGTCTGCCCATCATCCCTTGCTGCCTTTCGCATATCACAGGCTCACTATTCCTCACAGACCTTGGAATCGCAACCAGGACTCAGACGACCATTCTCAATCTCACCAGCAACCCACGAATCCACTCAATCCAAGCTACCAATACCCACCGCCACAACACTCTGCCTCGTCTTCATCTTCATATCCTCAACTACCCTTGCCAAACTTCACCCAGTCGAGACATCACTCGACGGCTGCTCAATTGCGACCGCCGCAGCAGTCGACTCCGTCGGCTTCTTTGCATGCCGCATTGAGGGAAGGTGCCGACTTTCTACGACCTTCTGTTGTTCCACGATTACCACAACTTTCACGTCCCAACTCTGCTTCTACTCAGCAGTCCAGCTTCGGCTACATTCCAAACCACTTCTTCTACTCACCGCCTCAGTCGCCCCAAGAACCCGATCCGCCACACCATACTGCCAACGGAACTCTGGGATACCAATCTGCGACTACCTCATCCGCCCAACCCTTTGCAGGTCCATCATTCACCAACCACGCCGTCGGCCCTTCCATTAGCAACCCACTTTCACACCCGCAATCTACCGGTCATACTGCCCCGATTGAGCCTACGACCAGTGCTTTCAGAAGTGGACAGTCACAATCACATTACCAAAACTCTGCTATTCAACAGCACGTGAAAGAGGAAGACACTATAGCAATGCCTGCTCCAACAGCATCGGCCACAAATTCTCGCAAGCGCGCCCATCCTTCTGACCCTGGGTCGCCGCCGTCTGCAACTAAGCGTCGTCTGAATTCTGCATCCGCCCTGATAGAGATTGATGATTCAGACGAAGACGAAATTGAAGAGCTGGGTCCTGATAACGACATACTTTCCAAGGAACGTGAGGCGTTAGTGACCAAGCAACGCGAGGAGAGCAGCAAGGTCAGCAGGATCGGCGAATTGAACTGCATGATCTGTCTTGAACACTTCACCAACATGACTGCTACGCATTGTGGTATGTTGATACAGTATCGATATACGAAAAGTACCAAATTAACAAGTTTTTGAAGGTCATATCTTCTGTCACGAATGCTTGACCCAAGCTTTGATAGCAAGTCAACGTAATTCGGATCATAATTACGGCACATGTCCAGCATGTCGTAAACCTATCAAGCCGAAGGGAAAAACACAAATCGTGCCACTGACTTTGATGAAAGCAAGGAAGAAATAAGACTGTTCATTCTCATGGTGAAATAGAGGAATGTTCAGTGCAGGATTCTGGCGTTTTGGAAAACATGGTTTCAAGCTTTATACCCAACTTGCTGTTCATGACCACCACAACTGTTTTATAGGCAATCCATTCTTATATCATGCATTTTGCACATCATGGCTTGCACCCTCATATCTACCCCTGTCTATCCCGCGTGCATCAATCTGGGGACGTACAGTGGCTAGCAAACAACCCATGCCGCAGTGCCACCCTCGGTGTGAGCCAGGAAACTTGATTTTGGGGAAAAACCTCGGTGAACATGTCAATCATCTCGATCTATCTCGCGGTGCACTCATAAGCAGTGAAATAATAGAGAGCCAGAAACCAGGGATGCTATCTGATCCTCACAGGGCCGCCCCGGATCGTCACCCCGCCAATGACATAATCCCATGAGCTGCTTCCCTCGTCATATGAACGACCTCACGCACGACGGTTGCTCGAAACCTGAACTGCACACTTCTTCTATAACTTCTCAATCCTGATCCCCTGATCTTCACATCACTTCCTCATACGATCTAACAAAACACAACCGAAACAAATCATCATGGAAACCATCAGAAACGCAGCAAACGCGGCCGCTAACTATGTCGGCCTGGGCGGCACTACTGAAGAGAACAGAGGTAAGCAATTAAAAGAAATGTTGAGACAGCAGAGGCTTGGATACACACAAGCATCGTTGTTGGTAGCCGAAGTTCGCGTCAATTTGTTGTGATCACCCCAGCTCTCAATGCAGAGGCCCGAGTGATCAGGAATCAAAGCATCATAGCTCGAATGTTTATGCCATTCGACTTGCCCTACAACAAGATCAGTAACTGACTATGATCACTTAGAAGGTGAATCCAGCCACATTGCCGGTGGTGAAGCACCTCAGAACGTCGCTACTGGCACATCTCAATCCGGTGTCGAGCCTGTCTCTGGCAAGCTTGGTCGTGGAGAGGCTGGTGAGCCCTACGATGCTGGAAATGTTGACGGTATACCAGATGCCTCGAGATCTGTAAAGCTTTCCACGTGCTGACACATGTAAGGTGCATCAGGACTTGGTGGTAGCACCGTCCAAAACACTTCTTCAGACTACACTTCTCAATCGACCACTGGCTATGGTAGCGGTCTGACCGGCTCGAACACTACCTCATCCAGAACCACCAATTCCCAGCCTCTCTCAGAAAAGGTTCGTGAGACCTTTGGGGTTGGTGGAGGAGACAGACATGCCGGTGGTCTGGGCAGTCGCGAGGACGGACCTGGATATGGCACTTCCTCGAAGCGTGACAAGGACAACTCTCTCGGCTCTGTTGTCGGACACGGATCCAACCCTGACAAGTACTTGTACAATGCAAAGACAGCTCCTGGACTCGGTGGACATCGCATTGGCGACGACTTTACCGACAGCAACACTAGACATGAGGGTGCCGCATCCCTTCCTTCCAAGCTAGGATCTGATGCTGCTGCTGGCAAGTCTGGAGCTCAATCTTCGTCTGGAGGCTTGACAGGTCGCTCCGGTAACGACAGCTACTCCTCTGGCACTGGTGAGACTCTTACTCAGAAGGCCAAGGACTACCTGCCTGGCACCAGTAGCCAGTCGAACACCCAAAACGACTCAGCTCTCGCTGGCGCTCAGGAGGTGATCGGTAGTTCTGGCCGCAACGAACCTGGTTACGGAAGCTCTACCTACGGATCTAGCAACACCTCAACCCTTCCTGTCCGTACTCATGACTCGTCTTCGACCACAGCCGACAGCCTTACTCCAGGAAATGTCAGCGGAGCTAGCTTCGGAGGCACTGGATCTGGCCTCACTGGCACCTCATCTGGTACTGCCGGCGGTCTGACCGGCTCGAGCACTACTGGCATGAGTCAAGTCGCTTGTGAAGAAGGTAAGACTTGTTCTTCTTGTCCCCAAGTATAGCACTAACGTACGACATGCAGAGCGTGAAGGCTACAAGCCTCACGGTGGCCACCCCATCGGCGAGGCCGCTCACGTCGATGGCAAGCAGACTTGGCTCGACTACCGCAACGACCCTAACCTCCCCGTCGCTCGTGCTGAGCCAGGCGATTTGTAACTACAATCAGCTGTGACTGGCATAATTGCATGACGAATGGGCAATGACGGGCGAACCATGTGTATTTTATGATTACAAAAAGCAAAAGATTGCTCACATTGTCAAGCTCATCTACAATAACGAGTATCTTCTCATTTGAAATTACTGGCTGCCTGACGTGATAGTACATTTAGAAAGAAAGCAACTTCTGTGAGTGCATCGCTCGACTGATGACCATTGTCAAGGATACTAGGTATACACACATACCTGATGCCCCAGTATCTTTTTAGCCACACTTTGGAATGTCGAAGTCGACAAAGATATGAGCATGATTACGCTGACAATTCACATATATCTTGCACAACCCATTGGGCTCACTTTGACCCGACCTTGATATTATATTCATGACTAAAAGATGGACATGTATTGAAGGAACAGAAACCTTATGCCTATCTAGAGGCAGTTGCATTGTCAGTTCGCAACTGCTTGATGAGCTCTGTTGGGATTCGATTCGTCATTGGCCTTGCTGTATTGCGACGGTGAGGGAAACTGCAGCTCCTGCCCACCTTCCATTCACGAAGCGTTGAGGTGTGTTGACTTTATCCTCCAGCTTCATCTTCTCTCTCCTCTCTTCTCTCTCTCCATCAACCAAACATCAACTGCTTTGCATCTTCCAACGATAGCTTGTTACCTGCTTTACTACTCTTCGCTGCTTTACTCACTGTTTGATTACCGTACAATTAACTCTCCTGATCCAAAGGTATCATCGTCGTCGATGGCTCTTCGTCTCTGCAATAGCTAACCCATCGATCATCCATCACAGCATTCCATCGACTTTCATCAGTCATCAGCTCTTAACCACATCCATCGAAGCTTCATCGATCCATCTCGACACCATGCATTTCATCAAGCTTGCCGCCGGCACTTGCATCATCGCAGCCACCAGCTCTGCTGCTCAACTCAGCCTCGGCCAGACCCAGTCTTACGAGCAAGTCTCCAACATGACCGTGAGTGCCATCGTCAATGACTTCCGTTACAACGGCGATGTCACCGTCCTCCGTGGCCTCATCGACATTGCCTTTGCTGCGTTGCAATCCGAGGCTGCTATGGTTGCATCTTGCCTCCAGTCCAGCAGCACTTCTTCTGGTCCGGCCAGCCCACCTGCTACACCACCTCCATCTTCCATGTCCATTCTCAATCCAGTCATGCCCAACCCACCACCACTCAGTGTCCCAGTGCCTGTACCAGCAGGTCCTCCAGCACCACCACCTCCTCCGGCTAGTCAGCCCGCTGCACAATCTGCCAGTGCACCTGCCAGTGCACCTACCAATGCTGCTCCATCTGCCGGTCCAGCCGTCAGTGCTGCTCCACCGGCTCCTCCAGCACCACCCGCACCTCCTGCTGGCAACGCGCCATCACCTTCATTGCCATCCATTGGAAGCAATGCACAACCTTCAAGTGCGTTGACCAGCCAAGGCAGCTCTGGCTTCTTGACCTCGACCATCCCCAGCTCGCAGTCGAATGTCAACGGATCCTTGTCTCTCGGTCTACCCATCAGCAGCTCCAACATCTCTGGTCCTCTCCATGGCGTTGGTCCTCTCAGTCCTCTCACCTCAGGAGGAAACAACCCTCTTGGTGGTGTCGTGTCAGGTGTCAACAGTGTTGCCGGTGGTGCACTCTCCGGTGTTGGCGGACTCGTTTCTGGCGTCGGCGGTGCCGTGACCGGTGCTCTCGGTGGCGTTGCCGGTGGTCTTCCCACTCCACTGGGCGGCGTCGTCTCAGGTGTCAACAGCGTTGCGGGTGGTGCTCTCTCTGGTGTTGGTGGTCTTGTTTCAGGTGTCGGCAGCCTCGCTGGCGGTGCTCTCTCTGGTATTGGAGGTGTCGTGTCCAATGTTGGTGCTCCAGGGGCTCTTCCAACTGCTGTCGGCGGAGCTGTGTCGAATGTCGGCGCAGGCGTCGGCGGTGTACTCACTGGCGTCGCAGGCGTTGCCACTGGTGTTGTAGGTGGCGTAGCTTCAGTTCTTCCTACACCCCTTGGCGGCGTTGTCTCTAGTGTCGGTAATGCAGCTGGCGGCGTTGTTTCTGGAGCTGGAGCAGTCGTCTCAGGTGTTGCCGGCGGTCTTGGATCAGCTGTGGGTGGTCTTCTCGGTGGTCTTCTTGGAGGCGGAGCCTTGCCATCGTCCATCGCCGGTACACCTAGCCCAGTCTCTGGCGTCCTTGTCAGCGCTACCAATGGAGCCGTCGCCACTTGCACAGATCTCATCTGCCTTCAGACATCACTTCCAGGACTCTTGGGCTTGAACCTCGCTGCAATCCCAACCTCAGGCTCAGGTGGTTCTCTACTCAACGTCGGTGTCAAGATCCTCGGAGGGGGCAATGCACCTGCTGCCGCACCAGCTGTCACTACAAACATCAACGCCATTATTTCTGCCGCCAGTCAGGTCTCTTCAGTCGTCGGCGCCAGCCAATGCAGCAACCTCATCTGTCTTCAGGCTTCTCTCCCTGGTGTCATCAGTCTGAGCGCTGGAGCCATACCAACATCCGGTGCCAACCTCGGCAACCTTCTTGGCGTTGGTCTCAATCTCTTCGGTAGCGGCCAAGCACCTACTATGGCCACTGTCTCTGCAGGTACAGGCTCAGCACTCGTCGCCGCTGTCACTACTTCGGTTTCAATTACTCCTACATCAGTGGCTGGCCAACCTGCACCAACCGGATCATGGATTCCTGTCACCTCATGGATGTACGTTGCTCCCGCTGGCTTGGGTAGTTTGCTCTGATTGCGGCATGGGATTGAGGTAGCGTGATGGATGAACGGTGTCTATGATTAATTATGAGAGTATCTTATGACAGTTTATAATAGCAAAGCATGTTCTACATACCGCTCTGTGCCATCGTCATCGTCATATAATGTGTGTATACTAGTTCATCAACGTTTCAGTATCTCCTTTGCGACCTTCTTTTCGGTCTGTTCTAGCAAGGTCATCATGGCAGTACGTCTGTCTGTAGCACTGTCTCCTTGCAGCACAACCTTGGTGGCAGGGGCGATTTTGGGATATCTCGGATCTGGAGCTTCTTCCCCAACAATGGCACAATAGTGAATCATGCCATTGGGCGATCGAGCTGTCACCACTTTGAGGTTCCTTTCTCTGGGATACAAGGCTTGGGCATTTGCTTTGCGATGACAAACCTTAGTACCGACCTTCCGGGTAGACGTTACACATGCGCATGATAGTGTGGAAAAAATGTAACCTACTCGTTATCTGGCTGGTGATATCGGATACGGTCATGACCTGCAGGACTTCTTCATGTCCGCCCGTTTTCACGACTGGTGGCATGTTGTGTACAACTAACTCGAGAGATTCTTGTTGACGTGAATTGAGTTATGAAGAATGTCCTCTGTTGCTGGCTTTGGCCGCGGATGCTGGAATTGAAAGTGGTTGGATTGGACACTCGAGAGAAGGATGCCTTGATAGGGCGCGATGTTGTCGTTGGCTCGATGGCGAGGCAGGGTTATCGGAGTGTGGGATGTATGGGTATCAGACACAAGGAGTTATCCTATCCGACAGCATTATTTTATTGTAAGTAGAGAATGTCGCATCAATATCGTGCTTCGAATATCGCAAGAGTGGTGATCAAGCGTCCGTCTCATGTCTCTAGCGATGGCTGTACAGAATGACTCTTGCACGACTTTGGATTTTCTTTTTATCATAGCAGCGCCTAGCATCTATCGTCGACGAAGAACAGACGTTAGATAAGAGAACCCCAGTTACTGTTCGATACCAACATCCACACCCATACCAAGGCAAAGGTACGAACGCCTCGCATCCCACATGGCTCAAAACAGCCGGTGGGAGCCGAAAAGGCACGCTTACACTTGCAGCAGCCAAACAAATAGACAAACGCCACCACTGTCATTGTAAGTGCACCAGGAAACTTCTGGACGTGTTCTGGTATAAGCACGAGTAAGTAGGTGAGATCAACACGGCATTCGCCTGTTTCTGAAACTCTGTACGATTCATTGCGGATAGAGGGATTCCGAGCAAATGGAACATCAAGAGGGAAACGAGTAGGGCATGGCTACGGCGTGAGATGTGTGTTTGTTTACTGGAAGATATAGGCAGGGATCGGCATTTCGAAGTGGGAGGAAAAGGTAAGCTGTAGGAGATTCTGCAAAGCAGCACGGTGCACTATTCCCGTGTGGTCGATCAGGAGATAGTAGATTTGCAGGAGTGGAGGTGCGACTGAAATGTGGTTCGTTGCGGTGGTGGCCGGAGGGGAAGGAGATGTAACTTGAAGAAGCAGTGGTGACTCGCATACAAGGTGCAGGGTTCAGAGATGTACATTTGTAGAGTACGAGTAGACGGAAAAAGTTCCGCGGAGGAGAGAGAGGTAAGCATGTTGCGTGCACATCTTCAAGTAATCTATTGGGAGGGGTCACACAACAAGCTGCGCAAATGTTGGCGCCAGGAAATCCAAGACAATAGACGGTCGATACAGGTCTCGCTGTGTATAGTTCAAACAGAGTTTCGATGCCTTTGTCGCCCTTGTTCGAGTCTAACCATAGTGACGGTTTGAAGTGTCTTGTGCCGGTGCCCGTCCAGTCGGTCCCTTTGCCAACGGCTTTTCGATTGAGTCAAGAAGGGAACGGAGTTCAGGGAAAGCGCGAACCTACGAAACTTTGCTTGCGGTCGGAGCAACTTTCGCTCTTTTACACTTTTCCATATTGCGCTGCCTCTTCGTGCTGACTTCGCCTTCTGATCTTCTTTTCCAACACTTGTCCTCGAAACTTGACCTGCTGATATTTTGAAAAAATAAAACATTCCCGACAACAGAAATCGCATCTTGCTGGACCCTGAATAATAGGACCTATATTATCGAGACGACCTTGCTGTACAGAGCTATTGCAGGATCAACGAAGCTATGCCGACAAGCGTGCCTAGAGAGTCTGCTTTGGGAGTTTGCAAGCAGTGCCAGGTGCACGATGCAGTGGAAAATGTCCGGTCTCGACCTATGTGCAAGTGAGCAGCAACCTCTCTGACTTTGTTGTCGCTTTTAAAAGTACTGACAGTGTCCTAGGGACTGCTTCTGCAAATATATCGCAACAAAGGCTGTGAAGCGCATGGAAAAGTTTCGCACAAGATTCTCTACTGCAGGTCAGCAACGAATGCTACTGCTTCCTCTCTCGATGGGCGTATCCTCATTGGCGCTGCTACACTGTCTGGACGAGCAACTCAAACGACAGATCGAAAACACAGGACGTACTGGTTTCGCATTGCAAGTGCTGCACGTAGACATGACTGCCGTTGTGCCTGAAGGTCCTTCGGCAACAGATCTGGACGCTGTCAAAGAACGCTATCCGACACACGAATACACATCAATTCCCATATCATCAGTCATGGAAGTGGAAGACGTACAAGAGCTACTCAAACAATACGGCATCGACACACCCGCGACCCTCAACGACGGCATCGAGAACACAAACCTCCAATCCCTACAGAACCTCCTCCAAGCCATTCCTACCGCTACAGCCCGCGCCGATGTCCTCCAAATCCTCCTCCACAAACTCATAGTCGATTTCGCAAAAGCAGATACTTGTGAAGCCATTGTCTGGGGCGATAGTACAACACGCCTGGCCGAGAAAACACTAGCCGAAACCGCTAAAGGAAGAGGATTTGCGCTTGCATGGTTGGTCTCGGACGGCCCTTCACCCTACGAAATCGACTTCTACTATCCTCTACGCGACCTACTGAAGAAAGAAATCCACGCCTTTGCTAAATACGTGAATCCACCTCTAACACCTTTGGTCGCGCCAGAAGCACCGCTGGAAACTGTAGTCAGCGCAAAACACAGCACTATTGATGGACTCATGCGCAACTACTTTGACGCTGTCGAGAAGAACTATCCCAGTATTGTTGCCAATGTGGTTAGAACTACGGCAAAGCTCGCGGCTCCAAGTGTTGGAGCTGGAGATGCGAGTTGCAGTCTTTGCGGTTTGCCTTTGCTGTTGACGCCGAGGACGGAAGAGGGCTTAGTTGCTGAGGGCAAGGCGCCTCCGCCATTGTGCTATGGCTGTATGAGGAGTGTGCCCATGTTTTCTCCTTGATTTTGCAGCACTTCACTTTACTGCTTTTCTTTTCTTTTTTTTGTTCTTTTCAGCGTATTTACGACAGAACTTGGTGTTATCACTTTTGGACGACACGATTAATCACACAGTTGAGGGACGAGGATTTTTAATGATGAAAGGTTGAAGATATGAGGAGGATGTTCATTCACAAGAACCAGAAATCAAAAAGCTTTTCAAAAGAGATATTTTTTTTTTCTGCGACCAACAAAGATTCTACAAACTCATCAAGTCCTGTTTACTGAACTTTGTATGCGTAAGTCTTGCTGGGTGACCATGGTGGATAGGTATACTTATGGGAGGTGATTCAACTTGGTAATTCAATGGTATCTCGAGAACGCTACAAAAGGGGAATCCAAACGCTAAGCACTGGTAGGAAACAACAAACACAACGCCAATGAGCAGAACAACCCTGGATATTTCAATCTGCTCGTGACTCCCCAGAAGATCTTATTACTTGTGCCATCATCTTCTGTCGGTGCGCACTGTACCGGTCTCCATTGTGTCATCGACACGAACCGGGCCACCAGCAGCAGTACCTCTCTCTATGTCTTGCTCCCTTCTGTTATTGTTGCCACCACGGTTGAACCAACCACCTGACTTCTTGGCTCTGGTGTCAGCGGTAGGTGCAGGCTGGCGAACATTTTGGGTGGCATTGGTCTCCTGAATGAAGGCTCTACGATCATCCTCTTCGTCGCTGAAGTCTTCGAAGGCGGTAGCCGGATGGTTTGCTTTGCGACCCTTGACCTTGAGCTCATCCGGCTTGTACAGACTATCCAGGTGTTTCTCCAGAAGTCTGCAGTTCTTGGTGTTGGCCTTGAAGTATGCATCCGCAATATCTCCAATAAAAGGCACGATTCCGATCAAAAAGTCAATAGCGACATTGATCAGCATCTGAATCAAGATACCCGTTGGCAAGCCACCTTGAACCTTCATGCAGCCCTTGACGAGCAACAGTGCAATACAAGCATCAATGGCATCGCCAGCAGCGGGAACGATTCCAACGACTGAAGACCAGCCAAATCGTGTACCGAGGAATTCGAAGAGCGCCATGTCCATTCTGTAAGCGCGACGGCGCATTTTGGCAAGCACATTGGCGTCGTGTTCGGGGATGTATGAGGGGACAGTCTTTTTCACTTTCTTTTGCTTTCCGGGCTTGCGTGGATTGTCGACGTAAGTGAAGAATGGGTCCTGGCAGGAGAGGTTAGCTTGTGATTACACATGGGACGAATGTGGATGTGATAAACATACCTCATCACCGCAAGGCTTCTTGTTCTGATACTTTTTCATCTGTCCGCGCAACATCTTGTTGGCGGCATATTTTCCCACAGCGGCGGCCATGTTTGTGGTATTTTTTGATGCTTGATCGACGATAAAATGATAAATCGAATAGAGCGATGGTTGTTTTTGTATGCTCGCAGAGAGAAACAGGCGAATCAAAAAATAGCAGTAGATGCTAGGTTGACAAAAAAAGTCTTGGATCTGATTGTCTCAAAAGCTTGTTGTAGCACGGCGCGTGGTGAGACGGCGTAAGGGGAAGGAGGTACTTGGGCGTCAAGCTTCAAGGCGGTTGCTGAGGGAAACGACGAGCTTCAGAAGAATGTAGCGCTCGGAGTGAGTTGGCGTGGTCAAATAGTTGGTTGTGAAAACACTGTGATGTTCTGCCAGCGCAGCAATGACTTGAAACCACGTCAAGGAGCCAGCGGCACGACTTGTTTTTGAACCTGCTTGTCCACCGACCCCATGATGATGGCATTTGGAAAAGTATCAGAGACACAGCCACAGATTGATGTCACTGATAGTAAACAGCGAATGTTCTAGCCACACCTTTTCATCTTGCACCGCCTCACATAAGTTGCAAATCGACCCGGCGTTAAGTCCGATCTGCACGGAGCAGCTGTACCCGCGAACGCGTCTGGAGCTGACGTGTGGGAGCTCTGAGGGGGCTGCGATAGCCAGAGAGGACACTTTTTTCTCCTTCTGTCTACACAAAACAGCATTTGTCTCTAGTAAAGAGCCAGGGAACGATGCGGTCGTGGTACCAATTGTGCACTGCTGCACTATTAACGTCGCTAGCGTTTGGTGTACATGGCAATGAGGTCAAGATTGTATGTGCTGCTGTTCCAGTTGAATCGAGTCCCAATGCCTGCAGACTAACACTTTACTCAGGACCAAAAAGAAATAAACCGACAACAATGCTCGGGCATGTTCAGTCGCAAGGGCTGGGGAGGAGCTGTAGATCCCTTCATCTTGACCAAGTTCGTCAAGCCAGAGGACATACCCGAAGACCAGGACCCCGTCGTCTCGCTTGTCATGTTCGAATGGTCAGATCGCAACTACGTCGGTAAACTCATGGACGACACAACTTCTGATCGCGCATACATCTGCGACGCCACTGCTATCGAAGCAAAGTTCTGCAACTCGACCGAGGAGGGCGAGTTCATTCTGTCTCAGGACTCGGAAAAGAGCAAGAGTTTGATTATTACTCAGGCAGTACATCTTAAGAACCCGCCTGCTATCAACTACCCCATCAAGCGTACTGGATACTATTGTGTGGGTACATATGGCTATACTGCAGAGAGCTACAATGGCATCGTCGAGTTCCGCAACAGCTACGGAGAGCTGCCTGCTGCTCAGATCGCAAAGCTGCCTTTTTACGGTGCTCTGACTCTTGTCTACGCCCTCGCAACCGCTGGCTGGGCTTTCCTCTACTTCCAGAACCGACACGATATACTGCCTGTCCAGAACTACATAACAGCCATCTTGGTCTTCCTCGTTGTTGAAATCTTCATGACATGGCTCTTTTACGACTTCCAAAACAGACATGGCTTCAATGGAGGCGCAAAAGCATTGCTCATCGTAGTCTCAGTTCTCTCAGCAGGCAGAAACTCCTTCAGTTTCTTCTTGCTGCTGATTGTGTGTATGGGATATGGTGTCGTCAAGCCCAGTCTCGGTCGTACCATGATTTGGGTTCGCTGGCTGGCCATTACTCACTTTGTCTTTGGCGTCGTATATGTCATTGCCTCGCTCTCTGTAACACCTGAGAATGCCGGCCCTCTGGTTTTGCTCGTAGTCCTGCCTCTCGCGGGTACCCTCACAGCCTTCTACATCTGGACGCTTAACTCGCTGAACGCCACCATGAAGGATCTAATGGAACGTAAGCAAACCATCAAAGCAATGATGTATCGCAAACTCTGGTGGTGCATCCTTGGCTCCATCATAGTCATTTTCGTCTTCTTCTTTGTCAACAGCTGGACTTTTGCTGGTGTTAGCGATGAAGACTTTGTACCTACCCATTGGTCGTCGCGCTGGTTTATCCTGGATGGCTGGCTCAACTTGGTATACCTCGCCGATGTTGCATTTGTAGCCTGGCTCTGGCGTCCCACAGCAAATAACCGCCGTTTCGCCATGAGTGACGAGGTAAGTTATCCTCATCACACTATACTCTACGCAAGACTAACATAATCTCTAGATCGCTCAAGACGACGAAGGCTTTGAAATCGCAAGCATGCGCTCATCTCTCGACTTCGACGACCCAGAGCTTGAAGGCGCACCTCCCGCCTACGACGCCCCTAGAAACAACGCTTCAAGCTCTGCAGCCAATCGTGATGTATCGCCTTTGCCAGCACCCAAGCCAACAAGACCTGCATCATTGCCGAGAGAGTCTCTAGACGGCGAGACGATATTCGCAGTTGGAGGTGAAGACGACGATGAAGAGAGGTGGAGTGAAGACGATAGTGACAACGAGGGCAAGCGTCTAACAGGAAAGAAAGATTAAGAAGATACGTCTGGTCTAGTTTGCACTGTAGCTTCTTCTCTTGGAGACAATGGAATCAGGACTGGATCGTCGTAGTGTTTTTTTTTTTGTTTCTCAGAACTCATTGGGCGGCGTTTGTTCCTTGTTTTTGTCTTTTCTTGTCTTACTGTGTCAGAGAAGTGTAAGGCATGTTTTCTTGTTGGAGTTTCGACTGCTTCTCTCTTGATATCTCACAAAGTGCAAATAAGAAAGAGTCATGTCAGAGACGAAGAAAGGGCTCTCATTCTGATGCTAACACGAAGAAAAACACAAACGCCGTGGTTTCTTATCGCTAAAATCGCATGCAATAAAGAAGAAAAGAATCAAAGACAACAGAAAGTTCTCATCCTCAAGTCTCCCGTCCGTGGCCCAGAAAGTTCAATTTCCCCCCTTTAGTTTCTCCGATCCAATGCAAAGATTCTGTGTGTTGTATTCCCTTTCTCTTATAATAGCCCAGCCGAAAAAAAGTGATTAGAGAAACGAGAAGAGAAAAAAGGCCAAAGTAACGTCTTTCGTTGACGAAGACAATGATGATGGGTTTTGTTGGTAGGAGTTTGCGTCGTTTGGGAGTGTATCCAGACATGAAGGGCATAAAGTCTATCCAACGTGCTGGTAGAGGAGCAATGGCTCACCTACGTGTTCGATCTCGGGGATTGTACAGCGCAGGTCGAATGCCTTCGATAGCACAATCTTGAAGATCTGCTCAGTGTCAGTAACACACAAATTATCGGAGAATTTCTCAAACTGACCTTTTGAACGTTGATGCTGTGACTTGTACTGCTGAAGATCAAACTTGCTTTCATTGCTTTGGCGAAGCGCTTGGCCTGTTGTACGTCAGAGATGACCCTGAATGATCCAGGTCGAGAGAGTTACGCACCTGCATACTGATCTCTTCTTGCTCCTCGCGCGGGAAGTTGACAAAGTGATCGTATTTTGTGCCAACCAAGAATGGAATCGCGGTCTTGTTGAAGCCCCTGCCTTGACGGTACCACTCTTTGATTGAGTTTAGTGTGCTCTTGCGGGTCAAGTCGAACATGAAAAGTATGGCGACGGCGTCGTTGCAGACCAGGGGCAGCATGTTGACGAATTCACGCTGACCGCCCAAGTCCCAGATGGAGAAGGTGATTTCTGTGTTGCGAATGCTGATTGTCTTTTCCATGAAGTTGACACCTGAGGTTGTTAGCTATTGTGCAGACGGGTAAGCGATATTGACTGCGCACCCAAAGTTTGAATGTAATCTTCATCCCAGCTGCCCTCAACGTACTTGACCATCAAGGAGGTCTTGCCGATTTGCGCATCGCCAACCATTCCAACCTTGATAACAACGCTAGCATTCTTCTGGGCTTGTTGTCGTTGAGCATTTTGATCGCTGTAGTCGCTGTTTTGACGGTTCAAACGAGAGCTTGGTCTCGAGGGGTATTGTGACATCTGATCTTCGTGTTGTTGAGCGTCTGGGTTGTCTTGTGATTGGTAGTGAGAAGTAAAGCCAGTGTCGGAGTAGGAGGTCTGAGGTCGGCGAGTAGAATCGTTTGAGTCGGAGATGTTGTGGTTGTGGATATGGGGCAGGGCGTTGACAGATGAGGCGGTAACGGTGTGCATGCTCGCGTCCTCGGTCGCGGCATCATGCGAGGGAGAGGGCTGCGGGACGGGGTCTGAGTAATCCATTGTTTGATTGTATGAAGTTGCTAGGCGGGCGGCCTGAGAATCGTCGGAGCTTCTTTGCGGCGAGGGCGCGTCGGTCGGGTAGAAATAACACGGAGTGGTTGTGACAGCGGATTGTGGTCGAAGATTGGGCACTAGGCCGTCGAAGCTGTTCGTCTACCAGTCAAAGCGCAAAGCGGTCAGGTCGAGCGAGACGTTCGAGCTACACGTTCCAGCGCGAGGTACAGAGGACACCAGGTCGGGGGCTTTCTTTCAAAGAAAAGAGATGATTGTGCGATTGAAGGTCGACGGATGCGAAGGGCAGGATTGTTTGTATGCGGGCTCGCACAAGATGCATGCGCTGTTTGGGGCCGCTCCAACAAGCCCCTCCAGCTCCACCGCGCCAGCCACACACGGCCGCTCGAGCTGCATGTTTGGTCCTCCGTCTTGGCATTTTTCGTCATGCTTATCGATACGAGACTTTCACAAGCGCCCAGAGCCTCATACGAAAAAAAGCCCGTCACGCCTTTGATTCCACGCCACATATTCACCACACACAATGAGCAAACGCACAGCAGATCAATCAAACGAGGACGAGCTCCGCGCCCTCAAGTCGGGTCAGAGACCGCAGGACGGTCAGCCCGACGAACTTGAATTCGAAGACGAGTTTGAGGACGAGTTCGAGAGCGAAGATGAGATTCTCGAGGCTGGTGTTGACGGAAGACCCGACAAGGAGCGCGAGGCTGAAGAGCGTGAAGGTATGTATACTTCTTGTCTACAAGAGGAGCCTCTCCGTGCTGACCGACACCAGCGGCCATGGATCTTGATCAAGACACTTTCATTCCTGGACGACACAAACTTGAAGCTGGACAAACACTGGCCCCGGATACTTCAACATACGAGATGCTGCACAACCTGGAAGCCCCATGGCCATGTCTTTCCTTCGATCTCGTCAAGGACCAGCTGGGCGACAACCGCAAGTCCTACCCTCAAACCGTCTACGCCGTCGCTGGTACCCAGGCCGCACGAGGAAGCGAAAAGGAGAACCGCATCATGGTCATGAAGATGAGCAGCTTGGGTCGCATGGATCGCGGCGAACAGTCCGAGTCGGAGGATGAAAGCGACGATGAGGAGGAACAATCGCTCGAGCCCATTCTCGAAACCAAGGACATTCCCTTGAACACATGCACAAACCGTATCCGCACCCACCAGACCCCGCAAGCCTCATCATCTACTCCCCCCACCACTCTCAGCGCCGTCATGACCGAGTCTGGCGACGTCTTTATCCACGATGTTACTCCTCACCTCGCCTCGTTCGACAACCCCGGCATGACCATCTCCGCCCAACAAAACAAGCCCGTCAGCACCATCCGCGCACACAAAAAGACCGAAGGTTACGCCATCGACTGGTCACCACTTTTCCCCGCTGGCAAGCTGTTGACTGGTGACATTGATGGTCGCATCTTTGCTACCACTCGCACCGAGGGTGGTGGTTTCGTTACCGACACAACTCCTTTCACCGGCCACACCAGCTCCGTCGAGGAATTGCAATGGTCTCCTTCAGAGCGCAATGTCTTTGCTTCTGCTTCTGCAGACGGCACTGTCAAGATCTGGGATGCTCGATCCAAGTCGCGCAAGCCTGCTCTCAGCGTGCAAGTCGCAAACACCGATGTCAACGTTCTGTCCTGGTCGCGCAACACTACCCACTTGCTCGCTTCAGGCCACGAAGATGGTGAGTGGGCTGTCTGGGACTTGCGTCAATGGAAGCCTTCAGTCACCACCTCGCCCAAGCCCAACTCAGTCGCCTCGTTCAAATTCCACAAGGAGCAGATTACCAGCGTCGAATGGCACCCCACCGACGACTCTATCGTCGCTGTCTGCGCTGGCGACAACACTCTTACTCTTTGGGACCTGGCTGTCGAGCTCGATGACGAGGAGTCACGCGATACTGCTGGTGTTCAAGATGTCCCACCACAATTGCTGTTCGTCCACTACATGGAGCAGATCAAGGAGTCGCACTGGCACCCTCAAATTCCTGGTGCCCTCATGGCGACCGGAGGCAACGGTTTCAATGTTTTCAAGACCATCAGCGTTTAGGTTGTTTATTTACCCCCCTTTTCTCTGTTCGTCTATATACCATGTTTACGAAAAGGAACAAACAAATCTTCAAAAGCTTTTTATCAATTTTCTCGTATGGCTCTGTGCTAATGTCATCCATTTCTTTGGCTTGTTCGTTTAAGCTATCTCAGCTGCTTGCTTCTTTGCGCTAATTTCTCATTGCGCTGCTGCCATTTTCAGCTTGCAAATGCCTCCGTAAACGACGTCTAATGCAATGTCCTTGTTCCTCAGTTCTGCTCAGTTCTCGTTACCAGCACCCGAGTTCCATCAGCCGTTCTTTCCACGATCACTCATAAGCGGCCCCTTCGAACGCGAAGAAAGACGTTTCTGCTGCTGCTTTTTCACAGGCGACTGTCCTTCCTTTCCTTCTTCCTCAGACCTCTTCACCTCTACTCTAGGCGATTGAGCTGCCGAAATACTCCTCAACGAGCGCGCAGCAGGCGAAGAATAACCCTTGCTCGCTTGCACTTGCGCAGAAGCTCTACGCTCCAGCAACTGTATACGAGAAACTTGCGGACTTGAGGCTTGAGAGGTAGTAGTAGCACGTCTTTGCAGCACTGAAGGCGAAGGAATTGACGGGGGCTTTGGGCGTAGTCGTTTTGATAACGGAGATGGAGAGGTAGGCCAGAAAGGTGGAGATGCTGCTTCTGCATTTGAAGGGCTTGTGGATCTTGGGATTGGGGTTGTTTGAGTGGTGGTGGAGTCTTGAGATGTACCCGGTGAGCGATTGGGAGCCTTTGGGTCGTGGTCGAGTGTGCCCGGTTGGCGATTAGGGGTATCTGGACCCGAAGGAATTGTGTCTTCCTCTCTCTTCCTTAGTTCCTGTTAGTTACGAGTCTATCAAAAGGCACAAAAACTTCCACAACAGCAGCCTTGTACAATGAAAGCACAAAACTCAAGTTTGGAGATCGGTGACTTACTCTTCAGCAAAATGTGGAAAGGTATAGTATCTTCCAGGATCTCTGGGGTCTGCATTAGGATCAAAGCTGGTTCCATCCACTTCTTCTTGTTGCTGTTCTGGTTGCTCGGAATCTTGCTTGTTACCATCATTGCTGGACTGCTCTGCCATGTTGATTTTGGGAGACTGTGAATTGCTGATTTTTCTGATGAGAGAGAACATCTTGTTCGCGTGAGTGATCAAGAGGTATGGTGGAGATCTCTAGATGGCTGACTGAGACACGGTAAAGACGACGTGACATAATGCTTGTGAAGGAACCAAAAAGCTATATAGGTATATAGGTAGTGAGCAATGCAAACGTGCCGAGACAATCTACAAACGGATAGTCGAACGACGAACAAGATGCAGAAAGAGGTCACTAAAAGGCAAACCGGTCAAAATGCAAGCAACAGAGCTGTAACAATGCCATATATGAAAAGTCTCAGGGGTTTGGCAAAGAACAGGTAATTGTATCGCGCGTTTGTGCGCTTGTCGTGCAGATATGTCAGCTTTTTTCTTGGGATCCCCCCTCTTAGTGTTACTTGCTCAGGCCATGTAACAACTACAATAGCCTGATCTTTGGTTTTGTGTTGACTAAGCATATTCGAGCATTTAGCAAATTGTCTCTTTTGCTTGACTTCTGTCAATTGCTGAACTTTTGAATGGCTACCGATTCTAAAGACTGCGCTGGCAAATGTCATGTGCCATAGCTTGCATGCAGAAAGCCGTCCGTTCTGTCTCAGAATCTGCATGCAGGGCAACGACCAAGCCATAGGGCTGCATGTATACCCTGGTTGAATGTACATTGTACAGACTGCCGTGTCGATGTCTTCATAAGCAAAATGCTGGTTCCCCTGCTTCCTGCTTTAGACCACCTTAACCTTCTTTAAGTCGTTTAGCACCATATATCTTGATATGCTGATCCAACCCCATCGGAACCACCTCATTTGGCTTTCGTGCGCGTTCGTCATGGCTCTTTGTGCTGTTCTGTAGTCGCCAATGCCGCTAACGACCACCAGAGGAGTAGGGAAGTCGCCAGCTTCTTTCTTCGTGAATGCCGTTTTCAGAATCGTCAATGGTGCATCCAGTATACTTGCATATTTTCTGGCCACGTTGACCGAAGATAGCGTGTACATTTTGATCGGATGCTCCCAGCCAGAGTGTTTCTGCATGATCTGCTTTAGGAAAGCAAGTCCACCATGATACAGAGAAATGTGGTTCGGATGAGAAGAGACACCAATATCGTCGAAAGTAACCAAAACATCGATATTAGCCTCGGGAGAAGACTTCGCGGCCATCTTCGCCATCTTCGGCGCAAACGTAGAAGCCAGTAGATTTGCAATTGCCTTGCTATCCCAAGTCGTGGTCATCGAATCAGGGAACCTCTCATCATCCAGCACCAGCACATCATCTGCGTTTCTCAAGCCTAGTAATAGTCCGCTCTTGACCAGTTCTTGCTTGCGGATGTGGCCCAAGCCATCGGCGTCTCCAGAGCTCAAACACAGGATTTTGACGTGGTTGCCGAGTTCAGGTCGTGTGAGGGCAAGTACTGTAGGAGCAAAAAACATTGCTTCGTCGTCTGGGTGTGCTATCAAGAGACAGATGCGCTTGTTGCGTAACATGGGAAAGGAGGAGGTGAGGACGCTGGTGTAAAGCCAGAGTATTGAGATGATGATGGGTACTGCCGCCCACCATAATCCACGCATTTCCATGTTGTCGATGGTATGTGAGACTTCTTTGAAAGGCTAGATTGTCGGTGATTGATGTGGTGTGAACTCGACAAGCCAAAGATGAAGCTTGAGGGAGGTTGATGAATGCTCGCGTGCCGATCCCGGGCCGAAACGAACAACTCTCCAAAAGAGAGCCCCTAAATTTCGCATCTCACCATCAAGACCAAAAACCTCCCAGATAAAAAGAATCAAAAGAAAACACTATCAAGGCATCAGCCAGACAAAAATTCGAGTTTGCGGACGTCATGGCCGACGAAGACAAACAACCACGAAACAGAAAAGAACGCCGCGCCGCCGCAAAAGAATCTGGCAAACATCCATCAACAGCAACCATCAACGCCGCTGGAAACATCCCAATGGCATTCCCCGACAGATCTGGCCCAAAAGGAAAAACACTTCTGGATATTGCCGACGAACGAACTGCTGCTCTTCAAGGCATGATGGCATCCGGCCAGCCCTTCGAAAAATCCCTCGGCGATGGTCTAGCCCGAGATGAAAATGGACGGGTACTGTTACCAGCCAAAGACAGCAATGACGATGATTTTGTTATTGGGCCCGGAGGCGAAGCTTTCTTCTTGTGCACGAGTTTGACTATGGTCCATTTTACTTTGGATGTGTTGGTGTTCAACCAGTATGCGCAGGAGATTGATTGGCCTGCTATCATCCAGCGCTCGATTATCGCATATCCAATCCTGTTTTTCATCGTCTATATGATGAAACTTGAGATGGCGAATCGCTTCCAAACGTTGAGACAATTGTTCTGTTTGGCTGTTGCCATTGCTTCAGGTTGTTATATGATATATGCTGGCAACACATACGACTACTTTGCAGTTATGAAACAGGCACCTCCGTTGGGTACACTATGGATCTGGAGTGTTATTGAGATGAAGTTGAGTTATGCTCTTGTGAGTATCGTGGTGGATGTTGGTTTCTTGTTCTGGAACGGGTACACTGTATTCTAAAGACATATGCAACTGTCCCCACCCCCAAATACTTGATGCACATTGTTACGTTCATGCCGAAACTCGACATCCAGATCCAGCCACCATGAAACATTCAACATGAACAAGGGACTCGACGATACCCCAATACAAACGAAACGAGTGCCTGCATCTCTTGCATTACGATAGCATTATGCAGGCCACATTGGAAGCACGTAGAACGATATGATTCACGAATGGAAATGGATTATAGCTTGTTCATAACTTGGACTCTCTTCTGCCAGCACCGCAGCTGGTCGGTTCTAAGACAAGGTTAGCAGGAGCCGTTACACTTGGTCTTCTTGCTCTCTGTCTGCTCACTGATTCTCCTGCAGTAGCAGGATGAAGTCACAGGTATATCTGCCATCTGAATAGCCAGCTGGTATGGTTGCTCGAGCTGATTGTACTCGGCCTCACGTCCCAATAATTTCAAGCATTCACGGTATCCAACCAAAGCCCAGACGTTGTTAGGATGTTGATGGCCGCGAGGGATGTCAGCGACAAAGCCCAAATCCTCGGCATATGCCTGAGCTGCTTGCTCAACGAGACCTTGCTCAAGTGACAGAGCGGCGTAGGCATGACGTGTGGGTTGCATCCAACCCCAAGGCTCGCTGTAGACAAGATTGTCGTCACGCTTGATGGACTCTCTCAGATGTTCAAACGCGAGATCATAGTTTCCCTTGCGATACTCAATCTCGCCAGCCAGCATAGCCTCACCAACTCTAAGAATGTCGGTACACTTGTTGGGGAAGTCAAATCGACTTTCGGGAACGAGTTTTTGAGCGGCCAGGAAAAGCTCCTGCTCTTTCTCAGCTTCCGCGATGTTTCCGAGCGCTGAGTGGGCTACTCCCTTAGCATAATGAAGAGTAGCCGTGGTCACGCAGTATAGCTTTTTGTTCTTCGGCATCTCCAATGATAAAATCTCCTCCCAACGACCGAATCTGACAAGCAAGTGGGCTCGAACGCCCAAGAAAGATTCCAGCCAATCAGCCATGTTTGGAGATTCAATTGCAAGAAGCTCTTCTGGTAAGTAATTTTCCATGAGAGTACAATTCTGAAGGGCGACCTCTGATTTGCCAGAGAGCAAAGCCGCATAGATGAGTGAGTGCGAGTTGTGGGCGCGGTAGAAAGTGTACATCTCATTTCCTTCCATCTTAGCCACATAGGCGTCATCAGCGCGGACAGCGGAAGCGTTGGCAGCTATACCTGCGCGATAATCGCCTATAAGCACATATAGGTGAGAAGGCATATGTTCGAGGTGACCACTATCGGGCACTAGACCTCTCAGACTATCTGCTGCTTGCACAGCACACTCTGGAGTCTTCGACATTTCCATCAGATGGATATAGAAGTGCAACAGAGCAGGATGTTCCCAAGCTCCAGGAAGAGTAAACGCATGATCCAGTGCTTCTTTCGCTTCATATGGACGTGCGCCACGAGCAGGTTCCCCTGTGTGGATATTCCACAAGGCCCAAGGTGTCAGAACCATGAGCGACTCAGCGTACAGGCAGGCAACATCAAGATCGTCCTTATAGGACTTGTAGACTTCCTCCATTGCGTTCACGTAAGCCACGTTCCAAGGCTGATAATCGTCGGTCGGAGTCTTCTGAGGGTAACGAGCAACAAGAGCTTTGATGAGAGCTTTTTCCACAGGCGTTGCATTATGTGAAAGCTCCAGCGCCTTGCGTGATGTCTCGTGAGTAATCACTAGAGCTTCCTTGAGTTCTCTTGGGTCAAACAGTCGCCACGCCTTGTTGTAGTAAGGTCCTTTTGTATAGGCGATACCCCAGTATCCCATGGCACATTCTGGATCCAGACGAGTGACTTTCTCGAAACATATCGAAGCTTCCTTGATGTTGAACCCGTAAGCCCAAATTAAACCGCGATCGAACCAAAGCTGAGCTTCAGGGTTGTTGGTGCTGATTTTCCGACTGTAAGTTCCGAGATTGAAGTAACCATCTGCGGGTTTGGCATGCGCCGGTGCGTTGATTGATACAGCTGGCATGTTGTGCTTCTGGCTCAAGTCAATAAAGGTATTATTGTTGCAGTCTGCACGTAGCTCTGTCTGATTCAAAGGATGGAGCTGGCATGATTGCCGAGGCTTTGGAGATCTTGTTGGCGGGGATTCGATCCAGATAGCATTCACAGCCTTCAGTCATGACTTCCTCAAGAATTCACAGTCATTCGTCTTTGGGAAAGAGCGAAAGTAAAGAAGAACACCGAGGCTTTGCCTTCGGCGGTACGCTATTATTTACAAACAACATCTCAATCCGCAAGCTCTTGGGAAGGTCATCGTTAGCATCTCGATACATTTGTGTTGACAACAGCGTGAGTAACGCGTCCACTTCCAGATTGGCCCCACATTGTCCCTTGACTCGAACCCTTTGCAGGACGTACACATTTTCACTGCAAACAAGCGAGAGAGACAGATACCTGGAAGTTTGCTGACGTTGATCCGGCCATTGATCTCATCGTTTCAGAGCTTCAGCTCCCTACGATTCAAAGTCTCCCTTCCATGATGACACGAGCAGATTTCTCAGAGCTGATCTCTATGCTAAGACTTCGAATCACAAACTTACTACGATGCACCCCACGGCGCTTGTGTAGAGACCCAAGATTTTCTCAACGTTCGATCTCTGCACGACTCGCTCACTAGCAGATTTGGCCATAGAGCATGAATAATTGTCATCTTGAATGACGGGCATGCGAGGAATGATCAACGTGCAAGCTGAAAAGCTCGTGAATAGCTCGGCATTTAGGCACGGAGCCAGTCTGCATCCAAGATCCGAGAGCCTGCGTTGGCCCTTGAACGCAAGCAAATTGCCTTGTCATCTCACAAGCGAAGTTGAACAGACCTCTTTTCTGGTTCAGCCCCTGAGGTATCGGGCCTCGAAGATGAGATAATGTGCTTGATATCTCAACCCGGAGATCAGCAACAGTTCCTGAGAGTCGTCACCTCTGTTTAAGGATATTGCACTTCCGCTATCGAACAAACATTCGGATCTGCCGAGGCTCTAGCAACGGCAGAGCTTCGGATGACGGTAAGCACGGTCAATGTTCTGTGATCGATTGTTTCGCAGCCATGGACCTGCCCTAACCGGATGCTATTTTAACAGACTTGTGCAATCGTGCATTGCTGCTGCCAGTTTGAACAAAGCAGTTGAATGTCGCGACATGCTTTCATATGATTGATGTGCCGCCTTTGAGCCACGTTGATTTCTTTATGGCAGACTCCAATACCATAGAACACGCGTTCAACTCGCTAACCACGAGAAATCGCTTGTTTCTCCTCATCTGGTCAAGGTCCATCTATTAGAGCTTTCAACAGATGCACGCTCGGTCCATACGAAGATGAACCAAGTATGAGAACATCACTGGATGATCTCCGGAGAGGAAGCGCAGCCATGCCGCCATTAGTCTCGATGATTACAGCGGTGACTCCATCAGCCTGAACCACGGACCTCCGCTAATACAGGGTCTTGTATACCATGACTCGCGGCTGAAACGTGAAGGATTCGCTCAGATACGATGCCTACGCGCGGTTGTCCAGGAAAGTGTTTCGTGAACCTGGCTGCTTTCGCTTGCGGCTATCGCGAAACCAATGATCGACCTAAGCCCTCACTGCTAGACATATTGACACTTAATCAAACACTCGTGATAACACCGCCTCCGCTGTTTAGACAAGCCGTTAGCCTCCGGGAGATCCAGACTGCAACTCACATGTTCGCCTTGGCGGTTGAGAAAAATCACATACTATCCAATAATACAAAAGACACTATACCCCCACTAGGCCGAGCAATCGCTTTTTCCAGTCATCCACCGCTACAACTAAAGCCAAGCGCTACACATCTCTAAACTTCCATTCAGATCATCACACATCACGGACATTCGAAATGGCCATCATCAAGTCTCTTCTCACCCTCACTCTGCTCTTGGGCTCATCCATGGGGTCTTATGCTGCTGGCAATAAGACTGCCACCAACGGTGTCGGAAGCACTCCTGCACAGGTCAGCACCACTGTCTCAGTGTATTGTAAAATTCATACTGATAATCTTGACCAGAGACATGTTATCTCGGTCAGCGAAGCTGAGACCATCATTGCCGCCGCAGTGAGAGAAGCCAACACTGTCATTCCTGAGAACATTGCCATCGTCGATCCCGCTGGCATGTTGGTTGCTTTCCACCGCATGGACAACGCTTTCCCCGGCAGCATCGACATCAGTATCAAGAAGGCTCGCACCACTGTTCTGTTCAACGGTGCTTACTCAACAGCTGACTTGACCGCCGCCGCTAAGGGTCCTCTTTACGGTTTGTGTTCCCTGTTTGAAAGTCTGACTTTAACAAGAGCTAACTGTATATACAGGTGTCGAAGAGACCAACGGCGGTCTTGTTGTCTTTGGTGGCGGTCTGCCTCTATACAAGAACGACTACCTCATTGGTGGTATTGGTGTCAGTGGTGGCTCCGTTGACCAGGACGTGCAGGTCGTCAAGGCTGCTGTCGACTGGTTCAGCAACGCAACTCTGACTGCCTACTAAAGTGGATTTCGCGTTACGAAAAGTTTTCCTTTCTTCTGTTTATTTCGGGACTGGGCTTTGTAATGATCCTCAACGCCCTGGATGCTCCCTGATACCCTTGTTGTACATATTCATTTCTAGAAGTGAAGACCCTGTTTTCTTTGATCATTGGCTCGCTGTTTTCTGAGGTCAAAAACACTTCCAGATCTGGAAGGATCCGAAGCCTATCTTGTGCGCTGGTACCTGCATCTTGCTGCATATGCTGGAAATCCTCCGAGCCTCATCTTCCCGCGTGCATTGGAGCCCCACCCTCTTTGAGAATCGGTACGCACAATGTAATAGATTGGGAGTCTGAATACACAAACTCCATCGGCTGACATCGTATCTAGCGGTAGAGTCCAAGATTGACTGACCGCTCCTTCTCGGTATAGCTGCCGACTCGCGTCTGAGGACTCCTCATGAACAGGCAATGCCCTTACAATTGCAAGACACACCGACTTCTCTAGAGCAGGCAGGTACCAGCCAGACGGAATGAACGTTGCATTTGAAGATCTAGGGAAGCTTGGCTGGGGGAGATACGGTTGGCATTCAAAGCTTGATTCTTCCTCACCACTTCTCTTGCCTGGATTGTGAGGAAAGTCTTCTAGATCAACGTCAACGGATGCTCACAATGCTCCGTGGATCTAGCAGGAGTATCATTGTCGTGGTAGCCACCCTGACACTCCCAGCTACTGCTCTTCTTGCTTGCAAATCTTCCCGAGATAGCTTATGCTTAACAAACATCGCAAGTGCCCTTTCTCGAATACATATTAAGATATTATGAAGGCTCATTGTATATCATAGCCTGTGCGCCAGTACTCTGAGATGAAACTGGAACAAGACGTGACTAATTCCACTTGCAAAAGGCAAGAGCATTTTCCTACCCACTTACCGTCAACCAGCAAAGTCGACGCGCTTCTTCCCCAAAGCGAAATCGATATCAACAAGAATTGCTCCCTAGGGGCCAGAAGCTTGCTGAGAAGGGTAATCACTCTCCATACACTCGATAGGCCGGTCGATCTGACCTCTTTTGGGCATGAACAGTCCGCCATCCATTGACGTGTCGTTCAAGCATATCAACATAAATGACAGGACGAGATTTGAATGAGAGTGCAACCTGATTGACCACTCATGGTACCTGTGTACATGAACAACATTTTTCCTTCAATAGTCGGACGGTGCCGTCCTCCATGACTGCACGTTTGCGGGGTGCAAAAGCTATACCGGATTGGGGGGTCATAGCCTACGACCTGCCACCAGACTCCACAAGATCCTTCTCTGGGGTTGCTGCCCATGGGGCTAACAGCCGATGATGTGTCAAGGAAAAGATCTTCGTGTAGTGTTTTTCCAGGAGAGAGGTATATAAAGACCAGTTGGTTCTCTCTCGATATGGGTTTCGAATACACAACACTCTACGTCTTCTTAAAGCCCCCGTCAAAATGGGTGATCATTCGAACGTGTCGATCTGGCAGTCGATCAAAGGCAACCCCAAGGTCTTGTTTATCGCTCTATTCGCCTCGTAAGACTGCGCTTCTCACTTTTCGAGGGCCATCCACTGATAATCAAACAGGCTTGGTGGTTTCGAATATGGTTACCAGCAAGGTGTCTTGGGTAAGTTGAGTTCCTTGATGCAGCTCTGAGATTCTTTCAAACTCACCCTCGACTATAGGCCAGTCTTTGGTCATGACCCGTTTCACAGAGAACTTCCCCTCTGTGGTCAAATCTGCTGGAGCTACCGGCTGGCTCACCTCTGTCCTTCAGCTTGGTGGTCTTTTCGGTTCACTCACGGCCGGTATCCTGAGCGAGCTCATTTCGAGAAAATACACCATGTTTGTGGCCTGCTGCTGGGTCATCTTGGGCAGTTTCCTCTATGTCGGTGCTCAGGCTGGCACACCTTCGCTGTTGTATGCCGGCAGATTCTTTACTGGTGTCGGTGTCGGACTCTTTAGTGGTGTCGGCCCGCTCTACAATGCCGAACTTTCTGCTCCTCACATGAGAGGACTGTGAGTCTTTACCAAACAAGATTTTGCCAAGTAGATCTTCTACTAACTAGAGTCTCTAGACTGGTCTCGTCTTATCAACTAGCAACAATCCTAGGCATTATGATCTCTTTCTGGGTTGGTTACGGCAGTAACTACATTGGTGGCACTGGCGAGGGCCAGTCGAATCTCGCATGGCGTCTCCCCTCAATCATCCAAGGCATTCCGGCTGTCTGTCTTGCTGTCGGCATCTGGTTTATGCCATTCTCACCTAGATGGCTGGTAAAGATGGGTCGTGACGATGAAGCCAAGAACACGCTTGCGTGGCTGCGTAAACTCCCAATTGACCACGATGAACTTGACGCCGAATACCTTGAGATCAAGGCAGAAGCACTGTTCGAGCAGAAGGCATTCGCTCGTGATTTCCCTGATCTTGCCGAGCAGCGCCAAAGCCGTTTCAAACATCAACTTGTGCAGTATCGTATGTGCTTCCGATCGATGGACAACTTCAAGCGTATCTGCACCGCATGGCTTGTCATGTTCTGGCAACAGTGGTCAGGGATCGACGCCATTATATACTATGCGTCGAATGTATTCATAAGTCTCGGTCTCACAGGCGGTACGAATGCTCTGTTGGCCACTGGTGTCACTGGTGTGGTGTTCCTTGTCAGCACCATTCCTGCCATGGTAAGTCTTCAATTTACGGCGTTGACAGTTCGAACGCTAATCCGACAAACAGCTAATCATCGACCGAGTCGGTCGCAAACCAATGTTGCTAGTAGGCTCTGTCGTTATGGGTGTATGTATGGTGATCGTTGGTGTCATAGTCGCCAAATTCAGCCACGACTGGCCGGGTCACGTGGCCGCTGGCTGGACTGCAGTCGCTCTCATCTGGGTCTATATTGCTGGCTTTGGAGCAACATGGGGTCCTGTATCCTGGACGCTCGTTTCTGAGATCTTCCCTCTCTCTATCAGAGCAAAGGGCGCTTCAATCGGTAAGCATGAGGAATACTCAAGCCACGACGCTATGACCACTAACGATATCACAGGTGCTTCGTCGAATTGGCTCAACAACTTTGCTATTGCTTTCTTCGTTCCTCCCATGCTAAAGTCATGGCACTGGGGCACGTACATCTTCTTCAGCGTCTTTCTTGCTGGCGCGATAGTGTGGGTGTGGTTCTGCCTTCCTGAGACGAAGAATGCCACTCTTGAAGAGATGGACCGCGTATTCAAGAGTCAGGCTGGTGAAAGAGATGCTGAGTTGCTCAGAGAAGCCAAGCAGGAGGTCAGCATGCTTGCGATCAGAGTGGAAAAGGGCGAAAAGGGTCATGTGGAGGAGGTTCAAATGGTCTGAATCAGTTGCAACAGGCGGTAATAAGAGTAGTACCATACAATGAAATAGTAACTGTAATGTGATACCAGCAAATACCAATTTCAAACTTCAAGCTTGCCGTAAATTATGAGTAGTGACAGCCAGCCAGACCGAGGCAATACACGAGAAGCATGTCTCGTGCTGCAGCGTGCGGAACAACAATATCTTGATACTCATCATCATGCATGTACACTGCAGATTCTACCACAAGTTGTTCATGGCTGGTGCTGCGAAGTAGGTAAGTAATATTGTCACGCGACGATGTTGCGTTTAGGATCTCGGCAGACCCACGGTACAAGCGCACTGACGCCCGAAACCCTACCCGCGGTGGCTACGACCCCCATTTTGGGTATAGTCTCAGCAACGCTCCATCAACGACAGAGCTGACATGAATATTTTCTTGCATTCTCCATACCAGACATGCATGACAGCTGATCAGATTTTTCGCAATTACCGTTATGGCGACACGTGCGTCTGAAGATCCATCGCTGGATCCACGGTTCCACAATCTTCACGAGGAGCTCAGATCTGTGCTCTTCAATGGCTTGTCCAATCTCTCTCCAAGCCAACTGCGGACCCCCCAAGTGGGCACCTCGGAAGCATCACACAGCTTGGACTTTTCGACCGCAACAGTCAAGATACCTCAAGCACGTCTTGTGCGCTACCTTCAAAACTGGATCACCGAATGTGCGCCGCAGCTTGACAAGTTTGACGAAGAGCAACACTTTCAGATTGAAGTTCCTCTTGTTGCTCAGAGGTCTCCTGCTCTGCTGTATGCTATCCTTGCCTTTTCGTCACGACAGATGGAAAGGAGAGGTTTGGTGCAAGGATGCTACGACAGCCTCGAACTGTATCAAGAAAGTATAAGGTTATTGGCACCTGCACTACAGGCCAAAGACTCGGCCACGTTGGTCACGGCTTGCGTTCTTGCTGTTTTTGAATTGATGTCTAGCGAAACAGGAAACTGGAGACGCCATGTCGAAGGCTGTGCCTCACTCTTCGAGCTCTTTGGTGTAAATGGCTTCTCAGGCGGTTTGCTGCAAGCCGTGTTCTGGTGTTACACAAGAATGGAAGTGTGTGGAAGCCTCACATCTGATGGTGCTGAGACTATGGTTTTGGCACTTGAGAAATGGGTGCCAGACCGAAATCGATCTGTAATAACGCCAGAAGATGGTGAAAGGTTGGTAAGAACACTCTTTCATGAAAAGAGTAGAGACTCACATGACACGCATGCCAATTGGGCAATATATCTATGCGCAAGAGTATGCGATCTGAAGTTCCGCAGAACAAGTTATCTTGAACTCGGGCACACAGACACTAGCGACAGAAGACCATTCTCGCAACAATGGCAACAGCTTTGGCTAGATCTACAGTTCTGGCTCGATGAGCGTCCTTCAACTATGAGATCTATTGCTCTCGTCGATGAAGACACCGAGTCCAGTTTCCCACTGATCGCTTTTCCACATTGGGCAGCAATCTCAAGCAATCAGGTATACCACGCTGCTTGTATCTTGATGTTGGAAATGCAGCCGCCTGGGAGCGGGTTTGATTCTCATACTTTGTCGCTATGGCATGCGAGGCAAATATGTGGCATTTCGTGCGCGAATCCACACTCAGGGAGTATGGTGAACTCGATACAGCCTCTATACATCGCAGGCAGACTGCTCACGCATCGGAGTGAGCGACAGAAGATAGCTCAATTACTAGCTTGTATAGAGCGCGAGACTGGGTGGGCGGCTCTGTGGCGATTGCGAGATCTCGAGGCTGAGTGGGGATACGAGGGTATCGTTGACTGGGGAGGATAATCTCATAATCTTTGCGAAGTTATCTGACCGGTAGTTGGAGCAACCACCAAATCAGTGGTTGCAGCGGGGCGAGCCTTCCACTAGCTCTGGCTGAATGGCTCACAGCCGTGGGACGTGCTCCGGACCCACAGTCTTGGTCGCTTGGAACCACCCAGTGTTGCAACGCTCTATTGAGTGCTATAAAGCTCTGGGAGCCGCCAGTCAAAGTGAGATTGCTTGCACACCAATTACAATATAACATCCGGACCGTGACTTTGCGTCAGCTTCGACCATGGTCTCACCTCTACCGGCTATCTGCGTGCTCGGCAGCCTCAATATCGACCTTGTATACTATACTCCTCACCACCCTTTACCTGGCGAGACCCTCACATCGACTCACTCTGATGTCTCTCCTGGAGGTAAAGGTGCCAATCAAGCGGTGGCTTGCGCGAAACTATCAAGATCTCGCACGCTAGAAGACGCAAGCATCAAAGTGATCATGTTTGGCGCCGTCGGCGCAGACGCTCACGGCTCAAAGTTACTGGACAGCCTCCAATCGTATGGTGTCAACATCTCGGAGGTTGTGCGCAGACAAGATCCCAGTGAACACTCAATAACTGGCAATGCCGTCGTGATCGTGGACGAACGCACTGGCCAGAACCGCATCATTCTCACACCTGGTGCTAACGCTTCGCTGCGACCTGAAAGTGTCACCAATCTTGCCAGTCTAAGACCCTCGTTGTTGGTCATGCAGTTGGAGATACCTCTCGACACTGTCTTGCAGGCACTGGCAGCAGCCAAATCTGTAGGCGTGCCAGTCCTCTTGAATCCAGCTCCGGCTGTGCAACTTCCAGAGGAAGCGTACAATGGATTGTCACACCTGATCCTGAACGAGACCGAAGTGGCTCTACTTGCGCAAATCGACGAGGCTGAGCTTGACGATCCCAACACAGTGGAGAAAACCGCTTCAAAGCTTTTGGCGAAGGGCGTTCAGAATCTCGTCATCACGCTTGGTGCGAAAGGCGCTTATTATATGAGCAAGAATGGTCAAAAAGGTTTTGTGCCGGCGCTGAAAGTTGATGTAGTGGACACAACTGCTGCTGGGGATACCTTCATCGGCATGTATTCGGTGCTTGCTGTCGAGGCCTCTTCTCGCAATCTGGACTTTGACATTTGTGCCGCTGTCACCAAGAGCACATTTGCTTCTGCCAAAACAGTCTCTAGGAGAGGGGCGCAAGTTTCGATACCGTGGAAGGACGAGTTGGTCCTGGAATAGTCTCAAGAAGCTGATTTGTGACTACTTCTTTTGGAATGTTGTATAGTTGGGCCTATGTGCCGGTCTAATTGGTAGCATTAACGCTCGGTGAATAGATGGGAACCGCCTCGCCATCGCAAGGTTATCGTTTTTCAGAAAGCGTGCGATAGGATTGGTGGCCTATCTTCTTGGAGTGACTGCCAGCGTGCACGAAGATCAGCGAGATCCTTTTCGATGGGAATATGTGTTGTTCTGGAGATCTCACGGAAGCATGATAAAAGTGCTTCCTGCTGGGATGGGTGTGACATTTCCTTTGCAATAAAGAACAGTGCAGCAATTACTATCGGATCCCACTGCTCGTTGAAGTGGTTACCGACTAAAATGCGTGCAATCTTTTGTATGTGCCAAATTCGTGATCTGAGATGCTGAGAATTCGACGGTGCGTTGGTAAGACGAGGTTTTTGTGACAGTAAAATCACTGCTGACATGTGCATGACAAGATTCGCTTGCAGAGCAGTGGCACTCGTGAACACATCGATTGGGAAGGGTTGTTCGTGACAGGTTTCTTCATCGAAGCTTTCGAGTATAGGCTTCATCTTGCGAGGTCGGTCCTGAAACCATGAAACGCATCTACTCCAGAGTTCGAACCACCGATCCCATCTAGAAACGTGGGAACCGACGGGTTGCGGACATGATTCGTGGAAGCCAGATAACATAGGAACTATCTCGAAATGAATCAGTCGCAGAGAGAGTGCAAGGCAATTCAGACAGCCATCGTAAGAAGTGAGAGGGTCGTCAACGTCGCTGCTTATTGAACCTCTTGGGGGAATCACAAGATTGGCTGAAGGAGGTTTATTCGTCACGATGGATGCTGCAAGATCTGAGTTCCATGCACTTCAGTAAAACTCATACATCTTGTCGTTTGTCATGACTTACCGATTTTCAACTGCAATCGCAGGAGCGACTTTAGCGGCTCCAGTGGGAGCTCGAGTTCTCCTGCTGGCAGAACAGACTCGGCCTGACGCGCTTCACAGGTGGAAGCGATGAGGGCCCATTCTGAAGGCGGCGTGTAGAACACGCTGCTGATTGATAGCAGCGCAAATCCGACGTCTGCGATGAATGTATCCTCGCGAGCCAGCTGTTCTAAAAGCCTCGAAGATACAGTCAAGCCTGCAGGTGTGGTACTCTCCGTATCAAGACTCTCGTCTCTCGGGTGTACGCAGGCAGAGATGCAGTCGGAAATGATCTTACTGTCGCGGGCTATAATCATGATCGCCGGTCCAAACATTGACCTGCAGTCGTTGGATTCTATCCAAGGTGCTAGCTCATACCTGAAGCGTAGCAGGGTAGATTGTCTTCTCATTGAACGCTGCTGCCACGAGCGCTCGTCAATCGTCTGCCGATGTATGACCTCTGCATAGGACATGTCATTCGTAAGGTCGTGTAACGGCCAGGCTATAATCGTGTCGCTGTCAGTGACATTTTGTCCAGCAGCAGTAACTGCCGCGCCAGTAGATACATGAGACTGAGGAGTCGAGTACTCCTGAACACGATTGATTGGTGGATCAGCACCGTCGGCCTGATGGTAGTTGGCACGATCGGTTGGTAGTTGCGGTACTGCCACTGATGGCGATGCTTCTGCAGTATCATGAGAGTCATCGCCGACGTCCACTTGTGACGCGTCACCAACTGCGACGGATCTCTGCGGCCCATCAGACACAAACGTCCAGTCGCCGTATCTGCAAGTTACGCTTCTTGCAGAGCAGTTCTGACAGATTGGCTTCCGCTCATCGCCTAATCTCGCTCTCAGTAACTGTGGCGTTCAGGGCAACGAGTATAGTGTGGTCTATTGATGTCGTGTTGTGAATGGATTGAGAACGGTCTTACATTTCCTCCGCCGCTTGCGACAAGTCAAGCATCCTGTGCGAGATCGTCGTTTGGTATCTGGTATGTGCCGTACTGAAGGCATGACCTCTAGGACAAGAAAATATACGCCATGAACGTGAAGTAGGTAAAGCAGAAGACAAATTTTGACGCAGTTGACCCCCACGCCTTGCGGCGAAGTCAAAGCGAGATTCCTGTGACAACAATGTTTTCGTAGATACCTCTTTAGTATCTATTATTGCGCTTTCCTCGTTGCTTGTCTACCACGGCACCCTTGCTAGAGAAAGAAGAAGTGGAGAGAATACGGTCTTCTTCGCTCCTCCCCGATTGATTGACAGCACCCCGCAATGCCCACAATGCATGACAGCAGTGACGTGATGAAGTCGACATTACGAATAACAGTCTAGTGAAGAAGGAGCAAACTCCTGCCCGAATCTTTCCTTCTGTGATATTCGTTTGCATCCATGTCTTTCGATACCAATACAAGATTTGCATCACAAGCAACAGACAACATCAAAGCGACCTCAAAAATGACGAAGAATCTGGTACTCGACCCGTCTCATGCCGAGGCACCAACTCGCGACCACCAAAACTATCCCAGCAGTTTGCCAGAGGCAAAGGAGACCAAAGTGCACCCTACAAATGCTGGAGGAGAGAATGCGAGTCTGTATTTCGTTGGTACTGCAACGACGATATTGTAAGTTTTGAAGATTAAGGTTGAGCTGGTTCCATGGAGATGATGTCTAACCATATCAGGGAGTGGGAAGGAGTCCGTATCATGACTGATCCCAACTTCTTGCATGCTGGAGATCACGTACATCTAGGACCTGGTGTAACAGGCACAAGACAGACAAATCCAGCACTTGATCTGCACGAGCTTCCTCGCATCGATGCAGTTTTGTTGTCCCATTACCATGCGGATCACTTTGACCAAAAGGTTGAAGCCTCGCTTCGCCGGTCATTGCCCATCATTACCACACCTCATGCCAAAGAACATCTGACCGCTAAGGGGGAGGACGAGTCATTCAGCCGGGTTTACGATCTCGACTTCTTCCAGAGCATGTATGTCGATATTCGCAAGTCTGGAACTACACATGAAGCTACAAACAAGAAGGTACCGGCTGTCAAGGTGACGGGTATGCCTGGCAAACATGTACCTCAGGGTATGCTGAGCAAAGCCAACGATATTCTCGGTGCTGTTCCTCCTACCAATGGCTGGATGCTGGAGCTGGGCTACAAAGAGGGCGATGGCAACTCTACCGACAGCTTCAAGAACGGATACAGGTATGTCTGGCTATCGAGTGTTAAGATGAATGGTTTTGATGATGGCTGACTGTGATTTACTAGGATTTACATCTCTGGCGATACTCTCATGGTCGATGAGCTCAAAGAGATTCCAGAACGCTACAAGGGTCAAAACATCGATCTCATGTTGATCCACTTGGGCGGCACCACGATCCCATCGCCAAAACTTCCAATGTTGATGGTGACCATGGACGCAAAGCAAGGTATCGAGCTTGTCAGAATGATCAACCCTGATCTGACCATCCCTATCCACTACGAGTAAGTTTCTCTGTTCTTTTCTGATGGTTCAAGAAGGACACAGCTGATCATGATTCGATGATAGCGATTATGATGTTTTCTTGAGTCCCCTGGATGACTTCAAGAAGGAAATGGAGAAGGCAGGTTTGACTGACAAGGTTGTGTATCTGGATCGCAAGGACCAGTACAAGTTTGCTGTTCAACATGGACAATGAACTTGAAAAGGAAAACAGATGCAGATGTCCTTTGATGCTTGGAGCAGGATTGATATTGACAACTTGGACTCTTGTCTGGTAGCTTCACTGATATAGCAGCTGACCACTCACGAATGATAAACAATATCTTATTTATAACATTTCTTCATGCTGACAAAGACATGAAAGACTGTGAACAGACGAAAAGAAACCACAGATTGGATCGGTAGGAAAGGAAATGACGGAAGAGTAAGAAACAGATGTACAAGAGAAACAAGTGTATACTTACCCATTGACACTACACACGAGACACAAGTAGTCCAGGTTATAACAAGAAACCATCAGAACACATGGACACTACTGTCGCGATTGGAGCATCCAATCACGGTGCAGCTCCTGAGGCTTCTGACGCCTCAAGCACCTATCCTTTCTCTCTTGTGTCTCCCATTTGATCCTCGTTGATCACGGACACAAGCAGCAATTGATGTACCCCATGCTTCTTTTACTTCAATTGGTTCATAGCTCTTGCGCTTTGTTCACTTCTTTTTACACAGTTGGCCTTCTTCTTTCTCAATGGCGCATTGGTCGCATACTCTGGAGGACGTGGTTGGCAGATGAATTCGTTTTTATTCGTTTATTTCTTCGGGAGGACGCAAGCAAGCAAGCAAGCGAAAAAAGTGCGGGTTTTTTGTTTTTATTTATCGACCACAATTTTTTGAACGTTTACTTGGCGACGCGCTTGCCCTTCTGGTTCTTCTTGGGGACGTCAGAGATGGTAAGGCCTGTTTTTCGCGAGAAGAATTTTGATTAGCCGATTGTCGCTTTTAGGGGCCGGGTTTTGTCGCATACTTGGGGGAAGAGACTGCTTCAGCTTCTCGGCCTTGTCCTGGTCCTTGAGGACGAGGGTGTAGAGGTAACGGTTGCAGCGGACCTTGAACTTGATCTGCTGGGCAGAGGTCTTCTTGACACGGGCAGCTGTTTGCGCATTCACATCAGTCCTCTATTTCCTCTTTCTCTGTCGCGATCTCGGAGTCTTGGAGGGAAAACACACAGGAAGCGTCCTTGCGGCGGCAGATCTCGATGAACTGCTTGATGTCGGTAACTTGGGAAGGCATGGTGACGGTGTTTTGTGACGTTTGTGAATGCGTTACTGGCAGCGGCGAGGTGTCTGGTCGAGCTGCTGTGCTGTGCTTCTGTGGGACAGGCTAAGCGAGCTTGCTCATGCCAAGATTTCTGGCCTGCTGCTGTTGTGAGAGAAGGGGGAAGGGTAGCGCTTTGACCCCTCCTCACTTCTGTTTGACTACCATTTAGAAGAGGACAACGTAGGGTATTGACATCAGGCAGACATAATACTATCTACCTACATATCTGTTTTTGACGGCTTGAACTTTGACCTCTGGACATCAAGACCAAGATTTTCTGAATCAAATCATCATGCCTACTCAACTCGATAGAGCACTCAACTCCAAGGTCCGATATATTCTTCCTCGCATTCGATATGGAGACTATCCTGACATGTGTTCATCTATAGAACCTCTTCTTCGGATTTGCAGGTCTGGTTGCCGCATCAGCAGCATGGTCAATCTTTGGTAGCGACATCTTCCCTCAACAGCCTGATCCAACCGGTGGTGGGTGCAATACATGCCACAACTATCCGAGGAGACCGAAGTCACTGACACTTGCGATAGAACCCGAGAACTGGACAGAGGAAGAAATGAGAAGATGGTTGAACCGTCGTAACCTCATGGCCAGCAGTTCATCAACCAAGGAGGAGCTTTTGGCTAGAGTAAAAGCCAACATGCGTGCACCTCAGTAGATGTTGTTCTCGAAGGCAAGGCAAGGAAAGGGTTGCAGTGGAATAAATACGTCGGTCATGACTCTACGAAACTATGATACATTTATCTTACAAGACCTGTCTGCCACGAAAATCTGTTATGAATAATGTTTGCTAAGAATCGCTCATCAGGGGTGCAAACAGAACTCCTGCTTGTCCTTTACCCTGTGGTACTCGAGACACGCCATAATCCTTGTCCACACCTAGCTGGGCATCTGCAAAACCTCTTCTATCATCTGCAACTCCAAGCATATCAAGTAGTTGCTTAGCCTTTGCAGGCATGACTGGCTGAAGCATGATGCCAGCAAGACGCAAGATCTCCGTGCTCAAAAAGATGATGTAGTCCATTTGAAGTTCGGCATCCTCTTTAGATGAAGCGTTGGGCACCAATTCTCCCTTCTTGAGCCCTGCGGCAATATCCCACGGAGCTTGTGATTGCAAGAAAGCGTTTGCCGCGTAGATGTTATCCATCAGACCCTTGAGAGCAAGATTCGGTCGCAATGCTTCCATGCGACTGTTCACGGCTTGTGGGAATTCCACAAGTAGCTGTTCGAATTCTGCAATCGCAGCTTCGCGAGCATGTCCTTGACCAAACGGCGAAGCAGATTTGTAGTCACCGGAAAATCTTTCAATAGCACGTCTAACGTTCCAACCTTTTCCGCGAGTGATCCGGGCAGTCAAGTTTCCAATACCTCCTTGGAGACCCTTCTTGTAGCGTTCAATAATGTGTATGTTGTCGTAATCTGCGTCATTATCGATGCCGCCGTCGTGAATCATGTAGTAGCGCATCGTGTCGGTGCCAAAACGATCAAGAGCGAAAAAGGGATTCACAACATTGCCAGTACTCTTTGCCATTTTTTGCTTGCCGAGTGTCCAGTGAGCGTGTGTTAGGAAACGCTTTGGCAAAGGAAGGTCAAGGGCCATCAGGAAGGCAGGCCAGTAGATGCAATGGAAGCGAAGAATGTCCTTGCCAATGATTTGCACATCAGCGGGCCAGCCGCCAGTGTGTTCCGAGCCTGGTGCCCAGGGATACCCAGCTGCTGTCGCGTAGTTGATCAGGGCGTCTAACCAGACATAGATCGTTTGTGTAGGATCAGTGGGCACGCGAATGCCCCATGTCAATCTTGAAGACGGACGCGAAATGGACAGGTCTTCAAGACCAGCAGATACAGCAGACACAATCTCCTTCATCTTAGCCTGAGGAGTGATCCATTCAGGGTTCTCAGCATAGTATGCTAGGAGTTTGTCACGGAAAGCAGAGAGTCGGAAATGGTAGTTGATCTCGGAGGTCCATTCGACTTCTTTGCCAGTCTCAATCGAGGCCATGACCTTTCTTCCGGTAGGAGGGTCCAGCACAAGATGGACTTGAGATTCGGGGTAGAAGGTCTCGTCGCTGACCGAGTACCAACCTTCGTGTTTGGATTGATAGATATATCCTCGCTCATTCAACAAATGCCAGGCGTATTCGACGGCCTCTTTGTGGTCCGGATCTGTAGTCCGGATGAAGTGGTCGTTGCTGAGCTCGGCTCTTGCAGCCAGGTTCTTGAAGATGTCGGCACCCTTGTCGCAGAAAGGCTTTGGATCGCTTCCGGCTTTTGCTGAGGCTTGTTGAATCTTCATTCCATGCTCGTCGGTGCCAGTTAACAGGACTGCTTTCCTCCCTTTGAGTACCTGCCATCGTTTCAGGACATCGGCAAGGACCATTGTGTATAGATGGCCAGCATGAGGGGCGGCATTGACGTAGAAGATGGGAGTGGTGACATAGTAAGGTTTGGTTTCATGTGTCGCAGACGTCGTGGCCAGGAAGCGGGCGCGTACGAGACGAGACGCACATATTGAAGATAACGACTGCGGTCGCCAGGAGCGTGAGGCGGAAGAGCGTAGCAGAGGAGTCATTGAGGGAATGCGCCTGAGAACAAAAGACAGTCATGAACATTTGTCCAAGCTGGTCCAAGCTCCATTCCTCACATTTGCATGTGACAGTAATAATATTTTGATTCCTCCCCTCCAGACAATCATCACCATACCACACCATGGCTTCCACGACTACTACGCTCGGAGAGGACACTCTTACTCGCGTTTCAGCTAGCGGTATGTGTTTTCCCTCTACGCGACAAGTCGGACCCCTTCTGACAACATTGCAGCTGCCGAAACCTTCACCGACGCATACTATGTCGCCCTGACTAGCGCTCGCGGCTCCCTGGCCGACTACTACGTTCCCAAGACCGTCCTCCCATCTGGAAAACTCCTGCCCCAGATCTCCTACAATGGCACTGTCATCTCCGACCCCGACGAGTTCTCAAACACCTACACAACACAGATGCCTTATACCTTCTTTGAGGTCCAGTCCATCAACGCACACGTCCTCAACCAGGCACTTGCTCCTCTAGACCCTAAGACAGCAAAGCCCAAAGAGCAGGAAACCAACATGAGCATCCTTGTCCAGATCAGCGGTTACGTACGGCTGATCGAGCGCAAGGAGGGTCCAATGCGCGCCTTCTCTGACACTCTGGTCCTGGTCCCCAACAAGGAAGAAGCCGGCGCAAAGGGTAAAGGAAAGACCGGCGAAGGCAAGAGCTGGCTCATCCAGAACCAAAACTTCAGATTTGTTGTTTGAACAACGAACTATCTTGACTGCGCCCAACACCCTGTCCTATACGACACTCTTATTACCTTCACCAGCCACACCTACATTCAGCCGGAAGTACTCGGAATCCTTGTGGATACACTTTGAGCGGATGCCTGAGGTATTTGAATTTATCTCGATGCTCATATCTGGCTATAAAAGCATATCGGACGTTTTGCTCGTCTTGTGGCTTTCGCTTCCGCAAGCCACTTCCATCAGCCAATGTCAAAACGTTATATGGCCTGTCAAACTCCACAACGCCTTGCGCGTCCTATAACTTGCAGTTGGGAACACGAACCAGACAAAGGTTATCTTGCAAGCTTCTCGTACAGACTGGTGGCTGAATTTGAGGAAGTCAATCCTGAATGCTGTACAGCAGAACATCAGATGTGGCTGTGGCTGCTATAACTACTAGCAATGAATGACGATACCATAATTATTTTCCCTTCGTGTGACTACAACAATAATATGATAAGGGTAGAATAAGAGTAGGATCGATATCCTTACTCTTCTAGTAATGGCGTTCAATCCTTGCAATAATATGATAGACTATTAAGTGGCTTTCAATAGTGAACATTGAAAAAGTGCACCTTTGTACGATCGAAGAGATATGGCTAAGAAGTAGACTTAGACTCCTCGACCGTCCTCAGGCCGTGCATCTCTTCGCGTTATTCCTTAAATCAGAGATTGGAACTCCAAGTACCGCATACCAGCACATACGGCCAAGTATCAATCGCTCGTCTGGCTGTGAAAGCAGGCACGGCGACCTCCAAATAAGTTAGAAATGCTGAGCATGAGCAGGCCATCCTTGACCTGATTTCGCATACTCCCCCCATAGCTAAAGCATCTGAGGTGTATAGCTGCAGAATTTCACGATACTTCTGAATAGCAGAGGGGTATACAAAGGCAAAACATCTTCAGCTCTCTATGGAGGCATGTCCGAGCTGTGTCTTTTCGCACAGTAGCCGTGTATGCCTCATACAATCGCGGGCTTGCGAGTGTGTTGGAAGCCACGGCTGAGTTTCGCTATATGTTATGGTTAGAGGGTGGAGAAACCGATTTAGCACACGGGGGGATGCCTGTACAACCAGACAGGCACTACTATCGAGTATGCAGGAACACCTCGATATGGAACATTATGCCCTTCCATCAGGCGTCTATTCCATGCTGGGCCGTACTGGTCCGTCCGAGGTCCGAATCCTTGACTGAGGATTAGTCACCATAGCTCCCTGGTAATCGATAACAATTATCAGTAGCAGCTTGCAAAATACTCCATAGTTGTGCTCTAAAGATGTGCGTAGAAAACTGTGGGCCTCGTGCAAGCTCGCTCTCGCATCGAATGACGATGGAAAACAGGTTCAGACTGAGCAAAGTCCTCCAAAGGTAATGATCCGCCATCGTTCTCGCGTGTAGTGTAGACTGTGGGTGTCGACCGGTGGTCACTCCGCTATGCCCGTGACGCTTGGCGAGGCTCAAAACCAAGCTTGCTGCTTTGCTTGTCATTTGGGTTGTTGGACGCGGCACCAGATAGGACTTCGGAAAACCCAGTCAGGCACAAAGTTGCTTCAGACCCTGTGCGAAGAGATCGACTATCAAAAGCTCTTATCGTAGCTTAAGTATTGGTAGACAAATCCAGTGGTCAAATCGAAGACCAGCTTCGTGAATGGACATTCCTGTCGTTTGACACTTGCCTGGGTACTGTCGCTTAAACGGTAAGTACTTGATCTAACGTGAAGTGCTGACAGGGCTTGAGATCGGTCAGTGATCAAGATCAAGGCACTGCAGTATATGGTGCAAGGCGCCACAAGTCATCATGGTGACGCACCACTGTCGGAATGGCAGTGATACAACATGCAGCGGCTGGGTAGAAGAGTGTGTCTGGCAAGGGCAGAAGCTTTGTTGTTTGCTGCAAGACGAGCATCGGTCGGTTGGAGACACATGCGGCATCTCGCAAGGAAAGCATAGGCTGGACGCTGATGATCTATTCCAAAGATCTGCAGTGGTGGTGGCGGCGACGTAGATGAAGAAGCAGGCGCAGGCATGGACCCCTCTATTGGGTGGTTGGGATTGGTAAGGAACGTGTGGTTAGGCATGTCATGGTCGATGGAATACTTGTGTTGTTAGGAGAAACAAGCACCCAAAGAGGACGATATTAGTCAGTTGACAGGAGAACAGACCGTGCTACTTGTCGTTGATCGACCAAAAGTATCAGAATCTGAACAAGATGTGCTCTTGGTCGAGCACCCAAGACTTGCACAGCCACAGCCGTCTCCGCTTTTCAGGACAAGCAGAGGCATGAACATCGAGCCGACGGCGGCTGGCATCGGCAAGCGAATAGCCTCCGTCCACAGCCAGGGTTTGGAACGAGCATGAGCATGAGCAATCGGAGAATTGCAAGAGAACAGGCGGGTCGCTTGCAGAGTGTCGAAGCTCCCGCAATCGAGAATGCCAGCTAAAATTCTGTAAATGTGAATCTGCTCTGGTCTAGGTATATGCAAAAGTGATAGACGTTGAACGAGCCTCGTGAGTATCGAGTCCAGAACGCATCAGAACGGGCGATGGCAGAGAGAGTTGGCGGTTGTTCTCAAAGCCAAGCTGGTTCCTCGTGAGGTTCAACTTGTCAAGATCTGCGGGTGTGAATTTAACTGCGTCACTGGAGAGCTGTCTTGAACCTTACAAGCCTTCCAAGATCCTGTACAAGCCAGCTTTGAGAAATTCTGTTTGCCTCTGCAGTCATCAGCAAATACATCCATCGGCGTCGCGTTCTCGTCGCGGCATGCAAATTGAGCTCGTCACAAGCACTTGAAGCCACTACTTGCCATTTCGCCTCCTCTGCCACAGTAAGGCGTCTTACTCTGACGTCGATTACTGTAGACGCACACTGCACCAGCAACACAGCAGTAACGGCTCCACGCCCATCTTTAGTAGCTGCGCCATCGCGCCGGGCCATCGCGCTGTCCGAGCATCCTTGATCGCTTCGCATCCGCAGTCCTCGACTGATAGCACGAGTGCTTTTACTCCATCCTTTCTTCTTGGTTCACGTCGCAAGGAACTCTGTTCTCTGCCTACGCCAACCCGTCGCGTCGTTACTACCGCTTTAACTGCATCAACGTCGCCGGCTTGTGCCCGTAACGCAATATTAACGCCACAATTTGGGATTCCATGGACGCTTGATATTTGCGATTGCTCCTGCCTGCTCTTGTCCCACAATTATCGACAAAGATTCGCGAGTGCTGGTCTTGTTCTGGCGCGCAACTTCCAACTCCACCACGGACCCTCTACAGGTTCGCATAACACCGCGACTTTAAACACATCACGTATGTGGGGCTATTTTCTTTCCTTTTTCTTTTTTTACCTGCCCGCTGTTAAAATGCACATGGATAGTGGCTGACGCACGCGCATAGCTGACTGTTAACATCCTTGCAGCGGGTCAAATGTATGTATTCCTCGATGGCCACACGATTTAGATCAGACAGCCCTCAGGTCGAACCTTTTCCACCTCTTGAAGTCCCGCATACGCCTACCACGACCGCCCAATCCGCTTTTGCCGTCTCTAAGGAATCTCAGCCTCTACTTAAGCCACACGTCCCGGAGTATACTGGTGTTTCACCAAAGTCTCCAGCACGCTACTCGCCCAGACCTCTTACAGGCGCCGCCGCTCAGGCTGATGCTAGAAGACTGCAATCACAGCAGCAAACTCACGACACCACTCAGACTAGCGCGAATCCTGCTGCCACTGCTCTGCATGCTCTCATGAGCGGCCCTGCGGTATCCAAGGCTACAGACCTCTCTTCTCCTGGCCACCCTCCAACCAGCCAAATGCGCAAACCAAGCACACATCTCACCGTGCCTGTCACGACGACAGCTGAGGCTTCTCAGCCCAGTCCTGTCAGTCTCAGAAGCTTCGGGGACTCGGACGCTGTTTCACCAAATGGCGCCACGACAGCAACCGCTCATGAGCACACTCGCGATCCCCAGATGGTCGCCGAACCTGCAGAGATGTCTAGCATGGACTATCCCGAGCCCGCACGTGGATACAACCCGCCCACAAACGCTCATTCTTCACACAAATCATTCACATACCCTGGTCCAGCATCCGTAACAGCAGAGGCGGCCTCAGAAGGTCAGTCGAGAGCCTCTCCATCGACCAAACGGCACAAGTGCCCGTATTGTGCGACGGACTTCACACGTCACCACAACCTCAAAAGTCATTTGCTTACGCACAGCCAAGAGAAACCATACGTTTGTCAGACTTGTCAATCACGCTTCAGAAGGTTGCACGACCTTAAACGCCACTCTAAGTTGCACACAGGCGAGAGGCCGCACATCTGCGACAAATGTGGCAGGCGGTTTGCCCGCGGTGACGCTCTGGCTCGGCATAACAAAGGTCCTGGGGGCTGCGCTGGCCGCCGCTCTAGCTTTGGAGGGGATGACGATAGCAGATTAGGCGATGAGGGAATGGATGGCATGGAGTACAATGATCATGGCGACAACGGCCATGACCTAGACGATGAAGACGAAGACCATCGCAGAGGTAGTGAGCCGAGTCGCAAGCGTGCTCATATCGAAGACTCGCACGACTCAAACAGGTCCATCTACCGCCAACGCTCAAGTACTTACCCACCGCCTCTAGCCAGTCGCACCCACAGAGGCAATATGGGTCCTCCAAACCATCACATCCTGCCGTCATCCAGCTCTGTGACGTCTCCTGGCGAGCTTTCTAACGTCAACTCCACAAGCAGTGTGGGGATGAATCCATATGGGGCACCTCCTACAGTTGTGCTTGGCGAAGGAGGCATCTCTCATTCACCCAAACCGCTGTCACCCAATCAACAAGACCAACACCGTCTCAGCATAGCCGAGACCACTAATGCTTTGCGGAACAGATCGCCTAGCTTGACACAAATCCAACAAGCGCACCACGCTCGAGGTGGTCAGGCTACACCACCTGCTCCTCATCAAATGGCACAACACAATCAGCTGCCTTCGTTAGCAGGACTGGCTTCCGGTCATACAATGAGACTGCCCATACAATCTGCTACACACAACTCAATGCACAACAACATGCAATCTGGACCCATGCATGGATCAAACCCTGGCAGTTTGTCGAGCCATGGCCACAGCTCAGGCGGCAGCACACGGGAGATCATTGGTGACAACATAAATGACGTCTGGAACTACGTCAGGAACCTAGAGCAACGATTTTCTCGCATGCAAGATGAATACGAATTGCGCATATCACGTCTTCAGGAAGACTTGATAGCTATCAAGGGGCACCTCAGCTACCAACAGCCACGCTGAAGAGTAACACAACTCCCGAAACACGACCAACGACAAACAATGTGTCCTTAACGAACCTGGACTAGGATGACTCGACAACGTCGACGTTTGTTCAAGCACATCTTTAGTTTTTCTCTTCTTTTCTTCTTTTCTTCTTTTTGTCTTCTTATACCCGAGCACGTCCTTTGGGACGTGATGTTCTTCCTGTTGTAGGTGGTGGAGCGGGCGTCGCTTTGAGATACGGGCATTTGCAGGCTTGTAGCGTGGTCACTGTTGGATTCATATGCGCGAGGTATGAAGCGGCTCATTTGTTCGAGTTGCTCAAAAGCGTCAGACCATTTGTCACTTCTTGCTTCCATTCGCTTGCTCTTCTTGTTTCGGTACGACTTGTCATTTGACCATAGAGCTTTTTAGCATCAATAGGGCAAATTGACATTGTTGGTCACGAAATTAGCTGTAGATCCATCAAAATGTCACTCGTTTGCTGCCGCTTGCATTCCATTTGACTACCATCAAGCTGGTAAACAACATTCCATATGAATCTGCACAACAACAGCTCAGAAGCACAAACAACTGGAAAAGCATTTCTTGCCAATAACTTCAAAAACTTGTGAGCGCGCAGCCTCACCATATCGTTCACGGGCAGAGATGGGCTTCTTCAACAGAAGAAAGGTCGACGGCGAGTCTGGCGCAGATGCAACAAATAACGACATTACAACTTCTAAGACAGGAATCAGCAGACTTGGTAGAAAGCGCAAACCTATCGATGGGCCGTCATCTCGCTCAAGCACAAGTAGATTGGGCATCTTGAAGATAATGCGTCTTGTGCAGCTACTAGTGGCCATCTTGATCCTCGGACTTGTCGCCTATGCTGTCAATGTTTTCTCGTCCACTTTCGTGAGTTATGACCTGAGTGAGCGTGCGTATGGACAGCTCAACTAATACAATACCATAGTTACAATCTGCATACATACCTGCGTTGGTGGCAGCTATTCTGACTATCCTAACTACCATTCCTCTGGTTCTCCTGCCACGTTTGCCAGGTCTCTTTGCGCATCCGCTCTCTGCTGGGCTGGTCGACTTGTTCTTTACGCTGTTCTGGCTAGCCATCATGGCTGAGCTTGCTGCTTACAGCGATGTGGCAGCACCTAGGGACTATACATACTACACAGGCGGCCTTGGCCAGCAGACAGATGGTAATGCTGCTTATGCGATCTACAGCGGCGCGATCCATAGACTCAAGACGGCATGGGCATGTGGAGCTGCTGCTGCTGCATTTGCTGGGCTAGAGTTGTGAGTGGTCTGACCCATTGACTACTTAATGGTTGCTGATGTGCAGTAGTGTTTTGTTCCTTGTCAGTGCCCTGCTGCCTCTGCGTGGACGGCCTGTTGGGCCTGTTACAGGAACCGATAGTGCTGGAGTGCCTACCAACTATCATGGCTCCGCCGCACACAGTGGCAATGAGCCACCGTTCGAGATGCAAACAAGGAATGCTGGCCACACTCCGGGTCCGACCACGGTGAATGGCTTCAACAGTACAGGTGGACAAGTCCTCGATGGCAATAGTACAAACATGGTCAGGAATGTCAACGGAACCACATCTGTGCTGACTCCTCCTGCTCCTCCTGGACAGCATAAGAGCATGCTTGAGGTGGGAGACAGGGAGAACATGATCTGAGAGCAACAACGGTCTGATGTTGGTCAGCAATTGGAGCAAGACTTGTGAGTGGGGGTCAAGCTGCCAGGCACAGAAGTTATGCAGGGGTTGTCACAGATTATGCAAAAAGTGAGCTGAGACGTGGGGAAATTAGAGTTAATTGCAATGCGCGTGCTCTCATTCGTTGAGAGTCAATATCCAAATAATAAAGTGACGGAGTGCAGCTCCTTTGTCTTGATGCCATGGAACATGTTGGTGGATTATGAACAATGACAGCCGGTGACAGAAGCCTCGAAGTGCGCAATGGCGCAAAGCACTCAGTAACAATGGCCAACGGCAACTCTGATGGATCCAATGGTGTGCATTCGACCAGCAGCGACGAAGACTTGACGAGTCGCGATTCTCGTCCAGCATACAGGCGGAAGATGTCGACACCATTGGCTCCTGCCTTTATGGTCTCGGCCCCTGGGAAGGTCATTGTTTACGGCGAACATGCTGTCGTTCACGGAAAGGTAGCTCTCTTGCGACAATCTCAATGCGATCAATACACGACTGACCCCCTGAACAGGCTGCTATGGCTGCTGCCATCTCTCTTCGTTCCTACATGCTCGTTACCACTCTCTCCAAGTCACGTCGTACCATCACCTTGCGCTTCCGCGACATTGACCTTGACCACACCTGGGACATTGACTCGCTCCCATGGGATGCCTTCTCTCATCCCGATCGCAAGAAGCGCTACTACGATGTCGTTACGCAACTCGACCCAGTCCTTGTCGACGCTATGAAACCTCACATTTCCAAAGTTTCTCCCAATATCCCACTTCATGAGCAAAAGATACATCAAGCCGCAGCATCCTCCTTCCTCTATCTCTTCCTTTCACTCGGCAACAAGGCTTCGCCTGCCACCATTTACACTTTACGTTCTACGATACCCATCGGCGCCGGTCTCGGTTCCAGCGCCAGCATTTCTGTTTGCATTGCTACTTCCCTTTTACTACAGGCTCGCGCTCTTTCTGGCCCTCACCCCGATCAGATGCCCGAAGAGGCCGAGAAACAAATAGAGAGGATCAATCAGTGGTCCTTTGTGGGTGAGATGCTCATCCACGGCAACCCTTCTGGAGTGGACAATACGGTTGCCTCAGGAGGCAAGGCTGTGCTTTTCAAGCGCGCAGACTACGCAAAACCTCCGCTAGTACTACCGCTACGAAACTTCCCAGAGCTACCGCTACTTCTAGTAGACACGAAACAACCAAAGAGTACTGCTGCAGAGGTCGCAAAGGTGGCACGTTTGAAGAAGACACAACCTAAGATTGCCAACCATATTCTGGACGCTATAGACAATGTCACCGAGTCCGCGCATGCTTTAATCACTAGCCCGGACTTCGATCCCAAGGATCCTTCAGCGCTCACTCAGCTTGGCGAATTGGTCTCGATAAATCATGGTCTTCTGGTCAGTCTGGGGGTCTCACATCCCAAGCTTGAGCGTCTGCGCCAGCTCGTAGACACAGCAGGAGCTGGATGGACCAAGCTCACCGGTGCAGGCGGAGGCGGCTGTGCCTTTACTCTTCTTAAGCCAGATTTACCTGCAGTCGGCGAAGAAATGCCAGTAGCAGAAACGGCAAACTCACAATCAGAAATCCTAGCACGACTGGAGAAAGAACTCGAAAAGGAAGGTTTCGAGAAGTATGAGACAACGCTCGGAGGTGATGGTGTTGGTGTGTTGTGGCCTGCTGTTCTCGACAATGGAAGTGATGAACTTGGGGGCGAGGAGATTGACTCGGACAAGTTTGAAGCAGTCGAGGGCCGTGAAGGTGTCGAGAAGCTCGTCGGAGTTACAGGCGGAGTTCACGGAGGTGCACGAGAAGGCTGGAAGTTCTGGAGGATATGATTAGACACAGGAAGATTCTGTATAACCACAGCTACGGTATTCTAATGCGACCGAAAATCTAGACATTCTAGCCTCGGTTTGGAACAAAAGAATGTCGTTTCCAAGCGGACAGGTTGGATGACGGCGACTTGATATTGTTCTTTGGGTGCTGCATGCGGCCTTGGCGTTTCCCCGTGCCCGTTGTTAAACAATGACGCTTTTGATGCTTGTCCGACATTCTTAAATAATCAGTACGTCTTATCCCGACACTCTTTGGCAGCAACAACAACAACTTGCGCAGAGAAATCACAGCGATCATGGGCAAATACTCTGACGATTCAAACTGGGACGACATTGTTCCCCTGCCTCAGGATGACGGCGGCCCCAACCCTCTTGCGGCAATCGCATACACAGACGAATACTCAGAAGCAATGTCCTACCTTCGCGCCGTCATGGCCAAGAACGAGATGAGCGAGAGGGCTCTTAGTCTGACCGAGGACATCATCGATATGAACGCCGCACACTACACAGTCTGGTACGTCAGCCCTGCAACTCTTTGACCCTCAAACACCCCTCGTGGCTAACTCACAACTCACTACAGGCTCTACCGCTCCGAAATCCTCAAAGCCCTAAACTCCGACCTCGTCAAAGAACTAGACTGGCTCAACGAAACTGCCCTCTCGCACCAAAAGAACTACCAAATCTGGCATCATCGACAACTGGTCGTGGACCGCTTGGACTCGTGCAAAGGCGAAGCAGACTTTATCTCTCAGATGTTTGAGCTGGATGCAAAGAACTATCACGTGTGGAGCTATAGACAATGGCTGGTGCGCAGATTCGAGCTTTGGGATGACGGAGAGTTGGAGGCGACGGAGAAGTTGATTGAAGAGGATGTGAGGAATAATTCGGCTTGGAACCATCGGTTCTTCCTTGTGAGTGGGAGCCAGCCGAAGAAGATTGAGGATCAGGCTGTGGTGGAGAGGGAGGTTAAGTAAGTGGCTCTTCTTGTTGGACACTCAACTACACGAACTAACGTGTGATACAGATTCGCTCAAGATGCTATCCGCAAAGCACCTCAGAACCAGTCACCCTGGAACTATCTCCGTGGCATCGTCACCGCGACCAAGACGCCTATCTCTTCACAACTAGACTTCATCAATGAGTTCGCGACCGTAGACTCTGAGAATGAGGACGCTGTCAAATCTAGCCATGCACTTGACTTGCTGGCTGAGATTTATGCTGCCGAGAAGGAGCAGAATGATAAGGCTGTCAAGGCATATGATCTGTTGGCTAGCAAATATGATCCTATCAGAGCCAACTACTGGGCTTATTTGAAGGATCAGTTGAGTCAAGGACAGGTTGCTGCTTAGATGTCAGGTACGCAGCATGACAGATGGATGAATTTGATTCTTGCAGGACTTTTGCATAGGTAGTGGATTTTTCGTTTTTCAATTCATGATACCCAGCAGGGCGTTTTCTCTATCATCAGTCTATCTGCGTTGGTTGTATTCTCGACTGACGTGACTCTCCACGGGCCCGTCGTGGTATGAGCATTTGCTTCGATCTTACTGGCCTAGCCCTGCATCAACATGCGCCGAGTCTTTCTTATACTGAGAGACCATATCGATGGTGACATTGCTGCCACCACACACGATCATAACAACCTTGTCGTCCTTGGAGACTTCCCTCTGCAGAGCCTTCTTCAAGCGATCTCCATAGCATAATGCCACTGTGACACCACACGCCAGTTCAACCAACAATCTTTCTTCCTCTGCTAACCTCCACGTACCCATCATCGCCTCCTCATCACTCAAGATCAGAGTCTGAACCTGCTCGCTCGACATTGCCAAGTCGAATGTCTTTGTCGAAACCTTTTTGGCGCCTAGACAGGTGGCTTGCGATGTGATTGCCGGTAGCGTGATATGAGACTTCTGTCTCACACTTTCAGCCAACGAGTCTGTGCCTTTAGTCTCCACGGCGAGAACTCTAGTGCTTTTCCAGTCATGGCGGTCAAGACCTTCCATCACACCATTAAAGAGACCTCCTCCTCCCACACTACACGCCAACACTTCTGGCACTGCATTTTCCTCGCCTGTCAACTCACAGAGTTGCTCTGCAATCTCATCGATCATCGAAGAATGCCCTTTCCAGATTTTAGGGTGATCGAAGGGAGGAACATAGATACATTCTACCCCTTTTTCCGTTGCAGAGGCTATGATGCTGTTGCGTAGGTGATCATCTGCTTCTTGCCAACTTGCTCCATATTGAAGTACAGACGTTGCCCCTGCAGCGCGGATCTTCTCCATCATCATTGGTTTGGTGGTTAGAGGGACTACCACCGTACAAGGACGGTCTAACTTAGAGGCACTGTGGACAGCAGCTAAGCCCGCGTTTCCTCCTGACGAGCAGTAGAAGTGTATATTATGGGGGTTGGGAGATGAAGAGAGGGCCGCTTGCATCAAGTGGCCTATTCCTCGGGCCTTAAAAGAGCCGGAGAGTTGGAGGTTTTCGAGTTTGAGGAAGATTCTGCTGTTGGTTTTGTCAGAGGGTTGTGAAGTGGTGGATGGGTTGAAGGGGCACCAACCAGCCTGCTGCTTTGGAGAGTGTGCTTGATTCGATTAGAGGTGTTTCCACCCAAGGGTTCTTGGGTTTCGAAAAATCCATGTTTCAGCCGGTCTCTTGAAGGTATAAGCTGTGTATCGAAGACTGGAGTGGGTTGATGAGGATATAGAGCAAAAGAAGTGTCGTTGAGGAAGCCTCGGCTAAATGCGATATGCTTGTCAAAAGAAGGGCGGATAAGGACTGACTCAACCTCAACTGGAGGTCTGTTGATCAGACGGCTCTAAGTGTAGGCTATCCCATAGACGAAGCATAGAGATGTCTATTCATAGTCTTGTACACTTAGATGGTTGCTGTTACGAGTCTATCTATCTATCCATGGTCTTGAAAAGGGCGAGTACCAAGCAGTTTGATGCACATCAGGGTCTTTGCAAGCTTAATTAGAGTCATGAGGCAATTTATATATTCTGAGCTGTAAAACTACTGCATTAACAATTATTGTTCACTGTCGTCCTTTTCAGAGTTCATCTTGTTGTCAAGCTGTGCTGATGCTGATCATCTGTATCGAGTAGAATGTTCCATGGTTGGTTGAGAAGGCGTCATAAGCTCTCGGCTGCTGGACGCCCAAGGCCCCAGTGACCCGTTTCAGGACGTTCTACCCCTCCACAAGTCGTTGCTACAACAAACTCTCCTTTGTTTCGTCTCTCCTGACCAGTCAGATCACGCACACAATACTCGAACAATCCCATGGCCGCCTCATCCACATCCATCCCGCGATTCCTTCTGCCTAGGCTGTCATGGTCTACCCAGGCCCTGGCTCCGTTTCATGCCGCCTCCCGCACATACGCCTCAACGCTACCGTCAGCCTCAATGAACTACACCACACGAGCACTTTCAAGAGCACAGCACTTTCCTTCTGCCGGTCGCATCGCATACGGGCAAACAGTTGTGCAGCAAAGAAGACAGTTCTCGGCCACCCCCCAGCGCAACAGAGACCACCACTTTGACACACTCAAGTTTGTGCAAAGGCTGAAAGATGAGGGCTTCACCGAGGAACAGGCAGTTGCCATGATGAAAGTCCTGAGTGATGTCGTTGAAGAGAGGTATATCACAATCCAAGGCTACTTTGGAACAAACCCAAGCTGAACTGGCAATCTATCACAGTATCCAAAACCTCACGCGGACAATGGTACTTCGTGAAGACCAAGAGAAGGCCACATACACGCAAAAGGTCGACTTTGCCAAACTTCGCTCAGAGTTGCTCTCAGCCGACTCGACAGAGTCATCCTTGACGCGCGCCTCACACGAACGTCTGACCAACGACCTGGCCAAACTGAACTCAAGGCTACGTGACGAAGTTCAGCGTACACAAGCATCAGTGAGACTGGATCTCAACCTGGAGAAGGGCAGAATCAGAGAAGAAGCAAACTCGCAGGATCTCAAGATCAAGGAGACCGAGACCAGGATTGAACAGGAAGCGGCAGCACTAAGAGAGCGCCTTGAACAAGTCAAGTTCTCGACTCTGCAATGGTTGATGTACGTTTCATCTCCGAACGGACCGACACGCACGGCAGATAGGGTCTTTGCTAACATGGGGATTCTAGGGGTGTAACGACGGGTACTGCCGCCATTATCCTTGGTGTGTGGCGTTTACTCATGTAGAGGCGTGAAGAGTGAGAAGTGGTTCTCTTTTGTTTCATTTGTTTATCCCACGTCATTGACGGGGACATGATATTCCCGGGGTGTCGAACAGGACAGTCTTTACTTTTTCACACATTTTTTCCTATGTCATTATTGAGGAGGGGTAAGGGGCGTTTGGAGAGAACATGGTCGGAAATAAGGATGGGAAATTGAGGCCATTTGGGTAGACAGTCGTGGTGGTTCTCGAGATTATCAGTATACCCATCTAGAGAGTGCCATGATGTAGATAGGGGCTAGGAATAGAAAGGGCTGGAGATTTCAGCTGACAGGCTCGTGAACGCACAAGGGTCTCATGAATGGTGAAGTGAGAGTGTTTATTCTCGGCGAGTCCTTTGTAATTTTAATGATGATGAGGGGCTTTGTCGCTCAGGGCAGGTTTGCTAGTTGGAACCTGGTGCAGCTAGTTCAGGGTCGCAATGTCCACGTGACTGACCAAAGCGCCGCGATTGTGGCCCGCTGCGGCGCCTTGGACTTCTAAACAAGCAGCTTCAACCTTTCTCACAGACACATCCTCCTCCGCCGCTCAACTCTCTCACCGCCTCAATCTCACCTCCATCCACTCCCATCCCACTCACAATCAACAATGGCCACTGAAGTAAGTCGCGTGTCCTGTTGCCTCTACCACCAAGCCCAGCAGCAACCAAAGCCCCAGCAAAACCGCTTGACCCCCTCATTCGGGCCCGCAACCCGATGCGTCAACTGATAGACAGATCGCTGACTTTTTTCTACCATTACAGCGTGAAAGGTATCCAACCACTCGAACAAGCGACCAAGGTCCATCAGACATCTAACATACAAGCAGCAAGACCTTCCTCGCCAGACTGTGCGAGCAGGCTGAGCGTTACGATGGTATGTTGACATCGAACATCTACAGATCGTCTGTTCGAATGCTAACTACAATGAACAGAGATGGTTACCTACATGAAGGTTCGCACTTGCACCACCTTTCTCACCAACTCTGCCTTGCTAACCATCAATTCGCCATAACAGGAAGTCGCCAAGGTAATTCCAACTCGGTCTAGACGTCGACTCCCTCAGCCGCTAACAACAACAACCAGATCGGTGGTGAACTCACTGTTGACGAGCGTAACCTCCTCTCCGTCGCCTACAAGAACGTTGTCGGTACCAGACGTGCCTCGTGGCGCATCATCTCCTCGATCGAGCAAAAGGAGGAGCAGAAGGGTTCCGACAAGCACGTTACCATCATCCGCGACTACCGCCAGAAGATCGAGACCGAGCTCGAGAAGGTCTGCCAGGATGTTCTTGATGTCCTTGACGACTCCTTGATCCCTAAGGCCGAGTCTGGCGAGAGCAAGGTCTTCTACCACAAGATGTGTGTTGACATTACATCATTGATTTTTCGTCATTTCTCTGACAACCACCTAGGAAGGGTGACTACCACCGTTACCTCGCCGAGTTCGCCTCTGGCGACAAGCGCAAGACTGCTGCCACTGCTGCCCACGAGGCCTACAAGGTATGTGCTCGTCCAACCATGTCGCTGCCTTGAGTTAGACTAATCAAACCTTTCCCAGAGCGCTACCGACGTCGCCCAGACTGAGCTTACCCCTACCCACCCCATCCGCCTCGGTCTTGCCCTCAACTTCTCCGTCTTCTACTACGAGATCCTGAACTCCCCCGACCGCGCATGCCACCTCGCCAAGCAGGCCTTCGACGACGCCATCGCCGAGCTCGACTCGCTCTCAGAGGAGTCTTACCGCGACAGCACCCTCATCATGCAGCTCCTCCGTGACAACCTTACCCTCTGGACCTCGTCCGACGGTAACGAGCCAGAGCCCGCTGCCGCCTCCGAGGCCCCCAAGGCTGAGGAGTCCAAGACCGCCGAGTCTGCCGAGGAGCCCAAGGCCGAGGCCTCGTAAAGAGACGACTCGAGTATCACGAAATCCACTTGACCATTTCACGTCTTTTTTCGCACAGACGCCCTCTGGCTTGGAGCGCGCCGTCTGGTCTGGAGCACTACTGAGCGTCGAAATGAATTGATTCCCCAAAATGCGTTGCAGCTTGACGAATACACTAGCCGATTTGACATTTTTTCTTTCTCATCCCTTAACTCTCCACAAAAACCTCTCTGTTCATTTTGGCTCACTCAGTAATCTCGTGCTCCTCGCCATGATGACCGTCATCCCTCTTGACTGCGCTGAAATACCCCTTTGGTTGTTTTTACTGTATTTCCTTTACGTCATTCCTTATACCTCGCTCAACGAAGCGCCAAATCAACATTTCAAACAGAATTTGATGTTGCTTGACTTTGTGTTTTGTAGTGCTAATGTTGCTTTGTCCGCATCGCAAGGTTATTGTTGACGTGTTGATCAGAGACCGTCGAGTTCATCTCTTATTAGCTGCCTGTCTCACTTCCAGCCTGAGATATGTTGCTGACAAAATAAGAGACACAGGATAACAAATTTCTACATCAAAAGAAGCGTGGTTGACACAGCATTGATAGGACCACTGTACAGAAAAGAATGTGCCACACGCCTCTCTCATACGAATTGACCAGAGCAAGGAGACAGCCGTAGCCGAACTCATGATTGGCGATCAGTGAGAACTAGCACCTCTCTGAACTTTAACAAAGCTGACGAAGACTTCTTTGTGTTTTCGCTATTCAAGCTTGCAAAGGAGAAGAAAGAACATGCAGGCATTGTCTGCAGCGATACAATGAATCGCTTTGTCCTTTGCCTCCTTTGAGCTTCTCGCCTATAACATTGACGTCCATCCTAACTGTCCGACCTGCTTGCTCACCACCACTTGACTCTAGTACCGGACTGCTGGTTGTTTAGCTCGGACTGAACCTTGCTTTTTTGACTTACGTTCTTGCGATTCATCTCTCCTCAGGATAGGAAAGAGTATTCAGTGTCTAGAAAGTCACGAGCAAGTCCAGTCCACTCTTTGTCTTCTCAACAACACTTTCGACTTCTGGTGAGTTGTTTTGATCCCTCACAAGCAACATTAATCGCAGATTTATAACAACCATGCGTTCCCACCTTCGTCTTGACCTCCCAACCCTTTCAGACCTCAACCTCAACCTCAACCTCGTCATCTCGCTCCTCTAGCACCGCCACCACTCTCTCTTCCACCTCTTCCACCTCTTCCACCTCTTCCACCTCTTCCACCTCTTCCACCTCTTCCACCTCTTCCACTTCCACCACTTCCACCACCATCGCCAAACCTGAACTCGTATGTCCCCCCTCCCCCATCACTGCTATCATTCTATCGTCTTGGTATAGATACGACTGGGCAAATAGCAGCGATGCACTTACCGATTGGCTCAATGCTAGATGGAAGAAAAGTGGCTGTGTGATTGATAGAAGGGTTGTGCATTTTTTGATCAAGATGGATGGGGTTAGGGATGTAGAGATGGGGTTGGGAGATTTGATGGGAGGGGCTTTTGTGAGGTCTTTGAGGGTTGTTGGGGAGTAGGCGCTTTGGGTTGGTGGGCGGGTGGATGATTTTGGTGTGCCCTTGCTTGATGCAAAGCCTTTGATAGAGTAGTCAGGTAGGTGTTTTGTGGTGGTTCTTGTTGTCAGTAATGTAGTTGACTTAACGGCAGCATTTCTGTACATCTCTCCTTTACCCACAATCAACTGACTTTTTTGACTTGCTATCTAAACCGTGATTTGTGTGTCTTCTAATCGTGTCCGTGGGTGAGATAGAGTCGATCCCTGAACTGCCATGCGGAGTCCCTCGTCTCTGTCGAACATCGTCATCTTTGCCTTGTAATCATTGATGACGAAGAAGAAGAAGAAGCAGTTTATGCCACTTTGTTTTGAGTAGAGTAAATGGTGAAGGAATGGGCAGAGCAGTGGAAGGTAGGCTTGTCCATCGCTCTTGCTCCTTCATCTGATTGGAATGCTGCTTCCCTCGTTCAAAGCACCCAGTCTTGCTATTTGTTAATAGTCACAAAGATTGGAGATGTAAGCATGAAAGATTATGTTGTATATTGTGTTCTTCCAGAGTGGATATCGTACATGCTACAAGAAAAGTATCGATTGAGTGGAAATGGTTGCCTCAGTATGTCTCTCTGCCTCTTCTGTACGAAAACAGATTCAAACGACTCATCCAGCCATCATTTCAATCTTCTTGCCTTTGACAGACTTCCACTCCACAGCCAAAGACCCCACGATAGAAAGCGTGGCAAGCGCAACAGCAACATAAAAAGCATTCGTCAAGGCATCGTTGTAAGCGTGAAGCACTCCATCACGATACTGTACACTAATGGCATTCTTGAGATTCGTAGCGCCAGTCTGCAGCACAATCGCCGGATCTAGATCGGGCACAGCGGCTTTGAGACCAGAAACAAGTTTGTTGGTAAACACGTTTTGGCCGACGGAGATGAAGAGGGCGCCGCCTAGGGTTTGGAAGAACATGACAATGGCAGTGCCGGTGGGGATGTCAGCGGCGGGAAGGACGGTTTGTACGGCGATGAGGGTTTGTTGCATGCCCATGCCGACGCCGATGCCGAAGAGGGCTTGGTAGCCTATTCACTTTGCATGGCCTGTGGTGGTCGTGAAGGTAGTCAAGAGGCCTGCACCAATGGCCATGAATACTGATGAAGTAATCATGAAAGGTGTATAGTAGCCAAACGTGGTGACCAGTCCTCCGGCGATGATTGAGATAATCACCACGCCAAGGATCATGGGCAAAGACATGATTCCAGATTTAGTGGCGGAGACGCCCTTGATGGCTTGGAACCAGATAGGCAGGTAGTATACAAACAAAAAGAATGCAGCGCCGAGAGCCACACCATACCAGGCGCTGGCTGCAACAGAACGCTGCTTCATGACACGGATTGGGATGGTGGCCTTATCTCCGACGTAGAACTGAACAGTGATGAAGATGGCACAGAGGACGCCAAAGACCACAAAGAGGGCAATGATGCGACCGTTGCTCCAAGCATATGTACTACCACCCCATTGGAGGGCTAGCAAGAGACAGATGATCATGGGCAAGAAGACGACAGTGCCAGCGGGATCAAAGTCCATAAGACGGTTCTTCCAGCCAACGGAGAGCTTCTTTGCGCTCTTGGTAGGGTTGAAGAAGAAGACGATGAAAATGCCAGTGACAGCGCCAAAGGGTAGATTGATGTAGAAACACCAACGCCAAGTGAGGTGGTCAGTGAAAGCACCGCCCATCAATGGACCTGCTACACTAGCGAGACCGTACATGGCACCAATGAGACCAGTGTATGTTGGTCTTGATCGAAGAGGTACGGAGTTTGCGACGATCAGGATGGCTCCCGAGAACAGACCAGCAGAGCCGACGCCAGCGATGGCGCGCCCAACAATGAGTGCTGTCGAACTTGGAGCGATACCACAAAGGAAAGAGCCAAGCTCAAAAATGAACAGCGCCGTGAGGAAGACCCATTTCAAGCTCAAGAACGAGTAGAGCTTGCCGAAGAATAGTTGGAAGGAACATGTCGTAAGAAGGTAAGCTGATCCGTACCAAGCGATGTCGTCAATTGCCTTGAAGTGATCTGTGATCTTGGGAATTGCGGTTGCGATGATCGTATTGTCCAGAGCCATACAGAACACCGCTAAGCACAAAGCAATGGTGATGAGGGTGAGCTTGAAAGTAGTAGGATATTGGACATCGGGATCTTCTCCGTCGTTCTGTGTTGCATCGGATTCAACTCCTGCTACTGCCTTCTCGTCGCCAGAGATGACAGATGCGGCGCGAACCTGTGCCTCGTCGAGCTTTTCGGAGGATTGAAGCTCGTCGGGTGAGGTAGCGTCCAATGAGTCTGGACGACTAGATTCCTTGCTCTTTCTGTCAAAGAAGCCCATGTCGAGGATTCGGCTGGAGATTTTCGGTCCTCGACGAATGTTGTGTCTGATGTATAGCAAGGTGGGACAAGGGTTGCAACGACTTACTCAGGCGAGGAATAGAAGCTCTTTTCTACATGCAAGCCCTAGTAGTTACATATACCTGCGGCGGAATACATAAGGAGTCACCGAATAGACTCACCGACGGCCAAATACGGACGGGAGACGAAAACACGGCTGCCTGCTGGTTAGCAAACGCCTCAATCCTTAGCTGAGGTATAACGACATCGTGTTAGGGCATTTTGACAGCGACCAGAGCCGACACTCAACCCGTTTCGTGCTCAAAGACGCCACCGGGTTTTGATTTCCACCGCACCCATCCCTTTGCCAAGATTCTGAACATTACTTTTTGTTTTATAATCGGATCATTCCCGTGGTCGTTGTTGTCTTGAACAAAGGGAGGATTTGTCGATCGGGGGTGGAGGATCTTTGCTCCTTCTCCGATTGAAACCATGGCTTGCCGTGGTGATCGAAGCAAGCCACCAAATTTGAACTCACTTATAAGTGATCGTATTCTTCGACCTTCAATCCTTTACCTCAATAGAACTCATCTACAGTATACCACAGAGCAGATCGCACAGATTGAAGCTAGAAATTACGTGAGCATGTCGTTGCTGGTGGTCCTATTTCTCCGCAATGCGGCCCCATTCTTTGTGGGTCCAAGCAGTTACAATAGCATTATCTGTTTTCGGCAAGAGTGACCTTCAACTTGCGAGAATATGTCGGGCGAAGTCGTGTTTCATAAGCAATTGAACATGAGGACTCAAGTACACCGTGTTCATTGGCAGCTCGCGATATCTTTTGAAGCAAGGCTTCGGAACGTACTTTGATCCAAGCCTTGCGTTGCCTCTGGACCGACACATGACAGGCCAATGTATATGAGGTAGAGTCTTCGTTCCTGCTCACCAAACTGTTCATAAAAGACGTAGATTGCTTTACACAGGTGCACTACGAATCATTGGTTCTTCCGAGCAGCTTTTTGGAACACAAATGGATCATGACTTCTGGTGGTCAGAAATACCGTGGTGGTGTCAATCAGTGCAGAGACGTTGCTGGGTACGAGGAAGACATGCAGAGCCGATACGATGGTCATCTTGCTGCTTGTTGCTTTGCTTGGCCTTATGATCATAATCGTACGAGGAAATACATTATCTTCTCACGCCACGTCTCCGAGATGCAGTGTCAGCGACTCAAATGCCCACGTTATCCCATCAAAGACAAATCACGGTTCCAGGAAACCGAATGGTGGCTGGTAATTGATGATGTTTGTATGGAAAATCTAGAGATTGATGCCAAGTCGACCGCACTACAATGGAATTGACGCGCGACTGGTTCGTGCAAGAATGTGGAAAACTATCCGACTGTATGGCCGCGTCACGAAACAACGTACCTATCGAGGAAATCTTGGATACTGTGAAAGTATCCTGCCTCTGCGACTGTGTTATTGTGATCGCCGTAAGGAAACTCCTTCCAGATCTTCGGCTCTGAGCGACAGATGTCGAACAGTCTTTTCATGTGCGTTGGCCTGTCCTAGGTCAGCGTCACACCCCAAAAGCTGTAAGATCGACACATACGGTACGATCTCATCTTGAAGCCCGCTCAAGAACAGGATGGGCGTGTTGGTGAGCTGTGGAAGCATCTCTTCACTAGGCCATACTTGATGACAGAGTGGTGTCAAGTACTTGGCTGCGGGGATCACGCTGCAAACTGTCAGTCGGTTCCTCTACACAACAGACGGCGAATTTCTACCTCGGAATCATCTTCTTGATGCTCAGAAAAGTGTTCTCCAGTATCAAGCCAGCAATGTCACCCCGATCTTTATTCTTGACAGCAAGTCCAATGCTGACAGCACCTCCTAGACTTTGGCCGTAAATGACAATCTTGGTCTTCTTGAGATCATCTCGACTTCGAATGTAGTCAAGTCCAGTTTGCGAGTCGATAGCAATGCCTTTTTCGTTGGGGTTGCCAGTGGATAAGCCATAGCCTCGATACTGAAGCATCAAGACATTGCAATACATTTCGTTCGCCAAAATCTTAGCAATGGGAAGGCGATGGCCAATGTTTCCAGCATTTCCGTGGAACATCAAGAGAGTCACATTCTTTGCTTTGCTAGCATTCCCTGGCTTGACGAGAAATACACTCAGTGTTTCACCGTCTGGTGTAGGCAGACTAAGTTCTTCGGCGTCGAGTCCAAGCTGAGATGGCCTTGGGACGTCGGTGCGAGCATTTGGAGGGATGTTTCGAGGATAGATCAACTCACTCGGTAGAATTAGAAAGTGGATATCAAGTAGAAGTAGTAGACATACTTCTGGTAGTAGAAGAGGCCACTACTGAGAACCATTCCCAGACCAGAAGCAAACAGAAAGGGTATGCGAAGATAATCCCACAGCATCGAGGCCATATCTCCGGATGCTTCTGAAAAACGGCGGGATTGTGAGATGGATCGCTTGCTTATAGCAGGTCGTGCAGGAACATCAGATCTGGTTGAAAGTGAGTCGAAGTTGAATTTGAAATTACGTGGCAGGTATTGCGAGAAGCGGCCGGGTGTTATCATAGGTAGGTTGCGAGGAAAGTAACGAGTGACTGCGCATATACCTACCTATTCTTATGGGTCGGAAGCTGCTCAGGGGGATGGTGATTGGTGGTGGCTGTTGGTGACGCCGAAAGCTTGGCGCTTTCTGGCTGTCCGCCGACCGGCGTACATCATTGATGGTTTGCCTGGAGCTGTCTGCAACATCCGGTTTGCATCTCACTTTCCAACACAACACTCGCGCTTTTCCATCTGCACTCTTCTAGGCTCTCCAGAGATCTCATACCGCATAATCAAAACATACACATATACACGATGATCGGACAAGCAACGGGCATGCTCGGCGAGGGTAGGTTGCCTCCGAAGAATAGCTGTACTACGAGCTTACACATGTAAAGATGGCATCCACATCGATATGAACCACCTCAAGAAGGGAGAGGTCAAGTGAGTGCTGCTTGCGTCTGGCTGAGAGCTTGATAGATAGCTAACACAAGACAAACAGCCTCGGAACCTCCATGTACGTCGAACCATCTCCAAGCGCACGCCTCTTACTATACTGAACCGTCTCCAGCATGGCCATCAACTTTAAGGATGGTGTTATCCTCGGCGCAGACAGCAGAACCACAACCGGTGCCTACATCGCCAACCGTGTTACCGACAAGCTCACCCAAGTACACGACACAATCTGGTGCTGCAGATCTGGCTCCGCCGCAGACACCCAAGCAGTTGCCGACATCGTCCAATACCACCTGAACATGTACGGCATCAACAACAACGAGCCTCCCACCACACAAACCGCCGCCGCTATCTTCCAAGAGCTGTGCTATGACAACAAGGATATGCTGAGGTATGTTTCGCGTTGCGCTGCTGTGTCTATCTGGCACTAATGATGTGCGCAGTGCTGGTATCATCATTGCAGGATGGGATCGCAGACATGGTGGCCAAGTCTACTCAATACCGTTGGGCGGTTCCCTTCACAAGCAGGCTTACGCAATTGCTGGTTCTGGTTCGACATACATTTACGGCTACTGCGACGCCAACTGGAAGGAAGGCATGACCGAGGAAGAGGGTATCGAATTCGTCAAGGGATCACTGAGAGAGGCTATCAAGTGGGATGGAAGCTCAGGCGGTGTGATTCGCATGGTCGTCCTCACCGCGAAGGGTGCTCAGAGACATCTCTACTTGCCCGACAATGGCTACACCGGTCCTGGTACCAAGTGAGAGGTTCGCAGCGAAGGCGAACCATACAGCGACACTTTTTGCTCTTGATGCCGCAGCTTGAATGCAGCGGAGCAAGTGGTCCGGGCAGCTAGATGCTAGCGCGCATTTGGCTTCCCACCCATCTCTCTCCAACATGTCACCCCTAGACATAACGGCGGATTACAACAGCAGGGATGGAGTGTGAGAAGGACAAGAAGCATCAGATAGAGAACACGAAATCATGTCTCATGGATGAATTGAAGACTGCTGCTTGCTTTACATAACAGCCGACCCACGTGCGGACGTGAGACGGCGCGAGTAATGCTCGGTCGCTATGCAAATCAGGGTGAATCGACCAGCGCGGAAGCTTAATTGGCGGCCGGCGTCAACGACGGGAGCCCGTCCTTGTCCCCTTCCTCTTGTACTCAGGCTCCTTCTCTTTTCTATTGACTTGATTGTCCAATCTCTCTACGTCTAGAGATAGACTTCTTCCACGCATTTCGGCGGCTTTGTTTTTGCGCGGTGGAAGATGCCTTGCATGTGTGAGTAGCCGTTACTTTCCCTCCTCTCCACCCTCACACGGTCTCGCCATACCTGTATGCAGCACCGCAGTCTTCAATCGCCCGTGACGTCGCAGCTGCAATAAGTCGGCGACGCAACAGGCGATCGATCGCCGGTTGCTTTCATCCTGCCATTGCCATCCATGCTTGCTGTATGCGCAGTAGGGATGTGACTGCTTTTTGTATCTCCCTCTGTTTGCCTTGTTGATCAAGCCTGCCCACGACCGTTTTGTTGGTCGCTGAGCTTCGCTCATACCCCAACCTCTCACGACTTTCAGCGCGCGCATCGCGGCATCCCAAACTTCCTTTCTGCCGCGCGACTAACACATGATTACAGAATTCGGAGGGCCTGTAGATTATGGGCTCGATAGCAATCGACCCTTTCACACCTCACTCTCATTCGCCTCTGCCGCCACAATCTACACGGCACACTCCAGAAACAGCCCAGACCTCGCCCGCACCACACGTTCGTCAGTCGCAGAGCACCATGTCAGCAACTGAAAGCCGAGCAAGCAGCTCGCATGCTTCGCGAATGCCAGCCGAGTCGTCAACTCCTTCATATTCAAGGCAGCGCCCCGCCTCACCCGCTTTAGAACCTGCTGCAGGCCAGCGGACTCCTCTTAATGTCGCAAATATCCCTTCCTCCCTCACTGCCGCTGCCTCTGAGTCCTCCCCCGACTCATCACCAACCCAAACCGATTCTACGCGAGATTCGACTTCGTTCTCACCCCAGCGCATCAAGGTTCGCGATTTGAGGCACATTCAGACCTTGGCAGAAAACGAGATGCATTCCTTTGCAGAAGATGGCGACAAGGTCGGCGATCAGGGTCCGCAGTACGAAATTAGTGGCATGCCCATCGAAAACATCATCGAGATGGTTGCTGGTCTCTTGACCAAAATAACAGCCACAAATGACAGGCAACACCAGCATCTGCATCACCAGATGACCCCACCAGAGGGCGGTTCGTCTTCCAACCGAATGCAGTCGAACAGCGTGCTAGCCTTCCACGGAAAGAATGTGCCCAGCATAACGATTCTGAGCTATCTTCTCCGTATCAACAAATACTGCCCTACAAGCTATGAGGTGTTCCTGAGCCTTTTGGTTTATTTCGATCGCATGATGGAGAAGGTAAATGCGGGTGCCATGCAAAACCTACGAGAGATGGATAGGCATGAGCGCGCTATAGCTTCTGAGCAAGAACTCAAGAGTCCTGCTTCTACAAAATCCATGGATGGTGCAGCGCCTGTGAGCCATGACTATGCGCAGACAGCAACACCTCCATTATCTGGTGAGCTTGAGACACAAAGTCAAGGCGCTGTACCCGGCACTCCTCATAGCAAAACTCGTCAGCCTGATTCTCCAGCAGCATCTACACTGGACACAGATACTCTTGACCTTTCACATCTTTTCGTTGTTGACAGCTTTAACATTCATCGCCTGGTTATTGCAGGTGTGACATGTGCCAGCAAATTCTTCTCTGACATTTTCTACACGAACTCGCGTTATGCCAAGGTTTGTCTTGTCGTCCTTGAAAGTGCTTTCATTTCGGCTATTAACATTTCTCACAGGTCGGTGGTCTACCACTCCCCGAGCTCAACCATCTTGAATTGCAGTTCTTACTCTTAAACGACTTTCGGCTATCCGTTCCCGTTGAAGAAATTGAAGCATACGGAACCACTTTGGTCGAATTCTATGCTCGGGAAGTTTTGGCTCAAAGAGCAGAACAAGCTGAATAGTATGCTTCATTGCTTGTCCAATTCGACAATCAGTCATCAACCCGAAACAACATCATACACACGCATCAAATACGAGGCGCGCAAGAGTGCATCGCATTCATACTCTCGCGAGCAGCTCGCTTGAGCAACTGGACTCTTTACGACGAAATGACAGCAACCTGTTTTGGCCTCTTGTTGAGGCATTTGATGAGGAAGGTATATTAGAGCGCGGTGTTGTCCTGTTTTAGAAGCCCATAGATCCAACATATCCTGACCGATCCTTTTATTTGGCATCTGACTTTCGTCCGATATCCAGTTTATTTTCAGGTCACTCTGGCTTTACTGGCGTCTGCACTTCTTTCTCGAAGAGCGTTATCAAGATTCGCAAACAATTTTATAGTTGCTACTCGAGTATGTTTGCTAGTGGTACCTCAAATCATCTTTGTTCCAGCCTTGCACGTGGTGGTTCACTTATGACATGCAACGGTTTATTTAAAGTTCATCTATGCCGATGATTGTTGAGCACAACTTCAAGCGAGGTATGGATGATTGAAAGAAGTGTCGGTAGATGCTGATTCGGTCGGTGGATAGCGGCTACATGCACAAGCCGTACGTCTAGTCATTCGACCAGCAAAAATAAGTATCAAGTATATGTTGATGTGCTGTCGAACATGGGTTCGACAGGGCTTTGTGTCCTTCGGCAAGTACTTGCCATAATCGATCACATTCAAGGGCGCATGGGCTTGAATAAGGAGACCTAAACGAGCACCAGAACAGGATGTTTCTTTGGTTGAAGGGTGGGTCTGTCCCGATGATTGGTAAAAAATGCGTCACTTGTACGATCGTTACAGGGAACCTCGCGACGTCGATGGCAGCGCCCAGCGGGCGCTTTCGGGTGCCTGTTTTTTTGCGCCGATCGTTACACTCACGAAGGGACTGGGCTGGCAAACAGGGCAAAACTGGTCGTCATGAGACTGCTGTTCTTCACAGCCTGATTGGAGACGTGGATGACGGCACCTTGTTGCAGATGATTACACAGGCTTTCTCTCGCACAGCTGTAGATATAAGCATACTTGTTGTAGTGCGACATAACGCGCGACGTGAAGGGAACCTGAAACAGACAGCCACCGCGCAGCAGCCAAGCAAGAAGTTTGGGGTTGAGCCTGCAGCGTCAAAGCTAACTACTATTTTGGCAAGCTCGACCGTCACTCTTGCATAACAGGCACGCACGTCCGTCGGCTTTGTCTACAGAAGTTTCTGGACATTGCTATTAAGTTGGGTGGAATCCTCTTCTTCCCTACAAGCATCTGCCATAATTTTGGCTAATCTCCTCACCTACAAGAACCTCTTCACCTAACTATTTCGCTGTTGTGTGAAACACTGGCCTCCTGACACAGGGTCCACGTCTAGGCTTTTGCCATCAACACACAATCCCTACCTTCCTTCACACAACACATCATGTCGACTTTCGTCGCTAGCTTGTAAGTACTGTTGTATGCGATGATTGCGTTATTGTCTCATTGCTAAACTCTTTCCAGATTCCTGCCGTATACGGTAGATTTTCATGATGAACCAGAGGCGCCCAAGAGGCCGAATCCGCAAAGGATGCACAGCCGTGCAGCCTCGGCGACTGACATGAAAGCTCTTGCAAACCAAGCAGCAAGTCTGTTCAATGGCCCTCCTGTGCCACAAACACCTGCAGAAGAGAAGCAGGACGATTTCTTTTCTAACCTGCAAAATGACCCTCGCATCAAGCCTGGTGACCCGCGTTCGCTTGCTCGTACGGAAGCAGCTCCTCCGGAATGGGGTGCTGCTGCCCAATTTTTGAACCAACCCAAATCTACAGCTGGGCCTCTTCCTTCTGGTAGCATTCTCGATTACGTCAAATCAGAAAAGAAGGATCCGGAATTACTAGCTAAATACACAGCTCAAAGAAAACGCAGACCAACCACTGGCACTTCACGCAGAGGAAGCAACGAACGCAACTTCGCTAGAAAGACCTGGACCGTAGAGCCTGCTGTTCAAGGAAACGGCGGCTTGATCAATGCCATCCGTGCTCATGACGCTATCAGATCTGAGGAAGACTTCCAGAAGATCTGGGTCGGTACTCTTGGTTTCCCTACTGACGCTCTAGTCGATTCCAAGAAGGAGGAGATTTCTGACAAACTGGCTAATGAATACGACGCTGTGACTGTCTTCCCTTCAGATCGCGATATTGATGGACATTACGCTCATTACTGCAAGACCATTCTCTGGCCAGTTTTCCACTATCAGATTCCCGATCACCCCAAGAGCAAGGCCTACGAAGACCATTCCTGGGAGTTTTACAGAAACGTCAACCAGAACTTTGCCGACAAGATCATTGGAAACTACAAGCGAGGCGATGTCATCTGGGTCCACGATTACCACCTTCTCCTGGTCCCTGGTATGATTCGCAAGAAGCTGCCTGACGCTCAGATCGGCTTCTTCCTTCACGCAGCTTTCCCCTCTTCCGAGGTCTTCAGATGTCTTTCGACTCGTAAGGAACTTCTCGAGGGCATGCTTGGGGCCAACCTTGTGGCTTTCCAAACCAAGGAATACGCACATCACTTCCTGCAGACTTGCAGTCGTCTCCTCACAGTCGAAGCTACCCCTGAGGGAGTGCAGTTGGAAGAGCGCTTTGTCAATGTCAGCCACGAACCCATCGGTGTTGATCCCGAAGGCATGGCTAAGGCCAGAGAAGAGCCCGAGGTGCAGGAATGGATCAAGGTGATTCAGGAGAGATACAAGGGCAAGCATCTAATTGTTGCACGCGACAAGCTGGACAATGTCAGAGGTGTCAGACAGAAGCTGCTTGCTTTCGAGCTGTTCCTCAACAAATATCCCGAGTGGCGTCAAAAGGTAAGCACCGTACTCATCAGAATTTGTTCCCTTATTAACACTACATCTGCAGGTTGTCCTTTTGCAAGTTGCCACATCTACCACGGAGAACAGCGAGCTCTTAGCCACAGTTTCGGACATCAACACACGTATCGACTCGGTACACTCAACACTTGCGCACCAGCCCTTGGTTTTCTTGAAGCAGGATATCTCATTCTCGCAATATGTGGCTCTGCTCACTGTTGCTGATGTCATGATGATTACTTCTCTTCGTGAAGGTATGAATCTGACTGCTCACGAGTTTATTCTGTGCCAGGATGGGGCGTCGACAGAGAAGAAGTTTGGCCCTCTAATTCTGAGTGAGTTCACTGGTAGTGCCTCAGTATTTGGAGGCAGCGAGATCTCTGTGAACCCTTGGGATTACCAACACTGTGCTGAAGCTATCAAGCTCGCTCTGGAAATGTCTCCTGAGGAGAAGGAGCGTCGCTACAAGAAGCTTTCAAGCGTTGTGCACAAGCAGACTGGAGATTACTGGGCTACCCGGTTGAACGACGCCCTCACAAAAGCCACCAAGGAACAGTTCTCCCGTGATGCAATGTCGATTCCTCGTCTGTCAGTTACTTCACTCGCACAGAAGTACAGGGACGCAGAGCGTAGAGTCTTCATCTTGGATTACGAGGGTACACTCGCGACATATGGCACAGACAAGGATGTGGTCTTGACGTCTCCTCAACGTGTTCTTGACACGCTCAATGAGCTCTTGTCTGACAAGAAGAACATCGTATACGTCATGTCAGGTCGTACACCTGAAGAGTTGCAGCGCTTGTTCCGTCAAGTCCCCAACCTCGGAATCATTGCCGAGAACGGGTGCTTCTTGCGCGAATGGGGCGCTTCTGATGATGAGTGGACTGCCTTTGCAGATGTCGAAGCAAGTGCTGCTTGGAAGAAAGACGTCAAATTAATCTTCCAGTACTACGCTGAGCGTGTCGAGGGCTCGTGGATTGAAGAACGTCACTGTTCACTTGTCTTCCACTATGAGAAGGCTGTTGACCCCGAGGCTGCTCGTGCTCAAGCTGGTGACTGCGCTAACCATATCAACGACAGCTGCCAAACTTACAGAGTCCAAGCTATTCCTACTAGCAGGGCAGTCACTGTGGAATCACTCGACTGGAGCAAGGGCTCGGCGGCCACGAGAATCTTTGAAAAGCTTCGCCACGACAATGTTGAAGGCAAGGGACGTACACCACCTGACTTCCTACTGGTAGCTGGTAACGACCGTGAGGACGAGACCATCTTCCAGTGGGCCAACGACCTTTCCGAGCAAGGCAAGATTGCCAACGTCACCACTGTCTCGGTAGGCAAGCGCAACACTCAAGCCATGACTACCATTACTCAGGGTACGACTGGTCTGATTAGCGCGCTCCAAAAGCTGTCGAACTATTCGTATGATGCTCCTGAAGGATCTGGCGGCCGTCGCCCATCTGTTCTCCTTACTACTGGTTCTTAGTTGGAGTCGTCGGCCCTGTGAGCCCTACTATACTAGGCGTCTTCTCGGAGGATTGTGGAAGATGGTCGATTTGTCTGGTGGAAGATGGGTTAAGATTGTACCATCAGTTGACTCTTTCTTTTCATTTCTGCTTTTGCTTCTTAGAGCGCTGTGTTCCTTGCATCATGTCACGATAGTAGATGAGTAGTCGCCATGAAGTCACGTCTTTCTTCGCATTGAATGTATTGTTTCGACGCAGCTTTTATGAGCTGTTGATGCATCATGTCGTTGTGTTTTTCGAATAAAGCTCCGTCTTTGCCGGATCTTCGATAAAACGTGGGGTCAACCAATTTAACCGAAGCAGACAAATTTCGAAGTCGAGTTTAGCTGATGATTTGCTGGGTCTGATCATCAGGCTCAGGTTGCAATCTGCCAGTACTGTACATGCTCAGAGAAATGACCTGTCATTGCATTTAACTACTCCCTCACGATAACTATGTAAGGTTATGTCATCCGTTCCTCAAAGATACTTTATCAGTAAGAGTCCAGTGTCAGCTGCCACGGTCTCCATCACTGATTCTACAAGATTCGGCTTTTACGACACAAGTAGTCGAGGTGAGGTCAAGAGGTCCGCAGATAGCTATAGCGTGTAGAGTAAGTAACAGTCTTATTGGAATCGAAACAAGTCACCGGAGAACTATATGTTGGGAGTAAATATCGTCGTCGAAAGTATGAGACCAGGGTGATTCCATCAGCACCAAAAACTTCAAAGTCAACGATCATGCGAGAAGCGACCCCACAAACCTGAAAATTAAAAGTCGAGTCTTCGAGTCCACAACCAACAGTGAGTCCTATCAATGAAGACAACGATAATGACCATAGATCAGCTCAATTGAACGCACGATATCAGCTCATCATTTGCGTGACAGTATATATATTTTAAAACCAAAGCATGTTACCAAGATCCTGAATCTGGCCAACCAGATTCAACCCTTACAAGCTAAGGTGATGTGGTGTAGTGGTAGCATGTGTCGTTGTGGAGGTTAAAGTCCAGCAACGCCGACCCGACGGCGGTTCGATTCCGCCCATTGCCAGGATCCAATCTTTATTTTTCGTTTTGTTCTTTTGAGTGCTTCTGCATCGAGAGGGAGGATGATGGTAGTTGATAGAAGGGGGCAGGAACGACGGTCTTTCTTTTCGTTTTACTGCGTTGAGGCGGAGGGGTTGGAATATCTCTATGGTCGTGCGCGAAACGTGGTTAAATTCAAGTGCGGTTTCATACCTGCGTCCTTGCGGCTAGATTTTGGTATACTTCTGATCGCAAGGACTCGAGAGAGTCAATAGTGCGTTTGATATGTCAGTAGTGCAGGGGGGTTACACGTCAAGGAGTGTGCAAGAGAAAACTCGAGGCATCTTCAAGACACAAACGAATGAAGGATATGCACAAACTCCTTTCAGATATGGAAATTATGGTAAATGAGTAAGAGAAAATAACGAGGGTCATGAACAGCATAAAAGGCCTTTTTAGGGAAGAAGTCACTTGCGCCTTCGCAAACATAGCGCAATTTGTTTCTCGTCTTCCACTTGTCGTCGCAAAAAGTCTAACACCCGAAACGCCTTGTATATGATGAGATGATGCTCTCCTGAAAGAGAGTTGTGGAATGCTGCTCTCCAAAACGAAAAGCGATGAGACAACAATGCAAACCGTCCCAACGATATACGACAAAAAAATAAGAACCGACAGCAAGACCTTTGAACTCCGTGTCAATGCTGAACTCTTAAGCAGGACTGATTGATTTCGATCCAGGAGGCGAGTGACTGCTGCGAGGGTTTGGACCTTGATAGATGTAAACATCGACAGCGGTTGCAGAGTCTCCATAGCCGTAGCCCGGTTCACCAGGAACGGGCAGCGAGGTCTGTGATTTCTTCTGGAAGCCTTTGGAGTGGAACAGGTCCCAGAACATTGCTTCACTTTCGTGACGGACTTTCGTTGAAAGGAGGACGACAGCCTTTGGTGAACGTTGGATGAGGCGCTCAAGCGTGTCGACCAAGGGAGGAATGCTGTCACTGTTGTAGATACATTCGGCAACGAGAATTAGGTCGAAGGTACGGGAAGCAACCTTTGCCGGCAAGGGAGCTTCCCAATCGAGAGCAGCAAAGTCGACCTTGGACGACATGGCAGGGTTAGCGGCCTCGATGTTGCGCTCGACCAGCTCGTCAACCTCAGGCAAGTCGGTAAGGAGGACATCGCAGTCGGGTACAGTCTGTGCAAGACCAATGCCAACGACACCGCAGCCGCAACCCAACTCTAGTACGTTTAGTTTCCTGTATGTGGCAGAAGACAAGACGCTTTCGAGTAAGGGGGCTTCATGGACGGATCGAAGGGCAACGACACGGTCGAGGTAGGCAGTCAGAGACAAGCTGCCGTCCCACAGATGGCGGGCAATACTCTCGCCAGTATCCTCGAAGATGTTCAAGGTACGTCCTGTTAGAGGAGTGAAGCGACGCTCGACTCGTCTGTGTGTCTCAAAGGAGCCCTTGGTAGGGTTTAGAGACTCGCTCCAGACAGAGACAATGCCTGGGAGATGACCGCGAGAAGCGTGGTCCTCGAAGCAGTCGTACATGGCAGTCTTGTTCTCTTTTGTGTGGACATGAAGTTGAGCAGGCCAGTCAATCTCGGTGCGGGTCAGGTCGAGGGTGATGTTGAGCGAACGCATGTCTTGTCGCCATTGTAGGGTTCGGCGGAGGAAGATGTCACCATCTTGGTCTGGCTGACGCAGGGTAGCTGCAAGCTGTAGGTCGTGTGGGTAGAAGGTCTCGCCCAGATCGGTGGTGAGGGTGATGACGGCGGTTAGGGTGACGGCACCGTTTTCGACGTGGACCTTGGGAGTCTTGAGGAAACGAACTGCACGAGCACGAGTGTGAGCAGACGGCAACAAGAGCAAGGTACGCAGTAGAGACGTTGTCAGGCGGGTGCCCGTGTGCAGTATAGGGCCGTGAACAATAACAGGCAGGAGAATGGTGGCTTACCGTAGTGCATGGTTGTTTTGGAGTCGGCAGGAGAGGGCGCACAAACAACTGCTGCCGGGTTCGACAAAGCGAGAGTCAGGAAAGGCGGACAAGGCGCGTGTACATCAGTGATTTGGATTAGTTTTACATGTTGAGTTATTTGGTGTCAACGATTGTGACTGCCGGCGTTTGCGCGAGCGCTGGGTCGAAATTCTAGGCCCGCCTTTTCTGCTGCTGGGCGTCTAGATCAATGTCTATTTTGCTTTTTTTCGCTTTTTTGCCTTTGTTCGATTGACACTTCCTCCCGAGATTATCTTATCTGATCCTGTCTCCACGATCGGTCGGCACAGCATCCGGGGAAGCCCTCGTTGCCAGCTTGCCCTGCTCTGATCCAGCACCAGCCTGACTTCATTCGAAGGATCAAGCCAAACCCTAAGCTGCGCCATTGTCATCATCCTCGGTGCCCAGCGCTCACATCGCGCGCCGTCTCTTTTCCTACAACCCATCAAATACTCGACTGATGCCCCTCGACCGTCATGTATCGACGCAGCGATCCTCGCTTCCGCCGTACCATCAATGAGATCTCTCAGACCATCGAGAGCGCCAACGAGTCCGCCCAGGCCAACATCTTTACCTTTTCTCACAGATATCTTGGTCCTTGTTTCTCATCCATTGGATCCTGTCTCCAATCCACTTGCTCCTCCTTTCCATGCTGTGACGGTCGCCCACATCGGAATCGCGCCCGCACGCGCACTCGCCCCGAGTTGAGCTTCGACTTCTATGATGACTGGGACGATGACGAAACCGCTGGCCTGCTAGCATGGGACAATGGTGATTTTGATACACTACAAGCTGGAGGATATGGCGCTGGTACCGTCTCTGACCAACCCGCCCGCGAGCGTGCCATGAGCTATGGTGCCCGACGAGACAAATACGGCCGTCGCAAGAGCCAGCCGAGGGACGACCCCGATTCTGACTCTACCCTCATCCCTGCCTCGTCTTATTTTGGCTTCCTCGGCAGGTTCTCTAGTAGACTCACTGGAGCCAAGACTCTACGATACAAACCTTCGGCTGCCGATTTGCAAGAGCATCCCGGCGCCTCAAGAAACATGCCTCGACTTGCCGAGGAGGACGACGATTTTTCTCCTAGAAAGAGAAGTAACACCGCCGGAAGCAACGGTACCGCCGACTCTTTCAGCTCAAGGGGCGATCTCTTTCCGAGCGAAGACGAAGACGACGCTCACGAGCTTGACGATGAATTTGCTATGGTTCTCGAGCGTCGCACTACAGGCGCTGGCTTAGAAGATGTAGACAATAATGGCAAAGCTCGCCGTCCGGGAAAACGCCCAAGCACTGGTTCTAGATTATCGACGCGGACCATGTCGAGCAGAAGCACACGCAGCTCAAAACGGCGGTCTCGTGCAGCTAGTATCTCACCATCGCGAGAAGCCGCCACAGAAACCAAGCCTATACCATCGCTGGCAGAACTCAAGCAGGAGGAAGACAAGGTACGAGAAGAGGAAGAAGCTGCCATCGCTAGTAAAAGAGTTGCTGCACGAGGTCTCGCATTGAAGCGCGGACTGAGCGTGAGTGGATCATCACCTGCGGCTTCTGTCTCACCGTCCGGAGAATCAAAACCGGCAGTGAGTCCCGATGTCACCCAGGATGTGCGCAGTGACAAGGATTTGGAGCAGAAATTGCCTTTAACCTCTCGACCACTCGAGAACGACAAGGTAACAAGTAGCGACACGGTTCCGTTCCCAAGCTTTAACCCGGAGGAGATGGCAGCGCCAGAGGACGAACCCGAATTCGTCCCAGCCCAATTACCACGGTTCACGGGCTCATGATGAAACGAATAGCGCATGTTTGCAGCGATGGAGCCTGGCGTCTGCAAGTTGATGAACTGGAACCGGAATACGAATACTATATGTGCATAACGAATTTCTTTGATTCTTGGCGTTCTGGTGGATCTGCTGTATTGTCATGTCGCTAGAGAGTGAGAGCTTGCCTTGCCCAGCTGTCCTCGGATGTGGGTCTTAGAAGGAGGCTCAAAGACGGGCCGTCGCATTAATTAATCCATCCCTGTGAAAGCCAAAATCCAGAGATATACTTTCACGAATTGACTCTACCGAGTGGACGTGATTGATGTTGTTCTTTATCTCTCTCATTATACTAACTTTCTGATGAGCTGCAGGTATCCCATCTCAGTGGCTCGCAGCAGATTGCAGCAGGGACAAGCATGGCAACGTCTGAATGGAGTAAAACGGGCAAGCGAAGTGTCTCGGAATGGATTTAAGCTGGGGGTGGCTTGACGATCTCTGGTCTGCATCTATAATAATATAGAGTCGTGGAAATTAGGTCGTCGGGTTGGGAAGCAAGATCAAGCAAGGTCATGGCCGGAAGATGGGAGAAAATTCGAGCCGTGTGACAGATGTGATTGTCTCTTGCGAGACGGAAAATAGGGCTCTGCTCGATGTGATTCGCTGTGGCAGATTGGCGCAAAAGACTGGAAACACAACGGCTTTGGGCGGGCGAGTCAAGCAGGGTCGATGGTTTAGGCGAGGAGGGTTTGATCGATTGATGAGCCTTTCTTTGCAAAGTAAATTGCTGTCGACCATCTTTTCCTTGCTCGCGGCTGCTCAGGACTCGACGAGCAAAAGTCAGCGATATTGACCATCGCCTCGTGATAGCTTGAAGGCCCTGAGTTCTTGAGGGCATCACGCCAGATACATTAAATGAAGGGCGCTAGCGTCATTGGTTCGACTGGCTGCAGATAAGTACAAGGTAGTCTTGTTCTTGTTGTTTGGACGCAATGCACCAGCATGCTGGCCATCCCTCCACCACGTATCAGCTTCCTGCTGCTACCCTGCCGACGATACAAGGCGCCGTGAAGGCTGCACACGACCTGCCACCATCAGCATCATCACCGTCGCCAACCCTTAGAAGCTCGCAGCCTCTCAAGCCTCTGCATGGGCAGGCACCCTTCCGAACCAGGCCGCTAGAGACGACTCGTCGCCTGCGTACTTCCCATGCTGCAGACACATCCTTCGGAGCATCGCCTGCCATGGTCTCACCACCGTCCACCGCCGCTGCTCAACGCAGCGTCCCTGTCTCTTCCGCCGTTCAACGCACTGTCTCGATGGACTCGACTCTGTCCTCCCTTTCATCATCAACTGCTCCCCAGCCTATCGTTCGCTCGCAGTCAGCCACCTCATTAGAGCCGACTGACATTCCCACACTGATCGCAGCTGCTGGCTCCGCTGAGGCCGCTATAGCAAAGCTTTTGCAAGAGAAACAGTCAGCGTCGACACACACATCCCAGTTATGGAGGCTTGTCGAGAAGCAAAGAGCCATGATCCTTGGACTTAACAAGGACTTGGAGCGTACGCTCAAAGAGAAGGAAAAGTATCGCAAAAGGCTCAAAGATCTGCTCGGCGAGCAGTCTTCTCGTCCACCAGCCATGAGGGAAAGCCTTGGTTCTACAAGTCTTGACAGCCAGTCTCCCAATATACCAGCTTCCAGTCCTCCCCTTCCCACGAGCACATCTCTGGATAGTCTGTCCGCAGGCTTGCAAAGACCCAGCCGCGTTCAGCCATCCGATTCATCGTCTTCTTTGCCCGGTCTTCAAGGACGCTCCGCTGCAAATGGCCCGCAAACCCCCAGCATTACCGACACTCCACAAGTGGTATCGCCCAAGTCCTTCTCGAGTCCGAACCAGAGGTTACGCAAGGAGAAGCCTGCTCCCCTGGATCTATCGAGTGCCCCAACCATGCTTCGCGAAGCTTCGGATTCTGATGATACTCCCCCACTTTCGAGAGGAAGAAAAAAGACAAGAGCAGATGACGATAGGCTGAGGGAAGCACTAGCCAACCAAGGCCAGCATAAAGAGACAGCTCAAGATAGCAGCAGGAGTGCTCCTCCTCCTACCGTTGACCGACGTGTCCCTGCCCCTGCTGATTTGGACGCAGACCCAGGACTGCTCAGCGACACGGATCAAGGTATACTCAGTGACGCTGAAACAATCGATTTTGGGTCTCCTCAGCTCGCCCAGGTTCAAACATTCCAGAGCATGGGCCAAATGGTATCGGCCGATGCTCCTTCCCATCCCAAGCGTCACCCCGTCTCTCTGACTGTGCTGAGTCCCGGCCTTCCTCTGAGCCCTCGTCCCAGCGATAGACCCATGAACTCACCCATGCCTAGGGCATTGAAACAATCACTGACATCGATACCCACTTCTCCTAGAGTAGGAAGACAGATGCCTTTATCACCACGCGCCCCTCGTCAACCTATTCCTATGCCACCACAAACCCCTCTTTCTTTCGCATCTCCTCATCTGGCTCGTGCTGAGACTTATCACGCCCTTGCGGCAAACTCTATGTCTGATAGACTCGCTGTTCCCTCACAAAACCGGATGGCAGAACCTGAACAACTATCGAACGCATCCGCACCAAGATCTCCTGGTGAGATCTATCGCGGGCTTGTATCGGAGCAATATCCTGGTCTCCTCTTGCCTCCAAATGCTCTACCTTCAATCTATGTGAAAGTCGACTCCTCACGCCTGCGGCCGTCTAGACAAAGTTACATGGCACCAAAGCCGTCTGAGGAGAACCCTGTCATCACGCTTGCCGTTTTCTCCAGATCCGATAGATCACAATTATGGCGTGTGGAGAAGTCATTGACTGCTATGTCCGTCTTTGACCAGCAAATCAAGGTTGCATCTAATTTCAGAACAAAGCTGCCAGATCGTTCTTTGTTCACTGGACATGCTCCTGCTCGAATGGACGCGCGCAGGAATGCCCTCGGTCTCTATTTTGACAGCATGCTCGATACACCTATGGATGACCAAGCTGCCATCATCATTTGTGGCTTTTTGACTGCCGATGCGATCGGTCCTGATATGCCCGAGTACTTCCCCCCAGAAGCGACCAATCCGACCAAGAACGCCGCAGCCCAAGGTGGGGGCATTCGCAAGGATGGCTACTTGACGAAACGTGGAAAAAACTTTGGTGGTTGGAAAGCTAGGTACTTTGTTCTGGACGGACCGACTCTCAAGTACTTTGAAGCTCCCGGAGGTGCACTTCTAGGCTCAATCAAGCTATCGAGTGCGCAAATTGGCAAACAAGCACAACACACGACACGATACGAAGACGATGATAGCGATAGCGAATATCGTCACGCTTTTCTTATCCTGGAGCCCAAACGCAAAGACTCCTCAAACCATGTGCGTCATGTACTTTGCGCCGAGAGCGATGAAGAACGCGACGCTTGGGTTGAAGCTTTGCTGCATTATGTTGACCCAGTTGCGTCTCCTACCACGTTGAGAAAGCAAGATTCGCTACGTGCGACGCGCAGCCCGCGTCTCCAGAAGTCAATGAATGATCTCTCATCAGCGAGTTCGAGGCCGTCGGATAGCTCATTGATGTTGCGAAGCATCCCTTACCAAGCTACAGTGCCTGCCGAAGCGCCTGTAATTGGACCCAGCCGCGATCTTGCTACGCCTTCGCCAGTCAACTCCCCAGCAATTGGTGAGGGCGAGCATCACCACGATTCAAGTCACCTCCCCCAAATTTCTGGTCCAACCAATGGTGCAGTCATTCAGAATGCGGAATCATGGGGCAACAAAAGAGATCCTGTTACTCAGACCAAGGACAAAAAGCGAAGCATTTTTGGATTCAGGGGTCGATCATCATCTGATACAGCCCCTGGTAGTGTACCCAAGGACCTGGTCCAAAGTGAATCACCTGTCCTTGTTCGGCCAATCTTTGGTGCCCCTTTGGCCGAAGCCGTGGAGATCGCTCCACCACTGGACGTGCCTGTTCACCTTCCTGCCGTAGTATACCGGTCCATCGAATACTTGAGAGCCAGGAATGCCTCGTCTGAAGAAGGCATCTTCCGACTCTCTGGTTCGAACATCGTCATCAAGGCATTAAAAGAGCGATTCAACACAGAGGGCGATGTCAAGCTTCTCGAAGGCCCATACTATGATATTCATGCTGTTGCGAGTCTGCTAAAACTTTATCTACGAGAATTGCCGGCCAGCATTCTTACCAGAGAGCATCATCTTGAGTTCCTCAAGGGTTTAGACCTTGATGAGAGAGTCAAGGTTGAAGTTTTCAATGTCCTTGTAAACAAATTACCACGGGCAAACCGAGAGTTACTGGATATTCTGAGCACATTTCTGCGCGAAATTGTGGATAACGAGGGTATGAACAAGATGAGCGTCCGCAATGGTAAGTCAACATGTTCTCGTACCATAATAATCTCATAACTTATTAACACTACAACAGTTGGCATTGTCTTTGCACCGACACTCAACATACCGGCTCCCCTCATATCTCTCTTCGTCATGGAGAACTCGAGAGTTTTCGGACCACCTATCGACATCACTACCCCTGTCACACCGTATCCTGCGGATACACCGCTCTCAGGGGTGACGCCTGAAGGTGTCAGGTCGCCTCGACAGAAGCCTAGCAGTGACTTTTCAGCGCCCAGCTACAATCAGAACGGCTTCTTCCAACAATCTGCAGCGCTGAGCCGTGATGCTTACGATATTGGTATCTCTTCGTCTCATATGGCGAACAAGGAGAATGGACCGCCCTCACACAGTGACAGGTATCCAGGATCGAACGGGAGTCGCCCAACACAGCTGGGAAACCCTATGAGCAAACAAGCCAAGCGGGAGAGTAATACATTGTTCATGAATCTTGGACCTGGACCCATGAGCCAGAGAGAGTCACCACTTGGCCGGTTACGGGAAGCCGATAATGATGAGTGAGGTACCGAAGGCCACGGTGGTCGTGTCTGATCAAGTTTCCTACTTGATTCAGTCCAAGACGTTGAAAGAGTTCATACACGGAGTACAAAAGGCGCAGGCGCTCAAAGAGCGAAGGGGCGGCAGACTGACGGGATTACGCATACAACAAGATTCTAATTGATACTATATGATCTAGCACTTTTTATTAACCGAGATTCCCCTTATGGTAGCAGACGGCTACAGAGCATTTTCTTGAACTTTTCGTACATCAAGAGGCAGTAGACAGAAGTATACAGACTTAATCAAAATGAATGACGATTCATGGCAGTTGTCAATCGAGATGTGCCAACGCATGTCATGGTGAAACAAAGCGGCTGCGGAGGTGCACGGTTCCTAGATGGTCGTCGGGTCGGGGCGGTGGACATCAACAAAGCAGGAGCTCGGTCAACAACAGCGGCTCGCATTATTGCATTGCTGCACAATACCCGTCGCTGCCGCATGCCAACAACCTCGCCCATCACTCGACCCGACCTGACCTCGAATTGACTCGACAAACCACACTTCGCTTTCGTTGATGGCTGTGTCGTCGCTGGCTTGACGACATAAGCGCTTCCCCACCGACATAGTCACGATCGCAAACGAAATACACGCCCATCACGAACACATTAGAGCGCGAGCCGACTTTGCGAGATTGGCACGAGAACACTTCCGGCCGTATCATCTCACAATACTGCCGGCCAACAACACCACGCAGCTTGCACAACCAACACACGCGACCTCGATATGGCTTCCGCCTTTGGAGGAGGGGCAGTAGATCCCGAGACGCTGTATACCAAGCAGGCTTGCATTGGTGAGCAAGAGTATTGAGGGAGTTCACAAGAGCCCAAGCTGATACAAGTTGACAGGAGGAGGCAGTTTCGGAAAGGTCTACAAGGGGTCAGTCGCATTCGCATTCACGCGTACACTGTATAGACCACTGACCATCTCTCCTCTAGTGTCGAGAAACGTACCGGCCAAGCAGTCGCCATTAAAGTCATCGACGTAGAAAACGCAGAAGACGAAGTCGACGATATCATCCAGGAGATTTCCATCCTCTCTGGCCTCAATTCTCCCTACACGACAAAATACTATGGATCATACCTCAAGGGTTCCGACCTGTGGATCATTATGGAATACTGCTCTGGCGGCAGCTGTGGCAATCTCATGAGACCTGGCAGTATCCCTGAGGATTACATCATCATCATCATTCGAGAGTTGCTCATGGGCCTGGAATACCTGCACAATGACAACAAGCTTCACAGAGACATCAAGGCTGCCAATATCCTACTTGGCTCGAACGGACAAGTCAAGCTCGCCGACTTTGGTGTTTCCGGCCAACTCTCTGCCACTATGACCAAGAAGAATACTTTCGTCGGAACCCCTTTCTGGATGGCTCCTGAAGTCATCAAGCAGTCGGGATATGACCACAAGGCTGACATCTGGTCTCTTGGTATCACTGCTCTCGAACTGGCCTACGGAGAACCCCCATATGCCGATATTCATCCCATGAAGGTCCTTTTTCTCATTCCAAAGAACCCTCCTCCGCAACTCGAGGGCGATTTCAGCCAGTCCTTCAAAGACTTTGTTAACCTTTGTTTGCGCAAGGAACCCAAAGAGCGACCTAGTGCCAAGGAACTTCTGAAGCATCCCTGGATTCGCAGGGCCAAGAGGACCACATATTTGACTGAGCTGATTGAAAGATACGAGAGATGGCAGGCACGTCATGGTGGCCGTGAAGAAGACGACGAAGATGTGCGTGATGCTTCGCCTCCGCGCAGCTCTGAAGAAGAAGACCTCTGGGATTTCGGTACGGTTCGACCCCTTTCTCGAAGAGCACCGGGGCTGAAAGTCATGAACGAGGCCGCCATGAACACTCGCAATCAGACAACTGTCCCTGAGCCCCAGTCTCCTACCAAGCAGTCTGCTCCTAGGGGTGAAGAAAATTCTACCCGACGCACTGTTCGAGCAGCACCTAGCATGCCACCACCACCCTTGCCTAGGGATCTGTCTCCCGCCAAGCAGCGACCAAGTTCATCGTCAGGTCCCGTGCCGCCTTCTCCCAGCGTTGCTGCTCGAGTTCCCTTGCCCGCCTCACCCATCAAGAAAGTAGTGTCGCAAGCACCATCTGAGCCTCCACGCACTCCACAGTCGATCAATTCAAGACATGCAAACAGTCAGGCACAATTCAAATCGACACCGCAACAAATCAATGATGATTTTATCCAGCAGCCTATCGCTGCCGATATGTCTTCGTACATGAAGGGTCTCTCTGTCAATGACAGAGCAAATGAGCCAGCCAGGCCGTCAACGCCATCTATGCAGAAGCAAACCAGCGCATCAAACTACAGCCTATCAAGATCTCCAGAAAAGCCAACTTCCGTTCCATTTCCACTTGAGAGAACATCGTCTTCCGTAAGTGTTCAGCAACAGCAACAGCAAGCACAACAGGCACGACTACAGCAACAACAACCTCTGCCAGCAATGGTGCCTAGAAGATCAAGCCCTAATGAGTGGCCTGCGACTACCGCAACATCGAAACCACAAGCACCAGAATTGCAAGGCAGATTGAGACAAGACTCTGACGCTCACAACAGAGCAAGACAAAACTCAGACGTTCAGGCCAGATCTGATGCGCAACTTAGAACAAGACAAGGCTCTGACGCTCAACTCAAGACGCAACAATCCTTCGATTCCATGCAAAGTAGTTCATCGAGCAGCAGACCCTCTTCTTCGTCTTCGTCCTCGGTGGCAGGACCATCGCTGCCAGCTCAGCCCCAGAACGACGAGATTACTGCTCTATCGGGAGTCGTGATTCCTGCTCTTGAAGCTGCCCTTCACCGCCGCGCATACCAGCTCTCATTGCTGCAGAAGTCAGCAAACACCCAGTCGAAGGTTGCGCCTTCTCCTCAGGACATCATGCTCAAAAGGCAGGCACACGAGCAGATCCGCAGACTTGTCTCCAAGGTGGGTCGCTTGATGAAAGACATTGATCATTGGGACAGCGTCGCACCTGTGGGCATGGGTGATGGTGTCGAAGGATTCCTCGAAGGTGTGCTAGAGGAAGTTTTGTGCCGCGTGGAGGCTGAGGACGCTTGAACTGAAGCACCACCTTATTCGATTCTTGTTTCAAAAATTTGGGGAGAGGCATGGTCTGGAGGAGTTGGGCCTGACTTCTTTGTTGCGTAAAGCGTGCTTTCTCCTGGGAGAAGGGTGGATTGCGGTTTTCTTTTGCAGGTTTTTCCGTTGTTGTGCATTTTGAAGCGGCATTGGTTGGAGCATTGCGCAGGGCGCAGAAATCAAAAAGTAGAGATACATTGAGCCAAGCAGCAGGGCAGGAGCGAACCCTGAAAATACAGAGTCTCTTTTTCACATCTTCATCTTCACTGTGAAGGAATGCTTTGTCTTCAACCCGAAAAAGAAGAACAAACTCTTGCACGCAAAAATCAGACAAAATCATTCATGTTTGTAGGATATGAGCCGTGACGTTGATCCCATGTCCTGCATGCGATTGAGTAGCTTGCTGCTTGCTTGCTTAACCTTTGGGCCTTCTCTTTTTCTTTCTTGAAGATGGAGTGTGTGGTTTACTCGTTTGGACACTCCATCTCTCAAGGCGTTCGACAGTAATGAGTGCATCAACAAGAGTGCTGACATTGTTGACTCCAAGCGCATGATCTGCAGAGGCCTGTCCTTCTCTTTTCAGCGTTTGTTCCTATGGTGGGACGATCGGAGATCTCTTGGGTGTCTTTTGGTGTTGCTGGCATCATAGTTTGAGGGTGATGGAAGTTGATAATGCCAGAGTTGAGTTTGATAGCAACAATTATGAGCGGAGATGGAGTCATCTTCTGCTATTATGCACAGAGAGTGAGGATAAGTCATGGATGAAAGGTAGGATATTGGATTGACGCGAATGAACGAATGGATTGCGAAAATGCTTGGGCTCCTAGGTTGTACAGGTAGCGAGCAGAAGAAGATTGCTTTTGGAGAGAGTGTATCGGGCGAGAGTGTAGAATGGTGAGAGAATGATTGAAATGCTGATGATGAGAAGAGGAGTGAAAGAATACACATACAGCCCTTGATGAGAATTTGGCAAGAGCTTCTTGGGTCGTTCGCCGAGAGTATCTGTACTGATAGGCTTTCCTACTTCTGTTGCTCTTTCCCACTCCATGATTTTGGTTACCTACTTCTCGTTTTTTGCTTTCGGATATGCTCTGGACGTGAATCTCTTCGTGGTTTACTACAATGACATGTCTGGGTAGTCGAGCCCAAGTCTGAATCCTTTACGAGTATAGAATGCTTAGAGTCGTGGTTGGGTAGGATGTCATGGAGTCATGCATTCTACAGTTCGCGTATACCTACCTTGAAAGTGAGCTAATCGCTTGCTTAAGCCGCAGTATCAATGGCGTCATCATCGGTTATTGTACGAAACTTGCGCTTGGTCTTTCTTCTGATATTGGTTTACGTAGCGGAGGACTACTATGCACGTTTTCGGCTCATCTCCTTTGAGACACTTTCTTCCGAGCACAGGTTTCCACTTCTGGACTTAGTCCGACGAAACATGCTGACAATTTCTCTAGATCTTATAGCGTCCACTTTTCTGTAATGCGGTCGAGACTTGCAGAGTTTAAATTTCAAGGGAAGAAATAGCGATGGACCGCCACCTATTCTGAAGTGAATATGGAAGATATGTTTTTTTTTTCCTTTTTTTTTGCTCCTCTTTCTTTCCCTGGTCTGCTTGGATCCCGTTCTGAGGTTAGCATTCGGATACAGCCGCTTTCTCCCGTGGATTGGTGATTGCTTGTCTCGGTTCCTAGGTCTCACGGGTTCACCTGATGAACATCAGGGATGAAGGTCCGGAAGTTTAGCCCTTCACCAAGTCTCAGTGGGATCTGACCACCACCGCTGTCGGTGCCGATTTGATCATTTCCCATTGCCGCGGAATGATACCACATTTGGATGTGCCTACAGCACCGATCACTTGCCCCGGCGGGGCTGACCTGCCCCCCGGAGGACGACCGACTTGATCACCACTGTTCACGAGATATCCACCAAGGATGTCGCTTTCTCAAATCTATAGTTCATCCTCGGTTTTTCTTCAACGGCACGTTGCAGCGCCATGGCGATACACACGGACATCAATGTTTCATGTACGCCTTCCCGACTCTCGAATTCTGCTCTTTGTTATGGGAGAGAGCAGCCAAGACATAGTCGCGAAGGAGGTGCGCCAGCATGTCAGACCCTTGGCCTGTCAAGCTTTGTCGTTTGACCGTGGATAGATGTAGGGGTCTCTGTTGGGGACGCTTAGGGAGACCCAGGAACCCCCGATGGACACCGCCTCGTCTGCTACCGGCCCCCGGAGGCTGGAGGCTGGAAAATGGAATTGCTTTTGATATCATCTCTTTTGCTAATCGGATCTTGCTAAAGTCTGAATTGGTACACACGTGCCACGCATGGTTGTCAGTCGGGAAACCGTTTTGAAATGGTGAGTTTGGCGCTGAGACAGCGTTTGCTTGCTCGCTTACAAAAAGACATACCCCTCTGGCTTGAATCCTGTTATGGCTTGAGGGTCGCCATGGCCCATGACATGTTACGTGGCGGTCGAGTAGCCCGGGGCCGCGATGGAGAACATTTCATTGCCAAATTTCACTTTACGACCGTAAGAATATAGGTTGAAGCGGCACGGGTTCACATCGGGCACAAATCGAAGGAGAATTGGGCCGATGATTTATACAGACAGCAAGATACGCTAGAGGAATGTTTAAGATTCCGCGGCTGCTCGCGATTGACATTGGCAGATTGCCAGGGTAGGAAAGATCGCATGTCCATGGCAAGACTTCCTGCCAAAGCACAAGAGATGCGCAATCTTCATGCAGTTCCATGATGGAAAGAACGAACGACGCCGGCGAAGGCTCAAGCTTCACATGCCGATGTGCAAGCACTCTCGGGAAGGCCATCTGGCCAATTCCTCTTCATTTCCAATCCGATCCAACCTCGCATTGCAACCGTCGCCTGGATCGAGGCTCTTGGTATTACGCTGTCGTCCCTCGTATGTCGGAGTTCCTTCCTGCCAAGCAGACTTTTTGAACCATTAGACAGGAGTTGTACGAGCTTGGCCTGCTCGGCGCTCGCTAGCAATTTTAGGTGAGCATCACAACACTATAGCGAACGATCGACAAGCTGTTCTCATGGTTCCTGCTTTCTCCTGTTCCTACTCCTTACAGATTCCTTGGCTTTTCTCTGCGGTTTGCGTCTCGATCCCTCTTAGGTTGCGAGATTTGGTGTCCTCATTCAACACTCCTGGGCCAAGCTATTCGTGTTTTGAAACGACAAAAACGAAGAGCGAAGTAATGACCTCGACACGCTATTAGATTATTGAATTCCAAAGCAAGCCTCGGCAGACACCATTTGCTATGCTCAGCACAAGCTGATGGTCTCGACTGTTATCGACTCGATGAGTACGGCAACGGGATCATATCACTACGACAATCACGCAACAGACCAAGCGGATCCTCACGCGTGATTTGAATGAACCCACATAAACTACACCAATGTTTCTGTTGGAACTGGCGTCAGTTTGAGCCCCTCCTAGGAGCCACCGTCGACAAGCCTTGTGGTAGAAAGCCACCTCACCGCTTCTTCCACCTGTTCGCCCGGTTTATCTTCCAACAGTGTTCTCCACAGAGACCAAACTTTTAGTCACTCCTCTCAAATACCACATAAAATACTTTTGCAGGATCGACAAGCTTCTTTGGACACGTTACAGCATGATTGGGAGGTATGCCTCCGATAAGCACCTCAGGCTGAGGTCCTCAGCGCAGCCGCGGCCAAGATTGCGGTAGGGAACACTTTGCCAAAACCATGTGGTCAATCCTCATGCCCACTAGCACGCCGTCTCATCTTCAGCGCCGGAAGAGCTGAAGGCGTTTCTAGTCACGAGCCAATAACACACCTCTCGGACCGCATTCTCAAGTACTGCTTCGGAGTCGGTATACCGTGTACCGACTCCATCGCTTGATCTGCACGTCACCAACCACAGATCACTAATCGAGGCCATGCGGTCGAGTTCGGGATTCGAATGACACAACAATCAGCAATCCCATGCGACGAGCAAGGGAAAAGGAGGAAAAAAAGCATCACGTGTACCACGTATACGAAGAAACAACACAATTAAGCAAGAAGATTTGTATATCATTTGGGAAGCCGACACAAACTTTGACATCCACTTGTTTAACAGTAAGTTGTAGCAGCGTTGGATTTTGTGGGAGTTCTGCGCGCGATGCTACTCTGCGAATAACCTTAATTATAATTTCCGGATAGGAAGCGAATTCCTCACTCCCTTTCCCCATCGACAAGGACCATGGCTTTCAGGCAGAACACATCCCACCAGGGGTCCGCAACAAGAAATGCCCAGCTGTCTTTCAACGGTTTGCGCTGCACGGTCCAGATGCTTTAACTTTCGAGGCCGCCATTCGCCAACCATCAGCTCGCCGAGTACAACATGATGATGGACCGAAACGCTTCACGCAATACCATTGGATGAGGACAAGAGTATACGTACGTAAATCGTGAAGAAGGCATGGCCCAAGTTTGGTTCGAAGAAGCAGCGTGGCTTGATTTTTGAGATGAACATCAGCGGGAAGGATCAGAGAGCTGGTGCAAGGCATGCGCTATCGGAACTTGGTCTAAAGTGTATACCACGTGCTCATCTTTTGATTTCGCTGATGATGACGTTGTTGGCAAGGAAAAAGGAGAAGAGCAAGGAGGAATACCACCGGCTACTCGCCAACGCCTTCGCTAGATAGAGTACAATGTTTGGAGAAAAGAGAAGAGAGAAATTAGACAGATATATGCGCAAAAACAACAAATGCAATGACAAAACAAGGGGACCACAAACATGCTTTTGTCCTCTTCATCATGATCCAACTCCTCTCTTGGAGTTGAAATGTCCGTAATCATAACATCTTCATCTCTTGGTGTCTCTGCTGTCCTCGGTCGATGGCACGCGTGCTTCGTCTCTGTGTTGTTCCGGCAAGGTCTCTCGCTTGCTTCTTGTATGCGATCGACCATTTTTGTTACCGTTGTCCTTGGTCGAAGCAGAAGAATAACGATATCGAGTGACGAGTCAAAAGACCATAGTGACCAGTGCCTGGATGATTTCTGCTTTCTCTGCCCCTCAAAGCCCAAAGTTGACAACACCCATACCTTTTGCCTTTGACACGTCAATCCAGTCCACCTCTTCCGCTCTTCCTCCATTCAGTACCCTTGCCCTTTGCTCATCAAAGACCGTGCTCAACAGTTCCCGACTCCTAGTGGCGTTTCTTGATATGCCCGTGCCTTCCAAGACTCTCAACAGTTCGATGGCTCGTGACTGGATCTCCATATCCAAGTTCGCAACGCCTACGATAAACACGGGGAAAACGAGTTGATGTTGATCGTAGTTCTGCAGTGCGACAGCGGCGTCGGCGATGGAGAGGATTTTCAGGCTGTGAAGGCGGGTTTCGGCGCGTTGAGATGGTGTCAGGTGGAAAAGTTGGGTTGGGTAGAGCGAGCTGTTTGAGTAAACAACCCAAGTGCTGAATTGTAGTTGCGTCTGTATCATGAAAGTCAGTCTACTGCTCATTGATACCGAGTATCGGATGTGCTTACGTAGTCTAGGAAGATGCGGGCCATGAGAGGAAGTTGACCTGTGGTGTATTCGGCATTTGGCTGGAAGAGGTAAGGAGGGCAGTAGCGGTGCCATGATGCATAGAGCTCGCTTTGCAATTGAGTGACCATCTGTGTGCACGCGGCTACTACCTGGCTGCCTTGCGGACCACGCAGAGTTTGTGCTGTGGCCTCAGCGCGCAGTTTGAGTTGCACCTGGCACAATTTAGCACCTTGGATGCATACTTGTCGTGCGAATGTGAAGATGTCAGCATAAGCACTCGTGTCTTCGCCGTGGTAGCGCCCAGCCTGTTGTGAGGTGTCGAGGCTAGAAAAGATGCGATTCCAGTCTGGCATAGTCAAATCATTCGTAAGAAAGGCCTGAACGAAGAGCGCATTGCCATTCCCTGACAAGCAAGCTTGTTTGTCGAGGTAAAGCACGTACCACAGGATATATGCTTGCAGCGTTCCGTTCGACTGTCCTTTGCGATGCTGAGCTATCCTGATGAGGTGTTGGATGTGGTGTTCCCACATGTTCATGTTGAAGACCTCTTGTGTGTTGCTCGAGCCTTGGGTCGCATAGCTAATGTCGTATACCAGTAGCAGAAAATGTAGATAGAGAAGTCGGTCGGAGTGGAAATCTGACGGCGACGAGAGGCTGGAGGATATAGCTTGATGGTAGTGCTGAAAAGCTTCAGTCAAGAGTTGTTGTTGACCTTTGAGTGCTAGACTGAGCAGAGAGACTGCACATATTGCATGGTATAGCTAGCATCATGTCAGCAAATGATCAGGCTTTTGACATTCTGTTGCACATGATTGCAGAGGCCGAGTCAACAAGCCAGTCAAGACCTCGGGCTCCCTGAACAAGTTGGGGTGCGTCGATATAATCGAGGTGGTGCGATCTGAGTGAAACAGACTGACGTTTTGCCCCAGTGACACGGGAACAAGGCAAGACGGGAGATTCGGCAACTTACAGGAGGAAAGTCTCTGGCTTCAGCAACGATGGGGTCATCTTGCATCGGTCTGTCGACGAGCAAGTTCTTGCCAATAGGAAATATGCGCTTCGAGATGAAGCCTCGATAATGGACCATGAGTCTCTCGTCTCGGAGCCCCTGAGCGACAGAATCGTTGCGCCGTGCGGATGGCAAGCTGGAACCTCGCGATCCTCCAGATATGTTGAGTGTATGCAAATTATCGGGTAGACTGGTTCTCCTTCCTATTGGAAAGCTCGCCAGACTCGGTAAGGATAAGGGCGCGTCTTCGAACTTGGCCAGCACCACGACATTCGGATCACCGGTTGTAGGATTCAACTTTGGCCTACTCCGTAGGGGTTCTGCCGACATTTGACTGTCCCAGCTGTTACGACCAGATTGAAGACTAGATCCTCGCCCTCGTGAACTAGGGATCGGTCCATATTCTGGAAGGCCAGCGAAACTTTCAGGGTTAACGACGACGTTGAAAGTACCAGGCACCTGGCCCTCAGCTTTTCTCTCACGGTCCTCGTCGTTCGTCAAGTCAGCAAAAGAAGGAAGGCTGTCATAAGCAGGTGATAGTGATCTTCTGCTGTTCAATGCTGTACGAGGTGCTTGTGCTAAGCAATGTCAGCAATCGCTCTTAGTACTGAACTACACCGAAGAGTACAGAGAGCACTCAGAGCTTGATGTTTCGGCAAGGATGAGAGACTACTTACGATCCCAGACAGCATTGCCTGTTATTGACACGTTGGAGTACTTGTTTTGGGTGTTTTGGGTGACATCGTCGAACTTCCAGCGAAACTCCCAGTCGCATTCTTTATTCAGGCGGGTGCATGGCTACAACGATTAACCAATTGACATTGAGAGGGGCTCAGTGCATCTTGCTTACACCACATCGTGGATGAGTCTCATCACACTTGACCTGGAAATTGTGTTAGTCGATCTTTCCCCTGTCGTAACAGAGGCTTTCGTGTCCTCATTTCCTGGCGTCAACTCACTTTTCGTTTTCTACATGTCCTTTCAACAGTATCGAATCAGTAACTGTCCAATTCTCTAGCATTTGGGAAGGATTGTTGAATTACCAGCAGCCGGCCCTCGAGCGGTGGGATAGTCTTGGCCGCGTTGAGGAGGTACTTCCGCCAGCAGATTCGATGTCTGCATGAGCAGAAGTAGCAGTGTTCGGCTGCTGGCCTCGAGGTGCTAGAGGTGGAAGCTGGTTTCTAGCGTTCGAAGATGCATCAGGTCTTCGATGTTGCATCGAGGCAACAAGACATTGATATGCGGGTATCGGTACGCAAAATCAAAGACCTTCTTAGTCAAGGGAAACGACGACAACAAAGAGTAGTATTAGCAGGAAGGGCAGCAGCTTTTAGCGGGGCAGGTTGGGAAAATCCCAGTATAGGAGCGTCGTGCCGACCCAGCAAGCCAATAAGAAATGGCGATATGGAGCAAACTCGAAGCAGTGACCATGCAGTTTCAAAAGACATCCAGACTGGCGAGAAGGTGAAATCAGAAAGCCAGTGAAGGAACCACGCCGACGGAGAATGAGGTCCACAAAGTCGGCAGATCGAATGATATAAGGGCAAACGTAAAAGACAAGAGGTACGCACACGGTACTGCGAGCAAAGTTCCTGGATTTCGCATGTTCCCGCTTTGGTTACCTACTAGTTTAGCTTTAAAGAGTTTTGGACTCTATCTGGCATCAAAGCGAACATGGCTTTTGTGGAGCAGACACTAGATAGAGGCAATCGCGAGTGGTGAGGCATGAACGGGGGGACAAGCCATCAACGGTCGAAGAAATCAGCACTGGAGAGTATGTCATGCCGGGAGGAGCTGCACATCTCCCATTGCGCACTGCACAGAAGAAGAAGTTGGTGCTAGCGCTGCTGTCGAGTCTAAGCGTTCCATGAGAAATGAAAGACAATTCCAACAGGCTCAGCACCGCCGACATGTCTTCCCTTCTAGCGTACTTCTAGCTCGAAAACGTGGCAGCCACAACGACTCGAAGTACTCAACGAGTTGAGATGCACTTTCTTTAAGACAAGCCCTTGGCAGTTGCGCATAGCTAATATTCAGGGTTGAGTTCATTCTCGCTTGAGATCCCCATTTGCGGATGATCCTTTCTACATGCAGGCGGTCAATGTTTGATCAACATTATCTTTTTACTGTCCATCAGCAAGTTACGAGCTAGGCATATGAATACCTGTATAAGATCAAGACATGTGCTAGAGCGAGCATGTCCTCATGCGGAATTGGGATTCTCCAATCCCCTCGCCGTTGGTACGACATCGCAACAACAGGACGTAGCTCGCAGGATCATCTTCTTGTCTGGTAGCGTGGTTGCAGAACTCCGTCCCAAAAGCAAGAGTGCCGTTGGGTCCTCTGTTGCTGGATGCGGAAACCGTGCGTCCCGTGAGGGAGTAAATAGGCGGATGAACAACGGAGGCTTCCGGAAACCGCGCGTGCACATACCGAGGAAGCAATGACGGTTGACACTAGCAAAGAATCACACACCACGTCGCTGTCCACGTTGGAAAGAAGTTTAACTAACCTAGAACGCCACGGCCGTCAAAAAAGACAACATGAAGATTGCACAATTCTCTGCCCGAGCAAAGCTAGATACCTGACAGTCCATGCTCAAGGGGCCAGAACGTCTTCTGCGGCCCCCAGCTTGTTCCCGAACAGTGGGATTTGGGATGTCATCCACAATAAGAGGCGCAGGCACTGGAAGACACTGTGGATAATATCACAGACGGCTTCTGCGGCCCGGAGTCATCTGAACCATGACCCCGGATAGCTGCACACAGTCGCAACGGCCGCGAGCGGCAGGAGCCAGGTGTAGATGTCATCTCGTCATACTCGAGTATAGCATCGCTATCTGCCGGTAACCATAGGGCTTCGACATGGAATTGGTGGTAGTGTTCGGAAATTACCTTGCTGTGAGTAAATTCCGGACAAGCGACATGCCTATTGCGTTTTGCTGAGGGATTCTCATGGATCTGTCAATGCAGCCACACGTGTATACCAACGGTATGTACACCCACCTGAAGTATGAATTGACACAATGGAACGACCGATGTAGATACGCGCTTCCGAGTCCAAGTGATTACGTTGCAAAAGGAGCAGACCACAACAACCTTAAGTAGAAGTTGACTTGTCCGGGATATACGTTCGGTGAATGCTTCAAAGAAGCCCTAAACGACTGTTGAAGTGTATTGAGCTGCGACCACGCCAAGGGAATAATGCTATTTGCAGGATGACGAAATCAGAAAACTGCACTCCGCGCTTTGATAGGGGTCCGTCCTTTTTGAATTCAACGGAAGCGCGTGGATTTCTTGCTTTGTGGATCGCCGTGTTAAACCACACCTCAATCTGCCCCGTCGTTAGGCCCCTCCTGCCCCGTCGCTACACTCCACCGGAAATGGAATTCAGTTTGTGGAAATATGATGTCGTGCGACTTGCAACTGCCGTGACGCTATAGACTTGGTCGAACTCATCAACAAAGGCACCCAGGCACCGTTCAAGCAAGGTAGGCTTCAGTTGGTGATGGAGTGAAGGTCTCGGTGGAGCCGATGGATGTCGGCGGAACTTGGCATGCAAGTGGTTGTTGGGGGTCCATGACAAAGCCACGTGAGCGAAGGATGCAGGAGCGGAGATTCAAAAGGGAAGGAAGGACTTCACGAACCAGCGTTTGACACCTGAGCGGGTAGAGCCGGCGACCCTTTCCCTCTTCTTTCTCCTTTTTGCGAGGTGCGACGTCGTTTTACATCCCTGCCGCCAACGCGACCACGGTAGTTTCACGTCGCAAAGCCCTCGGAGGTGCTGATTTTCACGGCTTATATGGCTTGCATATGCATGCTATCTTCGATACTGCCTTCCCTTTTCATACCACATCGTACTGTACAGTAGCACAAACCTTGTGCTTTGTGCAGAAAAATTGCTGTATTGACCTATTTCGTACTTCGCGAAGAGCTTTGTGGCGTTCGGCTACTCGCCTGTACACATGTGGAAGTCATGTCACTGCGTCGGCGCCTGCAGCGCCTCAACACGACGGCGCCATTCGCGGCCAGAATCGCTTTCTTCGACCTTTTCGTGAAGACAAGCCAACAGACTCGTCTTGGCGTTCTCCATCATCCTTCGGAGACTCGCATGCCCTTCTGTGCGCATCGACTGCAATATCTGCAGGGCTTCCACAACACGTTCCATTCTTCTCTCCACGAGTCTCTGGTCTGTCATCCAATCCGCATTTGGTTGGTCAAAGGGTCTGTACAGCGCTTCGACACCGTTGACAATAGTGCTTTCTCGCCTAAATTCTTCTTTAGCTTCGGCAAGAAAAAAGCCGTTTGTCGGACGTCACTTACGAATCCTTGTCGCCTGCTCCAGCACCATTGTCTACATCCATGTTGTCTTCGTTCTCGGTATCCACTGCGTCAGCGAATACAGGTTTGATCACATCGCACATTGCGTCAAAGAGATCAAGGTCTTCTCGACTCGCGGCCACGAGGCCTAGACCCTTGATGGCGTGAGGTCTGTACGTCACATTCTGTCGTTTAGCTTCTCTCAAAATAACCTGTTGTCAATCGAGTCAGCAAATCTAATAGCCAATCTCGCATTCATCCGCCGATCGGTATGTAGCGAAAGGATATGCTACGTCACTAACCTTGACGAATATCTTTGCGACAGCATCTTGGGCCGGGTAGATGGCCTTAGTGCCTTCTACGAACTTGGCAAAGGCGTAAAGTACCGCCTCCTTACCCTCCCATGTCTTCCCGCCAAGTGCTTTCTCAAGGACAGGCCAAATCAAGTGACTGGTCGCCGTATCGAACCCGCTACTCATTGATGCAAGAGCTGTTGTGGCATCAGCAACAGAACGAGCTGCTGTGTGCTTGATCACCCATTGCGGTGAATCCATATACTCCTGAGCCATCAAGAGAATCTCTTTCAAGTAAAGAGAGATGGCGCGGCTGCCGCCAACGTTGTCCTCCCATGTGTTCCGGAAAATTTCCTTGACCTGATCGTGAGAATCGTGCTTGCCGAAGAAAACGAAAGGTAAGAGATCCGATGCAAGAGAGTTGAAACGATCATTTGCGTGCTTCGATATTGCTTGCATGATTTCAGCAGCCGCGATGCTCTGGCGCGGGACTGCTTGTTCGCGGTCGCCTTCACTTTCGAAATAGAGCTTCTTAGCAAAGGTGGCCAGACGAAGTATTTGTTTGTCTGACGCGCCACGGGCGACATAGCCTGATGAAGCAGCGTACGAACTGGATACTGTTTCATTGCGATCGATCACTTGTCTCTCGATCAGCTTCAGGAACTGGTCTGCGTACGGCTTGAAGAGCACATTGTGTCGTGTACTGAGCGAAACCAAAACACGGCTGCAGCCGACCTTTGAAGGCAAACCCACCGCGCCCTTCATCGCAGCTTCGAGGCGAGGTACAAGTTGTTCCATTGAGGGCTCGTCAAGGAGATCCAGGCATCGTTCGATAGCTTCCATCAGAGGACTGCTTCGAATGCTCGAGAGGCGGATGTCATCGATCTTCTGCTCAGTCAGGTTGTACTTGCTGGCATTAAGATGCAAGTAGTTGACGGCTTGGTTTTCAAGTATGCTCAAAAGTCCCACGAGACGTTCGACCAATTCGGGAATGAATGGTCGCAAAATCTTGCCGCTGGCTTTTTTGATTATTTCCAACAAGGTGTGCAAAGAAAAGCCTTGGACCTCTTCCGCACTCGACTCGATGCCGGATGTAGAAAGAAGGAAAGGAAGGACGTTCTTAAGCAACACAGCGGCATTCTGGGACGCCATAGAATCCGCCTCGAGAGATCTTGTGAGAATGCCTGTCAGCACGCGAGCCAGAGAAGCTGCAGCAGCTCTGACAGATTCTTTGATGTCATCGAGTACTTTAAAGCAGACACCCCAAATCTTCTCGAGGTACTTTTCGTACTTCTCCAAAGGTCGACCTTGTACGAGATCGCCAATCGCTGCACACGATGCTTGACGGACTCGCCATTCCTTGCCAAGAATGTTCAGTAGCAAATCATCCATGATGGCCTCGAAATGCGAGTCAATGGTTGCTGTAGAATCTTTGACCAGTGCATTCCAGATATCAGTCATGGATCTCTGGACGTTAGGATTGGGGTCAAATCGGTATCGGTAGAGTTTGGGGTACAACTTTGGGTTGCTAGCAAGATATCCGTCGACACTCGAATCTGACAAGACGTTGCTGAGTCCGAACCTGCCGAATGCGGCCCTGCTGGACCAGATAGCATTGCTGGACGCCAGTGACATGAAGCGGTATACTAAACTGGAGTCACCGACCTCTGCGGCAAGACTCATGATATCCTTGTATGTGGTTACAGATCCATCGCCAGTTGGAAGTGCTCCGGGCTCGAAGAGTTGTGTGTCAGCAGTGACACTTCCTGCGAGCTGTGCCTTGTTGTCAGAAGAGAACGATCCAATCAAATCTCTGACCAGATCATCCTTCAAGCTTCGGTCTCCCTTCTCGTAAACAAGACCAAGGCCTCTAGAAGCTGTTTCCTGAACCAGTTCATCGCGGTCAGAAAGACACTTCTTGAAGGCGACCTGGCAAGCAGCCAACTGGCTCTGCACTTCTTCTAGATGCCCACAAAATTGCACGAGACACAACAACCAGATGACTGATGCCTTCTTGAGGGAAGGCTTCGTCTGTTTGCAATCCTGGAGCGTTCGATCAAGTAGCTTGCGCAACGCGTCAGTTCGTTGAGGGCCAGTAGGCACTGAGGATTCTACGTCAATGCGATGGACGAGAGCCTTTGACTTCCAGCCAACCGCCATGTAGCTCAAAGCTTCACCCACTGAGAAGTGTGTCTCGGCTTGTCGAATATCGTGCAATTGGTGCAGACGCTCTGAGGTATGCTCAAGAAGTGACTTGTCTTCGCTACTCGTGTCGATTGTTGACTCTTCAAGTACTGTAGCCATTTGCCCAAGAGCCAGGGCTGCGCTCTCGCTACCTCCTTTGGCAATATCAGCCGTCTTGTCAATGATGGCTTTGAAGCCACCTAGCTTCTCAAAAATGGCTGGCTTGACTGCCTGGAAGAGACACAAGTCACCGATCGCATTATAGCTCGCCTCTTGTAGTACTTTGTCAGTAGATTGAAGAAGAATCTCCACGGCCTTAGAGATGTACTCTGAGAAGGATGTCGATGACTCGAAGTCATTTGACCCTCTCAAGGCATATCTACTGTAGAAGAAACCCAATGCAGAGACTGCACCATGAACTTGGTTTGCTCCAGCGCCCACAGCATCGCGCCAAGCTAGGATCTTACTCAAAAGCTGTTGTATAGCCTGCAGCACTTCTGCTGGGCGGTCGATCTGGTTCCTAGGATGGGAGGCAAGCAGGCCAAAGGCATGAGCAGCAGACTGCCTTGTAGTGAGCTTGTTTGAGAAGATCGATGAAATCAGACCAGCAAATTGAGGAGCCACTGTTTCGACGAGCAAATCAGGACTGAGAGCACACAGATCCAGGAACAGCTCGTCTGCGTCTTCGACCTTGACCTTACTGCCTTCAGGAATCAACACGCTCACAGAGAACGCTCTCAACAGAAGCTGCAGATTCGTTGCAGAACTTTGTCCTTCAATAGCAAGCTGTGCGATGCACTCTTTGACAACTTGTCGAATTTGCTCGTCGTTCTCAATAGCAGTATCGAACTTGTATTCCCAATCGGCATCTAGCTTCACCTGGGTAGAGCTCTTGGACATGGCTTCATGCATAAATACGCGTCTGCAATACTTGATAGTGTCCATGAAGGCACTGGGGGGCTGCTGAAGGAGTTTTTCAACTGCTTTGGTGGGGTTGCGCGGTCCATCAAAACCAGAAACATCAGTGTGTACTTGATAGAAGACATAATCCATCACATCCTGGAAAGGAGGGAAGTTCACACTCTCGTCCGTTTGAGAAGTGCCGATTGAGCCGTTGAGCATACGGTACCAGTATGGACTCAGTCCACGTCTGCCTTCCTCGACAACTTCTTGTCTGTCAGTGGCCTCGGCAGCAATGGCAAGCAAGTCGACCCAACGAGCCTTCACAGACGCGTAAGGAAGGCAACGATTGGCGTATCGAACAGCTACGTACCGAGTACTGCGACGTTCGGGTGTTCCAGACTTATACATCTGGTCGATCAGAAGATTTTCAAGACTGATTGCAGTCTCTGCATCTTGATGTTTCACGAATGCTGCCAGCATACTTGAAAGCGACTCTTCGATGCTGACAGTCACTGAGCTTGAAGCTGTATCCAATGCTAAGGATTCGAGAAGCCAGCGCAAGATGTCCAAGTTCGGTTCGACTACTAAGTCCTTGGGGCCAGCTTTGGCCAGAAGACCTATCACCTCATAGGCATAGCCTCGAGAGACAAGATCCTCATTTGGACTGGGTTTGGGCCAGCTTTGGCCCTCAATGTACTCTCGTAGTCTTCCCAAAACCCTAGGGGCAATGGCGTAGAGACTCTTCTCGCTACCATAGCGAGACACGAAGTTCATGTAGACAAAGATGGCCGCGCGAAGTTTTGTCGCTTCTCTTCCAAGTGAAGAGGGGTTATCATTGCTCGAGCCCGCTATGCCATCGTTAACAAGTCTGACTATCTCTTCCGTGAAAGTGGTGCTTATGGTCGATTTAGCAAACAGTCCAAGAATCTTTAGCTGCAGCGGCACTCTAACTCGTTTTTGCGAGTTGATACCCTCATCGCCGAAGTATAAAGTATACAGCGACTGGATGAAGTCCGGGTCTTCAGGAGAGATGTTAGGAAGGGTTCTCTTTAGCATATCCTCTCCGATCTCAGAAGTCGATTCAGTAGAGGCGAATAAAGCAGGAAGAATACGCTCCTTGTCTGTGAACATGCCGCTTGCAAGAACCTTGGCAACACTTGACTTGATTTCGAGCAGGTTGAGACCCATCGGAGAGGCGGGGCTCCACACATCTTCTTTATTTTGCAATGTCAAGAAGGAGTACTCGCTAGGTCTTAGACCGGGACAAGTTACTGAAGTAGTGTTATTGTTACCCCTGACCACAGAAAACAAGATTAATCGTCCGAACCAAAAGGCCAAGAACGAAGTGTCTTCAACACTGAGTTGGAGAGTTGAACGCAGCTCTTCATCTTCTTTGGTACCCCTTGGTGGAAGCTTGAAATACTTCAGTAGCTGAAGGAGCAGGTTGAACATTTGAGAGCCATGGGTAGGTGATGTTTTGCCTGCAGAAGCGACACTTTGTAGTACGACAGGGAACAGAGCGGTGCTTTCGACGAACGACATGCGCCGAACACCAGTCTGTATGTACAAGAGATCAAAGTGGCGGATCAGTGGAGTGTTTGGATTCGATCTAAATTGTTCAACAAGAGCAGCAACGGGTAGCTTGATAGACCTGAATGTGTCAGAATAGTCCTCGATTTGACCTTTAAATACTTACTCTGGCTTTATCCTAAGATTGATATGTTGGCAGATACTGATGACCTAAAAAATGTGCGTTAGAAAATGGCCCAGAACTATTTAATCCATGCAAACAGAAAGTGTTTTGATAATGGCGCATATGCGTACCTTGTTCCTAACACTCATGTGCTCAGAGGCGAGTTTGAGTAGTAGAGGTGCCAAGTAGGTATTTAGAGTTGCTTGCAACTTCTGATCACCATCCGCAAGTGCTATGCGCATCTCAACTTTGCCCACAAGGGACAACTCCCTTGCCTCCGGTGATTGTTCAGTAGCCATGTTGATGACGACTTGGTTCAAAGAGTGTGTAGAAAGAAGGAGGGGAGATGGAATAGCTCAGTCGTTCACTTAGTCAGCATGGCAGATGAGAAGCATCCAGAAGAACAGCAGCAAGATAGAACAACGATCTATAAATGTGTTGCCACAAGTGTACGACACCCGCGACTGCCTGATGTGGTCGGACTTCGCTGATGAAGTGATAACCAAAGAGGCAAGCGCGCCTTGGCGGGAAACGGCGACCCTGACTCTGACTGACTCCTCCGCATGCACGTCAAGCAAATAATTATTGCTATTTCTCCGACATCGCATTCACGAAGCTTGCGCGAGCTATCTCGCTTTTTCACTCCTGATAATTCGTACACTGCACAGCAATCATGTCTGAAACTAAGGCCAAATTGACCGTCTTGATCTCCGGCTCTGGAAGCAATCTCCAAGCACTGATAGATGCTTGCGCCAACGGATCTCTCAACGCCGAAATCATTCGTGTCGTATCGAACAAGAAAGCCGCCTTTGGATTAGAAAGAGCTCAAAAAGCACACATCCCTACCGCCTACCACAACCTTCTCGAGTACAAGAAGCGCTTCCCTGACGCAAGCGAGTCCAAGAAGTTCGAGCATGCTAGAAGCGAGTACGATCGTGACCTGGCGACTCTAGTGCTCGCCGACAAGCCCGATCTGGTTGTCTGCGCTGGCTGGATGCACATTCTTGCTCCCACTTTCCTCGAACCATTGAAGGAGGCTGCTGTACCTGTCATCAACCTCCATCCTGCACTTCCCGGCCAGTTCAACGGCGCTCACGCTATCGACGAAGCATATCGCGCTTTCCAGGAGGGCAAGATTGATCATACCGGCATTATGATTCATTACGTTATCTTGGAAGTTGACATGGGAGAGCCAATCGTCACAAGAGAAATACCTATCCGCAAGGGTGAATCACAGGATGAACTCGAGCAAAGGATTCACGAGAACGAATGGCAGCTGATTGTGCAAGGCACACAAAAAGCCATCAATACGCTTTGGAAGTCGAGGCAATCAGCATGAGTGGAGGCTTGGCATGATCGAAAGAGCACGCAATGATGGATGAGAAATGATTGTTCATGTGTCCTGAGCCTAGGACTGATATCTATATGCTCCAACGCTTCAAGACGACAGCAACGAAAAAAGCAAGGCGCAACTAATCTTCGTCTATCTTGTTAGAGGGGAAGTCACCAAGGAGGATCTCGTCTGGTGCGGGACCACGAGTGTTGCGCACTAAATTAAGAGTCAGCTATGGAAGCTCGATTGAGCAGCGAAAAAAGAGACACTTACCCCATTCAGTCTCGACACGGAAGAAGATCCAGATCCAGCGTCGAAGAACCTCAAGCAATTCCATCACAAAGATGCCACCTTCCAAATCATTGAAGTGGTCCAAGTGTGGAGAGAGCTTGAAGCTCCATGTACATCGGAGCATCAGATCTACGCAGATAGCACCATAGTACATTTCCTTGGCATGGAAGTACCGATTGCGGCGAAGAGCCCATGGATGCTCCGGGTCATTTCTCTCTCTGGCTGTCGAGAATAAGGACAGATCCCAATCTTTTGTGACATCCCAGTAAAAAGAGTAGAAGGAATTGACGAAAACGAAAAATAGCCTGCAGTTTGTGTAAGCGCTCTCCCAGCAGGAATCATTTGCTTTTGTTGTCGTACCATAGACGAAACAATCCAGCCTCAGACATGCCAATCTTTGCTGGATCGTATCCTCTCATCAGTGCACTCAAGATGATGACAGGGAAAGCGCTAGAGTATTTGAGCGCGTTTGCCAGATGTTGACCACCCCATCCGTGAGCGCCAATGCCTCCAGCCTTTGCATTGGCCTTGCGGACTCTGAAGTACTCAATCAAGCACTGCCTCAGACGAATCATGCTAGGAATAGCAATGATGAAAGGTACCAAGTATGAACCACCGGCATGACGGTCCGGCTTCTCCGTTGAGCTCCTTCCTGACGAGAAGAACATGTAGAGCGCAATGAACAAATCTCCCATAACTTTTGCATAGCTCGTCAAGACATCGGCCATCAGAACGTCTCCGAATTTCCCATCGTGAGCTTCAGCCAAGCCACCTATACTGATGCGCTTGAGGGTAGCGAGAGTTCGGTAGCGGCCACTGCGTGAGACGCGCTGAATAGGTAGAACGAATGCAAGTACGAGTACGAGCAGGTATAGGTTAGGTAAGACTTCCCAACTTGCGACCGAGGCGGGGTCACCTTGTGTGATGGCCCAAAAGAGGAACAGCGAGAAAGCGAGAGGAATGGTAAGGATTGTCGCAAGGCGGTAGGTCGAGAGGTGATGCGGCGGTTCGGTGGGAGAGTTACGAGCAGGGTAACGAATAAGGGATGGCACGTCCTAGGAGAAGACAATGAGCCACTGGCTTCCGACTAGTATATGAAGCTCGAAGCAGTTGCATACAATCTTGATCAAGTGCAGATAGTGTAGATTCAGTCCCCAAGCCCAGACGCCTATATGTTCGGTCAACTACTATACAGAAAGTCTGCTGCTACGTGGAACATGGCGTACCCAAAACGATGATCAAAGCAACACGATACGGCAGCGGAAGCACCAGACTGAAGCCATCTAGCTGTGACTCGACAGCCGAATCACCATCCATGACAGCTGGTCTTGCGTTTGAATGCGCACAGGAGTAAACATTCAGGGAGTCGCGTGCTGTAAACAGCAGTGATTCTCAAAATACATTCAACGTTAAGCTCGCCAGCACCTGCCCCTGTGAACCTGTGGGGAATGCGTAAGCGCGATCGAGAGAATAAAAGAAGAAAAAAAAAAGATAAAATACCCCGATCTCCAACGATTCGAGACCGTCACTCGTCACCATGGTGTCGTCATACCATCACGAGAGTTAACCGTCGAACTAAAGATGCTGAACCTCGCTCTGTTCTCGTCTTTCCTGCATCAATCCTCCTCTTCGACTACTTCATCAACTCCAATTCTCTGGACTCTTCCAATTGACAGTTTCTGAAACTCGATACTCTCCAACTAGTCATCCTTAGTACATCAACCTCGCATCAATCATGTCTTTCTGGAGTCGTCCTCGCAACCTCGTCATCCTCGGTGGTGTCCTCGTCGGTGCTGCCTTCATTCCTACTCCCGGCTCTAAGACCTCGTACGCGTCATCTCCTCTACTCCCCCAATGCCTCCAAGAACCACAATTCCTTCAGGAAGCCATTAAATCAGCTATGGAAAGCGCAGCCTAGCTGTTGGCTCCTTCTTCACATGAATCACACCATCCTTCATCTGTAGTCCATCTTGAGCTTCTGACTAACTGCTTTCGCTACACAGCAACGTCTTCGAGACCCAAGGCACAAAGAACATTGGCGCCCGCTGGTCATCAGGCGGTGGCTCAGATGTCCACACCCCTGGCGCCGCTACTCCCCGTGGTAACATCGAGAACACACAAGAAAACCAGGTAGATCCCAAAGGTTCACACTCCCCAAAATACCCATCAAACTGACAATTCCTTCTAACTCAAGACCAACGCCTCAGGCATTCGCAGTGATCACTTCCAAGAGCACCAGATCTCTCAACGCCCTGGCGAGCCCGGTACCTTCGACAAGGCCTGGAACAAGGCCCACTACGGCACCGAGAAGGGCAAATAGATTATTCGTCTCGTCCTTCTTTTCGTCGGATTTGTTACGCAATACGAAGAACGCACTTTTGGCATGATGGATACGAATGCAAAGGTCATGAATTGTTAGCATTTTGACGCCTCTCCATGAATGAGAGGGTCATACACACACAGAGACGCAAGAGAAAATCTACAAAATACCCTACGGTTGCTTCACTGCTTAAGGAAAGGAAGCTTGTAACTACTATATCTCGATTCAATCGAATTTCAAAGCATGAGCGTGCTCTTTTCATAAATCCTGAACTGATCGAAACCCTTCGATCTGCAAATATCACTTTGAAAACATCCCTGTGTTCAGGTCTGCTTGATCTCAGAAACGATGAACATGGCCATGAATGAATTCGACCTTCTGTTCAATTGTCTAGAACCTTGAGTGTTTCGTTGATCCTTCGTTCTTGGGAGACGAACAAGCCAACCTCGGCTGCCCTGAATCACTACTCGGCTGCAAGTCATTTCCGGACCTTCCGCCGAAAGTGCATTTGCATGCGTCGGCTCTGCTTCTTGTTCATGGTTCGTTGTGACGAGGGCATCACCCTGTCACTTTGTGCTCTGAGCATTTGTGAAACCACTACATGATAGATGCTTGTCACTTGGATCTGTATATCTTGTTGCACCATCGGAGCCATCAGGTAGAACTCATTTATCTGTTGATCTATATCGCCTTTACCGCGTTCTATTCTTCAAAAAAAAAAGCTGTTAGACTTGTAGTATACCATGAAGTTTCGAGCCTTCACCCCAGGACATCATGTCACATTCTATTCGGTTAATTTGATCTTCACGATCATTCTTTCCTTCTTCTTCATAATCGGACCTTCCTCCTCCTTGATCGTTCCTTGCCTTTGTACAATCGTTCCTTCCTTTCTAATTACTCCTTGTTGTTCAGGCTCGCTTGTTCCTCCATCATGATTGCACCTTCCTTCTTTGTACTCACACCTTTCTTCCTTTACGATCGAAGCTTCCCTTCTCAAAGATCGTTCCTTCCGTCTTGGTCGCTCCTTCCTTCTTGATGATCTCTATTTCCTTATGAGACACAATCACTTCTCAAAAGTATGAAGGCTACGGAAATAGAAGACGATGATCATAGGCCACACGGCACACAAAACAGTAGGTACTGCAAGAAGGATGCTCAAACAACGATATAAACAATTCCATGTACGGTTATTAAGCTGGTAGCTAAACAGTATGTACCTCAAAACATCAACGCAAAGAACGATCAAAAACAAAGAAACACTTTTTCTTCAGCAACAATTGCTGTGACACACATCAAGTATCTTGTCTCCAAGAAGGCAAGGATTCGCGCCTAGTATCCCAAAAGGGCAGATGCGCCAGGCTCGCTGGAGATGTAGACAGTAGCGTGGCTGTCGCTGAATCCATTGAACTTGGTAGCACTGCACTTGGTGTAAGCGCCCATGTCCTCAAAGTAGAGCCAATCGCCAACGTCAAGAGTCTGGGCACAGGTCCAGCTTGCAGAGATGCAATCGATGCCATCGCAGGTGGGGCCCCAGATGGAATACTCCAGAGGCAACTGGTTACCAGCATCGTACGCGGCCACTGCATCGTATGTGGAGCTGGGCGAGCTGGCAGCCTTCAGCACACGAGGAATAGGGTGCTGGTGGTCAAACATGATGGAGCTGAAGTTGCCGTAGACACCATCATTAAGGTAGAGCATGTAGCTGTTGGTGCCGAGGGCCTTGTCCTCAACTGCACGACGAGCAATGACGTTGCATGCAATAGTGAAGGCCGAAGAGACGTAGTAGCGTCCAGGCTCGCCAATGACACGGACGCTGGGAGGGAAGTACTCGTCCAGAGCGACGGAGAGGACAGCGGCCATGTCGTCGAATGTCTCGCTAACGAAGCCACCACCAACATCAAGAGTCTTGAGGTCGTATCCAAGAGCAGCTGCCTGGTCAAAGACGAAACGGGCATCGCGGACGGCCTTCAAGAAGGCTGCAGGGTCAGAAGCGCCTGATCCGACGTGGAAGGCAACACCGACCACATTGAGGTCGAGCTTTCTGGCGAGAGCCAAGAGATCGCCCGTGTCGTCGAGGGAAGCGCCAAACTTGAGACTCAGACGGCACAGACTGGCCGAGTCATCGGTCAGGATGCGGAGGTAAAGCTCGGCATCAGGGTATAGTTCCTTGATCTTGTAGAGCTCGTCAGAGTTGTCAAAGGTCATTTGGCGCACGCCCTGCTTGGCGGCATAGCGGACGTAGGACTTGGTCTTGCAAGGCTGGGCATAGATGATGCGGGAAGGGTCGACGCCGAGACGGAGGACCATGTCAATCTCGGCCTTAGAAGCGCAGTCGAAACCGGTGCCCATGGCAGCAAGCAGACGAAGAACCTGAGGGTCAGGGTTGCACTTGACGGCATAGTGGGGCTTGACGCGGTTGAGGTGCTTCTTCCAGCGCAGGTGCTGGCGGTAGATGTCGCCCATGTCGGCGACGAAGAAAGCGTCCTCTTCGCCGGGCTCGCAAGTGTCTTCGTCAATGCTCTGAACACGCTGCTGCAGAGCACGGCCAATCATGGCCTTGGATAGAGCCTTTCCATTGTGGCTGCCTTCGAGACGAGGGGTGTAGGTTTCTTTCAGCGACAAAGATGCATATTGCTCGGTAGTCGGAGAGATAGCCGAAGGTGCCATTACCAGGTAGTAAGAGAATTCAAAAGGCTCGCAATCGAGTGGTTGTCTAGAGTGGGTTTCGAGGTCGTCCAAAAACGTCTTATGGGGGCTTGAAGGGCGCGAAACCTAGACTGGATTGACGGCTAGGCCTCCACGAGTCTTCCTCCGGGAGAGGAAGAGCTCCAGAGATAGTCCTATGCGGCAGCTGGGGTTCAGGCGAGTTCAATGGAGGAGTCTGGTACAGACTATAAAGCAAATCGTAAATATCCTTGTTGGGAGCCACAAGAAAGAGGTGAAAATCCCTCTAGTCGTCCAGTTTCATTCAACGACGCGATATGCGTGGTAGGATGAAGCGGACGCGTTGGGATGCGTTATTTGTGAGCTGGGAGAAGGTGATGTGTGTTGCAGAAAGGAAGGGAGAAGGCGAAGACAGCGTGGATGAAAACTCCATCCAAAGCCCCGTCCGTGTGTGCTGGGCTCCAGTGGGCTCCGCCAAAAACCTCGCAACTGCCTTAGCCCGCCTGCCCGCCTCCCCACAAGGCAAGCGCGTCATATTCTGGTCAGAATCCATGACACACAACCACTGCTCCAAAATCACTCGCTCCTTCCATGCTGGATATGTTTACTTTCTCCGCTAAGTTCTATTCAATCGAAGATTCCCTTGACCCATCTCTTGTTCATCCTCCTTTCCTTTGCTTCAAATCCCTCAACAGCGCTATTTTCCTTCCATCAACTTTTCCAAACGTCCTGTGGCCAGAGTGACATGCTACTGCCGTGCACACCCGCCAAATCCTCGATGTCCACGGGCCCCTCAATTCTCGATGTTCTCTGATCATCGAACGGCATTTGCATGCTTTGCTGCGACAAAGATTCAACGTCCATAAAACTCCACTTTATCCTAAGAATATCTCCACATTGCTGCATTTTCTTGTTTGTAGTTTTTTTTGCATCCTCCGAGGATATGATAATAAAAACAAGAGATGTTGAGAAGAATTCCTCATCTATTTTTTTCTTTGAGGCTAAATGACTTGCTGGCTAGTCAGTCAATATTGATTCTTAATAATGACTGACATGCATATTCTGTCTATTAAGGGCCAGGCGTTACCATGTCATCGTGCTGTTTCTGCTGTCAGATCTTCCAATGCACACATGAATCGCGAACGACTGATTAACCAAGATATTGTGCAACAAGAATAGGATAAAACAGAGACGAGGCAGACTTGACCAAAGCAAGAACATAAGACACAGAAAGAGCCAGACAAACGCCAACAATTGGTAGCAAAAAAAAAAAGGCGCGTATGATTACTATTGATCTAGCTCATCAACACCATCTAAATACCCATACTTTTAACCAAAAGCCACAATGCAACAGGAACAACAACATTGTCATTCGCCCCCGTAAGCACCGCTTCCATAAACGAAGCTCCACAACCACAAATAAACATTTTCCCAACCTCTAAACCCCAGCCGCCAAGATCTATAGGCATCATCAACTCCGAGATGATGGTCTCAGAGGCGGTATCGTGAACTTCAGACCACCCACCAAACCTGACCCACGCTTTGGCGAGTAGCAAACCAATAGTCACGGCAACGGCAAAAGCACCACTGCCTTCAAGACTCTTGCCGCCTATCCAAGGCCACTTGCAGCGACCGAACCGTCTGCCGATCAGACTGGCGGCTGCATCGCCCATGCCTACACAAATGACTCCTGCCACCATTGCAACTTCGCGGCTTTCGTTTTCTGTTTCCCAGCCAGGCCAGCGGCCAGTTTTGGTTCTGCCGATGCCGGCGAGGGAGAGCCATAGTGGGATAGCACAGCCGATAAGAAGGAAGACATGGCTGACAACCATGGGACCTCGTAAGTCTCGACCATCGACGTATGGCGCCACGAATTGTCCGATGGCGATGCCTAGTGGAGGGACCTGACCAGCTCGGATGATCTCAAGAATCAGGAAAATGGCAAGGACGATGCCAAGTGCTAGCGAACAGAAACAAGGATCCACGAAGATGGATGGTAGGAGCATGGTAACCATGACTGCGTGGAAGACTTTTCGTCTCGTGTCGACCTCGATGAAAGGAGTGAGACGCAGAACCGCAACCAGACCGACACAGAGGACAGCCGCCCAGTATGCAACGATGAGAAGTCGTGTATTGGCTGCACCAACAGCAGCTCTCACACCAGGGACCGAAGAGCCATATAACGAAAAATTCCGTAAAATTTCATCTTTGTAAGCAATTCGATCCACTCTGGAAGAGAAGGCATTGTAAAGCGTAGGTATGTCTGAGAAAAGATACTCGAACGCCCAGACAATGGGTTCTGCAGAGTTCAAAGCAGCTTCCGAGATTGTTCTGCGTACCGGGACCAGAATGATGAAAGCGATTGTCGTCAAGATGTAGATAGCGTACGCCCATTTGTACATAAACGCGCCTTCGGGAGTCAGGTTCAGATGCCAGTCACGCAATCGACGTTGTCTACGATGGGCAGCTGCGCTCGGAGTGTTGCCAAGCATTGAAGTGGGAACATCCATACTTGCGATAGTATGTCTTCTTTTCCTAGAGAAGTCGTTCGCATCCACAACCGAATCTCGGTGAGGTGGCGGATTTGCTTCAGCCGCTGATCTAGGTTCGTGGAAATCATGGTCAGTTGGAATGATGTTAGTAACCAGCTTGGGCGTCTTGCGGGTCTGGGATTGGATTTTCTGCACAGGGACATCCTCATCGGCATCACTGTCCTCATTCTGATAGCGCGTGAAAGGATAGACCCATTTCGTAAGTGCAGCAAGAGGATCACGCTTTGTCTGAGCAGATTTAGAAGCAGTTCGTCGGAACCTCCAGCGAGGAACACGTGCAAGGGCTACGTTCCAGCGCGCGACATGAGTGCACAAGACAAGAACCCACACGCCTCCAACCCATAGAAGAGCCCGTAAGATAGCAGTCTGAGGCGAAGTGGCGAAAAGCAGAAGATTGATCAGTCCAGCTGACAAAAGATGCTTCTCGGCAGCCAAAAGACTGGACGTGGTCAAATAGTGTAGCGGAGGTAAGAGGGCCTGATGGAGAGGATATAACAGAGTGAGGAGCTCAGGCTGAAGAAAAGGAGGCTGGCTGGCCTTGAGCTTGTATGGTGCAGGAGGGTAGGCGGACGAAGGTAGCTCGGTGTTTTCGGAGAAGATGAGTGGAGTGATGGCGACAAGCCAATGAAGCGTGTTTATATCCTTGAGTCGAGACAGAGGAGGAAAGAGACGTGGCGGTAGAGAAGCCAGGCCCAGTATTAGGTTGGGTAAGAGTAGGGCGGGGTATTGAGGCAGCAAAGAGAGGGCGATCAAGACAGGGACGAATGTCGGATACAGGATGGAAGCAGGGTCGAAAGATGGAGGTACTCGGAAGCGGCGCCATCGGGGACGAGTCGTGTCGTCTGAGGGGGAGAAGATTACCACTCTCAGGGGGTACACAGCGATTAGGAGGGCTACAATGGCCAACTGAGAGGCGAGCTCTACTGCAAAGCATCAGTATCTGGCCCGCAGATTCAAGACTGCTAGACATACCTCGATGCCAGTTCCAGAGAGCACGTCTCACAGAAGGAGCAAGTATGATAATCAGGCCGATGCACGCAAGCAAAGCACCCTCTGAGATGCGACGGATGCGCTCAGCTCTCCTCCTCTTCTCGAAGAGCCGCCTAGCGAGCAACAACTCATCTTCTTCAGCACGCTCTGTCGGTGTTGGAGACGGCTTGTGATCAAAGTAACCCTCAGATAAGCGGCGGCCTTGGCTGTCGAGTTGCGAAGGAGTGAGCAATGGGGCCGGTGAACCATCTTCTTGCCGCAGTCCTTTGGCAGGCCGTAGGGAGGCTGGTGGCAGAGCTTTCAGGTATTGTGACGGTCGTTCGTCGTCGGCCTCTGTGCCACTCTCGCTCGACAAGTTCGTTGGAGTTTGGTAGTTGCTGCTCTCTTCAGACTTAGCAGCTCGGCGGCCACGACGGGCATACGGGTGTGGTGAGCGTTCTCGTTCATCGCCGGCGGTGGGCATTATGTGAGACTTGTCGGTTCATCTTACGATTGACTTCTAATTATCCATAGACATTATTACTAGAAGGATGCTCCTTGACCGTTTGTTATTCAAGGACACGAATGCCTCGTCTCAACTGTGACGCACGCTTGACTTGGCGTCACCATTTTCCGTAAACTCCCTGAATCTGACATGTGAATCCGAACTATCGGCGATCGTCACATCGGCAACCATCTGTCTTGATATGTTGAGAGCAGAAATATAGTCATGTACTTTCTCTACTTAATCGTCACATGTCTATCACATATTATTACATATTTACCAAGTCCCAGATTTCTCACAGGTACTTGTTGGCCTTGAGCCATGCTTCCACATCCTCAGCATCTCTCTTCAACCAGCCCTCCTTGGCTCTGATGGCATCAAAGCTCTGAGCCAGACTCTGGTCGAAGCCCTTGGTACTGCGCTCCTTGAAGAATGCATCAATCTCCTGGATCTGCTTCTCGCTGGTGAAGCTGCTGGTGCAGAGACTGACAACACTGCCGAGCATACTAAGGCCAGGAGGAAGCTTCTTGTAGATGGTGTCCCAATTTACCTTGACCCAGTCCCACAGTGCAAGGATACCCTCCTTGTGAGAACGAAGTCCACCAAGAGGAAGGTAGATATCCTGGTCCTTGACCTCCTTGCTCAGAGCCAAGGCGAGTGTGCGCTTGATGAGCTCGGGCTGCTTAGCACGTCCAATCGAACGCAGCGCTGTGTTGCGCTCATCTGCGACCTTGGCAGTTCTGTACTCGTTCAAGATAGCGTCATACTCGGCCTCACCTCCATTCTGAAGAGCAACGGCGTAAACACCTGCGCGGAGGTTGGGGTGGATGGCTGATCTGTCACCGTTCTTGAACTTCTCGAACATCTCAAGTGCTGCTGCCTTGGTCTTCTCGTCACCAGAGAGGGCTGCACTGCTGAAAAGGAGCGACTTGAACTGCTGCTCAATGTGACCATCGCTCTCCTTGAACTCCCAGCCAAGCTCATGCGATTTCTTGCTGACAAGGTCGCGCTGGAAAGCCTTGAGCGCATCCTTGACCTTTTCGTCTTGGAAGACCCAAGCTGCGCGCACAGAGGCGATACGAGCAGTGACCTCATCCCAAACGACGAACTCGGGCTCAGTGTCGAAGCCTTGAAGCAGCGAGAGGACACCGGAAGTCTTTTGGTAACCAGATGCGGCGAGAGCACCAGCATCAGCGATCATACCGGCTCTGTCCTCAACAGTAAGGAGACCCTTCTTAGCAGCCTCGCCCAGCTTCTGAAGACGCTCAGGAGAGTAAGAAGTTCTGTAGATACCAGAGTGGTCTGCGTTGATCTTGTAGAAGTCGAGGTCCTTGACCTTGAAGCTTCTCTCACGGCCGTCAAGTGTTAGCTCCTCGTCGACACCGTCCTTGGAGCGAAGACCAAGGAACACAGGGTAAAGAACTTTGTCCTCCTCAGGCTTGACGTCTGCGGTGCGCAAGAATCTGTTTTGCTTGACGTGCACAGAGTTGTTCTTGGCGTCCTCAGTCACACTGACAACAGGGAAACCGACATTCTTGGTCCAGATGTCCATAATCTTCTCAACGTCCTTGCCGCTGGCATCGCTCAAAGCAGCCCAGAGATCGTTGGTCTGGGTGTTGCCAAATGCGTGCTTCTTAAGGTAGCGTCTGACACCCTCCATGAAAGTCTCCTCGCCAAGGTACTTTGAAACCATACGAAGAACGCAAGATCCCTTAGAGTATGAGATGGCGTCAAAGATCTGGTTAATCTCGTCTGCACGCTTGACAGGAACCTCGATAGGATGAGAGCTGCGCAGAGAGTCAAGAGCAAGAGCACTTTGGAGGTTATCGGTAACGTAGCCTTGCCAGACCTTCCACTCTGGGTAGAACTCGTTGCATGAGTACCACGACATCCAGGTAGCGAAACCCTCGTTCAACCAGAGACCATCCCAGAAGTCCATAGTCACAAGGTTACCGAACCACTGGTGAGCAAGCTCGTGCTGCACAACTTCGGCAACTCTTTGCTTGGTGGAAGCACCGCTGGTCTTCTCGTCGAACAGAAGGTCAACAACACGGTAAGTGACCAAACCCCAGTTCTCCATAGCGCCAGCGCTGAAGTCGGGAATGGCAACCATGTCCATCTTGGGAAGAGGGAACTTGCTGTTGAACTTGGTCTCGTAGAAGTCCAAAGTCTTAGCAGCGAGTTCAAGAGAGAAACGACCGTGCTCGATATCCTTGTCAGGAGTTGCGAAGACACGAACAGGAAGTCTGAAGGCATCGGTCTCGATCATGTTGAGTTCACCAACGATGAAAGCCAAAAGGTAGGTGGACATCAGAGGACTCTTGTTGAAGGTGACGGCCTTCTTTCCATTGTGAGCATCTTTTTCGTGAGCGACATCCATGTTGCTCAAGCAAGTCAAGTGCTTGTCGGCGATCAGGGTGATGGTGAATTCGGCCTTGAGAGCGGGCTCATCGAAACAAGGGAAGGCTCTACGAGCATCGGTAGGTTCCATCTGAGTGGTGGCAATGTACTTGTCACTACCATCTTCGCCCTTGTAGCTTGAACGGTAAAATCCAGCCATGTTGTCATTGAGGGTACCGGTGAAGGTCTGTGTAAGAGTAGCCTTGTGGCCAGTGGGGATGGTGTCGGGGAACGAGACGGTGGTGGTTTGGGTGTTCTCATCGTAGGTGACCTTGGGCGAAGAGGTGATGAGCTTTGAGCCTGAGTGAACTTCAGATGACTTGATGTCAATGTCGATTGTGTTCAGCGAGATGGAGGTCGTGTCCTCGACAACATCGAGACTATGTGCATGTTAGCACTTGAATTATAAGTTAAAGGCGAGTCTTGATAGTGATTTACTCAATGACGACCTTGCCCTCATATTGGAAAGTCTCAAGGTTGGGTTCCAGAGTCAGGTGGTAGTGGAGGGGCTTGACGTTCTTGGGCAGAACCTCACGACCTTTGGCAATGTCGAGGTTGGCACCCATGGCATCAGCATCGCGGCGACACATCCTTCTATGCGAGCAGTGACGAGCTTGGATACGAGATCTAGAAAGTCGGGAGTTTGGGTTCGGGCGGAGAGAGGATTGGCGTTGGTGGACAGTGGCGGGGTTAGATGTGGTCGAAGAGGTAGTGAAGAAGTGGGAGCGAGAAGCTGAAACAACAGCACGTCTAGGAATCACAGATCTGACGGCCTGAGAGCGGACTGTTCGGAGAAGATGAAGGTTCATCAGAGGAAGGAGGGAAAGAAGAAAGGGGACAAGAAGGAACGTATACGCTAGACAGTTTCTTTAGACTCGAATGTTCGTACTCCTACCTTCTGTTTCGGTCACACGAAGCATCACGGACTTTTGCAAACACCGACCTTGTGGTTCGTACCTGCCACCTGCAGCTTAGTGTCGATCACTCCCCCTGCGGCCCCGCGTCTCGAAGACACGACACTTGGCATCGTTTGCTGCTCATGGCTTCCCTGTGCTTGCGCCAGACCAACATGTCCATTGAAGCCTCACGATAACAGTCACTTTTTATTTGATTGAGACACCGCGACCATGTGGATCTTACCTCTGGTCGGCTATTTAGGCCTTGCACTTGGCTTCTCCTTCCTGACACTTGCCATCGCATCTGGACTGTACTATCTCTCGGAGCTGGTGGAAGAGCATACCGTCCTGGCCAAAAAGCTCTTGACAAGATTGATTTACCTGGTCATCGCTATTCAGGTCTTTTTGGTTCTCTTCGACAAGTTTCCATGGGGACTTTCGGCTCTTGCTATCGCCAGTCATGGAGTATACCACCAAAACCTACGCCGATTTCCTATTGTCAAACTCACTGACCCCGTCTTCTTGCTGTCGTGTGGTATGTTCTTCAGACCCACGATTGATATTTTCTCTTACTGACACGATACCTACTAGCACTTGTCATTCTGAACCACTGGCTATGGTTCCGCCATTTCTCCGCTGCGCCCTCATCTCCACCCAGACACTACAACTACTACGCTCCCAACGAGTCTAGTCCAACCTTCACCGAAGTCGCTGCGTTCTTTGGAATCCAAGTGTGGCTTGTGCCTTTTGCACTCTTCGTCTCGCTGTCTGCCGGCGAAAACGTCTTGCCGAGCATGGGCAGCGAGTACGCTACGGGTGCTGGCAGCAGCTTCATTTCAGCTGGAAAAGAACCCGACCACGCAGCTACTGCTTATCCCGGTGCTCGCAGATCACGCTCCGGAACGAATGCTGGCATGGCCAAGGCTGCTGTCAATGGCGTTCGCGAATGGATTGGAGAAACAGGCGAAGTTCTGGGATTATGGAGAGGTGAAAGGACGAGGCCTTTCTGAGGAGTTGTCAGGGTGGATCTTTCAAAAGTCAAAATATAGTCCAGTTGCACGAATTCATGAATCAAAATAAGAATTGTTTGAGAGGTATACACGCTATACAACACACCCGTCCAGGCCTTGCGACCGCTGTTTTGTTCATGGAAAATGCATTTACTGCTTCTCCATGGCGCCAAGGATGGCTCTTGTGAACTCGTGAGTGGTCGAGTTACCGCCCATGTCACGGGTGCGGACCTTGCTGTAAAACTGTCAGTATTGTAGTCAGATAAAGGTAAACCGAAGTACACATACCCCTCAGCGATGACATCGTAAACGGCCTTGGAGATTCTGTTGGCGTGGTCGTCAAGACCAATGTGTCTCAGGAGCATGCTTCCAGAAAGGATGAGAGCAGTGGGGTTGGCCTGGTCCTTGCCCTTAATGTCGAGACCGACGTGTCTGCAGCCAGGCTCGAAGACGGCGACATCACGACCCATGTTGCATCCAGGGACAATACCGGGGCCACCGACGAGACCAGCACCAATGTTGGAGAGAATACCACCGTACAAGTTGGGCATAACCATAACGTCGAACTGCTGGGGTCTGGAGACACACTGCATCGAGGCGTTGTCGACAATCATGTCGTTGGTCTCGATGGTGGGGTACTCCTCACCGACCTTCTTGATGGTGTTGCGGAACAGACCGTCGGCAAGCTTCATGATGTTGGCCTTGTGGATGCAGGTAACCTTCTTGCGGTTGTTGGCGAGGGCGAAAGCAAAGGCAAACTTAGCAATGCGCTCAGACTTTGCGCGGGTAATGATCTTGAGCGACTCGACAACGCCATCGACAGACTGGTGCTCGAGACCAGAGTACTCTCCCTCGGTGTTCTCACGGATGATGCAGAAGTCGACGTTCTTGTGGCGGGTCTCGTAGCCGGGGATGTTCTTGATCAGGACAATGGAGGCGTAGATGTCGAGCTCCTGACGCAGGGCGACGTTGAAAGACTGGTGACCGGAGCGCTCGACGGGGGTGTGGAGGATGCCCTTGAGACCGAGCTTGTTGCGCTTGAGGGAAGCAATCGACTCTCTGAACAGCTCCTCGGAGTGCTTGTTGCCAGTCTCGATACCGGTGACATCGACCTGCTCCCACTCGACAGGGACATTGTCGGCCTTGAAGATCTCCTTGACGGACTCGGAGACTTCGGCACCGATACCATCACCAGGAATCAGGGTGACGGTGTACTTGCCGCCAAACTTGGTGGGTCTGAAGATGTCCTGACCGACAGTGGTGGCCATGGCTGTGGGCAGAGTTCAGTACTTGGTTCATCGATAAGCATTGGATTCGAGGTAGGTGGTTACTGACAGCGCGAAGCGATCGAAGGACCAGCAAGGCATCTGGATGCAGGCTTTGCGCCGCGAAGGAGGGTCTGGAGGGCACTGTCAGGTTCTGCGATAAGGCCCAGAACATCAGCGAATGAGGCGTACCTTGGAGAGCATGGCGACTGGTGCGGAGTGGAGCGGTATAGGGTGAAGAGGGAGGGCGACCGTAGCAGTGAGGTTAGCAATACTGCAGATGGAAATCACAACTCGAATCCCGCCCAGGCGGAGAGATGCCAAGCCTGTTGGACACTTTTGGCGGGACCACTCGGGCAACACGGGAGAGACAAGTACCCGACTTCGTCCTTCCACTGCCGACTTTCGATCCGAAATCTTCTTCATCTACCGTTTATCTTCCCAGGCACTGTACGTTACTGCAAATGATCCATCAGTCAATGCATACAAAGCATATTGTCGTTGACTTGCATCTGCGACCTAGCAGGACTGATGTTCTGAACTTCATTATCAAATGCTAACCACAGTTCTGATTCTGCTGGCGAAGATTCCATCTTGATTCTGAGCTATCAGCCACGTCTTGGATAGATCAAATCGATGTATCTCATCAATAATCTACAGAAAAACATCATCATCGACTTTTTGAGATGCCGAGGCGCAGACGAGACTGTTTCACTACCAATCCTTATTCAATACCAGATTTGGCAACTCTGCTTATTGACACCTGGATTCGACATGGCCTCGAAGCCACATCTTACACTGTGAATCTATATTCATTCACGGTGTACAAAGCCATATCAAATAACCCAGGCAAGCTCTTGCGCGTGTCGCTCGGTCCTTAGTCGAGGACGAGTATCTTGATTGATGTCGAGTTGACGTTCTTTGCCGTCCATCTCGCGTCTCGTTTCCACACTTTGACGTCTACACAACTCTCTTTGCCGTGCTCTCACCTACGTCGGCTCTGTAAGTGATTTCTTTGACATGTTTATTGTCGGTAGCCTTGCCACGAGGCCAATAGCCCAATTGCAAGCTCGAGGTGTTGTATTTCTTTATTGAAATCTTATTGACACACTTACATCCCCCAACACTGTCCATGACTATATATAACACTTCTTGATCCTTCCCTATCTCAATTACCAACTCACAAGTCACTCATTTCCGACCATCCAATCCTATCACAAACAATCTCCAAAAATCAATTATCAATCATGAAGGCCACCACTGTTGCTTTGGCCACCATGGCCGCAGTCGCCTCTGCTGCACCTACTGCTCAGCCCGCTGCTGCTCCTGAACCCGCTTTCTCCTCATGGGGCAAGAAATACAACCCTCACCTCTGGAACGGCTGGGGCGATGCTCCTGGTCAAGTCTACCGCCGCGAGGCTGAGGCTGACCCAGCATTCTCGTCTTGGGGAAAGAAGTACAACCCACACCTCTGGAACGGTTGGGGCGATGCTCCTGGCCAGGTCTACCGTCGTGAGGCCGAGGCCGATCCTGCCTTCTCTTCCTGGGGCAAGAAGTACAACCCTCACCTGTGGAACGGCTGGGGCGATGCTCCTGGTCAAGTCTACCGCCG